CAACAACAACAACAACAACAACAACAACAACAACAACAACAACAACAACAACAACAACAACAACAACAACAACAACAACAACAACTATTACACCAACGACAACTATTCCAGGCACAGCCAAATGACGAGACAAGACCGACATCGCCATAACCAGAACACTGCCATTTCTGCAGCGGCGATGGGCAATGCGGCTGTCGATGGTGGTGGAGGTGGGGTTGGTACTGTTCATGTTCATCATCATGGTGGTGCTATTTATGGAGGTGCTACTGCTAGTTGGGGTGGTGGTATTGATGGTGGTGGTGGTGGTGCTGCTGGTGGTAGTAGTTGGGGTGGTGGTGGTGTCTGCTAAATTCAAAAAGAAAAAAAAATCAGTCAGTCTGGCTGGGTGGCTAGCTGAATTGAAGGGGGTTTTCTTTCTTCGATTCATCGATCGATCTGACCTGGTCCGGTGGGAGGATATGGTCCAAAGGTCCTACGAGGAAGAAGTTGGTGGGTAGTCATTTCATAGGCTACATTTTTTTTTTCGCGTTCTCAGTGTTGTATTATGTATTTGGACTATTTTATCTCTTCTTTGGACGATCGAGTCGAGTTTATTGATGTTGCTGAGCGGGATATGACAGTATGATATTTATGTATGGTTTTCTAGCATTGACGCTGACGATGAGGCTGACACTGAGAGGGATTCTATGATCATGATATTTTACGACTACGGATTTCATGAGAAAGAAACTGGAATTGAAACCGAGGGAGCTGGTTCTTATATTTACCGTTTACTTCAGTGCTCATTCTGCTGTATTAGTATTGCATCATGAGAGATATCATCATCATCAGTATCTCAGTATCATTACGATCATCATCATTATCTTTTTTTTCCCCTTAAGAATAAGCTATCGATTAAAACATCTACTTCTGATCCCGCCAGATCCTCACAATCACCAACTTCTCCCACCCCGCCTGCATCCCGCTCCGCCCGACCGTCTCCGCCTGCCATCCACCTCGTCGCAGGCGCTCTTTGACCTCTTCGGGCTTGTTTTGCGCGCAGAGCAGGACGTACGCCACGCCCCGGTGCGGGTTGAGTACCGTCGGAATGGCCTCTAGGAACCGGTTGGTTATCTCCATCCCGTCGAGGCCGCCTGCGTAGGAGAGCGAGAGGAGGTACGAGTCGCGCTCGAATTTGGCGCTTCGAGATAATGTCTGCTTCTCGTCTGGATCGCTGTCCTTTTCTGTAGATGACGGCAATGGCGGGACGTCTGGCGTGGGCACATATGGCGGGTTGAACAGGAGGACATCCACGCTGCCTGGTCGAAGGGGACTGCACAAGTCGCCGGTCAGGGAGGCTATGAATTGTGTCTGTTGTTGCTTTCCAGCGTCTTTGTCGGGTGTGTTGTCTTCTGTCTTTTCTCTCTCCCTCCTCTTGTCCTCAATCGCGGTGAGTACCGTCTGTCGTGTTGCCCTGCAGGCATCGCCGTTGACGTCTGTCCCCAGCGCCAGAATATCCTCTCTGCCGAAAATCTCTCTCGAGTTGGCGGCGGTAAAGGCCAATACTACCCCCGATCCGCAGCCTACTTCGACAACGAGGGGCGGGTCTGTAGATGAGAACCGATGTGAAAGCCAGGCTGCTTCTGACGCGGAAGACAGCGTGTCCAAGAAGAGATACGAGTCTTCCGCTGGCTCATAGATGTTGTCGAATGAGACGTGCGATGTTGATGGTGTTGGGAGCATTTTCTTCTCCTTTCCTTTCCTATTCTTTTTCTTACGCCCAAGATATTGCCCGTTTATCAGTTCAATTTCAAAACAGATTGCATCGATAGTATCCAATGCACTCAATTCCAATAGTTGAGATGCAATTCTTCATTAGAAGAGTGATCGAAAAGGCGAATTAATTCTTCAATTGGACTGCTGGATGCCGCAGTAACTGGTGTTTCCGGGAATGAAGATACATGTACTGTAATGTATCCAAGTTCTATAGTGAGCAGAGACAACACAAAACAAACGAGTATGGAATAACGTAGGAGTAATCCCAGGTTGACTGCTGATTCATGATGATAAAAGAATCGATATAGATCGAATTTGAGTCTTGGCCGGAGATGAATTCATTCCGATTGGGCGACCGGAGCTGGAGCTTTTTCCCGCCTCGGCTGCGAACATCAACATCGGCTTGAATCAATTCACTCCGTATCCTGACAATTGCAATCACAATTGCTCTTCTGCCAAAATGAGAGTGTTTCATCGACTTCTGCTAGCGACTCCCTCTTCGCTCGGCTCCAAAGCCAGCCTGACATCCGAACGGGTCGCCCTCCTCCCTCCGCTCCACCTCTACCGACGCCTGCTCCGCATTCACCGTAAGAAACTGCCGCCGGATATGCGCCTGCTGGGGGATGAATATGTCAAGAGCGAGTTCCGTGCCCATCGGAATGTGGAAAATCCCGTTCATATTGTATGACCAGTCGTCAACTACCGGGGTGGACGTGAACTGACATCGTCTAGGTCGGGTTCTTGACGGAGTGGCAGCTGTACGCGCAGAAGCTGGAGGGTGATTCGTGGCAGGGCGAGAAGCTGGATAAGGCTAAGCTGGATAAAATGAGTGGTTCGTTGTTGTGTCGTGTCTTGCCCGCTGAGTCAAGCTCGTGCTAATTCGTGGATCAGACCAGCAGATTGGCCAGCTCTATGAGCTCATGAAGGCGATCAAAAACAAGGGTGAAGAGGGAGAGAACGAATAGGTTGTAAACAAGCAGTCACTTCCTGTCTGTGAATGATTCACGTGTAAACACGTGAAAATGGTCATAGTGAAGGTTTGATAGAGCTACAGTCTCTTCTCGTGTATCATCTGCTAATGCAGTTTCAAACAGAATACACCACTGCTTCGTTCTCAAACCAATATCTGCTCATCACCGTCTCTACAAGTCTTACAAAGCGAGATATAATCCATCTCCTATCGGCTCAACCAGTCTTCATTATCAGCTTCTGGCAGCTACAATGTGCTACGTCATTTACTGGACCTCCCAGTCCTGTCGCCATCGCTGGCTGTCCATCGCCTTGCCATGCAACGGTCCCCACGGCGGCTTCAATACCTGTCCCCAGGTCATCGACAACCGCGTCCGGGCCGACCTGACCGTGGCATCGTATCCTGTCTCGCGCCAGTGGTGTCCTATCTGCCATTTCAACGGCGATTATGATGGGAACAAGATCCGGATGATCAAGGACAAGGTGTACAGAGTGGAATTTTCATTTGATCCTGTCGAGCGCGGGCAGGTGGGCTACTGCTGCAGTGTGATGTGAACTGCGGAGAATCGGTTTGTTTTTGCTGCGATTATCTGATATGTCGGGAAATTAACTGCTGTCAGAGCATACCACGATAACGACGGCTGCGTTAGTCGGGTGATTTACATACCTGGGAATGGGAGGGATTTTCGTAGAGAAAATGGCACGGGAACTTCATCGTCCTGCCAAGATTCTTGTCTGCGGAGTTGACGTCAATGAAGGACTCGTTTCTAAGCCATGGTCATCTTCCTGTATCATCACGTCATGAAAAAAATATCAGGAAGCAGTTCTACTCATTCTATCTGGGAAACTCCCGGGAAACTCTCTTAAGGAATATTATTCTCATTCAACTCCAAACCAGTGCCAACCAGTAGAATGATTTTCTTCCCCATTTCTTTTTTTTTTTAGTAAAAAATTGCATCCCCCCTCTCTATCCTTTCACTCTCTACCTTGCGGGCCATAATCGTAGTAAACGAGATCTCGACCTTCAGATGAAGACAATTTCAACTCTTTCGCTCTTTCAGCACTCAGAGATGGGAATAAAGGACAGAATAGCGAATGAGCTTGATAATTGTTTGCACTACTTCTCTCTACATAGGCCTAGACTAAACTCAATCCCTGTATAGGATCTGATCTGACGGCATCGCTTCTGTCTGAGTCAACATAACGACCACACAACAACAATAATAGCGCGTTTCCCTTCAACCGTTCGACGAGACGCCATTTTTGGCGTTTGGTATCTTACACTGTATGATGATAGATCCGGGACGGAGAAATGAACGAATTGATGAAGTCAGCAGAAACAAAAAAAAAAGAGCGGTGATGGAAGGAAGCACTGTCTGCTTGTCAAGGAACAGATTCTACGGATCTGAGTCGTGCTGCATCTTCTACATAGCATAGCCTCGTTCTTTTCTTTTTATTTCTCTTCTCTACCCTTACCATATGGGATGAAATTATTACCAGTATTGTCCTCTCGATGGTCTGTCTGCTTGCCTTACCTCTTATAGTCTGGCAGGCACTACTAGTTGAGCTTTTTGTGAAGCTCTCTCTATTCCTAGCAAAGTAAATTACTGCCACTTCCACCTACTTTTGCAAATGTTTCTAAAGGGAAAAAAATGCTGTTAACATTCCATCCAGGACTATATTTCATCTAAAATTCATGAGAAATATCAAAAATCAATTGGGAAGCATTACTCGTAATTTTTGTTCTTCTCTCACCTCTGAGAAAATGGCGTTACAAAAACTCTTCGTTCCTTTGGAGGTCCGAGAAAAGAAAAGAGATTGAGCTGATCGATCTCGAGTTTCTGGCTTATAATTAGCCTATTCCTTCATCGTTTTATCTTCTTAATTGATTCGATTCAAACTTGTCAACTGACAGTTCTAGTGTTCATAAATAATAACAAAACATAATCATAACGACTGTTATTATGCTTTCATAATTTTTACAATAATACAATTATAATAATAGATTAACAGGACTAATAATAGTACAGGACGAGAGGTTCGGATTAGATATGCTGCTGGTCTCGGTCTACCAATGAAACCCCCATCTGCTGGGCCACTACCAACTTTCAGGGGCCTCCAGCACTGTTCTCTGCTTTCCTACTTGCTGTATACTGTTAACAAACTGGGAATAATGCCACTGGCATCACTGGCGCTGTTTCTGGTTCGCCAATCTGATCGTAAAAATAATCCGCCTTGCTCCGCTGTCTTCACGAACTGCGTATGCAACCTTGCATACATGTCCTTGTTGAGCTGGTGCCACAGTTGAGAATGCTACATTTCAATGCATGGTTTTCGATGGATTTTTTTTCCCACGCGTATGCTGGATATTCTAATGAGCTTGTACCTGAAAGACCCTACCTGATGACTGACCATGCTTGCTCCACACTGACAGCGAGACGAGTTTCTTTTTCTCGCAGAATCGTCCGTTCCCCTGTCGTCTGGGTCCGGTTTTCGGCCATTGATTTTTCGAAACAGAACTAGCTACATACTATATGCAAGTACTCCATAGACGCATGCAAGATCGTCTTGCTATAAAGTTTAGCACCAAGACCGTCTTCCTGATTCGAGGACCCCTGGCAGTCTAGGGTTAGTTACTTGGTACTAGCAGCTGCTCCATTAACAATGCGGAGCCAGCATTTGTATATGACTGCAGATATATCTGCTTTTCGATTCTAAAAAGCATTCATTTTTCGCCTTGACGAGATCGACTGAATACTGTTCCAGAAATAGTAATCTCGGAAGGAGAACCCTACCTGGGTAGGTTCCGGGCGATCAGAACCTGCACCTTGCTGGACACAGACACGCGAGCACCAGACAAAACTGTAGATCTACTAGCCTCCTGTGGTTTTGAGATCTTCAAGATCTCGACTCGAGTCTGCCTTGCCGGGCCATATTACCCGTTTGGGAAGGACGCGTCTCTTCAGGTCTCGACCTCATCCCAATGCCAGCAGTCTTCGTTGATCGTTCTACTCCGTACACCACCATCGTCTAGCCACCATATTCGTGGATCTGAATTTTTCCCTTCCTCCTCCTTGCATCCTTGTCCCAGCTTGGACGATGATATCACTACGCACGGAAAGAAAGAGAGAAAGAAATCCCTGCCAGCTGTCCCCCGCCACCAGCGAGACGACGACGCAGAGACTGACCTGATCGACCTCCATTCCTGGTTTCTTGCGACCAGATTTTGAACGCGCATCGCCAATCGCAACCGTCTTCCATCGCCAGCGCCTACCTCCAGCTTTCTCTCGGCTTCCCGGTGTTGCCGGCACCCCCCGCTGCCCCGGGCGGGACTCGGGAGTCCGCCCTCGCTGCAGACCAGAGCCACCGCTCCACCGGCCAGGCCTCTCGTTGACTCGTCGTCGCAGACAAGCTTTGTGGGACAGCCAGCCTCTGTGGCTCTTCTGCGGCTTCATCCAGCCTGCGAGGACGATCCTCGGTTCGCCGTTACCGGCGGAGCTGGCTTCCCGAATGGTAACAGCGCCCGCAAACGGCACCTTCTGGAAAAGACCAGGGCTCCGCAGGCTATGTGGTTAGATCATTGACAAAGAGGAAGAGGCATTTTATGAAGAAGTCCTCGAACGCATTACGCAACATGGGGCAGCGCGTCGTCAATCCGAGCTATCACCGACTGCGGGCTCCGCGCATCGCGCCGCCTGCCCATGCCGAGCAGGGTACAAAATCGAATGGCGAGCATCATCATTTTCATTCATGGCCAAGCAGAAGTAGTGACGTGACGACCGTTCTTGTTGTCTCTCGGCAGGAGAGGTATGCCTGCAGAGCTCTGTCTCTCTCTCCTGTCATTATTGCATTCTGACTGAACAACAACAAAAACTGACCATCGTGCAGAGCTCTTCAACCAGCATGCCTCTTGACAGGATCAACGGTTATACCCCCGAGGAAACGGCAACCCTCTTGACCAAGGCCGGGGTCTCGCGGGAGAAGCTTTCTTTCGACAAGCTGGTCCTCAAATCCTTCCTGGGCGGCTGCTTCATCAGTCTCGGCGCGCATTGTGATCTTATTGTCGCGGCAGGGAGTCCAGGGCTCCGCGATAGTAATCCGAGTCTGGCGACCATGATCGCGGGCTTCACCTTTCCACTCGGGTTCGTGTTGATCATCCTCACCAATTCCGAACTGTTCACGTCGTCGCTGTTCTTCATGACCTACACGACGCTGCAGCGCAAGACGAGCATCCTGGGCTCGCTCAAGGTGTTGGTGACGGGCTACATCTTCAACTTCGCGGGCTGTCTCTTCATCGCGGGCTTCCTGTGCTGGTGGTCTGACACGCTGTCGACCGATCCCGAAAAGAGCTATGCGGCCCTGCAGGCGGAACAGCGCGTCAATCAGCAATGGTCGGTGAACTTCCTCCGGGGCATTGGCTGCAATTGGTTTGTCGGGCTGGCAGCATTTCTGGCCATGGCCTCCGGCGATCACGTCTCGAAGATCTACTCCATCTGGATTCCGGTGTGGTCGTTCGTCATCCTGGGCTACCAGCACTGCATCGCCAACTACTACCTGATCCCCATCGGCATGTTCTACGGGACCAATTTCGGCGTGGGCAAGTTCATCTATCAGAGCATCATTCCCGTCACCATTGGCAACATTATCGGGGGCTGCATCCTCAGCGGTTTCGTCTTCTGGTTCCTGTACGGTCGTGATGCGCCAGCGGACCAGAATGAGAATAAGGAATTGGACAAGAAAGATGCTCCTAATGGTGAACAGGACCGGTCTTCGCGGGCCATTCTGCCTGAACCGGTGCCATACAACTCGTGACGACGCCAACTTAGAAAAATGCGGGACAATTACAGAAAAGTGCGTTTGATGAAGTATTCGCTGCTGCTGTGTTCCTTGGCACAATCAGCATACAACGGAGTTGGTCGAACTATCGAAGGGGGAAAAAAGCGAACCATTCTCCTTCTTCTCATTATTTCTTCTTCTTCTATTTTGTCCTTTTTTTTTGTCTTTTATTTTGCTGCAGGCTACGCATGCATAGCGAGCGATTTTTTTTTCTAGCGAAATTTCTTTCCGGCCAAAAAAATTGCATCCTGCATCCTGCATCCTGCATTACTTCGATTCTGCGACAGCCCCGATTACGTTGCAGCCGTCAACCCTCAAGAAGGATCATTCCAGAAGGCTGTTTGATTGAATCTTGACATGGGTTGAGGTTCGCCTAATCGGGAGGTGTTTTGTTTCTTGTGTTATATGTTTGTTAATATTGCATATGGCCGTGCTAGCTAGATGTATGTACGTGGACATGTACATAAAGGTTAGGTCAGAGAAAAAAGTGAGTTGTTCAATGTAAGGAAGTTGTTGATCTACAACAAGCGAGTATATAGACAACACAGATAAGATAGACACATATTTATACATATGTAATGTATACTACCAGCTAAAATTCTATTAATCTCCGTAAATAACCCCAAGAGTTAAAAAAAAAACAAAACCAACTCATCAACTTATTTCGAATCTCCATCTCCATCTTCAACCAACTTCTTCCCATAAATCAACGCATCAACCAACTCATCACTATTCGCCAGCCGCGCGGCACCAGGCACCCTGCCCAGCACCGTAAAACCCAGCTTATCCCAGATACGGATCGAAGCAGGGTTGTTGGCGAAGACGAGGTTGAAGACAGAGTATTTGTAGCCCTGTAAAAAAAAAATAAATTCGTCAATATATATATATATAAAGTATAGGGTGTATGTATTTACCAATTTCGGCGCATACTCCAGGTACGTCTTGCCCATGACCATGCCAACGCCTTTTCCTCGAGCAGCGGTGCAGGTGAGGAAGCCTGCGTTGCAGACGTGTGAGCAGCGGCCTGCAAACATTATATATTAGCGATTCATTCCATATCATGCATATATATAATATGTAGTGTGGACTTACCCGGATAATTAGGCTTAATATAAAACGTCCCCAAACACTCCTCTTCCCAATTCCTCTCTTCGTCGCGACGAATCTCCTTCGCATCGCTGCTCCCCGTCAACGCAACAACCGCAAAGGTCCCGAACCAGTACTCTGCAAACCGCTCCAGTGACATGGGCTCCTCCATCGGATAGGTGCATCCGCGCTCGATCTCGGCGCTGAATTCCTTGTGCAGGAACTTGACCAGTCCCGGAGGGAGGCTTGCTGCGCCTTGTGTCACGGGGTGCAGCGTCACAGGGACTGGGGAAGAGCCATCCTTGGGCTGGAGGATGTCATGGCGGGGTTGGAGGGTAGGGGCTTTGTCGCGGTGGGTTTGGGGAGCGGGGATTGGGGGGTCGTGGATGTTTTCGAGAATGGAGCCGGGCATGGTAAATAACTATTACTGTATTTGACTGGGTTGGATTTTGTATACGAGATTGCTTGTTCTATACGATGATGTATGTAGTTTTATGTCTTTGAGTAAGTCTAGATAAAGATTGTATAGATGGAGCGGAATTGACGAATAGGAGAAACTGTGGCGCAGTGCGGGGAACAGAAAAGAAGGGTTTAGTCAGCCATGGAATATCAATGGTTAGTTAACTAGTTAGTTATTTACGGCTGCATTAGTCATTCAGATAGATAAGTATAATGGAAATAAAATCTTCTGTAGGTAAAAGATTAGATATTATTTCTACGAGAAATGAGTAACCAGAAGGGGAAATTGGATATATATCAGAAATATCTTGGTGAAAGCAGTTTTTGTCGGGCTTTTGTCGTATTCATATCTATCTACCACAGCATTATATATTAGATAATAGTTGTTAGTATGGTAGTAGGTATATATATACACCTGTCATCAAGATCAATCATATTATATATAATACAAGACGACGAACGGAATTAATCATATTATACTGGTGACATAAAGAGACAAATATCCATCCTCGATCAAGGATAAGTCGTGTCGTCGATGAGCACATCTCCAGCTGATATTACAGCAGCACAGCTATCTCATCTTCCAGACAATCCCCGCAAATACCGCACACCAGAATCCAACAACCACCACGACGCCAACTCGTGCATCCACCTGAGCGGCGCTCTCTCCAACGGCAGGACGACACTCTCATCATCAACCGCCTTCCACATGACCGTCTCGTTGGAGAAAACGTACTCGTCGCGGCCTTCTTCTTGGATGCTGATCACCAGTCTTCCTCCTGTCTTTTCATCTGCAGCTGCAGATGCAGACGCAGGTGTTGTAAAGGGCCGTATCTCAAACTCAACCTTGTTCCTCGTCCGCAGTTTCACCACATATACTCCACAAACAACATCCTCTGGCTGAAAATCCAGTCGCCGGATATACTCTGAAGAAAAACTCCTCCGGGACAAGGACCCAGCCGGAGCGATAAACCGCAGAAACCACGCTTGAGGGAAAAATTGCGAGAATTGGAGCATGTTATGCCGGAGGTAGAGCGTGAGGAGGTTGCCCAGCTCCTGCTGTTCTTCTTGTTCTTTTTCCGCCTCCGGCAGGATCTTCTTCTTCACAACCCTCCAAGACCGATCATAAACGGAAAAGAACAGCCCCGACGAAAAGACAGCTTCGGGAACGGTCTCGATGCGATCCGCGACCGAGTACGAGGCCAGCGGGCCGCTGCGCGAGGTGTGATGGGTACATCGGTGCAAAGTGTCGTGCAGCCAGTAGAGATAAAGTGATAGGGCGAGGGAGGAGCCTACTGCGAGGCTGGAGGCTAGGAGGAGGGAGCGGTGCATATTGCTTATCCCAGGATATGTACGGAGTATGGGGTAGGCAGGTCTTGTAGATAGATATCTAGGTGCGATGCGACACGCGATGCAATTAATCAATCAATCAATAATGTACTGTGCGGTATGTACAGTTCCTGTACCCAGAAATACTCGACTAGACTAGCCAGCCGCCTAGAGAAAAATTAGATTAGATTCATTTGTTTCAATCCTGCATTTTTTTTAAAAGAAAAAGGAAGAAGAAGAAGAAGCTCAAACAATCTGCAGATTCATGTTTCATCTAAAACCACCTACGGGGTAAGGCTGAGGTTTCAGGAAAAGGAGGAACCAATCATGGCATGTTGCCGTGCACTAATTACCAACGCCAATGGACATGGGTGCTACAGCCTACAGCCTGTAGTACAGTCCATACTTGAAACTGCCTGGCAGGTATTTAGGAAATAAAAATAAAAATAGCACAGTTGCGGCAATGGTGTGACTGGCTTGTATTTATTTATTTATTCTTATTTATATTGCTGCAAGCCCGTCCTGTCTTACTTAGGTCACAAGTCTACTGCTCTTATGGTCTTCTGACAATGCGAAATTCAACACTATGATTCTTTCTAACTATTTACACCTGATGACCTGGTACCTTGTTGTCCGTGTCCGGTAGCGATGATGAAAGAATAAATAAATTTAATTTAATTTAACAACGCCCGTCAAGACAGACCCAACCTTTTGAGACCGGTTCATTCCTTTCCTCCCTTCCTTACTCCACCAACCTTCCTTCTACAAGGGAAGACAAGACAAATCACCAATTCCCAAAATCTGAGCATGCCCCGACGAGAACTCAGGCGTTGCGAATATCCTTCGCATACACACAAAGATAGATAGAGAGGAGAGAAGAGGGAGAGGTAACAGCCGAACCGAACCGCACCGGACCTACCGGACGCCAAGTCCATATCATACATAAGAAAAAAAGGAAAAGAAAAAGAAAAAGAAAAGCCCTGTGATATAACAATTACTAAAAAAAGCAGACCTGTCGCAATTATGCATGCAAAAAAACGAAATAAAAAAAAGACAAGACAAGAAAGACTGCACCGGGGGAATCGAATCGAACCGAACAAGACAAATGAGATTACTCGAGCAGCTTGACATGACATCACAGATGAAGAGCGAACAAAAAAAAACAATAACAAAAGAGATAATACGAGATAATACAAGCTGGAAGAATCTGACGACGGAAGAGAGATCGAAGGTAATTTCCAGAGAGGAGAAAAAAAGATGATGGTGATGATGTGTGTGACGCTGGCTTCGAGGAGAACATGAGTAGAACGACCAAGGGAAAGATCATGGAGAGATCTAACGAAGATTCGCAAAATCGTCGACGAAACGGTGGATTACAAGCAGATACGCGGAGAACAAAACCCAGTCAAACGGAGAAGGGCCATGAAAAACAGACAGACATGTTCTGTTTCGTATGAAAGAAAAGTTTTTCTCGTCACAATCATCTCCATGGAGGCCGTTCATCAAGTTTCGAACTGCGATTCTGCTGCTTGGGCTGCGGAATCAAGCTGCTGCGCCGACTGGAGTGACCCAGAGCCGTCCCCGGTCGGGACTGCTTGTTTCCGCCAGTTCCCCCGTCTTGGTCGACTCGACTCGCTGGCGTGCCCGCATAGCTCTGCCGACTCCGAGGTGCCGTCGCCAGGCCCGTCGAAGATGGCTGCTTTCGAAGCTTGCTGTACGGCGGCGGGTCCAGTACTGAGCTTGTAGAAGACGGCGACCTCATACGATCCGGCGTCGGAGACACAGTCAGCCGGCTGCCAGGACGGCTGCTAGTACGGCTGGCGGTCCTCCCACCGGGCACCGGAGAGGTCGAAGTCGCACGACTCAACGGACTGGGCACCGGAAGAGATGAATTCGACGAGACGGAGCGGGATGCGCGAGCGGGAGGTGGCTCTTTTCGGTAGGGAGACGGAGTGGTGAGGGAAAGAGGTTTGAAGTTATGACCGACATCGAGATCGTTCGTGTTCGCACTGTTATTCCAACGCGGTTTGTTGGATGTCGGAGCTGGAGCCAGATTCCGGGAAACGCGCTTTCCTGGTGTCGGAGTCGTCGTCGCCACGCTGCTCTGGCTCGTCGTCGTCGTCGTCGGGGAGGGGATCGAAGACGACACCGAAGCACGAGGGATCGACGACTTTCGTACGCTCAAATTCGACGACGACGTTGGTTGCGGCAGTCCAGAGTATCGTCGGGCCTTCGTAGCCGTGGTCGATCGAGCGGTGCTACCGACAGAACTGCCCCGTCTGCTGGAGCTGCCAACGTTGGGCGTCGAGGAACCACGGATGGTCCCGTTGCCACCTATGATGACCGAGGATGCCGGCGAGCTGCCAGGAGTGCCAATGGCACTGCCGGTGGCAGGACTGTCCATCGTGATAATACTGGATATGGAATCGCGCAGTTGTTGGCTCTTGCTGATGGGCGTCTCCTCGAGCAACCCGTCCATCACCTTCATGCTCGCCTTGAGAGCGTCCACCCTCGATTTCATGTCCGAGAGCAACGTGAGGATCTCCCCGTTGACCGTCAGGCGATCGTTGACGCCTTTCTGGATGATCGACAAGACTCGGTCGATGGCCGGGATGTAGTGCATCTTCTTGGCCTCGTAGCTCTCGATCTTCTTCGTGATGGCCGTCGGGTTGTTGACGTGATCGCCCGCCTCGAGCGACTCCTGCAGCTTTCCGATGCTTCGTTCCACCGACTCGCACATCTTCTGCGCCTGCCGGCCCGCGTTTCGGAAGACCAGGATCCATCGGTCCTCGCCCAACTCTCGCCGGAGAGCTTCGGCGTCAGCCTCGAGTTTCTTGTAGCTCTTTTCCAGTCTCTGCCTCCGATCCTCCAATTCTTGACAGGCCGTTGGAAACACCTTCTCCGCTCGGGACTGAAACATCGAAAGCCTCATGGGAAGGAAATCCAAAGAAGCCCTCAGGGGCTGCATGCGCGCAAACAACTGCATCAGATTCGCGTCGTCATGAGGGTTATTCGTAGTTGCGGCGGCGGAGGTATCAAACGAGGAGCTCGTGTCAAGTAGACTGAATCGCTTTGTTGACGATGACGTTCCCTGAAACGGAGATTCCTCCACGATCGTCTCGAGCTCGTTGATGTCCAATCCGCTGCTGGGCTCGGCATCCTGCTCGGCGAGGGTCTTGTGTCTGTTTTCCTCCATTTCAAAGACCAGCCGGCTGAGATCGTCGATTTCCAGACCAACATCGCCCAGGACGACCGTCCACAGTTCCTCCCACTCCATTGCCAGCTCCACCTGTTCCTTGACCCCCTTGAGCTGCGCCCTTATCTCGGCCCAGTTCTTCAGGGTGCTTTCCATCTGGGACACAATCGTCTTCAGATCTTCGGCGGTGACGCTCCCAATATCCTCTCGCAACTGCACATTTTCAATCGCCTTGACGTAGACATTGACCAAACTCTCAAACTTGGTGACGGCTTTGTCCACTTCATCCAAGCCCTCCCTTCCACCTGCAGCGGCCCATTCCACATCGTCTTCCGCATCCATCCCGCTCAGCACTTCGGCAGCCTTGTTGATCCATTTCTGTATCTGTTCTGCGGCCCCATTGAGGGCCTTCACGGCGGCAGGGGCGGTCGGGATGGAGGTGATGCTCGACTCAAGTGACGACGGCTGCGGAAGGTTGATCGAGGTCAGCTGGGACAGTTGGTTGCTGAAGGACGCTCGGGAGAAAGAGTAGATCGACTCTGCACGGTGGAGACCTAGGGGGTTAAAGTACGATTGGACATTGGTCGCCAAGGGCGTCGACGGGGCAGGAGGCGTGTCTTTCGGAGGAGGGGGCGGGGGCTGATCCGAATCGGCCAGGGTGCTGCGTTTGAGATATTCCTCCAGGTCCGTCGAACCCTGCGTCGACTCGATGCCGTTGGACGTCGAGTTGGACTCTGCGGAGGCGCCCTGCGGCGCCATCACCGGTTCAACTGCGGCCATGGCCGGCGCAGCACCCCCGTGGGATACGCTGGCGTCGGTGGAATTGTCAGGGGCGGGAGAGGTGTTCACAGCAAACTCTTGTGTTCTAGACGTAGGCGTAAAGACGGCAGGATCGAGATGCGACGAAGATTCGACTGTGACGGTCGAATCGGCCGTAGGAGACGCAATCGACGGAACAGCTTCCTCCTTGTCCTTCGTAGTCTGCGAGTTCAGTAAACTGGGGGCACTTCTCTCCCGCTTGATCAGAGGTCGGGATCCCGCCCAAGCTCGGCCCCGTTTCTCGACCTTGATCGATAGATCCTGGTGGAGATTGTCCAACTCCCGAATCTGATCCGCCGGGATCCTCCCTACCGGACTCCGGTTGCGAGACTGCTGGGCTGACGAATTCCTGGCAGACCCGTCGAGCAGTTTGACCCGCGCGGCCAGACCGGGGGACAGACGGCGAAAAATCGACGTGCGAGGGGGATCGTCGGTGGGCTGATCCTTGCTGCTGCTATTATTGTTGCTGCCGTCACCCTTGGGCTTGAAGCGTCGGGACAGGGAGTTGGGGTTGAGCGTCGAGGAGGGAGAGGACGGCTGCTTGGGATCGGCGGTGGAGGAGGAGGAGGAGGACGAGGACGAGGAGGGCTGGGCCAGCTGCGGTGCGGACAACTTTTTGGTCAACGACTTCAAGGAAGAAGAGCCAGCTGCGGAGGCAGGGGTGGCAGAGTCGGCAGACGCTGTTGCTGTCGTTGTTGTTGTCGTCGTCGTCGCAGGGGAGCCAGAGCCGGGGAATATCGCGGGCATGGATACGATCTCCGTGCGGCTATCGCCCGAACCCCGAGTCCCGTCTGCGGCTAGCGATGCGTGCAAGTGGAAGCGGTGGATGGCGGTGATCGTGGAGGTCGGCTGGTGAACTGGCGGCGTAGCGAGGACGCGATCGCCAGCTGGAATGTTGGCGCAAAGGCGAGGGCCTGCAGGCCGCCTGTCAGCACGCTCACTCGGCCCCAAGACCCGATACGACTGGACTCTGTCAACAACGGTCTCGAGGACACGCTGTCGGATGGCGAGCGAGCGACTGAACGGATCTACATGGCTGTGGAACACACTGCGGCGGCTCGTCAGGAGGAAGGGGAGCGAGGGCAGAGGGAGAGCAATTCCGCGTCGGGGGGCGGTCTGGGCATCCCAGTGCTCGCCGGAGCCCATAATAATTTTTGTGCAGACTATTGAACCGGAGTACTAATTAAAGCACCTCGACGAACTCGTCGTCCGATCGCGCTGGAAATCATCCTGTTTCTATACTGCTGCCCTGTCCCCAGGTCCTGAAACACAGTGCCTCGTCTCTGACGGATTGCCTGGCTGCCAGCACATGCATTCATTCCCAATAATGGCCCCAGGTCGCTCTGTGTGCTGCGTATCGCCTCACAGTGAAGATGTGGGTCTATATACTGTACGGAATCGCTGTACATACATGCGTGTGGAGATAGATACAGTTCCAATCAACACCGTCCACGGTACAGGATCGGCTGGAAACACTCCAGTTGGACCAGAAGCCACTATCCCATGATGCCTCGACACAACGCCTGAAACACCCGGCCTGCAAAAGGCCATTGACTGAGATAGAATAAAAATCACAAGTAAAAAAAAAGGGGGGGTAAATAAAACGGGTATCTGATGAGAAATGAAGCAGACAGGAAATAAGCTACGTGGTGCCAATCATATCCAATCATGGGCAGAGTATAATTTCAGGGGCCATTCTCCTCTTCAGACGTCATCGCCTGCTAACCCATCTGCCTCGGGAGGGACTGACGTCGACGCTTTGGGGTCGTCGCTCCAGTCTCGTGTAATTTCCTCCCGGACCCCTTTGCACCAGGCAAGGAGGGCAGCGTCAAACTGCTTCCACGCATCGTCACTGCTGCCGTAGACTACGCCCATGACGTCCATCTCGAGTTTGATCTCCCAGCGCAGTTCGGCTGCTTTCTTCCAATACCGGAGGTTTTCTGCCCGGCGGTAGGGCTTAGCAACGTCCTCGTGGAAGCTCTTGATCTCGCAGAAAAACCGTCGAGACTTCCGGAGCGCCTGATTGTGCATGCGGACGAGATCTCGACCGTCCCGGAGTCGCTCCAGCATCGGTGTCGGCAGAGGACCCTCGTCCGGAGACGTCCACCGCGGCAGCGGGGGCCCCACGCCCTTCATCAAGGTCTGGAGGAACAGCTCTTCGCGCTCACGCTCTCGGCCGGTCCAGTCGCCCTTCATCCATGTCCAATTGGCTCGTTCCTGGGCCTCCAGGTCCTCCAGGCGGCGCTCCTCATCCAGAATCATCAAGACCCCTGACATCCAGTCCAGGATCGCCGCTCGTTCGTCGTTCCTCAGCCCACCCGCAAAGTTCCGCGAGGCCCATCCTTTCAACACGTCCAGGACCTCGAAGAGCTCCTCTCGGATCTTCTTCTCACTCTTGATGGAGGCCAGACGGTCGGGTCGCTCGTGGGAGGTGTAATATATCCGAGCTGCTCGAATAGCCAGCGTGACCACATCCAGGATTTTCATTCCTTCAATTTCATGCCAGCCCATGGGTTTTGTCGACGCGGGGCTCTCCGAGGAACCTTGGCCGGGCTCCGACGCGGTTGTCCTCTCAGCCTGAGGTGAAAGAGTCGTTTGCGAAGACTTCGAATTTCGACGCGCTTGGGAATTGTTCTCTGATGCTTGGACACACAGTGAGGCCTTGTCCAACGCCTCTACCAGGTCCTTCCGGAGGGCCTGCAAATCTGGCGGAGGGGGAACGTTGTGTGGCTTGACGCTGTAAGTGCTCACCGTCGGAGGGAGCATGACTTCATCGTCATCGTCATCGAAAGCAACCCCATCCTCGGGTTCGGCATATTCCTCGGTCGGACTCTCGACCAAATTCTCTCCAAACTGAGCGTCCTGCGGGGTGAGCAGGAGCTTCGGGACCTCCTTCTTCCCAAGTTTCTTCCCAGGACGCGCCATCTGAGCCCCCTTACCATCCAACAAGCCCGTCCTTGCAAAATAGTATTGCAGGTGGGCGATGCTGCCCAGACACATCACACTCTCCCTGTTTTTGGCTGATTCCGCGAATTCCACGCCCTGAGGACGGATATAGCCCCGTCTCCGCGAAGAGGCAGAGACGGAGGAGCGGGCATCTCCCGAGTTGGCGGAGAAGTTGGACACGGATGACACTGTCGAGAAGGTGCGGTCCGGCGAGGGACATGACGAGATGGCCGGGGTGGGGCAGATGGAAGGAGAGGGCGACGGCGAGCGAAGAATGGGAGAAGCCCTTGACTCTGTCTCGACGTGGTCATCCATGGCGTAACGAAAGCTATCTGTCTGACGAGGAAGTAGAACGAAAATCGGTGGGGAGAGACTCGACTCGAAATGGAGTGGACAAGCGAGCGGATATTCGGCTGTCAGGGACTATCGGGTTGCAGAATCAAAGAATGCTCTGGAATAGCTGCGATGATGCCGGGATCATTCAATCCCACACGTCGACATCGGGATGCCAGGCCGGACGAAGAGCAGTCAGCGGCAGGGAGTGAGTGTCGAGCGGTGTCGATTGTGTCGTGTCGTCAAAGGGGGGATTAGCACGTAGAACCTCGGGGTTCCGGGTCGCGTTGTAGTAGACTTGGGGCTAAATAAAGAAATAGAATTATTGGGTCGACGCGGCGACGGGATACCATTCAGCCAACCGAGTTCACGAAGAACGAGGCTGGCAGGCCAATAATAACAGCTATAGCGAAGGGCTGGAGGATGCGGTTGCGGGGAGGCAATTTAATTATTCAGGCTGCCTTCTAGAGCTGCCGGAGTGCGATCTGGCTAGCAGCCGAGAAGCACAACCCACGACGCTATCGACCTGATATGACTGTCCTGGTATATAGACCACTCCGAAACGACTCTCCTGGAATCCGCATCACCCAGGCTGGCCCAGCAACGTGCAGGCAGCACCCACAGCGAGCAGAGTCGCTATTCTGGCCCAGTTGCGGATGCCCCTTCTGCCCCTGGCCGATCCGCCCCCATTCGCCAACCAGAGCCGTGACCCGTGACTCGCCTCCACTCCGCATGTGGAAACCTTTGCCTGCGTGTTCCAGAGCTTCCATTCCACCTTCCATGCGGGCGTGCCATGGGTCATTCCACTGCTGACGTTGTTAAGTTGATTATTGCTGACACTGCTGACTGTGCAAAAGAGCTCTTTTTGTCTTCTAACACAGGATGTGGAGACTATCCGCCAAAAACGAAGTCTGCATGATACACATACAGTACACCCACTGGCCAGACTAGACGAAGAGCATGAGGCAATTGTACAGTCCAACCTCTGCCAGACTAGCAAGTCAGATCATGTTGCAGACCGAGTCATGAAATCAACAGAGAGGCGAGTCGTTACATAGAAATATTAGCTGTACATACGACATGTACTGTACAGGTACGATCCCGTCTCTACGAAACAAGAACAAGGAAATAGCACCAAACGATTGACATCAATCAACGCCATGTTGTGCTCGCTTGCAAAGGAAGAATCCAGCAGTCGTCAGAAGGTATATATATACAACTGTCAGCAGAACAGGAACGGGGATTTACAACAACAGCAACGAAAGAGAGAAACAAGACAATAATGAGACAGAGATAAAAGGAGTGGTGCAATCAATTTATATCACTTCATCACGCTCCCATCCAGTCGGCTTCACCAGGTCCGTTCCCTTGCTAGGACGCGGCTTGTTGGTGTCCCGGAACTTGGCCACGTACGGGTTGGGGTCTGTCTTGTGGTTCAGGTTGCTCAAGGTGTGGTTGACTTCGCGGTGCTTGGCCTCGTCTGCGCGCACGTACAGCAGCAGGTCACGCATCTTGCGGTGTCCCTCGGGCATCTTCCAGTACTTGACGGCAATGTCCGGGGCGTCCATGTCCTTCCACTTGGGCAGCTTGCCGGCCTCGAGCTCTTCAATTGCCCGCGTGTAGGTGAGCACGGCTTCTTCCTCGAGGTAGCCGACGAACCGGTGGCAGATGCGCGGAGACAAGAGGTAGGAGATGAAGAAGCCGTTGAAGAAGACACCCTGGGCGCCCAGGACCATCAGACGCATGAAGATGCCCGGCTCGGCCATTTCATGAAGGTCAGAAGGTGCATGCGTTCATTGTAGGCTTCTTCCAGAAGGGTCTCGATCCTAATTTTTTGTCAGTGGACGTTGATCAGATCAGATCGATAAGAAATGGTTGAACTTACCATCCATTGTCCCTCTTCATTCTTCTCAGACTGTGCAGATGCCGGAGCATTCCTCCCACCATACCCGGGACACCAGCGACACTCTCCAGGAAGACGAACCGGGTCAACCATTTGCATTCATTCATCTCGAACTTCTTGGGCAAGGGCTTGCCCTCTGGAGGGTGACGGTATCCGGTTGCCGTGTCCATACCCCAGCGGAGGAGTCGAACCATCCCCAGCGCGATCCAGTCGGCCCAGTTCTGCGCCTTGCGATGAGCGTACTTGATCTCACGCATCTCTTTGTCGGTGTAACTGATGAACGTCAGCATCAGTCGAACGATTGATCATCGTCTCAGGGTGTACTTACACAGGATGCGGCCAGCCGGATTCCACGTCCACAATCTGCTTTGTCTCTACCTTGGGGAAGAATTCCTTGAGGGCCGCACGAGGCGTAGAGGAAAACATGCGCTTGCCATTGTTGCTGTTCTTCTGTGCAATGTCATTGCAGGCGACGAAGCTGGCACGCAGACCGGCCGTTCTCAAGGCTCCGGGGACGACGGGAACACGCGCAGCGGCCTTTGGGAGGGCCGAGGCGGCCCTAATGGGCACCGTAGCGGTGGTCGAGTACATGAGAGTTCAAGGTATGTCAAGGTCAATCAAGATGTCTGGGAACAGTCGATGTGTGAACGATGTGTGAATGAATAACGGTATGTGAATGAGTTAAGTTGTGATGCAGAACGAACTTGATCTGATCAAGGATGGAGGTATCGTCGACGCTATTTATTTTTAACCCCCCTGAGTCATAAATATAAATAGAAAGCCAGTTATCAAAGAAGATTATATTCGAGTACTAATAGTCCTGCCCTAGGAGAGAGGTAAGGGAAAGTCTTATAAATACACTTGACCTGACCTGAGCCACCACTACGGAGTATACACCGCCACGTAAAAAAAATAAAATAAAGGAAACAGCAACAAACCAGACACAACTAATCAATCAATCAATCAATTCCTATCTCGAATAGGTTTTCTTTTTCTTCCCCCCTTTTCCAAAAAATTATCGTTCTCTCAATACCTTCGGGGTTATGTCGGGGAAAGTTGGAGCACCTTATACACTTACCTAGTTCGGTAGGCCCAGATTGGCCATGTGAAAATCGCCAAGGGATGGGAATATGGATCATTGACTAAGAAGTGCCCCACTGCCTTGCCTTGCCTTTCCCGACCGAATGTCAGTTCAGTCAGTCAGTCGGGTCCGGGTCCGGGTCGGTGTCTGTCAACCGTCATCGTCATCATCATCCAGAACTATGTCGTTGTTTCGTCCAAAAGGAGTTGGTTCGTTCGTTTGAACTCGGCCCGATTACGGTAAGTTTCGTTCAATTAGTTAGTTACATGTCTCTCTCTCTCCTCTACCAGAAAGCCGGGACTACGGAGTATTGAACAAGAAAGTCAAGTCAAGAAGAAGACAACCGTGATTATTATTTACCCCGTAACAACAATAATAATAATAATAATAGCATACTGGAACAATCTCGTAGATCATCCATCATCCCTTCCTAGCCTGCAGTATGAAATGAAAATCCCGAATGTGGCCCGGCCCGGCGAGGCGGCGGCGCCACCCCCGGTGTAACGAAGTTACAGTATCTTTACCGTCCTGTTCCATATACTTCTCTTGTCCGCTGGGCTGGCACATGACATGTCGGGAGATTGCGGGATCAAACGAGATCTATCTATGACTCAGCATGTTTCCTTTCCTTTCCTTTCCTTTTCCCTTGTTCGCTTGATTGAACTCGTGATCTCAAAGACAATGGGAAGACGAGAATATCTCGGACTTCTTTTCATCATCATCATCGGGGAAAAATTACTGGTCACCTGACAGAAAAGAAAACCTCATGTGGTGTGGCGATCGGTGAGAAATCTTAACCTTACTTCTACCACATGCACATGGACTGTACGTACGGACATACCTAGAACACGCGCGTAGAACATGCGCATATGCCCCTCGAATGCACTCGAAGAAAAAGTAGGTAGTTCCTCCTAGCAGTAACAGAAGCTGCTTTTTTTGTCTTTGCCGTGATTGGTCCATTGCACATTCCAGATCTGGTATCCGCACATCTCATCCATTCGCGGAGTGGGATGACATCACATGTTACGCCTCACACTGCCTACCTTACCTAAGGTACTCTATCTACCTATCTATCTAGGTATCTACCTACTTGATGCAGCTACCTAGGTAGGCCATCGGATCGGATCTGGGATTGCTATTAGTAGTAAGTAGTAGATGTGAGGAATAATGGATGCTGGAGAACAGGCTCCACATAGGAGCGAGGCAAGGGAATACCCCGTATGCATAATCTTAAGAAAGTCTACAGTACATGCATGCATAATCATGAAGATGCATGTGTAGAGGAACTTCCGAGGTAGGTATCATGGCATTATTAGGTAACCAGTCTGATCCAGAACTATCAATTCACATTATCATTGCTAATCATCATTATTGAATAAACCTGGCTAGAACTGGAACCCGTAGAACAGTAATGCATCAACCAGAGACGAAAGGTTGTTTGTTCATCTTAGAATCACAAAGTTGCTCTCGCCTTCCTGGGTATCGATCTCCTTCTTCTCCAGCTTCACCACATGCGCCAGGCGGGGACCCTGGTTCACATCCTGGAGAAGCTTCTGGACGGATTCTTCTTCGCCTTGGGCTTCGCCTTCTACCTATATTATTGCATGAGAAGGATCAGCAATGAACCATTGAAACTATGTTTTCTTTCTTTTCTTTCTTTTTTTTTTGTCAAACACGAATTTAGGAAAGATCATCACATACACTTACCTTTCCGTCAGGGGTATTCTTCACCCAGCCAGTCACGCCGTAGCCGTTGGCCTTTCGTTGGGTAAAGTCCCTGCGAACAACATAGAAGAGACCCGGTTTAGCAAGTGGTCCTGCAGCTGGACAAACGGAACGCCCAAAAAAGCCCCAATTGTCATGTGAAAGTCAAACAGAGGACTCCCTATCTCGAGCCATACCGAAAGCTGACACCTGGTACACAGAAGAACGGTTAGTTAGTTTTCCCTGCATGTACTGTACTGTACAGATTATTCGGCGCGGAACAAACGTACCTTGAACTGTGCCGTGAACTCGAAACGCAACCTGATCGATTCCGTTAGCCCATCGTCATTATTATTACATAGCAAGTCTCCATTAGGAATGGACGGGACGTTGTATGCAGGGATTTAGGTATTATCCATAGCCAGACAGACGTACACGTTTGATCGCCATGGCGGGCTGATAACAGAAAGCCGTGCTTGGGATCGGCTACTTGTCTTCCTAGAATCCAGCTCGGGTGGATGCACTCTGTAGATGGAACGTCTTGCAATGTGTTGAGCAGGTGGTGGTGTTCAATCTGATATCATCATAGCGCGTATAGTGGAGTCCTCCCACTTGACTGCCGATTGTCGACCTGAGTGGGGCAGATGCCCAGGTCATGTGACACATGGAAAGGTGACTCTCTCTTGGATCTCAAGAACTTCCAACTTAGTTGATAGTATGGATGTACATGGCGTTAGAATTTTGCGTGCTTAAGGTTGATTATTCAAATGTTTTTCCTCTTGCATTGTCAAAGTCTCATCATGTTGGTATCACATATTATCATTCTACTAAATTACGTCCATTGAGGACATTCTCTCAGTGATATATCCGTTTCAATATATAGTGCGGGATCGAAACGCTGGATCATTTCAACGGTCTCTGCGCTGTCGCAAACGAGCTGCTCGCGGTCAGAAAACAGACTGTAATCTCGACCATGGATAGGGGCCGATAACGGCCATCTTACCAGTGCGTATACACGTGCATCTTGTTGCTTTTGATCTCGTCGCGGACATGCGCCAAAAGCACCTCCACCTCTAATCGTGACCAGCCGCCAAAGCGGGTGAAGAGGGCCAGGGAATAGCTGTCCACGGCGCCGTCCAAGAACTGCGCACGGAAATAGCGGCCAATCTCCTTGAGTCTCTTGTCCTTGGGCCATGTGCCGATGGGACACACTTCTTCCATGATCTCGACCTTCTCAAACGCGGCGTTGCGGAGGAGGCCCTCGAAGTTGGGGAACATGTCGAAAATCATGCCGTGTGAATGCGAGATCTTGTTGAATTCAGCCTGGTAGCAGAGATAAATCAGGTCGGTCAAATTCAAGTTCACAGGAAGACTGCTGCTCTTACAATCCACTTGAATGTGAAGCTGTCCTGGGGATAAGTGCCATCATCGCATTCCATATGCGTGCGGCATTCCGAAAGTTCAATCTTGCCTCCGGGTCGGAGGTGCCTGCAAAAGGAGTTGGTCAGAATGAGCAGTTTGGAAATTTCGATATTGACGTAAAATAGCGACTCACCTGTAGCATTGCTCGAGAAAACTGGGCCAGTCTCGAATGCTTCCTGCCAACCCACGGACGTAGATGAAATCGAAGGACTCTTTTGGAAATTCCCACTCTTGCGTGGCGTCGTCTATGATGAAGCGAACATTAGGTGGTACCCTACGAGTCACTTAGAATTACCTCACCACCGGGCAAGAAATTTACTACGAACCAGCCAGGCTGAATCGGAGACAGATCCGTTCCAATCACTTCCGCTGACGGAAATTCATCACCAACTGCACACCTGTTAACGATCTACCAAGCGTATCATGCGTGAGCTGCTGCTCTCTTACTCTCCATCGCCCAGATTCCGGTACCAGTGCCGACATCGAGGATCTTCTGGGGATTCGTCAACTGCGTCCTGCACAAGTTCCCATTGAGGCAGAGTCGAAAGACATGGTGCAGGAGATTCAGCCGGTCTTGCTCCGCCTGGTCATTGGGGAGGACCTGCGGCATCATCAGTTTCGAGTCCAAATTGATTGCTGCTGGTCGAATGCTTGGTCTTACGTAGGATCCTGAGCGATATGCATGGTAGGTCCGGCCGTTTTCGTACTTGTAATTGTAGATGGACGACGATAGGGAGGTGAGATCACTGTCGATGCTTTCAAGGTCAAACTCGTCGCTGTCGGGCTGGCAAACACGACGAAATCAACATGCTATTCTGTAGACGAGTCCACTGCACAGATGCACACACATCGGCCTCAATCAGCTCGTTTGGAGTCACTTGGTCAGCCATCTTGTCAGGATTTACATTGCCGGATGCTGCAGCTTCAAAGTTCACAGATTTCCAAGGTTGTGAAGGCTCTGCAAATGTCTAGTGCTCCGTTCTGTTATATTGTACACTCTATCATTGTCCCTTCTTACGCCAATCCCAGTCATCAGCTTCTAGAGCACGTTCTACAAGAGCTAGACCGTGACAAACCCCACACATGCATGAACCGCTTGCTTGCGACATGCACCTCAACTCCGTAGATAGATCTGACCGCAATGACAGTGCTCATCCTTCCACGATGCAACAGAACCCCTCCGATGACAGCTACAGCTAGATCTACCAATAACAGCAGCATGATGCAGTAGCAACAGTATACCGTGGCGATGTCTCTCTTCACGCGCACGAGCCTCCGCCCACGTTGTGCAGCTCCGTTGGCTCGCGGAACCGGGAACGTGCAGCCCACGAGCCACGCTGCTGCTGGCAGCCAACGATCGTCCTTGCAAGCTGGGCCAGGGGGCGGAAGTCCCGAAGGCTGAAGGCTTAGCGCATGAGCTAAAAAGTGACCTGCCTGGCCAGGCTGTAGTAGATTGTATCTAGTATACGGAGTAGATACCTGCAGAAGAACTTCTGGAAAGTGAAAGTTGTCAAGTTTGCAGCTGCAAAATTACGATACGCGATATGACTGGTTGGATGGAGTGCAAGTATTGCAATTTCGTTTTATTTCAGATAGATAGGCTGAAATTGCAGTTCTTTTGAAACTCTCCCATGCCTACACGTACGCATTACATGTATTCCCTGCTGTTGAGATCTGAGCTCAGGTCGTTAACTAACTATTATTACTATTACTATAGTGCTGACTGTGGATTATTACTGCACCATGAGTACTCGACATTATTCGCCCCCATGTCTGCAGCCTCAGCTGCCTCTCTGTCATTGTTATGCTTCTGACCGTTGTTACATGTACACACCCTGACCGGGATGCTCGTTGGGGGAAGCGAAACAAAAAAAGAAATTAATAGCTTTCGACTCATCATGTCCTCACCGTTGGTCAATGTGTCCTTGGCTGCTCTAGCCGCATGGGCTTTGTATCTCCTGTCCGGCGCCATTTACCGCCTCTACTTCCACCCTCTGGCCAAGTTCCCCGGGCCCCGACTCGCGGCCCTGACCGGGTGGTACGAGTTCTACCACGACGTTGTTCGCCGGGGTTTGTTTATCTGGAAGATCCAGGAGCTGCATGACGGATACGGTAGTTATTAAACCTCGTCAGGTTTTCCGTGACTGTAGATGTAAGCTCACGGCGTGTAAAACAGGCCCAATTGTTCGAATCAACCCTGATGAGCTTCATATCCGCGATTCGGACTTTTACGAGGAGCTCTACGCCCCCGCGTCCAAGAAGCGCGACAAATATGCCAACTGGACGGCTCTTGCTGGAGCGCCCACGTCGAGCTTCGCCACCGTCTCTCACAGCCTGCACCGTTTGCGACGGTCCGCCTTGAATCCGTATTTCTCCAAGCGAGCAATCACCAACACGGAGCCGTTGATCTGGGACAAGATCGAGCGTCTGTGCCAACGACTTGCCCAAGCTGCGAAGACGAAGGAGGTTATCCGCTTGGATGCCGCCTATATGGCCCTCACGATGGACATCATCACCCACTACGCCTATGGTGAAAGCTACAACTACCTCGCCGAGGACGACTTCAAGCTCGAGTGGAAGGAAACCGTGGTTGGCGGCTCTGCCAACGGTGTGTTCCTGCGCCAGTTCCCTTGGGCGCTCCCCATCCTGAAGTCGACCCCTCTGCCGGTGTTGAGGCTCTTGAACCCCAAAGCGGCTGCATTGGTATCGTGGCAGCGCATGATTCGGAAGCAGGTGGAAACAACCTTGGAGAACAACCGCCAGGGCAAGAAGGCCACCGGGACCATCTTCCAAGCCGTCCTCGACAGTGATCTTCCCGACGAGGAGAAGACAGCCGATCGGCTGCAAGACGAGGGCCAGACCTTGGTAGGCGCCGGAAGCGAAACGACCGCAAAGACGCTCAGCATCATTACCTTCTACCTGCTGCAGGACAAAACGAAACTGCAGAAGCTTCGCGACGAGCTTTTCGGTGTGCCGCTGAAACCGACTGGCGAAAGCTTGCTATCTCGTCTTGAGAAACTGCCGTATCTGGTAAATCCAGCCAACAGATTCTTCTGTCTTGGAACTGCGAGCTGACACAGGTCCCAGACAGCAGTGGTCAGCGAGGGTCTCCGACATATGCACGGGGTGACAACCCGGCTGCCACGCGTGGCCCATGAGCCGCTCAAATACAAGGAGTGGATAATCCCTCCGAATGTAGGTGATGATCTGAACCTGCGGAAAGTTTTCTCTCTCGTATGATTCTTAACTCAGTCGCATAGATACCAGTGAGCGAGTCAAACTACTTCGTCCACATGGACCCAGTCATCTTTCCCGATCCTCAAGCGTTCAAACCGGAGAGATGGATCGAAGCACAGGAGAAGGGCGTCCGTCTCGACCGGTATCTGGTGGCCTTTTCGAAAGGAAGCCGGCAATGTGTGGGAATCAAGTACGTCAGAGCTTTCTCTCTCAGAGATTCTTATGCTAACCCTAACTCCTTCCAAGTCTGGCATACGCCGAGTTGTACTTGACGCTGGCGACGGTGCTACGGCGATTTGAGCTGGAGAACTTCGTGACAACGGTGGACGATGTCCGTATTGCTCGCGACTTTTTCGTCGGTGTTCCCAAGCTGGACTCGAAGGGGATCAGAGCGGTGGTGACAGGCACTGTGGAGGCATGACGCGCTTTGATGATGTGATGGAGTATTACGGCTGATGTACAGACGACTCCAACGGCAGTTATGGTGGATATTGGATAAAGATGTAATAGTTGGCAGTTTGGCATCGCAATGGACGTTCTGCAGTACAATCGTAGTGGGGATCCGGGGTTGGCCAATGAGCGGCCGCGGCCCCTGGCTTACGTGCCATCCGAACAACTTCAAGCCGATCGATTAATATTTACTGTATTCAACGCCTGCTCCTCTCCTACTCCCGCTCGCGATGCCGCCTGTACGATGAGTCTCCTCTATTGGCTTCGGAGGCTCTACTCCCTCGACACCCTCGACACTCGCTTCACCGTCCCCGCGAACACGCCCCTCAAGGCCGCGGCTGACACGCGATCGTCTCCGTCCGCCTCGGCGGATCCCTCTGCCAAAGATGCCAGGTCGTCCGAGATTGCCAACGGCGCCTCGCCGTCGAGGTGGAAGACGCCAGAGTACTTTGTATATTATCTGGTCTTCGTGACGCTCGTGCCGTTGATGTTCAAAACCGTCATTGGTGTTTCGCAGGGTTGGTATCTATTGAAACTTCGTTATTCTTCCATGGCAGACATCACTGACAATTCGCAGAGAGTCACCCTACTTATCCCACCTACTCGCATCTACTGTCTCCTGGGTGGATTCCCGGCCGCAAAGTTGTGAGTGTCTTGCTACCTGCGTGTCTGTTCGTTCCGGAAGAGGAGGGTGAGTCGCTAACCGCATTCCTGTAGGACAACTCGGACGCCCAGTATTCGAGTTTCCGCGACAACATCCCGTATCTCTTTGCGCTGCTGGTTTTCCACCCTCTCCTCCGTCGCGTCCACGATTATTTCCTGCCCGTGCAGGCCCAGTCTGAGGGGCCCAAGGCGTCGACAACTGCCGCCGCCGCCGATGCGCGACTGAAGCAGAGGACCTATTTTGACTACTATTTCGCTCTCGTCTTCATCGTCGCTCTTCACGGCATCTCTGCAGCAAAGATACTGCTGATTCTGTATTTGAATTACAAAATCGCCAAGGACCTGCCTCGTTCCTATATTCCCGCTGCTACGTGGATATTCAACCTCGGTGTTCTCTTTGCGAACGAGTTATGCGATGGCTACCCATTGGCGAGCATCGCAAAGCTCCTCACCTCCGTCGACACATGGTCTCCGGGCCAGGAACCTCGGCTTGTTGCGTGGGCCCAATGGCTGGACGGTCTCGGCGGGTTGATGCCCCGGTGGCAGATCCTGTTCAAGGTCACCATTCTCCGCATGATCAGCTTCAATATGGACTACTACTGGAGTCTGGACTATCGGTCCAGCAGTCCAATCGAGGTAAGCCGGACAGAAACTGCCCTCCCGCATGATGAATTGCAGACCTGACCCCCCTAAGAAGAAGCAACTAGATCCCGCCTCGTTGTCGGAACGTGATCGCGTAGCGATTCCGGCGGATCAGGCGTCCTTCAACCCCCTATACTACGTAGCATACGTGCTGTACTCACCCCTCTACCTGACGGGGCCGATCCTCACGTTCAACGATTACATCTCCCAGCAAAGATACCCGTCACCCGCCGTGACGCCAATCCGCACCCTTCTCTACGGCATCCGGTTCTGCCTGACGCTGCTCTGCATGGAAGTTGTCCTCCACTACATCTACGCCGTGGCCATCTCCAAGGCAACCACCGACTGGTCCCAATATACGCCGGGCCAGCTAAGCATGCTGGGCTATTTCAACCTGCACATCATCTGGCTGAAGCTGCTGATCCCGTGGCGCTTCTTCCGGCTATGGGCGCTCCTGGACGGGATGGACCCTCCAGAGAACATGGTGCGGTGCATGTCCAACAACTACTCCGCCTTCGCCTTCTGGCGAGCCTGGCACCGCTCCTTCAACCGCTGGATCGTGCGATATCTGTACGTTCCACTCGGCGGCGGCGGACGACACTCATCATCATCATCCGGCAAGAAATCCTCGCCTATCCTCTCCCAAGCCCGCCGGATCTTCAACGCCCTCACCGTCTTCACCTTCGTCGCCGTCTGGCACGACATCAACCTCCGGTTGCTGATGTGGGGGTGGCTGATCACGCTGTTCGTCCTGCCCGAAGTCATCGCCAGCCTGCTCTTCCCGCCGCACCGCTGGCGCGACCGCCCCAACACGTACCGCGTGCTCTGCGGCATCGGCGCCGTGGGGAACATCCTCATGATGATGATCGCCAACCTGGTGGGGTTCGCCCTGGGGCTGGACGGTCTGAAGGGCCTGCTCGCCGGCATCGTGGGCTCGTGGTCCGGCGTGGCTTTCCTCCTCAGTTCCTGCGCGGCCTTGTTTGTTGGTGTTCAGGTCATGTTTGAGGTTAGGGAGTCGGAGCGGAGGGCGGGTATTGTGTTGAAGTATTAGGCAGCCCTGTACTTTGTGCCTGTGGGAGGGAACCTACTCCGGAGCATTGTTTATACCTGCATGCGTGTAATGGTAGTAGCTCTTAAGCAACATTTTTTGGTCCATTCATTTCTTCATAATTTATTCATTAGCGTCCATCTGGTATGGTTGCGTCACATGTAGTAATCACATACAAAGACCAAAAACAATGCTTATGGGGTATCTATACAGCAGAAATACAAAAACAGTTAACTGCCAGCTGGCTCTGACAGTGCCGAAACGGAACAGAAATATCAAATCAGTTTCGAGCGAGCCAGCAGCGAAGCACCTTGAAATCATATTAAAAGAACGCCCCACACCGCGAATCTTCATGAATCTTGTAACAGTCGAGTCCGCACGTCCGAACCCCACAGTTCCGACACCGGATCTTGCCCCAGTACCCGCAGATAGTGCAGAAATATCGCGGCGGTTTCCCTGACGTCGAAGGACCGGCGCGCGCCGCGTTGTATGTCAGCGGCGGTTCGGCCAGCAGCATCTGCATGATGCGTTCCGAGGGGGCGGAGGGGATGTACGACCGCAGGAGGGGGTCGTTGTCGTATTCAGTCTTGATTAGGCCTTTGGGGTATTGCTCCTCCGGATCTTCTGGCTGTTGGTCTTGGTCCTGGTCTTGGGCTTGGACATGCTCCTGTTTCGGCTCCTGCTCCTGTTGCTGTTCCTTTTCCTTCTCCTTTCCCTTTCCCTTTCCAGCTGGAGCCTCCGGTGCTGTCGGCGCAGTAGATGGTGGTGGCAAGGACTTCCGCTGCTGTTTGCGAGACTGCTCAGGCTTCGAAACAGCAGGCGTTGTGCTTCGCGACGGTATCTTGGTCATCCTCGGGGGGCCCGGACGCTGAGAAGCCGCCGTTCCGGCATTCTGCGCCTGCGCCAGGGCGGCTTCCTCGTCGTCTAGGTAGTTTCGGAACGTCTTTTGCGACTGCAGGATGCGACGGACGTTGGGCGTGGTTTTGGCTCGGGAAACTGGGATAGCGAGAGTCAGTCGTCGACGATCAGTATACTACAGATCTAAAAAAAGGTGACAGATGGATTGATAGATGATGATGATGACGATGGATACACACCTCTCCCAGCAGCATCCTTCGGCGCATCCTTCTTCGTCGGAATCGGTATCTGCACATCCCGATGATTCTCACGATCCAGCTCCGCCAGATGGCGGATGATGGCCGTGTTCTGTCGCGACGTCAGGTCCGTCCGGCCGCCGGGCTCGCGGATGCCTCGTTTCCTCCCCGTCGTCTGATTGATGGCTGCTTGGGACGGGTCGATGCCCGTGTCGGGGACATAGGTCCATCCCGGAGTGGTGTGGGATGAGGTGGTGTTGAGGACTTCGACGAGGGGCATGTTGTTTGTCGCGCGCGATCTCGATGATATCTATCTAATCCAGTATTGACTTTTTTTTTAATCCCCCTCTGGATACAGGTCTATGGTGAGGTCGTAATAATGAGGGGCATGGAAATGGATGGTTTGGATGATGGCGGTTCTAGAATGGCGGAACCAGCGCGGAATGTCCAAGACTCCATGGCAGTTTGCAGTGTTTGCAGTGCATCACATGCATTCACGCTGAACAAAGTGATAGCAGAGCACTGCTGGCAAGGGGTCATGTTAGGTCAGGTGACCTTGCCTACCTGACTAGAGGCAGCTGCACAAACCTCTTGTGCACTTTTGTCCGAATGCTGAACCAGAAAATGGCATGTCGGACAAGGCCTGAAATCAGTGATTTTCGATGCGAGGTTTCAGAGTCACATGACTTTCCTATTTAGGCTAGCATATAACCATACCGCCTTCCATATACAGTAGAAGAAGCACACCGCCTTTGGGATTGTGCTGGCAGAACTGCGTGCTCTATCTCGGAATTCTGTCAGGTTGATCCTGTATCTACCAGATGAATATCAAATTATATCGTTGGAAATGGTAAGGAAGGCATCTGTCAGTTGTCTTTATATTATTTAGTTGAGACATATCCATTTACAGTTCTATGTTGTACAACAAACATCACCAGTCGGTCTCGTACACTGGAATTACGTATCCAATCGAGCAATGGCAGGAAAGAAATAAAAAAAGCATTGGCATCATTAGTACTGCTGTACGTTGTAAAGAAGTCAAGATGATCCTTATGATTTTCCTTCAAGTATAATATATCAAAATGACGACTGTCGATGGACCCCATTCAAGTATCACTACCGCATAATGGGCCGAGTGTGCAGTCGATCCACGTACGCGTATATTCAATCTTTATAAGGTCCATCAAGATATAATGTAATCGATCAAGGCATCTCACTTCTCCGCCCAGGAGCATAGGCAGACTGTCTCGTTGTACTGAGAAACCCTGCCGAACGAAATGTTGGAGTCTCAGAGGACGCAGACAATGAAGAAAACCGATCCAATGACAAGAAAATTCTGCATAAATTTACACAAAGCAGATAGGCACGGTATGCAACACTGGTATATTCGCTATCGCCCAGAAAGAAAAATACAACCAACGAAAAAAGAAACATCGCACAGGGAGTATGCATGCACGGCACCTTCATCATCTCCAGTATATCAAGACATTGTCCGCCATCATTATTTTATTTCTTTTTCTGGAGCTCATCTATCTTCGTCTCCAACTCGGTGATGTATCCGTTGAGTCGTTGCGATGCAGCTTGTAGGGCCTGAAGAAAGATAATCTCCGTCAGCAGCTTGATCCTATGTAATCTGAGGATGCAGATATCGCCACAGAAAACGAAATACGAAGCCGGGAAAACAGAGGGTAAAGCTGTGATTCAAAACGCAGCTGAGAATGCCCAACTTCGCGACCAGTTTCCAGAGTGATATTGTACAAGCATGCCCTTGAATTTCAATATCCAGGGTATTGAAACAACGCGCATTCAAACACGGTAAACGTACGTAAATATCATCCGTCAACTGCTCATTCGACACCCTGTATTCCTCGAGAATATAGTAGTACACTGACACGCCGGCAACGACGGAACCGAAGAGGAAGCCGAACAGTCTGGCATCGAACAATTAATCAAATCAGTAACGACCAGCGCAATAAACAAAGATGCAGAACTAACCCTCCTCTGAAAGCGCCCACGGGCTTCCGTGGAGGAAGCGTCGTGCTGGCAGTGTTCAGGACAGGCGCTGACGTCGAGAATGGCCGGGGGATGACGCGTGCGGTGTTGGAGATGCTGGCCGCCGGCAGCGAAGAAGCGGCGCGCAGGAGCTGCGGAACGACCGGTCGGCGAATCATGGTTGCTGCAAGAGAAAAAAAACTGTAAATAAATATCAGATTTGTCGCTTAGAATTCCGCATTCAAAAAATTGAACTGGCAAGGGAGAAAGAAGCCCTGCGATGGCCCCCTTACGTCGCAGATTCCATCCGGGGTAGGAATGACGGTTGTCGCAGATGTCACCCGATCGATGATGACGGGGCTTGGCGGGGTGAGGATGGAGTCGGCCAGTTGACGGGTATTACTACTACCGGTAACTGCTTCCAGCACAGCGAAAGCGACAGAAGACAGTATAGCATTTAATGTAGAAATGTGAAATTAGTCTGAGGCTAATTTACTCTGCTGACAATGATCTGCTGTACACGTATGTCTATATATAATCGCCGGGTATCTGGCATCTGAATTGCAAAATCTATCTAGCTATTCTAACAATTGTACAAAGAGTCCTGCTCAATTGAAATGCTCAGAAGTGATCAACTCGCCATCGTACTCTCGTTGAAAAGATCGGCCAGCAGGTCATCCCTGCACGCCTCCCGGTCCGGAACGCCCATGCCGTAGGTGCTCTCAAAAGCGTAAATGCTGAGACGGTCAAAGAAGGGTTTCAAAATGAGATCGACAATCTCGTCCTTCGCCGTTTCGCGGATGCGGTCGGAGGTTAACCACGGCCGCTTGACCTCGTGCGTATCATTCAGATCTCCTGGTATGGGCGAGGTCGAATCCCTAGGCCCTAAGCATTGAGATACCTCGTCCGCAAGCGCTACGGGCTCCCAGCGCCCAGGAGGATAGACCGCATCGATCGTATCGGTCACGAAGAGCCATTCTTGCAGCTGGAAATCGTCGGGAGCCATGACGAGGAGCGTGTCAAGAAGCTTACACGCTTGGAGCATTGAATAAGGGTTGTAGAGCTCCGATTGTTGATGCTGAGGGACGGCACAGAGGGCCTCCTGCAGCTCCGTGTTGATGAAAGGCCAGAAAGGCGCCAGATGCGTCGCAGACGTCTTCAACACAAGAGCTCGGAGAACCATAAATATTTCCGCTTTCGTTACCGACGACGGCGAAGACACATTCGTGGCTGTATTGAGATCTTCCAGCTTCTGAAGAAGACCCGGAAGCTCGGCAACAAAATGGTCATCATCGGCCGAAATAATAAGCAGAGCGATCCTTCGCAAATTTAGCTGCGCTTTACGATCGGCCTCAAGCCTCGCAGCAGAGGCGCCAACGCCAAACATAATTCCAGCAGAGGTAGGAGGCGTCAGACGTGACAGCAGTTCTGGAAATCGCTCCCTATCCACTAGGACCCACTGGCGAAGGAGACTCATCCAACCATCCTTGACAAGATCGACCTGCGAGCCGAAGAATCGCGCGTCGTTGAAAGCATCGTTAATATCCTTCTTCCACAGCTTCGAAGCCGTCGAAATTTTGGACATCTGCTGTAAAAGAGCCAACAGATTCTTGTTGACATTGTTGGGGAAGAGACGAGATCGAAATATCGGCCCTATCACGTTGGTAGAGATACTGGTCATGGCGTTGTTGATGCGGTCAGACTCGCCAAGGGTCGTGATAAATGCTGGTAATGACACGGCCAAAATGCTAATCATATCATCGGGCCCTGCATGAGATGTCGACGCGCCCTCCTGGTCCGACAGAGGCTTTCCTGACATGCCGGGATCCTGGGACAAGCCTAATGGCTTGCTCGTAAATATAGCGGCGAGAAGACGCAGTAGTAAATCCTAAAAACGTCATCAGTACCAGGAAGTACAGGAAGTAGTGGAAAAGGAAAAAAAAACATACACCAAGCTCCTTTCTCATTCGGCGATCCTCACCAAAGTTCGTATTCTCCATCTTCGCCCCAAGAATTGCGGCAAATTCAACAAGGCGCGGTAGGATCTGCCGGTGCGGGAAAGGATTCGCAAGGACGTCTTTCAGAAAAGTAGTACAGTCAGACCATATTTCGTCGAGCACGTCGTCATCAAGCGACCTGGCATAAGTCACCAAGAACGCCGCTAACTCGGATTCCGAAATATTAGATGCCATCGCAGACTTGCGACTTGGATCCAGCGCTGAAGGATTTGTCCGGCTGTATATAGCATTAAAGATTGCCGGAATTGTGATTTTCGGCCGAGCTCCATCCAGGGTATGGAGGAGGTTGAAGATATGAACTGCCGTGCTTGTCTCGGAGGGACCAGATTTGCTCCACATTTCCACCAATGTTTCGAGGCACTCAAGTGCTTCAGCAGTGAACAGATGCTCAAGTAGACGACGCGACCGATTCCTCATCCTTAATGAAGTATACTGGAAAGAAGCCGCAGATTCCGAGTCCAGGGATGCTCCGCCCTTGCTAATGGCGCCCCAGGACCAAATCGAGAAACACAATCGAACGGCGTCTTGGAAGCAAAGGAGAACTGTCAACCTGTCATTCGCAGAGTTACGCCCTGGCATCCCCTCTGAGGTGAAAACTCCTGATACCATGTTTCCAAAGAATCCCTGCGGCTGGTCAGGACTCCTGACGGACGGCGCATTCGCTTCATCGGTACGCAGACGCTCATGAGCAGTAGCGAGGCACGTCTCAAGCCCTGTCAACAGAGCTATGGTGACATATTCTGAGCGATCCTTCGACCAATTCTCCGTTTTCTTGAATACTTCTTGAAGATTGTTGAACGAAGACCGGATCTCTCTGCAGAAGCATTCCACGAGCGTGAGAAGGATCTGAAATATGCCCTTAGCGTACAGAGGAAGGCTTTCACAAAGTAACAGTATCCACTTGTCTAACGCCTCCCTTGAATTTGGAGAGCTGATACCCTTAAGAAGGCAGTCCAAAAGTTGTGGGGGAGGTTGTGGCACCGGAGGCGTCTGCTGTACTTTATCCACCTTTTCAGTGCTCAGCGACAACAATGATGTGCTCACGATAGTGTCGCGAGAGCCAGCCCGCCGATGTTTTGAGTTTGTAGGCGGTGGAGGCTGAAAAACCTGTGCAAATCGGATTTTCAGTGCGACAAGAAGGGTGTCGATGATGGTACTCTGCACAATGTCGCTGCCCTGGTCTAGAGCGACAAACAATCTGTCTATGAGAGTGATGTGGACATCAGACTCAACAATTTGCTCGGAACCGACTCCCATTAAAAGTTGTTTCAGGACCAGGAGTGCGGTCTGCTGCAACGCCGCTTCTTCAGAGTTCAGTTTTGTCGTAGGTTCCGGCCTGGAATTAAGCACCGCAAGCGCAATATCGGCGACCGCCATTTGAAAGGTCCTCTGCTCCACGGTTTCTGGCAAAAGAAATTAGCCTGAGAACAACCATGACATCCAAAAGAGACTTACCATCAGCATTCGAGGCATCCCGAGGCTTTTCGACCGGTGAAACTGGATGAGAAACAAGTGTGACCCATCCATTGTGCGAGAGACAGGAGAGAATTCGAGACAATGTCTGCAAGAGATATTGGCACTCCCTAAGATCATCCGGCGAAACAGAGCCGTAGCTGCTATCTGTTCGCGCCCGCTCCGCAGTGCCGCGTGTCAAAAGCCCTTCGAGCTTTGAGACAACAATATATAAGACCCTTTACCATCATTAATAAACAGAGCCACACATAGCAACGAAAGGAATGGCGTCGACTTACTTCTGGATAGACGGCAAATCTTGGATCCAATCACGCGCACTTTGTGAGGCCTCATTGACATCCTGTGAAAGCAAGTCCAAGACGATAAAAAGAGGGCGCTCAAGCAATGAGGTTTGATACAGTGACCGATCTTGCTCCGAGGTCTTCCCGTTCAAAGCTTGCTCCTCAGCTTGACGCATTGTGGAAGATTCGTATGTCCAATGGTGACTATGGTTCCACAGGACGAAGAATTTCTCCGCATTTTCGACGTTACAAACGTAGTGGGATCCAGCTGACATGGGCTCCAACATCAACGACGTAATGGCAGCCTCGACAAGGTGATCCGACCACGAAACCGAGTGTAACAGCCATAGACAGCGTACCGCCTCAACATGGAATTTCGGGCTTTTCGAGGATAAGAAGGCCCATAAATGCCGCACAAGCTCAGGTATCAGATCGTTCAATTGTTCATAGGTAACGTAATAACCAGGTGTATGGACGGTATAGAGAGTAGTTGCGGTAGAAGTGATCGATGAAATGACGGAAAATGTCGACGTATTCAATTCAATTTCATTGGAACTGATACTGTTCTGGAAAGCCGTATAAAGGGAACCATCTCGAAGTATTCGAGACTTGGGGATCTTCTTCAGCAAGGCTATAAGGAGATTCAAGATTTCTTTGGCAGACAAAACGTTATTCGTAACCGCCAATGCTAACATCGATAATCCTTGAGCTTCGCGCAGAATAAGCTCTCCAATGGCTCTTGGTGTGAACGGGAGAGGGGGCAGATCAAGGCTGTCCTTGCTCTGGTCATAGAAAGAATGAATTTTCCTCAGGATTTCCGATCCGTCAAGTTCCATCTGGTAAGATTGAGTGTTGGCAGGCTTTTCTGCGGCGGCCTTCCTAATGAAAGCTCGTTCTGGCAGTAAGCCGACCAAGAGATTCAGAAGCTTGATCAACTGCTGGACTGCGGCTTTGCGCAAACTTGGGCTCAGTTGAGATTCCTTGGTTTCTGATATTATTTGGCCCGTCTTGACGAGAATTGACAAGATCAGCAAGGGAATATGTATCAGCAGCATCTCCTCTTCCCGCACATTGAAATTGGCAATTATGAAGTATGCAAGTTTCAGGTCGTCCAGTTTCTTCTCGAAATCGGCGTCGATACCATCAAGACTCAGATCTACCAGGTAAAGAAGCTCGGAAAATATGAGGCTGCTTTCAACGCCGTCAAAAAAGGCGCTTGCGCTCCTAAAGACTTCGTCGAATTGACTTTTTGATGCTACACCTTCAAAGGATTGGACACTTCGCATAATGGGCAGAAAGACGGCGGGGACAACAAATCCACCCACCTCCCAGCGGTCCATCAGGGAAAGTGAGATACGAATAGGCCGGCTTCTTTCAGACGGAATTGTGGATTCCCGATTGATCATTTTGAGAATGCCACGCACCAGGGGATCCAATCCAAATTTGCTGAAGTATTGAGACTGGGAATGTTCCTGGCCATCTGCTGCAGGCATATTTGACTTTTCAGCTCCTGATTTGGGCGACTCCAGGTGCGGGTGTTCGTTCGTTACGCTGGCCGGTTCTGGACCAAGAAACCATGCCCAGAGTCTTCTGTTCAGACTCATGTCCCTTCGCGTGACGACTCCCGCAGCAGCTATCACCAACTTCTCAAAATCATCTTTCGTGATTCTCGATTGTAAAATCGGGGAGTGCAGTGGCAGGTGTGTCACCAGTAAATCGAGGAAATTCCGTTGAACGAGAAGTTGGTCATCAGCTAAGCCAGTCGCAAAACAACGAATGAGCAGACCAGGTTCAGGGGAAATAACAGAATTAGCAACAGCCATAGCGTCCTCTGGAATCTCTTGACTATCCTCTTTCCCTGACCATGCCTCCTTGGAATTCGTGATTCCAAGTTTCGGCAGGTGACGATTGAGGTACGCTAAGACACCCAGCCGCCTGCTGGGATTTGTTATTGACGCGAGGAACAGACATTGCCAAAAGTATTGCCCACCATTATTTTCCTCCACGCTAGGTCTCCGCATGTCCATTTGGCTCGCGACATCGCGAAACTTGTTGATGATACGAAGAGTCTGTTCAAAATCATCACTCGTTTCCTCCTCCAGCCCCGGGAGTAGTGCAAGGATGATGGCTTTCAAAGCAGGACGGATAGCCGCTGGGTCTATCTCGGGAAGGTAGGACTCAATCAATGACAGAAACAGCGGTCGCACAGACAAAGAGGCGAAAGTCAGAGTGGGCGCAAGTCCGGGGAAGTATAGGAGAAGGTCCTGAGAAAGACCCTCCGGCTGGTCCAAGATAGGTGTCACGTCAGCCCCGACACGAGTGCAGCAGAATGTAGAACCGGAGATACCTTAATCAAGGAGAAGATATATGTGTAGACCTCCAAAGCCTTCTGATGCACCCCTGAGGGAAGGGAGGGGTTCATGCATTGTGAGAGTCTTTTCGCGACGAGCGTCTTGTGCGGGACTACTGGGAGCTCAGGAGGATGGGATTGAAGCGCCTAGAGATCGAATTGTCAGATTATCATCACTCATTGACCACCAGGCATCGTACCTTCAAAAGGCGACTGAGGAAAGAGATGTAATCGGCCCATTCTTGCAATGCGGTGTCGAACAATGACAGCGCGCGTTCGACGGTGGCAGCATAGCGACGATAGTTCTTGTCCTTTTTCAAAGCTTCTAGAATTATCGCAAGTCAATCTCTGTCCGATCATAATTGCAATGGGAAGAATAACCTTCATTGTCACGAATGCGCGAACGAGGCAGAGAGCTGTCGGAGCTTGCGGGGGAGTTGGCCCTGGTGAAGCCGCCCGGATCAAGGCTCATGATGCAAGTGTCGGAAGTCGAGTCGAGATTGCGGCGAAGCTGCACGTCATCATAATTCCGACATATGGTTCGACCTGCCCGAAAGTTTTGCGTTGTCGAGCGCAAATGCACCTAGGGAATGGGATGGAGCAGAAGGCCACGCATGCAACTTGGCGATGATCTACTCCGCAGTGACCGCCTGAAGCTCCGACTTTAATTAACAGCCCGCTTCCCGCTACGTCAACGCAACCCCTCGAGGTGCTATTTTCCTCGACGACGACGCCAATGGGAGTCCCTTTGATACCATGTCGGCGAGGTAAATGTATGCGACATACGACCATTGACTGGGTGTCCGAGCGATAGTCGCATGTTCACTGGCTACTTCATTCTATGGCCTCAACATGAGATTGATGGAGAATGGAAACTCGGGGGGAAGATGAGCTCCCAACTGCAGCGCAAGAGCAGGGATCCAACACTGGAGACACCCTGAACCCAGGTTCGAGCTCTGAAGGAATACGGCCGCCTGCACCGCCTCGACCTGGGACTATCAATCTTCTGGATGAAACCAACAATCCGCTCTCCAACTCTCCTCAAAGCCCACGGCCCTCAACAAGGCCGAATTTACAATCGCAGGCGACTACAGCCTTGTCCTTGAAGGACATCAGCAGTCAGACCAATCCGGACGTCCCCAGAGAGGTCCTTTTTTCCAGCATTGGCCGTAACCTCCTGGGCAGAGGATTAAAAGCCAAACCCAGTCTGAGTCAGTTGACAAGTGCCAGGGGGAGTGAAGCGGGCGACACTGCTAGCATCAGAAGTTACGTGCCCAATGCAGAGGGAGGTGAAGAAGAGAGCATCTTTGGGGACTTTATCACAGATGCCACCCACGAACAGCAGGGGAAGGTAGAGGTTCTCAGTCTTCCGGAGTTTCCTGAAGACGATGGGGAGGACGACTTTGTTAAAGAATTCGAGCCTATTGGCGACTTGGCGGAAGACGGTCGGAATGAGGGTTCGTGACTATAGACGCAGCTTGTTGAAGGGATCTGCGCGCTGACAAGTCATCTATAGAATTGCTTCTCGAGCGATGGAAGGCAAAACGCAAGCACTATCTCATTCTCTCCGCTGCTGGGAAACCAATATATACGAGACATGGTGACGGTGGTTTAATATCAAGCTATGTCGGCATCATTCAGACGATCATTTCCTTCTATCAGGATTCAGACGACCCGTTAAAGAGCTTTACTGCCGGAGACACGAAGTTTGTGATCCTGACTCAAGGACCGCTGTATCTTGTCGCTATCAGTCGGATATGGGAGAGCGATAACCATATCAGACTACAGCTCGAGGCGCTGTATATGCAGATCCTGTCGACTCTGACCCTTCCAACATTGACACGTCTTTTTTCGGTTCGACCATCTACAGATTTGAAGCGGCCTTTGCAGGGCACAGAGACTCTGCTCTCATCTCTAGCCGATTCTTTCACCAGGGGCTCACCGTTTACTCTTCTTTCGGCGCTGGAGTGCCTCAAAATCCGCAAGTCTCATCGGCAGGTCATCAACAATGCTCTTTTGAAGACGAGAGCAGACAGTCTGCTTTATGGATTGGTCGCCGCAGGAGGCCGGCTTGTGAGCGTGATACGCCCAAAGAAGCATTCGTTGCATCCTGGAGACCTGCAACTTTTATTCAACATGATATTCGAAGCAGACGGCGTGAAGGCCGGTGGCGGAGAGAGCTGGATTCCCGTCTGCCTTCCTGGATTTAATAGTTCCGGGTATCTCTATATGTATGTCAGCTTTCTCGATCTTCGTGGCGAAGCTGGCAGCGCCGCGGAAAATAGTCCCTCGAAGGACGAGTCAGTTGCCATCATCTTAATTAGTACGGACAAGGAGAGCTTTTTCCAAATGCAAGAGATGCGAAATGCTCTGGTTGAGGTTTGTTCTTCCCTCCTCCCCCCTTCTGAGATTCCCCATCGCTAACCTTTGGCTACAATGTAGCAAATGGAGAAAAACGGGAGCATCAAGATCATAAAGGAAGCCATTGACAGAGGGCGACCTTCTCCAACAGACATTGTCCCCGGAACAGTGTTGCGCCACTTCATATACAAATCCAAGGCGCACGTCCAATTCGTCATGTCCAGCTACGACCCAGACTTTTCATCCATCACACGACATCGGAGGTAAGCATAGTCGAAGTCTTCTTCACTATGCCTTGCTATGACTTGATCTCTAACAGTGTTCTTCTAGACTTATATCAACCTACAACGCCCTCCACGACAGCGTCCATGCAAGAGGTACCCACGTCAAGGTTCACCACAGCGTCTCCCGATCCGCAAGCTCGTTCGCCTGGGTGACGCCCATCTTCGAGTTCTACTGCGTGGCAGGACCCAACACGAACCGCAACGCGCTCGCCCAGAGCGCTAACAAGATCGTCCGATGGGTGCAGCAGGAGGAGGAGAGGCTCTTCATTATTGGCGGGGCGGTATGTTTTCCTATCATTTGGGCCTTAGAAAAAAAAAGAAAGAAAGCAGGTAACTGACTAGTTGGTACTGGCAGGTTTTCTGACGAAGAACGATGCTTTTGTTTCTTCTTGGCTGTGGCTGTTCTGTGAATGGCTCTTTTTCGTTTCGTTTATTTTTTTTTTCTGCGACTATAAATATTTACTAGAGACAAATTCAACAAAGACCTGCTCTGCTTCTCTCTCTCTCTCTAAGTTTCTCCAACCCCCCCCTTTCCCCCTTTTTTTTTTAAATTAGACGTGTGAACGGCATACTACCGCATTAGAATTACTTTTAGAAACTAAACCGACCCAAAACGAAAGATATAATCTTTCCCCGTCTTATAACTATAATTATAGGAATTAGGATTTTCTTCTGACTGATGAAAAAAAATTTTTTTTCTTTTTCCAGAATGCTAGACTTTCCCCCTAGACCATCCAATCTATCTACGCATATTATCTGTTATCTGTTGTCTATCACACAGTGACCAGACCAGACCAGACCATGTATGCAAAATGCTGGAGATGAGATAGCAAGATAGTAACGTCAAAGAAAAAAAAGTCTTTCCTAAAAATCAAGGAAAAAAGCAGTCTATATCTATATTCTGACCCCTACTTCGGCTGCCTTTCTAAGTCTATTCATCACGGCAGCCGCGAGGTCCCCCTCGTTATCGGGGATGCCTTCGATGTAGATGACATCGACGTTCAACTCGTCCAGGGTGCGGAGGGCGGAGAACAGCCCGCGAGCGATGGACTCTGTGTCCGCTCCCAGGGAAAGATCATATACTTTCTTTGTTTTAGGTAGAGATGACGGGGGAGGTGAGATGTCGTGATCATAATCGATCGGGACGTCGAATGAGATTGGAGTGAGGGAGGTGTTGAGTTGATCGTTTCCATTCTCGTTTTGTTGAGGAGGGGATGGTTCTTGCTTCTTCGTCTGGGATAGTTGCTCCTCCGAGGCTAGTCCCAGCCCTGGGATCCAATATTTGGTCCGGACAATGCCAATGCTGTGCAGGCCAACGGCGGTGTTCCTGAGGTCGTCTCGCACATAGCGCAAAACAGACGTCGAGTGCGAACCCGGCTCGAAAAGGACCACCCGCGCCTTGGGCGAATAGTGCCTGTACTTCATCCCTGGGGCCCGCGGAACCTCCTTCACATGCAACGAGGTATCATGATATCCTATTTTCACGTTTTCCCAGCCTGGACAGGAACGTAGCTCTTCAATCCCGATCCCACCAGGTCTGAGCACAGCGGGTGGATCAGACAACCCGTCCACGACAGTGCTCTCCACACCCACACCACAAGGTCCACCGTCAAGGATAAGATCGATCCGGCCATGCAGATCATGGTACACGTGCTGCGCAGTCGTTGGGGAGGGCTTCGTCGAGGCGTTTGCAGAGGGTGCTGCAAGCGGTCTGTCTGCGACGTGAATGAGGAGGCGTGCGAAATCCGAGGCTGGCATCCGGACGCCAAAAGTGGGAAGATTCGCTGTGACTTCCTTAGCGAGAGGAGAGTCTGGAGGATTGGGGAGGAGGATCGTTAAAGGACCGGGCCAGAATCGCGATATCAGGGGCTGATAAATGGGCGGGATCAAGTTGGATTCCCTGGTCGCTGAGGAGGCTGCGCCTTTCCCTTCCTTGGGGTTCAATATCCGGTGGATCATTTGAATAGAGTCGACGTGAACAATTAACGGATTATCCGACGGTCTCTGTTTTGCTTTGTATATCCCTTGCACCGCAGAACTCCGTGTCGCATCTGCTCCAAGCCCGTATACTGTCTCCGTTGGAAATCCCACGGGTATGTCGCTGGTCCGCAAAGCCTCAGCGGCTTCAGCGACCGCGGCCGCTTCGGGACTTCCTCGACTGCTTTCAGTCGCCCACCATTCTGCAATGGACTGGTTCTCAGGAGCCTTCCTCAGTCGTTGGACTGGCAGTATACGCGTCGACCGGGCCGCCATGGTCGCGAAACAACGGTTGAAGATGCGCCGATAGCGGCCTGCAGTGGAGATAAACGACGACGGCAAACTGGTAACTGCAGTGAGCCCTGAGGCCCACAAAACACGTTGGAGCGTCAACTCCTTTTTCAACCTCCTCTGCGAAGTATGTAAAGATGAGTTGACGGCGAGTGACGCGAGCTTATGCGGGATCACGGCAGCGGATAAAATTTGCGACAGACGCGGGGAAGATTATTGGTATGGCGGGGATGGATTGGAACAAAAAGATCAACGGAATATTAGTCCAGTAAGTAGCTCCAACAGACTAGGCCAAATACCTGCAGATTGTCTTTTCGGAGAAATTCAAGGTCGCTGGGCATGAGGATGGCGGCGTGGGTGATGAGGTCAGCGCGGAATTTTCCAGGACGTTAATCTTATCGGCGACGGTGCTTTGCCCGAATCTTCGATGACGTCGCATTTCCCAAAGGAGCAAGCCTCGATGATCAGGCACAGAAACATGCAGACTGGATTTTCTATCGACTTCTCAATGTTGCCTATTGGCATCGATTTAGAAGGAACTTAGAGTGATTCTCAAGCCGACAGATGGCTCCCTGCCTGGAATCCTGAAGCTCGTGTAATTGGGCTAAAAGTGGTCTTGCGTGTATGTCACGCTTTTATTTATTCTCCGTGTTGATTCTCCGTATTATTAATTACGGCATGCCCGCGTTGCGGTCCCTATAGCGTCCAGCGTCGATGGGGAATTCGTCGATAGAGCGGAGGGGGGGGGGTGGAGGGTGTCGGGCTCGGGTATAATAATTAGTTTTCGGTGCAAGAGACATAGTCACCGAATATACTTCATGGCTACAACTGGAAAACACCATCTGTCCACAACAGATTATCGATATAGCCACATTTTGCTGCCATCCATCCAACATGGCTCTCCCGTTCGGCACTGTTCCTTCAGGAGCAAGAAATGCCCCAACTCCGTTCAAAGCCTCCATACCAGATGAGCGCATCAAAGAGATGCAGATTCTGGTGAGGCTCTCAAAGATCGCGCCTGAGACATACGAAGGATCGCAGCAGGACCGTAAATACGGGATCACCACCGAATGGCTGTCGTCAGCCAAGGACCAATGGAAGAAGCTTGACTGGTACCTCCTTAGGAGTTGGGGCCAACGTCGATACATTCATAGCTGATGCCATTGAAAAACCAGGAGAGCCGTTGAGACGCGGATAAACAGTTTCCCTCAGTTTACGTATAAAATCGAGGGGCTGACAATCCATTTCGTGGCCCTATTCTCCGAGAAAAAGGACGCAGTGCCCATTGTTCTCCTGCATGGGTGGCCCGGTAATGCTTCTTGAGTTCATTCATGGCCCATTTCGTGCCTTGCTGATATAGATCCTCCTTGGACTATAGGAAGTTTCCTCGAGTTTCTGCCTCTTCTGTCGCTGTTTCGCGACAAGTACGACCCAAGCACCTTGCCTTACCATTTCGTGGTCCCGTCGCTCCCCGGTTACACGTTCTCGTCCGGGCCACCACTCGACAAGAATTTCAGTACCGCCGATGTTGCGCGGATCATCAATCAGTTGATGGTCAATCTTGGGTTTGAAAGCGGCTATGTGGCACAAGGGGGTGATATCGGCTCCAGAATTGGTCGAGTGCTGGCAGTCGATTACGAGTCTTGCAAAGGCACGTACTGGACCTTCCAAGATCAAACTTTTTGGACTTCTCATGCTAATGAGGATTTTAATATCAACAGCGGTACATTGTAAGTAAATGTCCGCCCCTAGTCATTTTGTATTAAGCTAATCCCCCAGTGAACTTCTGCCCCATGAAGAAGCCACCCAACGGACCAGACGCCCCTCTCTCTGAAATCGAACAGCGAGGCCTAGCGCGAATGCAATGGTTCGCCTCCAATGGCTCAGCTTACAGTATGGAGCACGGCACTCGACCGAGCACCATTGGGCATGTCCTCGCGGCCAGTCCAATTGCATTGCTAGCTTGGTATGTCGAAAGAGCTCCAAGTGAAGGGGGCTGAAACATTGTCTTCATCTTCGAGTTCTTGCTAACAAAATCCATCCACAGGATTGGTGAAAAGTTCCTCGATTGGGTTGATGATCCTCTCCCGTTGGAGACTATCCTGGAATCCGTGTCGCTGTACTGGCTCACAGAGACATTTCCCAGATCAATTTATCCATATCGCGAGGTATGAGATATACTGATGCTATCTTTCCCCATATCCTTTTTTTTTCCGTTGTAGTAACTCTTTTTCAGTTTCTCCAGCCGTCTGAAGTGCCTGCGACCATGGATCCAAGATGGTATATCCGCAAGCCGTTTGGCTTCTCCTATTTCCCAATGGAGTTGGTACCAGTGCCCAGATCATGGATCGAAACGACAGGAAACCTGGTGTTCTGGAGACAACATGAGAAGGTTTGCCCTTGAAAGCTTCCTGTCCCATTTTCGTCTTGCTGATTTTCTTGCAGGGCGGTCATTTCGCTGCACTGGAACGGCCCCAGGACTTTGCGGAGGATCTGGCAGCTTTTGTCCAGCAGATTTGGCCGGGGATCTCGCAGCGGAAGTAGAGAAAGAAACAGACATAATTGTTCATTATGGTTTATGACCAATTTGGATTCCGTGTCTTGATTTATTTCGTCTTAATCTATTTCCAAGACGCGAGACGAGAAATTCAATACCATGTTCTGTTTGAAATGATTACTTGAAGAAAAACAGTTGTAGGGATAATGCGCCTTCTTGGTTCAGAATTCTCACAAGACTCATTTTTCTGTTTTTGTTTTCCTATCAGAGTTATCGTGAATGATATTCTGCTGTGAGATTAAATCCCACCGAGTGACGTCGGGTGCCGGGGCTAGCCGAGAGCATGTCTATCGGAGCTTCCCGACGATGGAGCCTTGGATTCTGCAGTCTCCGGCGGGGCTGTCAGCGACGTTGCCCCTGCTGACCCAGCAAATTCTTTTCTTCTTCGCAGACCCAGGGGACGTATCTGATATCGAGGATCCACAGGCAGGAGTGCCTTGTCGGTGGAGCATATAAAGATTGACATCTGAGGGACCGCAGAGTCTGGATTTCGGCGTTGATAGGATCAATCACTGCTTGATATTCCCTGGTTTTATCTGTTGTTTTTTCTATTTCCCTGTTGCAAATAATGTGTGGAGGCCCACTACACGAATTCTTGAAGGGTCTGCCCAAATGTGAGCATCATGTCCATCTGGAAGGCTGCCTGACTCCCAAGCTGGTCTTTGAGCTGGCAGCCCGCAACTCGGTCAAGCTCCCGGATCCTGAACAGCGTCCAGAGTATGCGTCTCCAGAGGCGCTCACTGAACGCTACCAGCGTTTTACCTCGTTGGATGATTTTTTGAGCTTCTACTTTGTTGGAATGTCAGTCCTCCGGGAAAAATCAGATTACGAGGATCTGGCATGGGAATATTTCCAGCATGCACACGCCGATGGTGTCCATCATGCGGAGGTCTTTTTCGACCCGCAGGAACATGTTAACCGCGGCGTTCCGTACGATACGGTCGTGTCAGGGTTCACTGCCGGATGCCGGCGAGCTGAACGGGAGTTTGGTATGACGACGAGGCTGATCCTATGCTTTGTGAAACATCTGCCCGTGGACAATGCCCAGCGGGTTTTCAACATGGCTTTGGAACGAGGGGACTTCAAGTCTGGGGTTGTTCATGGTATTGGATGCTCGTCGTCCGAGATTGGTCCTCCTAAGGACATGTTTCGAGAAATATACGCGACAGCACACTCGATGGGAATCCGGAGGACGGCTCACGCTGGCGAGGAAGGTGATCCTTCCTATATCAGTACGGCGTTAGACATCTACAAATCCGAGCGAATAGACCACGGAGTCAGGCTGATCGATGATCCCCGCCTGATGGCGCGTGTCGCGATGGACGAGATTCTACTCACTGTCTGCCCTGTGTCAAATGTGAAACTGTGCTGCTTCGAGAGCATCGACCAGGTGCCAATCCGAAAATTCTTGGATGCAGGCGTCAAGTTCTCCATCAACAGTGATGACCCTGCCTACTTCGGAGGATTTATATTGCACAATTATTGTGCGGTCCAAGATGCTTTTCACTTGTCCATCGATGAATGGAGGACCATTGCGGGGAACAGCATCAGAGGCAGTTGGATAGACGATGCGAGAAAATCCGAGCTTTTACAGCTGGTAGACGATCATGTCAAGAAATATCAAACGACTGTCTAGAATTGACAAATGACGTTTTCTGAAGGCGATCGATTGAGGAATTGTCAGACCAATTGCTCTTCAATTGGAGTGTTTCACTTTTTTTTTTGACGAAAGCAGTATCTGAAGCTACATGTATCTGCCAATGGTTCATGAACTCCATCCATCTTCATAACCTGCTGTTTGTTTTACTTGTCTCAACGCATAATACCAAGGGACTAGCATTGTTGCGTACATCAATAAGGCTCTATATTTATATGAATCGAGAAGACTATTTTAGTATTCCAACATGATACAGATACAGTACCCGATATGTCTGCTAACGTACGGAAATGAAGTAAAGTACAAAAATGAGAAATAAGCGACATATAACTAACACTTTCCTAATTATAATATCTCTCTTATCCTAGTTTCTATATGTGATTCGTACAGCTGAAGTTGGATGTCCTGGCCAATCTAGCAGGGAGGCCAGTAGATGATGACTAATCAATGTACGGGCAGTCCAGAAATCCGGGTGCAGCGTTCGAGGAACACAAACAAATTACGGTTCTCCAACTGCGTCTCCTTGTCCCATGTTCACGCTCACCCGAAGCATACGCTCTGCGGCAAATTGGTCTCGCTTCTACCAACGTCCACCTTCCTTGTTCCTCAAGGCCACCATGTCTTCTAGCAACGAGCTGGCGGACCGCTACAAGCTCATCTTCTTTGTCCCGCACCCCCCACCTCGAATCTTGCAAGGAGGCCGTCTTCGCCACCGGTGCGGGTTCCTTTCCCGGCGGTAAATACACAAAGTGCTGCTTCCAGTATCCTGGCACGGGGCAGTTTCTTCCCAACGAGGGGGCGAATCCGAATATCGGGGCCGTGGGAACGCTCGAGCAGGTCGAGGAGATGAAGGTCGAGATACTCTGCGTGGGGAGAGAGACGATGCTCAAGGCCGTAGAGGCCCTTCTCAAGGCTCATCCATACGAGGAGCCTGCGTATGAGGTCTACAAATTAGAAAATGTGTAGTTAGGTGCAGTGGGGGAGGATGCTGGGAATGAGCAGACTCGTCGGTGTGGTTGGGATGGGATAGGTAATGATAATGAGTGACACGGAACTCTACTGTTGATCAAGACGCTTCCAAAGGATAATGATACTTCTTTTGGTCAGTCAAAGCTGTCATTGCTAGTAATCATTTCAAAGAGTCTGCCCTCTTTGTAAATTAGAAGTGATATGGATGTGCTCGACACGGGGGGAAGATTTTTGACCCTGAATATTGTCCGACAACGACGAGTATCATCCAATATTTCCCCCCAGTGCTTGTCCCCGTAAACTCAATACCCCTCTTTGTAAATATTACAGGCAATTGCCCCTTTGTTGGTCGTGTTTCTTGATGGATGCTGAAGATGGCACTGGCTGACTGATCAGGAATTCTGTGTGATGTGATTGGCCCGATCAGCACCCGCGAATGCCTCTGCCAGCCCCGACTCGGAATCAACTTCTCCAACATCGCGAGAAGTCGATACAGCGACCTTGTCCAGACTTCTCACGCCATCATACCGCCGGAAATGGCTTCGAAACTCGCCCCTTCCGTCGCGCGCTGTAGCCGCCGGCTAATTCCCCAGATCTCGAAGCAACAATGGAGATCTTTCTCCGCTGGACCCCAGGTCCTCAGTGATACGCTCGCCGTGGTATGTTACGACCCTTCGTCCGACCGCCTCCACAATCGCCCAATTTGGCTTCAGACAGAAGAATATCTTGCTTTCTTTCCAATTGTCTAATGCGGATGCTAATATTTTGTTCCTCCAGCATCGAAACAAGCCTTACAACAACCCCTCGATCCCTTTCAAGTTCAATGAGCAGAACCTCGCTCTCATCGATGAGATCCTTAAGCGCTACCCCCCGCAGTATAAGAAGGCCGCTGTCATGCCTCTTCTGGACCTGGGACAGCGCCAACATGGCTTCACCAGCATCAGTGTCATGAACGAGGTCGCACGGATCTTGGAGATGCCCCCGATGCGTGTCTACGAGGTCGCAACCTTCTACACGATGTTTAACCGGGAACCAGTGGGCAAGTACTTCGTGCAAGTCTGCACTACGGTATGTGGAAGTTTTATTTACTATGGGATCGTCTTGCTTGCATGCGAAACAATCTCTGAGGCAATGCGCTGAGACTGACCGGCCTTTGTCTAGACACCTTGCCAACTCGGTGGCTGCGGTAGCGACAAGATTGTCAAGGCCATCTCTGACTACCTTGGCATCACCCCTGGACACACGACGGAGGACAATCTGTTCACTTTCATCGAGGTCGAGTGCCTTGGTGCTTGCGTCAATGCCCCCATGGTGCAGATCAACGACGACTACTACGAGGACCTGACTCCCGAGTCGATCGTCTCTCTCCTGAAGGCTCTGAAGGAGTCTGCTCTTGCTGCCGAAACCGGAAAGACCGTCGAGGTGCCACCTCCCGGCCCTCTCAGCGGCAGAAAGTCTTGCGAGAACAGCGCTGGCTTGACGAATCTGCATAACCCGCCGTTATGGAACCCTGACGAGTTCATGAGAAAGGATGGAGCGTTGGACGGGTAGAGGCCGTTTCCTAGAATCTGTGTCAGAGTTCGGAAATCTTCAGTCAATACCCGTGGTGGAGAAGATCGGGCATTTTCTGTTCTGTACAGTATATCATCTCCATGTTTCGTCGCCCGACACAAGCATCATGGATATAACCCGCAAATCGATATAGATTCGCCTTTTTTTCCCTGTCCAAATGACCTGGTAAGCTTATAGATTTTTGGAGCAAGTATTCCGGGTGCTGCTACTGATAATATTATTCCGGAAGTATTGTTCACGTTCAGAGTGTCGTAAGTAGAGTCTTCAATTTTCAAGGTCAAGTACTCTGTACATACAATTACAACACCCTTACAATTTCACTACTCTAAACAGAAATTCTTTTTAGCCAATTCGGACAAAGAAAACCCAATTTCCAATCTACCGCAGGAAGCTTTGATTGCTCTTCGTCAGAGCCGGCAGATCCCATCCGAACAGGTCGCCCCGCTGAATCTGGTCCCGACGAAGAAGGGTAAAATCACCATTGGGACGACGGACCAAAATCAGACCGGTTCGGCTCTGGAGCATAGCAATGTCGATGGTGTTTAGAGCAAGGATATGCCAGACGTGCACATGCTTGCGTTGTCCGTACCGGAGGGCGCGGCCGATTGCCTGCGTCATGGAGGACTCGTGATCGTAGGCTGTTGCTGCGCACATCTCGGCCAGGAAAATGACATGATTTGCCATTTGCAGATTGCTAAATTTGGTAGTTTGCCTCAGTCAGCGAGTTTCTTTGAGTTGTGAGGTGGATGGATTTGAAATTGGGGACAAAGAGGAAGGAGGGGGCTCCGTCCAAGTGAACGAAGTACGAATTGCCACTTACATCCCAGCTGCGTTCTCGCTCCCTAGCATCAGAATGAGCACTTTCGCGTCTTCCGCTTTCGAATTGCCTTCAGTGGTGAATTCCTTGATCTTGCTTCGAACATTCTTCTCACTTGCTCCTATCGCCACGTAGGGAATCTGGTTCGCCTTAAGGGCTGCCTGCGCCGTTGTCATAAATTCCTCGTACTGAACAAAGAGGATGACTCGATCCTCGCGCGGAATCCGACTCGTGTCCTGCAACAAATTGACCAGCTCTTTCATCTTGGTTCCACCGTACCTTGACGCCGGAGTCTGGTCTTTGTGCCGCCCAAAGTATCTTCCATTGATGATATATGACGGACTCACCGCGCCTCTGCAATGCTTTACAGGACACTCTTCACTTTTCACCACTGCCTCGACGCACTGATTGCAGACAACATGCCCGCATTTTCCCAGGACGTTGTGAATCCCAGAGACCCCGTGCTCTCGATCGCACCGGCTGCAGGCTGGGACATTAACTCCTACCTGGAACCGGTACACTGTTTCCATGAACCTCAGGGCTCGTGCTTGATTCACCCATTCGGCGATGTTGGTCCTTAGCGTCGTTGCAGTTTCACGCAGGAGCTTTCCACGTTCTTTCTCTTCAGGAAACTGTGGGAGTCCGGTTTTCTTCGTTCCCTCACCAGGGTCATTCGACAACTTCGTTTTCTTTCTTGGAGGCTTTGGTTCTTCTTCGTCACTTTCATCATCCTCATCGGACTCTTGCTGCTGCTTCTTTGCTGGCTTCTTCTTGCTGGACCGCTCAGGTTTTCCTTTAGTCCAGAACTCAGTCCAGTCATTCTCTCGATACGCTTGCAGGGCGTCCTGGATTAGTTGTGAAGCTTTTTTAGTGACTTCTGCGTCGCCGAAATCGTGTGACTTGACGCTCTGCTCAAGCTTGGCAAAGTGCTGGTCGCATCGTCCAAGCTGAACAAACAGCCATACCGCCATTTTTAGGTCTTTTTCTACGGTAGCCCGAAGAGCTATGATGTCCCGTCTGCGGCGCTGGATGACCTTGACCAGCGTGTCTAGAGGTTCTGAAGTGTGCCAACTCGGAAGAGCGTTGTACAGGGAACAACGCTTGATCAGCGCTTCCTCGAAAGTCTGACTAGAATCGAAGACCTCATTGATCCTCCAAGACTGGTCATTGCCGCCGCGTGCGTGTTTGCTAGGCCGAACCCTCGCATTACAGGACTCGAAGTACAACTTCAGCTCGTGATAGAGAGCTATTTCGACCGCCGACAAGTTTACTGCGTGGTAATGCACTGTGAATGGTATCGCCGGGATTTCGGGCATATTCTGTTGTTTTATCAGCAATGGCATTGACCTAGAGCGGAAAGGGTGCCTTACCTGACGCATAAACCTGTCCAAGAAGGCTTGCGCCAGCCCATGACGTCTCACATGCCAGTCGGTACTCTGCAGTTTTCGATACGATTGAAAGACCTCGGCGTCTGTCTACAGGTCAGCAAACATCTCCTTCAACGACATTTTTCAGAAAATGTTTCAAATACCAGAACGTTGCTTGCTTAAATTTTGGGCGTCATCATCTGTTCCCAGATAGACGTCGATCAAGCGAGCGAACATATTAACTTCAGAGAAGCCGTTGATGGGCGGCGTCCCTGAAAGGAGCCACCTCGACCGCGCCTTTATGGTTGACAACAAGGCATGTTTATCGGTTTCTAGATATGTGAATTCGTCGATTATCACCCGCTGGAACCGGAACATGTGGAAGATAGTGCCCTTCATATCGCCCATTTCGGTATTCTCAGACTCTGGGATGCCGAAGTCCCGTCTGTCATTCCAACTTTTCAGCTCTTCATTCGACTCGTTGCCTTCAATGGATGCCGTGTTGGTATCTGCTCTCTTGCGCTTTTTCGTGCCTGTCTTTTTACCGGCTTTCGCTTTCTTGGTCTTTGTGGCTTTCACTGCACGACTTCTTTTACCCCCTGGGGCCCTTTGTTCAAGCTCAGCGGTCTCGTTCGCTGTTCTGTCTTCTCTTCCTGTCTGATCACCGTCGTTGTCGCTTGTGCTCGACTCTTGACCAGCAGTTTTATCGGCTAGTTTCTGACCCTTTATCCTTCGTGATGGCAGGTAGCGGTTATAGGTATTAGTACTCCGAGTGGTAGTCCGTTTGCGCTCGATTTCTTCCAGGAATCTCTCGGGGCCTTGGTCACGTAAAACGTCGACGTGAGACTCTATCGAGTGGACCGTTTCGTGGAACCAGTCTTCGAAAATTCTCCCATGCTTGTAACCCGGTACAGACGGTCCACCAGAAATCTGCTCGAGCCGGTTATAATACCCTGCCCCGGTAAAGACCGACCAGGACGCGATAATGATATCAGCCTTTTGGAAGGCCTCGATTGTCTTCGAAAACAGCCATCTCGTAGTGGAAATGACCATGACTTTGTATGTATTTCCCAAAAACTTCTTGATTTCAGACTGCCATTGATCGAACAGAATATCAGGAACTACGATCAATGTGGCCTTGATCGGAATCGCACCAGCGCAGGGCTGTTCGGCTTCCTGGAGATCTTTTTCATGCTGCGCATCAATTGTTCCCAAAACCAATGCAGTCTTGCCAAACCCAACCACGTCCGCCAACACGCCGCCTCGGACAACTCGCTTCACCATCACTTTGGCTTCGACTCGCCACTCCAGAGGGCCCAAGACAGCTTCCTCCACTTCTTCTTCTCGGAACGGAGGGGCGTCATCTGACTCACATGCTCGAATCCAATGTAGTGAGCGTAATTGCTCTGGTCTCAATTTACGACGACGGAAATTGGGCGGTTGGTCACTTTCTGGATCGTCAACATTATTCGTGAGCCGCAAAGTTCCAAAATTAGAGCCCCTGAGGTCCATCTCCTTCGCTTTCATCCTCCAGAAAAATTGGACCTCGGAATTTTCCTGAAGTCTCCCCGCCAACTTTGCAGAAGCGCGGTGAAACAAGGTCTTGAGGTTCAGAGTTAAACACAAGTGCCCAATACCTCGCTCGTCGATCCTAGTGAAAGCCAAAAATGGGGACGGTCTTGCCTTGAATTGGCGTTCGTACCTAGCTGCATCAACGGGATCCTCGCAGGGTGCGAGGCGATCCTTTCCTGGGTCTCCAATATACTTCCAAATCATCTTCGGCTTCGCAGGGGCGCACGTGTCACAAAGGACGTATTCGGCATTGAGGATGCTTCTCCAACCTTCAAAGATAGACATGTTCGTGAACTTCTGCCAAAGCCAAGAGTAGCGATGGAGTACGTTTTCGGCGTTCATATCCAAAGGCTTCCAAGGGCCGTGTTCCCAAGATAAATCAGCCTTCGCAGAATCGACACCAGCGGAGATCGCTAGCAGAGGGATATTTGACTCGTGACATTTTGCATTGTCAACGTCAACTGTGGTTGTCGGAAGAAGTATGCGACTGACTACCGGTTCAATGGGATGCAAATCCTGGAGCGAAATATCCGGGCACGCAACCCATTTGCGATAGAACCCCGTCACTGGTGTTTCCTTTGAACGCTGCTTAAACTGCCTCCAGTTGTGGTCTAATTCGAGGACAATCTGCCTCGAAATATCACCCGTTAGACGGTGATGGTTCGTCGAAAAGACAAAGCAGTCCAATTCTGGCGGTCCCAATTTACGGGGATCCAAGAAGAAATAAAGAGCCGGCAATCCGGGTCGAGCAGGCCTTCTATGAAGCGACTCATTCGCCGTTCCACAGTTCGGCAGGTAATCATAGACTCCGCGGATGTCCATGTCGAGGTCTTTCACTGCCTCATCTGAAGCGTTGACAGATATCTTGCTCCACACTTTTCTGTTCTCAAATTCTGCTCCCTGAAGACCGCAGCGGGCCTCGTGTGAGGGTATCCGATCTCCGGTGCCAGAGATGTATAACGTCAACTTGGTGGATAGTGGTGCACAGACTTCCCACACGCCTTCCAGAAGAGAAGAAGCACCATGGGCAACCTTCATTCGAGCGATAGGCCGGAGGAAGATTTCTCTTCTGATGCTCACGGAAGGATCAGAACGCGGCGGCCTAGCATAGAGGAACCATTGTATTCCCTGTCTTCCGATAACCAAGTGAAGCATCGAGTGGCGGCCGTTGTATATGGCAGTCCAATCCTCAGCTCTTTTGAGTGTGGAAAATCGCAACTCGTCACCATAGGCAAGACCGATTCCCTCCATGAATTTGGTCCAGACATCGCCACGAGGCTGTCCGTCGTTCAACTGCATAACGTGGTACACCTGTGTCGGTGTCCCGGCCATCCTCACACGCACTGGAAGAAGCCACTTCAGCATGTCAGTGAATCTGAAGGGATGACGGCGCTTCTGCAACCTATCGTGATCGATCGCGAGGTACTGATGGGCCGGATTGCCGCGACACTCGCCACAGGCTGTGTGGCCGCAGAGGAGACATTGGAAGATCCGTTGGCGCTTGACGAAGTTCTGCTCTTCGCAGGCACAGAGTCTCGAAGCCAAATGCGCAGCTGCCAGAATGATACTAGCAAGCCGATCGCTGGAGTCGACCGATGCCGTTAAGGATCTGGCAACCATCTGATATTCTCCGCTGGGCTCCAAAGCTTGGGAGTTTTTGTCACCGTCCTCTTTAGTCACATGTGATGGCCTCGACTCGGTGTTCAGCGCGCCGTAACCGACAATAAGGGCCGCCAGAATGGCTGACCCGACGACGGTGGAACTCATGGCATTGCCAGCGAGGTCTTGCAACTCTCTCGAAGACTCGCGGGTCAACGTCAGACGATCCAACGGCAAACCCTGGAGAGCCAGCGACTCAAGTCCAGTGAGCATTCCACCTCGCGTTGTGACATACTGCATTCCACAGGGAGTGATGCAGCCCGCAACACCCCACGGCCTACCGTCAATCTCGCGATCAATGCCCTGAGACAGGTCGATAATGCGGCTTTGCAAAGAAACGTCAGCAAATATTTATAATATAAACATAGGGAGAAAGGGTGGTCTTATATATATATGAAGATGAAAGGACAGGGTTCTTACAGTTTATAATTGATATCGAACCCGGACGAGCGCAGCGTCCGCAAGAAGTTCATATCAATTGTGTCCCAAACCCGTTCAACCTGCATCGAAAACCAGTGTCTATCCGTCCAACTCGGCGGGCGACAAGTTCCACCGTCTTGGTAGTTGGTTAGGGGCCGCTTATGGCCGAGCCCCTTCTCACGTCGATAGTCCTGGTGCCGAATTTTGTATCTCAACCAGTCGACCGCTGCCCTGGTTGCGTTCGCCTGGCGGTTGAAGACAGAGGTTTGGGATTTTTTCAGGCGCAAATCGTCCTCTTGGAGTGTGAAGCTCGTGAACGGCGAGCTCGCCTGGCGTTTGAATTTTTCAAACGTGTCCGACCACTTCCTGAGGAGACCTTCGTCATTACCGACACGAGACTGATCTATACAGACCATATAGCCCCGCTCCCGGGTCTGGGGCAGGTAGAAATGTTTCGTGTCGACAATCTTGTACTCGGCGAGGTAGCCGATGTCGCGCCACTGGTCGGCGATCTGCGCCCAGGGTGCGTTCTTGACGTTTTCGAGGACGACAAGCGGCGGTCGGTGAAGTTTAGCATAGCCAATGATCGCGAAGAAGGTCTGACCGGATTCTCCTGCGTCGTCAAGACTTTTCTGTTTGTTGTTGAGGACTGAGAAATCGACGCAGGAGAATCCTGCGATGAGGATGTCGGGGTCTTGGGGGACTTCGCATTCTGCTCCATATGCCGTTGTACTATATATACATAAGTATATATTATTGTTATTGTTATTGAATTGGTACCTAGTACATATATATGTACTAGGGATTGGGGAGTTGACTTACGCTGTTGGCTGAGTCAACTGCTTAACATCTCTGAAGAGGACCGGAGGCTGGAAATTGCGCTCGATATATGCTTGTTTAAACGGGTCAATTTCCGAGCTGAACAGGTGGTCGAATTCGAAGATGTGACCGAAGAGTTTTTTCAAACCTGTTTGATTGCATTAGCTGTTATGCAAACTAAAAAAGAGCGAGAGAGATGGAAAGGAAAACAGCAAAATGAAAACAAAAGAAGAAATTAAAGAATGGAAAAAGAGGAAAAGAAAGAAGAAGAGGAAAAGAGAAAAGAGGACGTGGCATACTCTTGCCGACCATTTCCATTGCAAGCAGAGGACTCTCAGTCCCCGAGCACATCGTGACCACACGCAGCTTTCGCGAGGCGAGGTGGTCGAGGAACGCCTGGAAGTTATTCGCCATGGCCCGTCGAGTGATGTCGTCGAAGATCTCCTCCAGATTGTCGATTGGAGGAAGGGTCGCGTCGAGGCCGGCTTTCCACAGCTTCTTGTTGGACATGAACTCGACACGCTCGATCTCGGGGATCTTGGGTTCAGTCACAGGCTCGTCTGGCACGTCGCTGTCCTGTTCGAGTTCGATATCCTCGTCGTCATCCAAAGGCTGACTGTGCTCGACCTCATCGAGTGACATCTCGTAATCGAGGCCCTCCTCATCGTCATCGGCGTAATCAGGCTCTTCTTGACTGTCTTGGATCTCTTCTTCTTTGGAGTCCAAGGACATTTCAGACTCGGAAACGTCTTCAACATCAACATGTCTTGCCGCGCGCTTTCCTTTGTGCTTAGCGCTCTGACATTGAGGAGTTGACTCTTGAACAGTCGCCTCTACCTCCTGTGAGGACTTCGCCTTTGCCTGAGCTTGAGCCTGGGCTCTAGTCTGGACTCTGGTTGGGGCTCCCCGAGCTCGAGTACGCGGTGCCATCTTTACGATTGATAGATAGACACGACGACACAACAGCCACGAGACCAAAATCAAAAAGCAAGGCTACTGCCCAAAAGACGGTCAAGAAACCAAGACAGTCTCCAAAATCAAAACTTGAGGATGATGATCGCTTTCTCCAACGATCTGGATGACAAAAGAAGGATGTGAGACAAGCTTATGTCAAAGGAGTCAGGGGTTGAAGCCAAAAAGGGGTTGAAGCCAAAAAAGGGTGATGATGAGAAGGAGATATGGGGACGTGAGGTAAAGGAAGAAGTAGGAAACGAGTGAAGGCGTGTCTAAGAGTGGGAGAGAAGAAAAATTTTTCGTTTATATGTTTACACGCCCTTTTTGGGACGACGTGTCTGAGCTCTCACGACCTAGGGCTGGATTCAGCATGGTGCGCAAGAGACAAACACGCCGAGGTGTTCACTGTGAAGGCAGAGGGTGACGACGAAAGGGGCAGTATCAGAGAGGTATGCATCACCATGTTCGTGAAGCCGGAGGTATGGTAGTACTAATATCCATTGTTTGCCAGAGAAGAGGAAGACAGAAAGGGATGATCGTCTAAGGGGAAATTACTGTTTCTGGGAAAGAGGAATATGGCAAGGATGATGGATTGTGTATGTATAGCTGTTATCAGTTTTCTAAAATAGAAAGCCTCAGTGAGTACCAATCTTCTATATCTATATGTGATTAGATATGCTGTGAACAGAATCACACCTGAGGAAGATTTGCATATGCTCTGCTAACAGGCAGCCCAGAGCAACAGCACAGAAGAGGACGACAAAAAGGGAATTACAACATAGTAGTAAAGGACAAGACCTGACACTGTTCCAGTACAGGAAATACCGCATAGAGTTAGGAATAGAGTCTTGTTTCTCGTGTGAATAATCAAGATCAGCCAGTTGCAGTCATCTCTATAACATAAGCACTAGAAAGAAGGAAGAAAAGAAGCACTCTGGTCCTTGAAATATAGAATACATTCTGTAGAGAAATTTATTTCTGCACAGGAGGTTATACTTCTATACTTCACATCTGCATGAATCCATCCTGTTACTATCCAGCCAGCAGAACACAGCATATAAGGAGCAACACGGAAAAAAGACTCGCTGGAACTTTGTTAGAGGAAGGGACGGACTGATGATTAAAAGCTGCATATGGTAAGGACTACAGTACGTAAAAAAAAGGAACCAAAAAAAAAACAAAGACAATTGGAATGATATTTGTCTCACTACCTCCTACCTAAGCTATACTGTTTAGTTTATGTGTGCCGTATAGTGATGAGGTGACGTTAATATACAGTTTAGCGCTAACAAAATGGGTTGGAATTTGGATGGATTAGGAGATATGGAGACAGAGTCTACGTAACTAATGTAGGTAACTGCCTATCTAGGTACGAAGTGTTAGATATTTTTTCCTCCACCCCATCCATTTTTGACAGAAACTGTGTGGTGTTGCCTGGTACTAGAACAAGGGGAATAAATATATCTGTAGACTCTGCCTTCGATTCAAATATGATAGTCTAACTCCTTAAGACAGGCTAATATTATAGTCATATCATGCATGCATCCTGTCGTATTTGCAAGTCGAAATGACCATGTCAAGAAAAAAAATAAGACGACTCATAAAAACCCCGTCCAACTGTGTACATACAATACAAATCAAACATTTACCCGCCAACCTGCGCCGTTCTCCCGCCAGTGATTTGTGTACCACGCTTGTAGAGACCAAATCAAGGAACAAGGCAATGAATGTCGGAAAGAATGAAATGAACCAGTACAGTGACGGTCAACTGGGTCTCATCCCACTCTGCATCAACTGCTGCCGTAGTAGCATGATCTGACTCCGCTCTAACGGTGGAAGTGCATCGATCGTCGATTGAGACATGTTCATGACCTGCTGCAACAGTTCCTCTTGCCCTGGAATCTGTTGCTGCGGTGCCTGGGCACCACCTTGAGGTGGCGCAAAAGGCGCGCTGTGGACCGGGGGAGTCGATACTTGGCCAGGAACACCGTACGGCTGGAAAGGTTGGCTGGCAGCGGGTTGTGGTTGTGTAGCTGCTGGCTGGGCTGCTTGTTCGACGACAGATCCAAGAGTGCTATAATCCACCAGATTCATCAGCAGCAGCGCTTGGAAGATTGCGTATGCAAGCTGCGGTGCCTGCCGCAGCAGCTCCGTCGCTCGTGCTGGATCCGCCACCGCCAACTGCTTCATCTGCGTGAGCACATCAAGAAGCTGATTCGGAGGAAGCTGAGCGAGCGTCTGGGAGATGGCATTCGGACAGTCGAGATGCGGCGGCACTTCCACTCCGGGGGGCAGGGGAGGAAGAGAAGTGCTCGATTGCTGTTGGCCATCGGTAGTTTGCTGTGAATAGTCTTCCGGTATGGAATCCTTCTCGTTGTTATGCGGCCAGTCCACGCGAATCTTTCTCCCCATAATCTCGTAGTCATTCAGATTTCGCACCGCCGAGGCCGCAGCGTCTGCGTCGGCGAAGTCGGCGAATCCATAGCCCTTGGGTTTTCCCGTCTCGGGGTTCATCATGAGGCGGAACTTGGTCACCGTGCCGGCTGAGCTGAGGATATCCTTGACCTGCTCCTCCGTGAGATCTGCATCGTCAGCATGCTTCAGCTGTATTAACGACTGGAAGAAAGCTGTACTTACTGTAGGGAATATTCCCCAAGAAGACGCTCTTCCCCGTTCTTTCGGGAGCCATGATGACGCCAACTGACGCCAAACCTGGGCGTCGACTATATCACGATCGGTCGGAATGAGGCCACTGAATGACAGCCCCAGAAAAGGTCGTGGCAGCAGTCGGAGTGTGGTTGTCTGGGGGCAAGAAGAGGACGTGTGTTGTCGCGGGGAGCGCGATCAAAGAGCTCGAATAATGCCCAGAATGTCCGCCCGGACTAGCCCAATCGGGCCGGAGCCGTCCAACTTCGACCTTCCGGAGCTCCAGCATCCTGCCGCTCTCAGCACTGCAACACACCCAACAGGGATCTTGTCGACACACACCATGGCTGGAAACCCGCGGGAACAGTGGGAGAGGCTGCAGGTCATCCTGCAGAACCGAGCTAGGCGGGCTGGCGGTGGTGGTGCGTTCCGGTTTGGCATGCCCGGCGGCGGAGGGGCGCCAGCGGCAGCTCTCGCCGTGCTGATGTTGGGAGGATATGCGCTCTCGCAGAGTCTGTTCAACGGTAGGCATTTCCTCTCAGTGGACTTGGGAGTGTTGATGCTGATGCAGTGCAGTCGACGGTGGTCACCGCGCCATCAAGTACTCCAGAATCAGTGGTGTGAAGAAGGAGATATACAACGAAGGTATGCCGAGCCTAGCTAGTCATCAGCCTAGTCGTTGGCTTACGGATTTGTAGGAACGCATTTTAGGATCCCCTGGATTGAAACTCCCATCATCTATGACGTTCGCGCGAAGCCTCGCAACGTTGCGTCTCTGACCGGAACCAAGGACCTGCAGATGGTGAACATCACCTGCCGTGTCCTGTCCCGACCGCGGATCGACGCCCTTCCCCAGATCTACCGGACTCTGGGTACGGACTTTGACGAGCGGGTGCTGCCGTCCATCGTCAACGAGGTGTTGAAGAGCGTGGTGGCCCAGTTCAACGCCAGCCAGCTAATCACCCAGCGAGAGAACGTCGCGAGACTGGTTCGCGACAACCTGGCCCGACGAGCGGCGCGTTTCAACATTACATTGGATGATGTGTCGTTGACGGTAAGCAAAGATAAGTCTGTGTGAAGACAAGCGGGCTGTCTGTGCTAACGCGGTCTCTAGCACCTTGCATTCTCCCCCGAATTCACCGCCGCAGTCGAAGCCAAGCAGGTGGCTCAGCAAGAAGCTCAGCGCGCTGCTTTCCTGGTCGACAAGGCGCGCCAGGAGAAGCAGGCGACCATTGTGCGCGCACAGGGTGAGGCACGCTCGGCCGAGCTCATTGGAGAGGCCATCAAGAAGTCCAAGAGTTATATCGAGTTGCGACGGATCGAGAACGCGCGCCACATCGCGACGATTCTGCAGGAGGCTGGCAAGAACAAGCTGTATCTGGACGCCGAAGGTCTGGGTCTGAATCTGAATGCGGATGTGGCGGATGCTCAGAAGAAGTAATCTGCAGTCTGCAGTTCATACTAATTTCCCTTTCTCTTCTCAAACTCTTGCTGGTGTGGTGTGGTGTGGTGGGTGAGATGATTTTTGGAACTGCGAAATTATGTACAAATAGTCGACGTAGTAGTCAGTTATCTTACTGCTTACTGTACGGGTATCAAAAAATGTCACGCTTTTCTCGTCTCATCGCATCTCATCTCTCTCCTTATTATCAGCAAGGAACAACCATAAAATATAAGAGGAAAAGATGCCTATTTGATACGAGACATCTCTCTGCTTGGTATGGTATAACATATTACGCAAGTACGAGCATATTTCTCAACTTGTGTCATTCATTCAAGTCTGTCTCCCTCCCTCCCTCTCTCCCTCTCTCTCTGTCTCTCTCTCTTTTTTTTTTAACCCTAAGATCCCTGGGATACAAATACCTTCTGTTCATCATATCAGAATGGATCCATTCTCAAGACGAACGGACTATGTATGCTTTACAACAACCCAAAATCGATCGTCGGCGGACTAGGCGTAACCTCCATAATCGCTGGTCCTGCGATGACCGCGCTGTCGTCCAGAGCGCTTCCATTCACGGCTGTCCTGGTCAGCAGGGCGAATGTCTGCCCCTGGGCCTGCGCAGGAATCGTAGCTGCCACTGCTGCGGCGGAACCGTTGCTGTTGCCGTTGACGATCTCTCCCGGGACGCTGACGACGCTGAGGCCGCTGATGAAGGTGACGAAGATGGTTGAGGGAGGCTGATGCTGGAAGTACTGCTGCTGCTGATGGCTAAAGTCGCGACGGAGTTGACGGATACTGATGTCGAAGCTGCAGTTGCTGCTGCTGCTGAACCGACGACTGTCAACTCTGGGAACGCACTGAATGGCAGCTCAGCATTCGTCGATGGACAGGACTGGATGAAAGCTGACGCGATGGTGAAGACGGCATTGGGCGAGAGTGGTGTGCCGGCGATGTTGGCGGACACGACGTCCAGGATGCTAGCGCGCTGGACGGCCTGATGCAGGCCCTCTGCGACAGTGATCGCAGCAGCTGCATTAAGAATCTCCTTCGAGGAGATGATGCTGGCCGCGCCTAGGTAGGCCGATACGCCGACGCCCTCGAGCACAGTCGCGAGACCGACGAAGCTGGCGACGTCGGTGAAGGGGAAAGTGTACTGACACGCAGCGACGGGCGTGGCGCCAGCCTGGCTGATGGCCTGCTGCAGGAAGACAACGTGTTGCTCCTCGTCGTGGGCGACAAACTGCAGGTTGACGAAGAAGGAAGCGTCAAAGCCGGCGGCGATGAAGTCGACCTCGGAGAATTGCGCCAGCGCTTGTTTGTAGAAGGTGTTTTCGAGGTGTTCCAGCTGGTGGAGTCAGATGCAATGTATCTTATTATCTTATTGAGTGTTTTCAGGAATTTGTGCTCACCGTCAAGGCAAACTGCAACACGTCCACATCGGAGACTGCCTGCTGACGGCTGATCAAAGGGAACGAGAGGACGGCTGTGCAGCACCAGCACCAAAGAGGAACGAACACTGCTCGAGAAGAAAGGAAATTCATGTCGACAGTTGACGCCTGCACTTGAAAGATGAGAGTATGAACTATTCGGATCTATAGAGTCAAAGATCGAATAAATGAATGATAATATGAAATGGCCAGCACTTCAACGAATGGAATAGAAAATGAGAACTGTCAAAAAGAGCAAAATGAACGTCACGAAAGAAGGTAAATTCATCGACTGCAGTTCGACTGAACTGGGAAAGAGATTCAAGGACGAAAAGAGGATACGACAGTAGAGGGCGAAGACGCCATTTTGAGGACTTTACTCCTTCACATCTCCAGATCAGATCTAGTCGATGCAGGACAGAGCCAAGAAAATAATAGCATGGAAATGAAGGACAAGGACAGGGTTTCATCTGGTCAATGCTAATAAGAACTATGAGAGCGAGCATAGACGTATCACAGTATCATTAATCCAAGGACAACGGACCGATTTACAATGGAAAGCATAATAGTAGGTAGGATGTAGTGGCTTGAATTCGTCTCTATAGCACTGACTATCCTGAGACAGTTGTTCCTTGGCTGCAAGTATTTGATATAAACTCAGCTGGGACCTTGCTTAGACGGGAAACGTCCATTTCAGGGCAATGCACTGGAGGCGTTCTGCATTGATTTATTTCTTGGTTTTAGTATGTAGAGACACATGCATAGATAGATTCCTAAACGATACATCACTTCCATAAAAGGAAAGTCACTAGTATATAGTATACTTGCCTTCTCACTCGGAACAGTCACCGTCAGGGGCAATAGCAATAATGAATAATTCACAGCCATTGACTAGCTAGCTTCCTACCTAACTCTCCTAGATAGGTTCATTTAGGTATCAAGTTCGTTTGAAGTGTCAAAACGCGGTTAGATGCGAGGGCATGGGTTCATGCATGGCAACGGATGAGCCAGCATCCGAACATATATGATACCCTAATGGTTAAGTAGGTACTCTAGTAAAATCTAAAAAGGAAATAGGTAGATTTAGTCCTTCCAAGAGGAGTAAGGGATAGTTTTGGTCATTTTCCCTAGGTAGGTGTGAATTTATATTTATTTGCCTTTTGCTGCAGATAACGTCTCAGGATAGAATGGAATGGAATGAATGAATGTACCTTTGATTTATTATGTATTTCCTTATTCAGATAGTTCGTTTCTTGCAATACATACGCACGTACCTACCGTACCTACCTACTTGCTCTTGAAGGTTACTAGTAAGTCATTAATTCCAGACTGTTATAATTTACTTGCTTGCTTACCAAGTGTGGCAAGCATAATCTACCTAACCTAAACAGATAATATCTTATTCTCAAAGAGGAAGAAGATATCCACTCGTTTAATGTCTGAAGGGGTAACAGTAGTCCTTTTTTTTTGGCACTTATCCTGATTTCACTAATTCCGTTTTTACACTCGGTTCAATTCATGGCATCATCGTCAATTGCTTGCAAACCAGAGAAATAATGTACATATGTATTCTTATCCTCTTTACCTGATATCACCAAGTGCATCGTTCTGGCGGTGCCTGCAGAAGTTACGAAAGTGTGGAGAAGCTCTGGGCGTGGAGCACCAATGAATTCCAACACCGAAATTTTATCTACGGAGGACCTAATCTATCAAAACCTTGCCCCGCAAAAGAAAGCAAAAAAAATCACATTCCATCCACAACCCGAATACCTGTGCTAGAGGCTAACTCGGGCCTCGTTTACGGAATTATTATTGTCAAGGTCGCAATTGACTTTGAGGGTTATTGTCAATTGCGTTTGCCACCTCGTCGCGAGTTTTGGAATTGACCCCGCGATACAATACCGAATCCATAATTGAGGGGCTGCACATGTGTTTTTGATTATATCGTCACACCAGGATCTTTTTCTTTTCTAGAGGAGATAAAACTGTCCTTCAGAGAAGGAAACAAACAATGACGGACCCCAACGACCCGAATCTCGAAGAAATCAACGTCGACATCGATGTCCAAGAAATCCTCCTTGCCGCATCCCAGCATGACATCCGCAAGCTGCGCGAGCTGATTCGGTCGAACACCACGGCCGAGAACCCCGTCAACGTGAAAGATCCAGAAACGGGATATACTCCTCTCCACGCGGCCATTGCAGCCTGCGAGCCAGACGATGATGACACGGCAGGCGCTGCACCCAACGGCGTCCATACAGACGATACCGACAAACAGAGTGAACAGGAAAAGCTGATTCAGGCGGGGATAGATACGGTCAAGTTTCTCCTGCAAGAGGGCGCGATCTGGAATGACCTGGATAACAATAATGAGACGCCGGGATGCCTGGCAAGACGGCTCGGGCTGAAAGAACTCTACGAGCTCATGGTCGACGCTGGCGTGCGGGCAGAAATGCTTTTCAGTCGTCTGCAAGGGTACGAACGACTTTCAGACGACGAGGGTGACGATGAAGAAAAAGAGGAGGGTGGCCACGCCACAGAAAATGAAGCGCAGGAATCCCAACCAGCACAGACGTCGACTGAGGAATCCGAAAGAGGAGAAGCAACACCAGCGGCCACGGAAACGGAGCCAGACGTTACCAGCAGTCGCTACCTTCAATCGCATCTGAGCTTCCAGAATGATCGTCTCTTAGACAACGATCAGAACGGCGTCATGATGGCTTGGGAATCCGACATCATGGCGAAGACAGCCCGCAAGCTCCTCCCTCGTCCCGGCTTGCGCGTGCTGAATATCGGTCATGGCATGGGTATCATCGACGGGTTTTTCCAAGAGCAGTCGCCCAGTGCACACCACATCGTCGAGGCACATCCCGAGGTGGTGGCTGAGATGAAGCGAAAAGGCTGGCACGAGAAGCCTGGTGTCCAGATCCACGAAGGCCGCTGGCAGGACGTTCTTCCAGCCCTTGTCGAGAAGGGTGAGACCTTCGACGCTATTTACTACGACACTTTCGCCGAGTCATACGAGGATTTCCGGGGATTTCTCTCCGAGCAGGTGATCGGGCTGTTGGACCCGGATGGGCTGTGGGGCTTTTTCAACGGCATGGGTGCTGACCGGCAGATCAGCTACGACGTCTATCAGAAAGTCGTAGAGATGGATCTCTTTGAGGCCGGTTTTGACGTTGACTGGGAGGACATCCCCGTCCCTCCGTTGGAGGGTGAATGGACGGGGGTCCGACGTCGGTACTGGGTGGTGGATAACTATCGCCTGCCTATATGCAGGTATATAGATTAGAGGAGCTCAGGGCAAGTAATCTGAGTGGATTGTATAGAGATACCCAGATAAAGTACATTATAATGATGTCTTATGCTAATTGATACTTAGAAATAAGGCATAGTCCTAACCAAAGTAACCCAACTCGTGCCATGTACGAGGACTCACCTAGCGAATTGAGAGCTCACAGGCATAGAAGCCTTTTCCAATGGGTTCTTGACAGATCTGTAGATAATACCGTTCCTCTAGCTCTCGCTAGACAGTCCTCCCACAGGAGAATATGTAAATGTGACCACCGCTTTATCAGCTGCAAGTGCAACACATTCTCAGTCATCCAAGAAGCGGACGTTCTTGACCACATCAGTCAACATTCCTTGACGGCAGCTGTGGACTGGCCCGGATGATGGCCTCTTGGCCACTACTGTATTGCATCACTGCTCCTATCGAACCGAAACCTGCAGATCTCGAGTCTACGCTTCGTCAGCGCGGTGAGAGTGAGTGGTATGGCGACGACACCGTTTGGGCCGGCGTCTAGGCTGAACTGTGAATAATCATCAATCTAATCTGCACCAACGAAGGCGCGCTGGGTTGTCTCGTAATAAGGGAAAGCCGAATGAAAAGATAACAATAATATGAATAATATTCTTGACCTCGATGGAGGAATTAATGTACAGTACAATGTCATAGGTAGGTTTCTGTCTACAGAATCATGACGAAGACAAAGAATAAGGAGTACAAGGAGGCGGCGATGGGTATAGTGCAATTCCAAAGCCAAAGAAGAGGCATAGAAAAGGTTGGATAACAAGAGGATGGGAACAAATACAGAAATGAAGGAGGTGTAAGAAGAATTCGTATCGTTAACAATGGATGACAAGGAACAAGGGGTAATAATCATAATTCATGGCTCTAGTTCTCGTTACCGCTAAAAAATCAACATATCCGCCCAATATGACCGCTTCCCTGGCACGGTACAGTGCAATGTCCTCTATAATTGAATCAGGTCAACCTCAGAAAAGTCAGGAGGGCTGCGGCTAAAGATGGGGCGGCATTTGCCATCCAGAGCCTGATATTCATTACTGATCCAGATGTGCTTGCTGAATCGCTGCGTGCGATAGATCTCATCGTCACTGACTCCGAGATCATCGCGAGGGATCCAGATGACGGGACGCCTCGCGCGTAACGCTTCGTGCTGGAATGCCCGCTGTACCAGCTGATCACGCTCCTCAGGCGTCAGGTCCTCGAGTTCGTCGTTGATGCCAGCGAAAAGCGCATGCCCAATAGTCTTGGTTGGGGGACCCTGGTTTTCTTCATCATGAGCCAACTTCTCACGCATTTTCTGTATCGAAGGTACGCCAGCTTCTGAGTTCGCCCCAAAAAACGTCGAGCGGCGATTTCGAGAGCGATCCGCCCAGGTGTTTTGTTTCCTGACGAGCTTTCCAACATTGCCCAGAGTGTTCGCGTTCTCGTGCGGACGGTCTCTCGGCCCCTTTTTGATCTTCCTCAGTTCGATCTCATGTTCTCTACTCTCCATAGCTTGTTCGTCTCGTTCACGTTCTTTAAGGTCACGTTCACTGCTGTCCTGGTCATCATCCTCAGGAGGCAGACCTAGTCTCGTCCGCTGAGCCCTAGCAAATTCTTCATCTCTGCGAACTGCATCGTCTTCCAATGTAATCGGCAGATATCGAATCAGTGGAGAGAATGCCTCGTTCAGGAAAATTTGGTACCCGACAGTGAGGATGAAGACAACGATCATGATGATTGCTTGGCCTTTACAGGCGACATTACCCTCGGTATCGCGCACAAGGAAAAAAAGGCCTATCAAGCAAAGTTCCATCACATATATCCCTGTGAACAGCTGGTTTATGGCTTTCGGAAAGAGGAGGCCGCCAGTGTCGAAGCGGAACTTGGTCACATATAGAGTGTTGTACCGATAAACGAACCAGAAGAGACCAAAAGTGATAACATTGAACACCATAATGAGAGGTGCAATGATACAGTAGATGAGACCTAGGAAATTTTTCGATGAGAATAAGGCCAGGGGGAAAAAAAAAGTAATAAGCGATTAGTACTCACCGATCGATGCAAGGGTCGTGTAAACCGGAAAGAAAGTGCCCCATTGCATCTGGTTCAAGTTCGTTGTCCGAGCCCACTTCATCCTGGCAGTGTTGTCGAAAATAGGTGCCAGGATAAACCAGCTTATCAGATTAAAGATCTGCACGAGAGCTCCAGCGCTGACAGACATGGCCTGAAGGATCATGTAAGAGAAGAAATAATTACTTGACTTGGGGATGTTCTGCGCTAGGAGTTGAGGCCAGCCGATAATGTTCGTAAAGGAGTCGAAAATTGTCGAAAAGCTGGAAGAGATGGAAACGACCAGAAACAGCTGCACGAAGAGGAATGCGAAATAGTAATTCTGGACGGTGAGCTCAATGGCCATCCCCGTCTGCACTCCTTGCGTCTTCGTAAGGAACCGTAAAATGAGAGGCAGCAGAGCCATAAGGATGGCGAGGAAAAGTGGCGGTAGGATACCTTGGATGGCCGAAACAAACCATTCCGGTAGCTTAGAGAGCCATGCCAGCCATGTGAACTTCCCTTCTAGATACGAAAGCTGCGAAAGGAGACCAGTGAAGGCGACGGGAAATGCCCATCCTATGACCATGCCGCAAACGACGACGTAGATGCCAAATGTCCGCAGATATCGTTCCCACCATTTAATCGACATGTTGTCCCATATGACATCGTCCGGAGAAATTTCGACAATCCGTGGAGCCATTTGTTTCGGAATATGATGACTGACTGCTTGGCAAGCCATATGGGCGGCAACCTGATGGTTGAACTGGATGAACGCCGAATTCATGAGCGGGAATCTCTCCGGATGCTGCTGGTCGATTTCGATCTCAAGATTCAGACGCGCCACCTCTTTCCTGCAGTAATCGATGGTGTCGACCTTTTTACCAATGAAGGGCAGAGACGGCATCCAGCTGAGGCCAAAAAGGGGCAACCGCATCGTCTCTCGATCCTTTGGCTTGATATACTTTTTCCACAAGGGCTCTCCAAGATCACGCTCGTAATCTTCATTATACGCAACTGGATATCGCTCGCCGTCAGCTTTATCCCCATCCTTTCTCTTATGGTGCTGCTTGTCTGGGGTTTGTCCAGATTCCATCTCCCCGTCAAGGTTATCCGGGGTCGCTGGTTTGGTCAAAGGAATTTCATCTCCTTGGGGATCTCGGTCTGTCCTGAAACCCCGCTTCGAGTTTGCCGATGATATGTTCCGCGTCCAAAATGGCCGGCTAGACCCAGGCTGTGGATCTTGGGAAGCCTCACGGTCTTTTTCTCTGCCTTGTTCAGGGCTATAACCAGCAGGAGTCGCCTCGCTTTCATTGCTGGATCGTGCAAAGCGATATCCGGAGCCAGCACCATCTTCCAGTTGTTCATCCTGTATCACTCCGCCATCAGCATCACGAAGAGCAACAGAATCCGAGTTGTTCTTGGTGAGCTGCTCATCAGCACCCTTTTCGACTTTCTTGAGCCCTCCCAGGACCGATTTACCCAACACAGTTACTCCATGGCCTACCGCGTTGAGCCCTTCTCCAACGACCGGGATGAGCGCTCGATTTCTTTGACTCTCACTAAACGAAGAATCTCGACCGCGGGGATGATTTCCAAGGTACAAAGCTTCGCTTACCGTGTGAGCAATCTGATGAGGATTGCCGGAGCTGATACCGGACTCCATTAGAATCTCCGAAGCTCTCTTATCAGCAGCCGCCTTTTCTCTTTGCTCCACCTCAGCGGCGCTCTTTCCAGCTTTCTTTGCTTCGGCCTTTGCCATTTTAAGCTGTGCCTTCTTGCATTTTCTGATCAACTCCGTCTCTGCAGCCTCCAGGGCCAGAGCAAGCTTGTTTCTCAGCTTGACCTTTTCGTTTAGCTCATCAAAGTTTCGATTGATCCAGATATTCCGAATGCCTCCGGGGAATACGTCATATAGGCCATCCAGGGCCTCGACTGAAAGCCATCTCGGTGGAATTGCGGTGACAAGTACAGTTGTCGCAGAGGCCCGAAGTCTGTGTTGTGGAGAAGTTAGATACGCCTGCCGGAGACGAATGTAACCCCTAAGTTCATCAAAGAACACAGCACAGACGTAGACGATACTGATGACAGCTAATATCAGATGGGCCCAGTAGCGATCCGTATGGTTTGGTGCAACGTTTCCCCACGCCAATTGGTCCAAGCCAGTCACATTCCATCTGGAACTATTGGTGCTGCCTTCCAGGGTGTTATCTTTCCCTCCCACTTTATTCAATGGAATAAGAATTGGCAAAATCAGACATCCAAGAGGGAAAAAGATTTTCAGGAGCATGCGCAGGTATCTCAGGAAGAAATATGCATCCAGCCCACACTTCTGAATGAACTCCGAATTGGATGTACGAAAGACAGCGATTATCCAACGAAAAAGGCCTGGAGGGGACGGCGCTGTACGTTCACGGTCCGGAACAAGGTATGTACGTGGTTGGCTAGTGGAGGATTCGACGGTCAGTTACAAATAATCATAGGAAATAACCTTAAGTCCGAAATACTCACTAGATGCGGGTAAGCTTTCCCTTCAGGAGGAGAAAGAGGAGCGTTTCCACCGCGAAGACTATGATGGCAGTGACCAAAGATGCAAGAAATGCCTTGAGGGACATTCCCTGGTTGCGTTGACCAGTGCCGCTTGAACTGTCAAGCGCAGCACCAAGGTCGTTGTCTGCCATCTGGGGCACAGGCTGAGGGTACACCATCTTCCTAATAACACTGTCCACAAGCCGCGGAAAGGATATCCAGACGCAGTAGGCAGAACGGCCAAGGTCGCCGAAGGGAAAGACGTCACAAAGAAATAAAGATGAATGCCATGAATGATCGCGACTACCTCGTCATGAAAGAGAGGGGGACGGGTAGAATGCAGAATCGTAACCAAGGACAGATGGTCGCACAAACAAAACGATAATCTTGGAAGTGTACCAGTTATCTATGGTCGGCCCTGGTCCCTGTTTGCTATCCTTTTGCGGACATCGTAAGTAACCGCGCAACATTGACGGTCCAATGGATGACGAACGTACCGGCATTCAGAGCGAAGCACAGCGCAAAAGGTGAAAAAAACGACCATTGGCTTCGATTGAGTTGACAACTCACGAAGCTTGGGGAGATAAGGCACCGATCATCATAATTAGCGGATGGCGGACCGCCTCCACAGCAGCGCCAGCAATTGTCCAGTCGAAGAGGTATGCGACGATAAACATTGGGGGTTCCAAATGTCCAACCGTCGCAAGAAGTGGATAAGGCTGGGCGGCAATGACATCAACGGCCCCTGAGCCATTGGACGAATCGACTAGAGGCGCCCCGGCGCTATCTGTCCGTCTTGGACGTCGCAGCTTTGCTCGACTAAACCCCACCATTGGACACGAGAGCATCGTAGAGGTGTCGATATTAATAGGCGAGCGCATTGTGTCTCATTCTCCGCTCCACCTGATTCGGGTTGCGAGGGTCATTGATTTTGTACAGGCACTCGGTAAGTGTCAAGTTCCTCATCAATAAAAATAATGGACGGGGACCTGCATCGTGCCTGCCTAGACAGGTAAGTACCGTCACTCCACGTGTGACGGCGCGACAACCGAAACCTAAGCTTTATCACGTGATATGTCGAGGTTAACTACGCTAGCCATGTATGGTTATGTAATGAAGATCACGTAATCACGCAGACGGTACGCCATGACGCGTCTACCAGAAGTGGAAGCACTTTACGCGTCCATTCGCGGTACGACGCGTCCCTTGTTCTCCGCCAAGAAGAATCAGTGACCTCTTCGATTTTGCTCGGAAGCTGCACTACAACGTCCTCCACGGCAACAAACGCTTCGACAGCGACCTTTTGAGGACGGAAGCATCATGTCTTCACCTGCTTCTTCTCGTCGTCGCGGCGGAGCAGCCAGGGACTCTGCTACCTCGACGCCCTCCCGCTCCAGACGCTCTCAACAGGTCCCCAGTAGCCCTGGTTCTGCAGCGATGGATGACCAACAGTCACAGACTAATGGCTCACAAGCGACCCCTCGCGCCTCCAGGCGGTTAAGGGGCGAAGCAGCTGTTCAATCATCTTCGCCGATGTTTTATCAGTCTGACTCCCCCGCGAACGGCACGCAGCGCGGGCAAGAAGGCAGAATGGATATCAGCTCACCTGCACGGGAAGCGTCCGTTGCGGAGGACGGGGACACAACACCTCGGGGCAATAGGCAAGGAGTTAGAGGTACGATCTACAAAGACAGAAATACTTGGATTTACTACTCTTTATGAATTCGCTTCTCGGTGCTGATTAAATCCAGATTCCTCGCCTATCCGCTACATGTCGAGTTCCAGCCCACCGCGAAGCAACAATCGCCAGGAACCCCGCTCGGATATCCCTAGCAGCAGCAGTGAACTGTTCGTTCGCTCCTCGCGCTCGAACATTCTCCCAGGATACTCGCGTGCCTCCTCTCGCCGAAGTGATATCCATTCGGATGCCTTTGGGTCGACACCAAACCGCCGACGAAGGCTGTTCGTTGATGCCAATGGCATGCCTGTCAATGAAGTCGAGGCCCATTCTGATGCCACGTTCTCGAATGTCAATCCAGATACCTCGGAAGCCGAGGCTCTGGGCGGGACTTCGACCCGTGTCATTTGGGGTACTAACATCTCGATTCAGGACTCCATGTCCGCGTTCAAGAACTTCCTGTATAACTTTGCAAAGAAATACCGCATGTGGGCTGATGGAGCCACGGAAGAGGAGACACGTGCCATGGGTGAGGAGGCAGACGAGAGAGTATACATCGCGATGTTGAACGACATGCGGAAACTTGGCGTAACGAGTCTCAACCTGGACGCCAAAAACCTAAAGGCCTACCCTTCTACGCTGAAGCTGTGGCATCAATTACATAACTATCCTCAGGAAATTATTCCCCTGATGGATCAGAGTGTGAAGGACGTCATGGTGGATTTGGCTACAAGGGAAATGGAGAGCTTGAGGAGCCAGGCTCTGAGAAACCAGCCACAAACAAGAGACAGCAGCTCAGCACCCCCGGCACCAAGCTCCGATGCTATGAGTGATGCTGTTCGAGCACCCCCTCCTGAGATTCCCGATTTGGTAGCGGAAGTCGAAAGCAAAACATACAAGGTTCTGCCTTTTGGCTTGGACAAGACGGTCAACATGCGAGACTTGGACCCTGCTGGTACGGTGACCTTGAACATGCAATCGAGATACGAAGATTTTTTTTAATACTAACGAGAGATATCTAGATATGGACAAGCTTATTAGCATCAAGGGTCTGGTTATTCGCACCACACCAATCATACCAGACATGAAAGAAGGTAGGGAACTCCGGTCATAAGCAAGACGTAGGGACAGACGGCTAATGATCTCTTTGTAGCGTTCTTTTCCTGCCAGGTGTGCAATCATAGCGTCCGGGTCGACATTGACCGCGGAAAAATTCAAGAACCTACTGTCTGTCCACGACGGGTTTGCAGCAGCCCTAACTCGATGCAACTGATTCACAACCGCTGTGTCTTTGCGGACAAGCAGGTGATCAAACTGCAAGAGACGCCCGACACTGTTCCAGATGGACAAACACCTCACTCGGTCTCACTGTGTGCCTATGACGAATTGGTCGATGTTTGCAAGGCAGGTGATCGCGTCGAAGTCACTGGTATTTTCCGATGTAATCCGGTGCGCGTCAACCCTCGGCAACGGACGACCAAGGCACTCTTCAAGACGTATGTGGATGTTCTGCATATCCAAAAGATTGATCGTAAGAAGCTTGGGATCGATGTGTCGACTGTTGAGCAAGAGCTTTCCGAACAGGCCGCGGGAGACGTTGAGCAGACGCGGAAGATCACTGCAGAGGAAGAACAGAAGATCAAAGAAATCGCTGCGCGGCCCGACGTGTACGAGCTTTTGGCCCGTTCGCTGGCACCCAGCATCTACGAAATGGATGATGTGAAGAAGGGCATCCTGCTCCAGCTCTTTGGAGGCACGAATAAGACCTTCCAAAAGGGTGGCAGCCCTCGGTATCGAGGCGACATCAACATTCTTCTCTGCGGTGATCCGTCCACGTCCAAGTCACAGCTTCTCCGATATGTCCACAAAATCGCCCCTCGGGGTGTGTATACCAGCGGCAAGGGTTCGTCTGCCGTCGGTTTGACAGCATACGTGACTCGCGACCCCGAAACACGCCAACTCGTTCTCGAATCGGGTGCCCTGGTGCTGTCGGACGGAGGTATCTGCTGCATTGACGAGTTTGACAAGATGAACGAGTCAACACGATCTGTGTTGCACGAGGTCATGGAGCAGCAGACAGTTTCCATCGCGAAGGCCGGCATTATCACGACCCTCAACGCCCGAACGAGTATCCTGGCGTCTGCCAACCCGATCGGCAGCAAATACAACCCGAACCTGCCGGTCCCTCAGAACATTGACCTCCCTCCAACCTTGCTGTCTCGATTTGACCTGGTGTATCTTGTCCTTGACCGGGTCGATGAACAGGAGGATCGCCGATTGGCCAAGCACCTTGTGGGCATGTATCTCGAGGACACGCCGGAGAACGCGAGCCGGGAGGAGATTCTGGTAAGATAATGCGACCCATGAAGTCTTTGTTTCCTTCTTACTGACGGGTATTGCCTTTTGAATAGCCGATCGAATTCCTCACCGCATACATCACCTATGCGAAGACCAACATCCATCCCGTCCTTACACAATCCGCTGCAACGGCTCTCACTGACGCCTATGTCGCCATGCGGAAGTTGGGCGACGACATCCGCTCCGCCGATCGCCGCATCACTGCCACGACGCGTCAATTAGAGTCGATGATCCGGCTGTCAGAAGCACACGCCCGGATGCGGTTGTCGCCCGAAGTCACAGCAGAAGATGTCGAAGAGGCGGTGCGTCTCATCCGATCCGCTATCAAACAGTCGGCTACGGACGCGCGCACGGGTCTGATCGACATGAGCCTGCTGACGGAAGGGACGAGCGCGAGTGAGCGACGACAGCGCGAGAACCTGAAGCGAGCCGTGCTGGCACTTGTGGACGAAATGGGTGCGTCGGGCAACGCTCCTCGGTGGGCGGACGTATATCGCCGCCTGAGTGAGAACAGCAGCATCGAAGTGGAGGGCGGCGAGTTTGCCGACGCGGTGAGAGCGTTGGAGACGGAAGGACTGGTCAATGTCATCGGGGAGGGTGCTCGGAGAACGATCAGACGCGTGGGAGGCGCAATCATGTAGATGTCTACATTTTGCAACGCGCTTTGGTCTGCGGGCCTGGGATTGTTTTTCGGGATGATCCGTGATGATGGTATTTACGTTGATGTCATTCTGTTCGTTAATTCGGATATGTGTAATGCAATCAGCTGTGTTGACATGTCAGGTAGAGAATTTGCATCAAGGAATGGGAACAGCAATGGGTCTTTTCTTTGTCAAGATCTCTGATCGCATGTATAGCATTGTATCTCTACTTTCAATAAAATTGCAAATACTACAATTGACTAGTAGTAGTGAAGACTGCACTGAGAGTCTACCTACAATCTACATCTAAGTCTCAGCTGCCAGTGACGGCTTCCTGTTGGTGGGCACAACCTGCATCTACCCTAACGGCTGCAACGGAACAACGACGCTGGCGGCAGTGGCAGCCAGTCGGGTAAGTTCAACGGCGCTCTAGTTTGCAGATGGGGGCGATTATCGTAGCGTTGCATAAGCATAGCATGGATGGCATGGAAAATACCCGAGAGGAGAAGAGTGGCTCCATCGCAATGCATGTAGTCTGTACAGTACGTATGTACATACCAACCAAGATCTGAGGAAAGAGATCTTATTCCAATTCCGAGTCACATGGTCAATCATCACTCGATGGTCCATTGGCCGGGAAATGATTGCTGCCCAACAAACGAGGGCAAGACAGGGAAAGAGCTACCGTCGCGGTGGAGAGCTGCCGTCGCGACTTCTAAATTAGGCGATCATGCACCTTCTTGGAATCTGCACAGAGCCGCTGTTGCCGAATCGGGAACGCCGCCGGTCCCTGCCGCAAAGAGCGGTCCCACCACGTGAGCCCCGCGGAGACGCTGATTGGCCAGCAGGACCAGCTGCGTGCGGCGAACTTGCAGCGGCGCTGGCCGAGTTCTCCAGGGAGGAGATCGTTTGCATCATCGCCATCTCTCGATTGCCTGGTGTATAGCAATACCTTGCACGGAGTGCTCTGTACTCAATCCTGGAAAGAGTGAAGATTATGGCAATAACTGCCTTGTCTGCGTACAGGATCAAGTGTAATCAATCGGTTTTCCGTAGAGTACGCGCAAGAGAGCCATATGCAGTCTGGCGATCTAGACCGGCCAGCTCTTTGCGGCGGCGGGCTGAGCTCCTGCGCTAGTGGCAAGAGCGGTGTGGAGGGTCAGCAGACTCGATCGTACGTAAGCATGGCACTTTATCTCGCGATAATCCAATTGAAATCGTACTGCTTTTAATAGCAGCATAAACCAGCTGGATTGTAAGCGTCAAGTCTGGCTGACTATCTGAGCCAAATGCGGCATCACCAGATAAGCTCCAACTCCCGCTAGGCCTGCCTGCCCACTTCCGCCCACAGTGGAACCCGCTCCCCTCGATAACCGCCAAGGCCAACAGCAATAATATCTCCCCGGCTGCGGTGCGTTCTGCTGAGGCTCTGTTTTAATCTGTTGCTCCCATCCTGTCCGCTCTGCTTGATGGCGCCGCCCAATTGATCGACCTTGCGTGCCATCCGACTCCCATCCCTGCGTGGGGAACGCCTGCGTCCCTTGATCGCGGACTCAACTTCAGAACTGTCCCTCATCGCAATCCTCTGCCAGTCTTTCTCCGCGTGACGACGCCTTGGTAGCCCACCATGAGGTACGCCCTTCTCAGTTCCTTCGTCAGAGTTGCTTGAGGAAAGTGGTGGTTCGCCAGCAAGGGATGATACTGGCGATTGGTGGTACAATTACACAACGCTAATATTGACTCGTCCAGGTTCGGCGAACAGCTGCGGTCGTCCATGATCAAGGACTTCTACTGGCATTACATTGCCTATGAAGACCTCAAGGACGCCCTCAAGACTCAATTCGTCACCGAGCCCACCCCGGACAATCCCAAGCCCGACCGCAAGCCCTGGACTGAGGAAGATGAGAAACGCTTCGTGGCGCTGCTCGAGAGTGAGCTCGACAAGGTCTTCACCTTCCAGAAGATCAAGAGTGAGGAGATCATCCGCCGGATTCAGACGAGTGAGCGAGAGGTCAATGAAGTAGTCTCTCGTCTCGACGCCGGGCCCGGTCGACCCAATCGTCCGACCGACGAAGATTTCCTCCTCCTCGAGGCCGACCTCAGCGACATCATCGCGGACGTCCACGATCTGGCCAAATTCACTCAACTGAACTACACGGGCTTCCAGAAGATCATCAAGAAACATGACGTACGTCCCCTTCCTCTCCTCAGGGTTATCCGCAATGCGCTAACACAATGGGATGGACAGAAACAAACCGGGTGGTTTCTCAAACCCGTCTTTGCCGCCCGTCTCAACGCCAAACCCTTCTTCAAGGACAACTACGATGCCTTTGTGGTGAAGTTGTCGCGCCTCTATGACCTCGTCCGGACCAAAGGAAACCCCGTCAAGGGAGACAGTGCCGCCGGTGGGGGCCAGCAGAACTTTATACGCCAGACCACCAAGTACTGGGTGCATCGCGACAACATCACCGAGGTCAAGCTGCTTATTCTGAAGGTCGGTTTCTCTTTCCCTACGCCTTGTCATCGAGACGATACTGATGAAGCGTCTAGCATCTCCCTGTACTGGTCTTCAATCCCAGCAAGGAATTTGAGGAGAAGGATTCGGCCATTTCATCCATCTACTTCGATAATCCCGAAACATGGGAGCTCTACACCGGGCGTCTGAAGAAGACCGAAGGAGCCGAGGCGATTCGACTCCGGTGGTACGGTGGCATGGAGAATGATCAGATCTTTGTCGAGCGAAAAACGCATCGAGAGGACTGGACAGGAGAGAAATCGGTCAAGGCTCGGTTCCCCATGAAGGAAAAGCATGTAAACGCGTTTTTGTCCGGTCGGATGACGGTCGAGCAAGTATTCGAAAAGATGCGCAAGGAAGGTAAGAAGTCGGAGCAGCAGATCGCCGACTGGGAGCAATTGGCGCGAGAGATCCAATATCGAGTCATCTCTCGGAAGTTCAGGCCCGTTGTCCGGACTTTCTATCATCGGACTGCGTTCCAGCTTCCCGGCGACGCTCGTGTCCGGATTTCCCTGGATACGGAGTTGTGCATGATCCGTGAAGATAGTCTGGATGGCAAGCGACGCGCGGGTGACAACTGGCGCCGGATGGACATCGGCATCGACTTCCCCTTCTCCCAACTGCCACCCGAGGATATCGTGCGGTTTCCCTACGCCGTGCTGGAGGTCAAGCTCCAGACCCAGGCTGGCCAGGAGCCTCCGAAGTGGATTCGCGATCTCACCGCCAGCCACCTTGTCGAAGCAGTCCCCAAGTTCAGCAAGTTCATCCATGGCTGTGCCACTCTTTTCCCAGACCGGATCCATCTTCTGCCGTTCTGGTTTCCCCAGATGGATGTAGATATCCGGAAACCCGCCACGCGCCGATATGGCATTGAGCGGCCTACCCACAGTACGAGTATATCCACGAGCGACGACATGGACGACGAGGAATCGGAGGACGAGGAGGGACAAGAGCATCGTGCTGCTGATCGCGAAGGCCAGCCTTCGCGCCAGGACCGGGATGAAGTAGACGGCCATAGGCACGATGGTTCGCTTCCTGAAGCGACCGGGAATGAGCTGGACATTGAGGAGCGGATCGCAGCCAATTTCCTGGCTGGTGAGGAAGACTATCCCCTGTATGATTCGGACGATGAGTCGGAAACTTCGGACACGTTAGAAGAGGCACGGCGCGTGGGAGGAGCTTATTACTATAAGAAACTGCTCAGTCATTATACCCGCCGCACGGGACATGCGGCTTGGGAAGCGCTCAAGGCCATCCTGCCGGGGCCGCGGGCCACGCCGATGCCAGACGAAGGAACGAATGGAATTACCATTATGGGGACAGGGAAGCGTAGCGTGAAGCGGTTCATTGCTCCAAAGGGCAAACGTAAGAACTCCCCCTCCTCTCTCTCTCTCTTTCTCCCTCTCTAACTAAACACCCACAGGTATTCACGTCCCCGTTCGTGTCGAGCCCAAGGTCTATTTTGCGGCAGAGCGAACGTTTCTCTCGTGGCTGGAATTCTCCATTATCCTCGGGTCGATAGCTGGGACCCTGCTAAATTTCGGCAGCGATTATGTGACCTTCGCCTCGGCGTGGGTCTTCACTGTCATTGCGGTGATGTCGTTGCTGTACAGTGCGATCCTGTACATTTGGCGTGTGGATAAAATCCGCAAGCGGCGTGATGTCAAACGCGTCTACCACGAGAAATGGGGTCCTACGATTCTGTGCTTGGGGCTGTTGACGGCCGTGTTGGTGAATTTTATCCTCCGCATTCAACATGGCGGCTTCGAGGCGGATGACAGCGACAAGCTGGGTAGAGTACCAAAACATAGGTGGGAGGTGTAACTTGTACTATGCAGGCAATTATGCCCTCTATATGATAGCTGTAGGTCTTGCTAGACCTTGACTGTATCTTAAGTCGTCTTTCTATGTTTTAGCTTCATGGTGTGCTGGTCCTGTTACATGATATTTCACGGTATTCTGGTTGAAGTTGATGTTCACAAACCGAGGAATTGTATTATGTTGTACAAAACGATGAATATGATAATCTGTCAATTTGCTGATATCAGCTTCAAGTCTGACAACCCTGGCGATGCCGGGATCATTCCTTTTTTTTTACACGAATTCATCCAGATTCAAGCGTAAGGAGTAAGTTGTAACCCTGGCACTTATCACAAGGGCGCTTCGGATTCTAGATCACATCCAACAAGTTTGACAGGATCCAACCAACCAGTTAGACCGACTTGATATTAAAAAAAATATCTGAGACGTTTCCATATCCATCCACAACACCATGTAAGGTGCAAAACCGGGGGCAGTCTACGCTCCATCCATTCCTCCTACACCACTACCTACTCCTCAATTGATTACGGAGTAAGGGAGGATAAGATAACATACCGATCAATCGTCATGTCTTTCTGTACAATCTTTTTTTTTTCTAATAAAAAAAATCTAAAGCGAAATGACGACAACGATCTCAATGTCAGACCGGTAGACCTAGAAAAAGTCGTGCCGAATTAAGTAAGAAGAGAGAGTATGATTGATTAGGTATCTGGGAGGAGAGGTACTGAGAGAAATTCAGTTCCTTGTTTTTTATTTTCTTCTATTTATTGGCTTTATTTACATATACCTTGCAGTATTTCTTCCCTGTTCTGTTCCTTTCTCTCTCTCTTTGTTCCATTTTCTTTCTTGCTTGCCTTTTTTTAATTTCTATTTTTGTGCCCTTCCTCCCTGTCCTACATGTAGGCCAGTTCATTATCTCCACTACCTAGGTAGCAACCTGCAAGAAGTAAAAAAAAATGAAAGTAAAAAAGTAGAGAGTCTTTGTCTGTGTACTTACTGAGTCTGAGTCTGAGTCTGATATCTGAGAGATTGGTCAAACACTCACTTTTTCCGACCCATAGGAGGGAAACCTGACCAACCTGAGTAACCTCCCTGACTGGTCTGCCTAGTCCCCCTAGGTAGGTAGGTGGCCAGAAGGTCAAATGCTCACTTTGTCCGGCCCTTATATAGCTATATTATAAGGGGCGGAAAATGTGAGAGTCTGACTTAAACCTCACTTTGTCCGGCCCATAGGAAACCTGACTTCCTTAGCTGGTCTGGTCAGGTCTTTTGAGTCAAACCCTCACATTTTCCAGCCCTTATAATACTGAAGTCTAAGGGGCGGAAAATGTGAGAGTTTGGCTCAAAGACCTCATTTTTTCCATCCTTTAGGTAATCTGACTTCCTTAGCTGGTCCAGTCTACTTAGGGTAGTTAGAAGACAAAATGCTCACTTTTTCCGGCCCTTATATGCCTATATTATAAGGGCTGGAAAATGTGAGAGTTTGACTCAAAGCCTCACTCTGTCCGGCCCTTAGGTTCTAATATTATAAGGGCCGGAAAATGTGAGCATTTGACTCAAAGCCTCTCTTTCCAACCCTTAGGTTTCAGTATGATTCTAGTAGCTACTGGTCAGGTAGTTTGACCTAGACTCTCACTCTTTCCGGCCCTTAGGTTCTAGTATTCTACTGGTAGCTACTGGACGGCTAAAGTGACAATTTGACCTAAACCTCACATTTTCTACCCCTTAGACCCTGGTATTATAAGGGCCGGAAAATGTGAGCATTTGACTCAAAACCTCACTCTTTCTGACCTTTAGGTTCTGGTATAATATTAAAAGCTATTAGTTGGGTAAAGTGACAGTTTGACCCCATACCCCTCACTCTTTCCGACCCTTAGGTTCTTATATTAGGTCTGTTACATATGCCCGGCTAAAGTGACAATTTGACCCAAACCCTCACTTTGGCCGACCCTTAGGTTCTAATATTAGGTTTGTTACATATGCCCGGCTAAAGTGAGGGTTTGACCAAGCAGACTCACAGGATCAGTCATGTGTCTTCTAGCTTACCTAAAGGCCGGAAAGAGTGATAGTTTGACAGAACTACAGCATACATACTATGGTTAGGTAATTATATACCTCTCATTCATTCCAAGCTGATAAGACTTCTTTGCCTTACTGTATATACACAGCGTGATAGCACCGACCTAACAAAGAGATAAACAAAACAAAGAAACTGACTGCGCATTTACTGAAACTAAACTGACTGACTCGCTCATCTATTTTTACTGGCTAATAATCATCGCTTTTTGATACTCACGTCTAGATTGCCAATGAACCACGCTGTGACAAAGACAGCCAGCATGCCAGCAGAAATGGTCAGCGGCTTCCGGAGACCTGCCGCGAAGGGGTAGTCATACACAACCTGTTTTGTTTCAAAATTAGTGGAATGGAACCAATCAAACAGTTAACTTTTGGTACTTACAACCAACTGCGAGTCTCTTGCCTCGTCGGAAAGATTGTCCACACTCAGACTCAGCGCCGTCCGGCCTACCGTGTCCATGTAAGTGCGGTGCTTGGTGATGTTGGACACGATCTGAGACGGATCCGGAAGGCCGTTGGAGGCTCCCTCGACAATCTCGTACCGCACGTTGGTGGCTCCCTCAGGGAGGATCACGCGCACCACGACCTTGTCATACTGGATTCCTTCCGGGTTCGCAGGTCCCTCCACGAAGGGCACCTTGAGCACGTACGAATCGGTCCCTTCCGCGGATTTGCGCAGGAAGGAAGACAGCTCGTTGTTCCAGCCGACCCGGAAGCTGTATTTCCACCCGCCAAAGACCGGGTAGCGCGGCCTGAGTTCCAGCTGCGCCTTGTTCCCGGGCCGGTAACGGCTCGTGGACACGTTGCCAATGTCATCAGTGAAGTAAGGATCCACAGACCCTGGCTTCAATGGGTACCTGAGCTCGCGAAGCGCAGAGGTGGGCATGTTGGTGTACGTCTTCAGCGTCCAGTCGACACGGTCAAAGTGGTCAGACAGTTTGGCACCATCGTTCCGAAGCCAGTACCGCTCCTCCGTCGCAAGGTTTCCACCCCAGTGGGACACCTCGAGGTCTCTTTCCAGCAGTGCACTGGCTACAATGGGTTTGGTTGCCTCGAAGCGGACTGTGATCGGATACGTAGCTCCCGCAGCCACGTTCTTGTAAGGGCCATAGGTGTAGCTGCTCCCCTGTCTCTCAGGATCGCTGCCAGATTTCAGTCCGGAGGTAGTCGTATAATCCGGGACATTGGTGTTGGGGAACTTGATCTTGGTCTTCTGGTTCTCCGTTGGGTAGGCAGAGGGCGCGTAAGCAGAGAAGCTGTAGGTCAGGTACTGCTGGGCGTCTTGCTTGATAGCCTTGGGGAGCGGGTTCAGAGCAGAGAGAATGTAGTATGAGATAGCCAACGTGAGCTGAGACGAAGGAGCCAGCGGTTCGGGGAAATGAATCTTGTAGAATTGCGAATCACTGAGCACGTCAGCAAGACAGATATTGGATGAAATGACATGCCATTGAGAAAGATGCAGCACCAACCTCGGGCTGTCAAGCTGTGTAGCTTCAACATGGAAGCGTCCCTTCCCTGGGGCCTTCTTATTCCGAACCTCGAGTCCTCCAATCCTGTCAAAGACGTCCGAAGGGAAGGCGAGGTAGTAGTCGGCCTGCGGCTGTTTAGCCGTGTTCTCTACGACGACATTGATCGTCTCTCGGACGTATCCCTTTTCCAGATTCGTGTTCCGGACGAGGTTCGCATTCTTGAAAACCTGTGGCGGCTTGAACTCCTTGGGCAGAACCAGGCGCGACGCAGACGAGCTGGTGACGTTGGATTCAGCGGCGCATAGTATACTCCAAGTGGACAACAAGCCGGAGAGGACAGCGAGGAATCTCATTGTGCCGGCAGCGGTCCAGTGGCAGACCGCTCCGCAGTCCCCAATGCTTCACGAAAATAACAAGGAAAAAAAAAGAGAATGAACAAAAGCAAAGAAGGGGGTGAAGCTGGGTGCAGCTGGTGTCGCGTACTCGTCAAGCAGCTTAGGTGTCCCTCCGGACGGTTGTACGGCAGCCGTTGCGGCCACTTGGCGCACTCCGCTATCTATCAGTCGAGCTCCGATGATACTGTGGGGACCTGCAAGCTATCTAGCTATATATCCTATATATCCCACCGAATTATGCACCATCCAGCATGATTTTTTCACGGACTGTCGCGCGGCTGCGCGGCTTTCCAGCTAGAAGACCAGCCTCCGGACTACGGCGTCTTTCGCAGAAAGCTGCTGAATTCGCCGGGAGCAAGTTTTTCCAGGTTGCGGAGGAGGTCCGGGATGCCGTGGCCACGGGGAAACCTGTAGTGGCGTTGGAAACGACGATCTATACGCATGGTATCTTTATTTCTCATAAACCAATTCGTGTTGGAGGTCTCTAATGGAATGACAGGCTTTCCATACCCCGACAATGTCGCCCTCGCATCGCTGCTGGAATCGGTTGTCCGCACCAATGGCGGCGTCCCCGCGACTATCGCGGTATTCAATGGCGTAGCTCGAGTGGGATTGGGAGCTGAAGAGATCATCGAATTGGCCTCGACAGCCAAGACGAAGTCGGCATTGAAGGTTTCCCGTCGAGACCTTGGCTACATCTGTGGTCTGGTAATTAGATCGAGCAGTTGCCGCATTCGAACCGATTGCTGAGTCGCGATAGGGAATGGCAGGCAAACGCATCCATGGTGGCACCACCGTCTCAGGCACGATGATCCTTGCTCATCTGGCTGGCATCAAAGTCTTTGGAACCGGTGGACTCGGTGCGTGACAAGTGCAAGTGTGCTGTACATGCCAGGAAGGCTAATGTCTGTTAGGCGGCGTGCACCGTGGAGGAGAAAGCACCATGGACATCTCAGGTAGGAATGTAATTTTGCAAGTGGTCTCTCAACTTAGCATACTAACTGGTCATTACCAGCCGATCTTACGGAGCTGGGACGAACTCCCGTGGCCGTGGTCAGTTCCGGATGCAAGAGCTTCTTGGACATTCCACGCACTCTCGAGTATCTCGAAACTGAAGGAGTCTTGGTCGGCACCTTTGCCGATGGACGGACAGGCCCCGTAGACTTCCCAGCATTCTTTTCGAGGGACAGTGGTGTAAAGAGTCCAAAGGTGATCCAGGACGAGGCGGAGGCTGCCGCCATCATCTGTGAGTCCGATCTAATCGTCATTCATCATTTGATACAGCTTTTTACTAACGGGACGCCGTCAACAGTCGCCCAGTCTCAGCTCCCCCTATCATCAGGGATCCATTTTGCGAACCCTGTGCCGGAGCAGCATTCGATTCCCAAGTCTGAAATGGACGAGGTGATCAAAGAGGCACTTCGACTTGCTGATGTCGAAGGGTTCCACGGAAGCGACAATACGCCTTTCGTCCTCAGCAAAATAAAAGAACTTACTGGCGGAAAGAGTGTTGCTGCCAATCGAGCTCTAGTTGAATCCAACGTGAGGAGGGCAACTAGAGTTGCCGTGGAGCTGGCTAAACTTGAGCAGGCACACGGCGGGCAGATTGATCGGTGAGCTTCTTCAGCTCTTATCGTACTGGAGGGTGTACATATGTGCTAATGTCTCTTGTATCTATCTTGTACAGGCGAATGCCAGTGAGTTCTGGAGCAGTATCTGACCCCTCTGCGTCAAGTCCGCCCCCATTGCAGCATGACAATAAGGTAGAAACTCCAGTGTCATCCACTGAGTCGCAGAAACGCGTGGAAAAGGCAGATGTCCTGGTTGCAGGGTCTCTTGCAATCGACTTCTCCTGTGACTACGCCCCCTTGGGTGACCGGAGGAAAGAGATATCACCATTTCCACACACCTCCAATCCAGCCATCATTGGACAAAGCTTGGGTGGTGTAGGACATAACGTCGCCCTTGCTGCACGCTACGCTGGCAGCTCTGTTCTTTTCTGCAGCGCAGTGGCAGACGACCTGAGCGGCCGGGCTGCCCTTTCGGCTCTTGAGAAAGAGAACTTGAGTACAAAAGGCGTCCAGACATTGCCACCATCATTGGGAGTGAGAACGGCACAGTATGTCGCTGTAAATGACGCGAAGAAAGACTTGGTCGTTGCCATGGCAGATATGGGCATTATGGAGCTCCCTGAGCATGACTTCAACTTCGATAATTTCTGGGATCCGATCCTGGCCCGGACCAAGCCAAATTGGGTCGTGGTAGATGCGAACTGGAGCGCGGGAGTTTTGGCGAAATGGATTTCTTGCGCCAAATACCATGGCGCTCGGGTGGCTTTTGAGCCTGTATCGACCGCCAAATCGACGAGAATCTTCAGCAAAGACAGATCAGGCGGCGCAGTAATTGGACCATCAGACACGGTTCCCAACCATAAATTGAATCTCGCGGCTCCAAACAGGCTGGAACTGGCGTCGATGTACACGACGGCTCGCGAGAATGGACTTTTCGACTCTTCCGGGTGGTGGAACGTCATCGACGCGCTGGGCATGTCGAGCTCTGGGTCCCGAGATCGGCTGATCTCCATTACGTCCAAGGCCATCGTCGACGAGGGCCTTCCGCAGCAGAGCATCCAGCTGCTGCCATTTATCCCATGCATTCTGACCAAGCTGGGGCCGCAGGGAGTGTTACTCACGCAGTTGCTCCAGCCCAACGATCCCCGGTTGACCTCTGCTGACTCCGCGCCCTACATCCTGTCTCGAGCAACTGACAACAGTCTCATTGGAGGGGTCTATATGAGGCTGTTCCCTCCGGAAACCGTTCTGGCAGACAAAGACGTTGTCAGCGTGAACGGCGCGGGAGACACGCTGCTGGGGGTCGTCATGGCCGGACTGGCGATGAAGTCAGAAACGAAACAAGTAAAGAGACTTGAAGACATTATACCCGTTGCCCAGAAAGCTAGCCTGAAGACACTTCAAAGCCCTGACAGTGTGAGCGTCGATATCCGAGGCTTGAGAACGCTATTGGAATAAAAACCAAGTAGAAAGACTGAGAGAAGCAGAGAGACAAACAAATCCCGGACCTGACCTGACCTGAGTCTATTTTGCATCGTCTATCAGATTGCACTCAGTCACCAACACGCGCACATTCTGCCTACAACCAATCACCCATAGGCTGAGGACATATATAATTCCTTTTTCTCTCCCTGGCGACGAACACAGGTTGTAATGGTGCAGCGATTAGGACTGCACTCCAGTACTCAAAAAGGTCTGGACAAACAAAACAGTTTGTGTTCGATCCCTCTGGTCTTCAAATAAAAAAGGCCCAATCATCCTAACAGAAATCAGTGGGGGTGCTGCGGGAGGGATGCCGCCCCTTATCATATGTTTTTTATATTTCTTTTTTTTCTTCGGTGAGTTTATTATTTCCTTTTTGGGGAAGTATACAATGTCTTCAGATGTTCCAAACTGCAGTGGACGTCTTCTGCTTAGGTACTCTCCTGAGAGCATCGATGGAAGCAATAGAGCAACATAACTTCTATGCTGTACTGTACAGTCTGTACTGGACTAGAAGGGTTTGTAGAACAAGGTTTAGATAGAATTGTCTACATAACTGACCGTTTCTAAGGAAAAAAAATAACAATTTTCGAAGGAAACAACAATGACTCCTCTTCTTCTCTTTTCCCTCTGTTCTTTTTATTTTTCTTTTCCCTGCTCTGAGGCTATATTTGATCTACTTACTATCGTGGTCTAAGATGCTAAGTCATGAGAATGTATTTAGTGAAAAAGAAGAGGTAGGCTTTGATTTTATATATCTGTTGGTAGATTTTGAATAACCGTCAGTTGACCGTTCTTTCTTTTTAATAGATTCTCGTCTGATACTCAGTCTCCATTATTAACTTTAATATTATTGTCGAGTCTGTAAAACTGTCTGTCAGGTTTCCTACATCCATGGATCCTGTACACCTACCACAACAGGCAGGACTGCCCGTCGGGAAAAATCGGAACGGAAGACTCGAGGACCTTGACGGTAACAAAACAAACAGGTGGGGAAGACCAGGAAACACGGGCAATTAGATCACCTCCTTGCGACTCAGGAGGCCAGACGAACAGTGCGGACTTCCAGGTTGGCATGATGAATTGCCGGATTGGGTTGCTAGCTGCGCTTCAGGGCATCAATAATAATCCATCATCGTTCTTAATTAATTACCGTCTGTCTAACCGAGGCTGGACCGTGACCTCGGCAGGTGAACGATAGAATGTGTCGGGAAGAATCCCATATTGAGAGAGATTTCACAAGTCAGGAAGAGTTTTGAATCGTAACAGTGTCTTTCTTGAACGCACAAGGGCATAGTGTTGTAGCTACCTAGGTAGCCTCGGCCCTGCCTCACGTGGATTGATTGGGCGTGGATGGAACGCAAAAAAAAACCACTTCCCCGCATTATTATTCAGTATCACTCTCGAGATGCCGTCGTTACATACTTTCTTTTTAACAATGCACGATGTAAACTAGGATGGGCCTTGCAAGACGTATGGAGTACCGCGTACGTACTCCGTACTCTACAGAGAAGCGTGCTGACTTGCCGCCTTGGGACTGCCACGCGGGAAAATGCATGACGCACACATGCGCCGCGTGGGGAGGAATTCGTCTAACGACCACGTCCAATGAGCTGGTCACCATTATATTTTGCTTGTCGCAGGCAGTGGAGTCCTGTCAGAGCATGGGTTGGGCCTGGCACAGCTGATCTTCTCTCGCTATTGAATGGTGGCTGTGCTGGTAATATACAAGTCAGTAGTAACGAGTAATTAAGTCATCTATTTAATTGAAGAGCTGCCAAACCCCGAATACAGTACAGAATCTAGCATTGGCGTGCCTGCCCAATGCGGCGGCCTTTTCTGTCTCGCTTCTGCCCAGCCTCAGGCACTGTTATTACTCTGACGCCATCACCATTCTTAACTTCTTGTGCCTCAGGACAACCCCGCCAACGGGCTCAAGACACACGACAAGCAGCATCCAGAGCACCAGCTGACGCCAGAGGAGCAAGAGAAAGGCATTGGCTCTCCGAATACTGCTTCTCTGTCCTGCAGCTGCTCGGGCTTGCCTCCTGCGCAGCCATCGTATTAATTGGCGGTTCGAGGCCCAACCATTATTAATCTTTTTCCACCCAAGATTCTTCTTGTCGCGCTAACAGTCAGCCCCCATTCGCACAGTCCCTCAGGGAGTTCAATGAGGCTTGCCATCCCGCCATCTTCGCTGACTCTTCTTCTCCTCACTTGCTTCCCTCGTATGCGGGGTCTTCGCGACAACTGAATCCTTCTGGTCTGGTTCTGCCGCGCTCCCTCCGCCCGAACGCGCAGCTCTCCCCGCAGGCGCCAACAACTGCTGCTGCTTCTCTCCACTCTTCAGCCTTGCCGCGCTAATCCCATCGATCGCATCGCGTCTTCACCTCCACCAGCAACCAGCTCCCCTGCTCTGGCCACACGACCCCTGCTCAATCGATCTTCTGTCTGTGCCGTCAACAGGGTTTACCGTCATCGCTCGATCGTGTCCCTCGGCTTATCGATACGATAGCTCTGAAGTTCCAGAAATCCCTCCGCGTCATTTCCTCTCTGTCCGCATCCCTGCCGTACTGCTTCAAAGACGCAATCGACATCCTCCGAGTCGCCCGTGGAAGACGGCTTTGGTGATGCTCTCCGCCTGACGTCTGGAACGCGCTCACCCGAAACTCACGATCCCAAGTTTGAATGCCTCAGTTACTGGGGGCTGTGAACCTGGTGCGCTGGTTCGATAATTGCCCGTATCTGCGACGGCCCAGAAGAGGGGCTGGAAAAGCGCTTCGGCTACCTGCAGCAAGGCTGGGAGGTGATTTAGATCGGTGATTGAATGCCAAGGAAACAAGTTGCGCTGTGTTTCCCTGCGCGTCGATTTCGCAGTCCATAGATTATGACAGAGAACGGCAAAGATGACACGCGATCCCCCTCGGTGGATCACAGCGCCGGCGACCAGGAATCCGGTGATATAGCTGAACAGAATGGGTCGACCGAATCGAAGACTAACTCGAACAACGGCGAAAATGGAACGACGCAAGATGCGCAAAAGCCCGCTTCGAATAATCCCAAGGACCCGTCGAGGCCGCGACGGAAGAAGGCAAGGCGAGCTTGCTTTGCTTGTCAACGGGCTCATCTGACTTGCGGTATGCTAGCTCATCTTCACGCACAAAAAATCCTTAAATCAGCCGTTACTGTTCTACATTGGGACTTCTGCTGATAGATCTGCATAGGTGACGAACGGCCTTGTCAACGCTGCATCAAACGGGGGCTGCAGGATGCCTGCCATGACGGAGTCCGGAAGAAAGCCAAATATCTCCATGATGCGCCAGACGGTGCGCTCATGCCGGGCGTGGGTGCGAATTTCTACAATCAAGCCAATGCGATGCGCAACAACAAAAACCCACCTTTCCCTCAGAACGGCACCAATGCGACTAAAGCTGAATCTAACCCCGGCAACAACTTCTATGCCTCGTCGCAACCGTCCTCCTTCGCCTTCGACCAGAACAAGACTTCAAATCAGATCCTGTCGGAGAATACGATAAGCCAAAGCGCGTTCAACACCCAGTCGCCCGTGTCGCCCACATTCAGCATGACGACGACCTCTGCCATGCCCTCTACGATGACCCAGCAAACATCTGTGACCGACCCGTCGATAGGCACTGCTCCGTCGCAGAGTCCGTTCGGGGGCGCGTTCTTCGATCCCAGCGATCCCGCATTGTTTAACTTTGATCTGGCCAGCATGAACTTTGGAAATCGGTACGGCGCCCTTGAATTTGGCATGCTTGGACACATGGCTACTGGAGCTGGGGATACGCCGCCCAGCGACACGGCGACCCAGCGCGGGTCCGTCGGACGCAGCGGTTCTCAGCAGTTTTCCACTCCGGCGCCCGGTTCTGGGTTTGGTGAGAGTCCGAGCAATCAACAATCGTTCATGTTCGGAGATACGATGCTGAACGACTGGTCGAACGGGCAAATCGGCAACCTTTACGGGACATCTGGTCAGGGCAACCTGGTTTCCGGACAGCTGCTGAAACAGGATGCGCCGCACGCGTTTGCCATCGGAAGCGGTTCAGGCAGTCTCACGAGCCCGCCGTCAACGACCAGCCCGCAGATGACGACGACAACAACGACAACGACAACGAACTACGACGATTCGGCCAACAAATCGAAGCCGGTTATCTCCACCCCGCATTTGCGGCATCAGAGCTTGTATTCGGCCGTTAAGCGGCGCGACCGCGATCCGTCTTCCATCTACGAAAGTGTCAAGGAGCCTTACTCGTATACCAACGGTTTCCACAAACTGATCGCTTTCATCCAACGACGGTTCTGCCCCAGAAGACGTTGCGGATTGCCAAGGCGCTGGCCTCGATTCGTCCGTCGTTTATTGCGACCACCAAGACGTTAAATCAGGATGATTTGATCTTCATGGAGAAATGTTTCCAGCGAACGCTGTGGGAATACGAGGACTTTATCAATGCTTGCGGCACGCCGACCATTGTCTGCCGGCGCACCGGGGAGGTGGCTGCCGTGGGGAAGGAATTCAGTATTCTCACTGGATGGAAGAAAGAGGTGCTTCTGGGGAAGGCGCCCAATCTGAACGTCAACACAGGGGGGGATTCCTCGGGCACTTCATCCCGGGGCAGTTTCACTCCGCGGGATAATGCGCCATCGGGAACGACACAGCCGGTGTTCTTGGCCGAACTGCTCGACGACGACAGCGTGATCGAGTTCTACGAGGACTTTGCGCGGCTCGCGTTTGGCGATTCGCGGGGCAGCGTGATGAATACATGCAAGCTGCTGAAATACAAGACCAAGGAGGACATGGAGCTGGTCAAGTCGGACGACGGGCGATGGAACACGCATGTGGGGAAGGGGGGTATAGCAGGCGAGGCGGGCATGAACCGGCTGGGGTTTAAAGATGGCAAGGTGGAGTGCAGTTACTGCTGGACAGTCAAGCGGGACGTATTCGACATTCCGATGTTGATAGTAATGAACGTACGTCTCCATCCCGGACATATTCAGGACGATGCTGACATGTTGACAGTTCCTGCCACATATTTGACTGGTTCTTCGACTCGTTTCGTTTCGTTTCGTTTCGTTTTTTTTATCTTGCATATCCGGGGACCAAAAAAAAGTGATACCAGGGTTATGGGTTTGTTTCTGTTTCATGCCCTTTCGGTGGATTAGCTGGATTAGCTTGTGTGTATATATACAACATATGTTGATTTGGTTTTTATTATTGGACTATGGTGGAACGAAGTGGAATGGGGAATCTACAGACAGATAGTTGCTGTTCTGTTGTGATTGTGTAGCTGTAGCACATTATCTTCAATGAGTTCTTACTCCGGGGTAGACATCAAAATCCCTGTTCCTGACCATTCTAATATAGGTATATCTTTCAGAAACCCGTACCGGATCAGGGGGTTTTTAGAAACCGTCGTTCGACCGTTATTCAAGGTCAAATAACCGTTTTACTATAAGAAACGTTAGCATTATGATAACACGGTTATATAACAGTTATTCTATAGTTAGTGATTAAGCAACGTTAAATTTTTTTTTTAAAAAAAAAGGAAATGTTAATTTTTAGGAAAACGTTCATTTTATATTATAAGAAAAGGCCAATTTTTTTAAGGATGGTTTTTTTTTTCAAAAGTCTAGGTGCTTTTTCTTCTACCTTTATAGCTTGTTAACCACAACACCAGAACTTTGATATAGTGGTTAGATTAGATAGAAATTGAAGCCTTATCTTCTTCCCAAAATGTAATCTTGCATATATTCTTGGTAGATCATGATCGTAGTTTGAGTTATACCCTAGGTAGTATCAGTAAAAAAAATAAAGCCTCCTACTCCGTAAAGTCATAAAAAAGAGGTTAGTAAAATAAAAAGGGGTTAACTTTTTTACTTATAGTTGATTATTTTTTTTAACGCTATTTTCTTAACAACGGTCCAGATATGTAGAACTTTATAAGTGACGTTAACTTTTTTAAAAAAAATGTCAAATAATGACTGTCCATCAACCGTTTCTAAAACCCCTCGGATCCCGTACGGACGAGAAGGACAGGTCTCTGTGACGTACTCCGGAGTAATCTCGGACTGTAAAACAGCAAGACGGATTCTTTTCAGGCGTAATTAGTACAATCTTCAACGTAAACAGGTCTCCGTGGCGCAATCGGCTAGCGCGTCTGACTGTTAATTACATAATAATTAGCAATCAGGAGGTTGGCAGTTCGAGCCTGCCCGGGGACGTGTTGCTTTTTTTTCGAGATTTTCTGTCGTTCATATTATAGAAAAATTCGCCTAATTGCTCGGATGGATGGACCCCTGCATATTAGCCAATTACATTATTTCTTTTTGCCTGTTTTTGTATGGTAAAGAGAATAATAGGGCATTATAAAGCCTATAAGGAAGCTAACGGCTTCCACATACCTGTAATGTGATGCTCATGTACGGAGTAAGCGGAGTATAAGGTGCCAATATGAAGCCTACCTATAGGGAAGCTGTGAGAAACTCAACAACGCTTACATAATTTCCACGGACGGGTGCTGAATAAGCAAAACTGACCAATCATATGCATTTCCGTAGAAATTGTCAGAGAAAAAAAGTTCTTCGGAGTACAGAGTATATGACAGTAGATTGAACATCAAAAAGGGGCAAAAAAAAGGCTACGTCCCCGGGCAGGCTCGAACTGCCAACCTCCTGATTGCTAATTATTATGTAATTAACAGTCAGACGCGCTAGCCGATTGCGCCACGGAGACCCTGACTGTCAGGTCCCGAGCTCACATAATTGAGAACAAGCCTGTACGACTCGGTCTGGTTGTTGTCCGCTTGAAGGGAAATGAATACCTAGGCTTACTACTCCGGAGTAATGCCTATAGATACTCCCGCCGGGTCCCAGTGGCCCTCTGCAAGCCTGTACAGATTAATATATATATAAGCCTTTATAAAGCCTCTAAGGAAGCCTATAGGAGACTTGCCGCCAGTGACACATGCATGTTTGGCACTGAACCACTTTTGCTAGACTATATAGCATTGTAGATTTATACATTTACAAGAGTTCAGTTGGCTTAGGTCAGATACAGTGTGTGGAGGCAGGCAGATGAGTAGCTAAGTGGCAGAAAGAAGGGCAGATTGGCTGCAGAAAAAGCAAGTCTGCGACGACAGCAGCTGTATTACATAGAGTATCATGCAGCCTTCTTCTTGCTGTGTGAAAGAATAAAAAAGTGGAAAAAGCAGCAATTATAAACAGATAAAAAAAGAATAGTAGCAATAACCTTAGATTTCAAAGAAAAAAATATATCTGTAAAATTAGCCAAAAGGGAATTAAAAATGACGTCTCCGGGAAGGCTCCAAGCTGGACAGATTGCACCACGGAGATGTATGCTTCATACTGAATGTTAGATTTATAAATTATATAGATAAGCGGTTCAGTGCACACATGCATGTCTATTCAGAAACTGGTATCTTCATCGGGGTCTGTACAGTACATTTTTGGTAGCCCACAGCCATGTTCAAAGCTAGCAGCAATATATATTTTTTGCCTTTTTTTTTGGTGCATAGTATGCAAAAGTATCATCAAGAACTCTTTGATTGCACCTGCGACATTTTCGTAGCATAATATTATTATATGGCGGTCTTCCAGGAAAAAAAATAAGGTCCTGGATAGATGCTTTTTTTTTTGCCGCGGGTTTTGCAGATGTAAGTAATAGCAACCCTGAACGCGATCTGAATGCGACTTTGACCAAACAGACTATCTTTGCATTGCAGAAGGTAGGTAGTATGCCATAGTAAGCTCATGCTCAGATGAAATGGGCTTTCTATCAATCTTTAACCCATCTTGGCTCTGGATCCATTGGATGAGTTCAGGGTTTGTTAAACCCTTTACGTTATTAACATGCTAGGTTAAGAGATTGTTAGCATAATGATAGAATCAGACCAAGATTTATTATTTTAGCAAAGACAATCAATCCAACAGCGATCTGACTCTGTCTATCATGCCTAATTCGGCGAGAAATTACTCACTGGGACCGTTATGGTCACCTGTTTGCCCATCTGTCATCCTCCCTCTATCCACCTAGAGACCAAGCACCTTCCACCACCAAAGCAGCCAATTACTGTCCTCCCCACGTCACCTTTTAGACTTCTTGGCGGTTTTGTTTCTGGCGTTGTTCGAGGTCTTTGGTTTCTGGGTGATAAGAATATCTGATAGAGTCGTTTTGCAACCCTTAGTCTTGCATTCCTAGCACTGATGTCCCTTCCTATTACACAACGCACACCTGGCACCCTCCTTTTTGATGTTGCATCTGTCTTGGGTAGGTCCAACGTTGATGGATCTGCCGAGACTTTGAGTTGGCGTTGGAAAGATGATGACAAATGTTGCTGTTGAAATTTTGCCGGCGAGAACCTCTCGAATCACGTATGCAGGGATAACTGGGCCGCGCTCCTTGAACTTCTTATTGAGTCCAGCCTGGATATCCACAGCAGTATGGGTAGGTCCAACGGCCACAACCCAGGCATGCGGCCCATTTTCACCTACATCCCCAAATTTGGCGTATGATGTGGGAATTTCTGTGCTGTTGCACTCAAACGTCTTCTTTTGCAGTTTTTCCAAAGATCTGTCTTGGTGCTGCTGTGTATCATAGATGAGTGCGTAGTATGACGTTGCTGACGCTATAATCTTGACACACCCTTTACCTGAATTCTCCCAAAGGAATTCGAAGAAGGATCGAAAGACGTTCGCTCGAGCCTTGCACTTGCGGTCAACAGTCGCCCAAACACTTCTGCCGTCCATTGTCAGGCGAGATTTGTCAGCTTCAGACAGTCTTCGGGTGAGATTTGGTCGTAGTGCCAGAAAAGGCGAGCCTGTCATGGCTGCGTCGCTTCCGGTCGTTTCCTGTGTCCGCTTTGGAGTCGTTACAGTTCCGGTTCGCTGTTGTGCTTTTGATGGGGGTTCCAGCTTGTAGACAAGATAATTAGCTCATCCCACTGAGAAATGTCGGCCCAATCTGACAACTCGAGAGAGACTAAAAATCTCAAGTCAAATAGACTGCCAACTGATTCCTCTGGCAATACTGCTGAAGCAGCCATAAACAAGGACTTGGCAATCTGATCAAGTTGAGATTGACCTCGCAAAGACTGATTTATTTCAAATGTTAGCAAATCCGTATAATAAATCATTTAGGGTGAAGTTTTTACCTCCTCCTTGCTCGCCAGATCATCTCCTTTGATCATACTTGTCATGGTCATATTGCTAACTTCTTTCACCTCTGTGAATTCAGCAGTCGATGTCCCGCCTTTAATCTCCTTAAACTTGTATGGGGCAGCTGCCTTTAGCTCAGCAAGTGCATCGGCTTCCAATTTTAGTTGTTGGACTCTCTCCGGTCCCTTTAGCTTCCCATAAGTTCCAGGACAACGTGTTCTCTCATAGAAATGTTTTAACCTTGATGCCACCTAGTTGGGCAGCCACAGTTAGAGAGATGTCTTGTCTCTGCCTCCTAGTCTTTCTGAATTCCCTGCCAGTTTCAGTATTTTGACCAGTATAAAAAAAGTACTGTGGATGGCACACACATACCACAAATCGGATGAGCCATCGCCTTGAGTTTCTCGTAGTTGTTCAGAATGGTTGGATCTCGTTGTCGTTCGTCTGCTAACCAGCGCAATGCGGTGCCGCGAAACAGGGAGGCGAAGTATGCAGCTTGCTTTCGGTTATCCTCGTCAAAGGCGTCGTCTGTTAAGAATTTGATCTCGGAGTAGGTGATGGCTTCCCAAAGTTGATGTTCTTTGCCATAAAAGAGGACTTGTTTTGCCATTTCTTCGTCTTCCTGCGTGATGGTGTAGCAGTCGATTTGATATTGCTCCGCGTTACTGGTCGTTTCACTCGTCGTATAATAATGCGGTGCGCCTTCGTCGTATGCCTGTCTATTCGCTTCTCCAGGGGCCAGTCTTGCCTCGTCTGGAACCCAACTTCCTCGACTATCGTACCCTCGACTCGAATCTCTTTCACTCAGGGCTTGTTGACTCTTGCTATAAGGTATCCTTGAAGAACTCATGAATAGGGATGGAGGCCAAAGAGTCCCGGGATAATCCTCTTTTCATTGAGTTGGCCTCGAGGTTCTTGTCTTCTGTCCGTCCGATGATAGAGAGCTCCACATCTTTAAAATAACCCCAGAGCTTCAGAGGGACAAGGGTTTTGTGAAAAAGCTCTTGCATTCTTTTTCGCACAGGTCTCCCCCAGCAAATCTCCACAACTGCACCCATATGCTTGCGTAAGGCAAGCATAAACTCTTCATGGATTTTGAGGATGTCTCCAGGGTAGTACCTAGTAACATCTTCTGAATTGTCCATATATTAGACAATTCTGTGATGAGAACCCAACCTGGTTGATCTGATTGATTGTGGGACTTGTATTATCATCGATTTGCCGAGAGAAAGGGTCTGCGACATAAAATATTGGGTTGTGTAAATGGCATGCAACTGATGCATTAATATTTCCACTAGGGGAGCGTATCAGAATGTTCGACTCCGAGGTGCCTCCATGCTCGTGTTTCTTGTTTGAAATGTGAGAATGCCTCCATATAACTGCAATCAGAGCCTATATATTTAGTTATATGCCACAAAAACAAGTTAAGTAAGAGTCTTATACTGCACCTGCCGCTGTTTTAAATCATCCAGGAGTGGCCTAAGCTCCCACACCACCTGTAAATCATCACCAGTAAGATATTCTTCTGGTGGCTCCAGCCAGAGGTCACCAAAAAAAGTGGTAGGTATGTATATTGGTATCTTCCATCATGCTTTCTGATGGTCCCTGATGATGAAGTCGACAATGATGGTCTGCCCAGGACATAAAACCTTTGAATGGAATATTATAGCAGGACTGAGCACCGTAATTATTTATGGCATAACAGGCTTTCGTCTAGGCTTGTATGGCATAATGTCGATATAATTTGGTAAGTTTGTGGAGGTCAGAAGGTTTAGGCTGGTGATCTGATACGAATGAAGAAAAGATGGTTAGAAGATGATGGGAAAAAGTTGATAGTGACAGTCCTGACCAGGATATAGGAGTCATTAAATGGAATATAAAACTGGAACTTACCGCCCAAAATAAAGAATTTACGAACGCTTGCCAAAAGTTTTAGCGGGCGCATCAGGAGTCAGACTTAGCGACTTAATAAATAGATATACAGTATATACGATATGTTAGACGTACAAAGGGTTATAACGCCGAAAAACAAAAATAAAAAAAAGAGACTTCATTCTCATAAAGAAATATATCCTATCACGGATAAAAAAGAAGGAAAGAAAAGATTTCTTTTTCTCTTTATCCCTCACGTAAATCCTGCTGAATAGGAATAGTAATACAGCAACCAATAACTTAATCAATCATGAAAATTGATGAGAATATCTGATTAGCAAAAAGAATGTGAGGGTGATAGCACAGCTAGCTCTAAGAATAAGATAAGAATCTTTAAGTTACTGAAAGAGAAAAATCATTTTTCATATAGAAAAACAGTACAAAACAGCCATTGACAATGACATCAACAAACCTGTCGTGTGCATCTCCAATCTCATCCGCCAAGCAGCATTGGCGTGAATGTCTTAGATGCATCGATCAATCAGCTCCGTCCGCTGTTGGTCCGATCCGATCGATTATCGATCTGCTTCTTCTTCCGCCTTCCACCCCACCATCAATAATCAAATGTCAATTAATTAATTTCTCCCGCAGCAGCAGCACCACCACCACAACGCAGGGACCAAACCAACTCCTTTATCTGATTAATCGATCAATTAATTCATCTTTCTGTCAACCGTCACCGGAAAGAGAGGTAGAGAGAGAGAGAAAAGAAAATGCGTCCCGACGGCCCTCGGGACCCCGTCGCGGGGCCCGACAGCGGGCCAGAACCTCCCTTTCCTATCCGTCTGGAGGGGCCGGTGATTAAAGGGTTTGGGAGGGGGAGTAAGGAGGTATGATGTTGTCATTTTCAATTCCTTTTTTTTATTAGGAAAAAAGATATAGATGGATTGGTTGGTTTGTTATATATTCGTTATTGAATTTTGTGTTTGCGGGGTTGGTCTGTTCGATCTACTTATTACTCTTTTCTTTTTTCTTTCGTCTTTCGAGGCTGTTATATTGGTTTTTTTTTCCCAGTTCATATCGATTTTTGTATTATATGATTTGCTTGCTTGCTTGCTTGTTTTTCTTTGCTTTTCCTTGCTTTGCTCGTTATGGAATGGAAAGAAGACAAGAAGAGCAGATCAACGGGTCTGGACTAGTCTAGACTGATTTTGACTGGAAAAAAGTCATCTTGAGTTGATTTCATTCATGGAAGGCAGACGTGAGCGTTGTCATGTTGTCATGTTGGATTTTCATTTTCTGTTCTTCTCTCTTTTCTTTTTGTTGAGTTCTAGTCTGTAATGTCTCTTCCTTGGACGAGTGGATATCTATCTCTATTTGATATCGCTTATCACTGTTTACCACACACACACACCTATCCCAGCTACGTCCAGTTCATATCAATGACTTCTGCTAATATGATTTCTAGCTCGGAATCCCCACCGCCAACATCCCCCCTGACGGGCTGGACCAATATCCCGACCTGCAGACGGGCGTCTACTACGGCGTAGTCGCGCTCGACCCGGCGCGGTTCATCTACAACAAGGACGAATCCACCGCGCAGATTGCAGACAACAACAGCGACGGTAGCCAGGGGACGGCGAGCACGAAGCCAGCGACCATCCTCCCTGCTGTGCTGAGTATTGGGTATAACCCGTTTTATAAGAATACTGTTCGCTCGGTGGTATGTCCAAGCATATATATAAAATCTAGCTAGCTATATAAATAAAGACATTAACCTGACAACAATCCACAGGAAATCCACATCATGCCCCCACTCTCATCATCCTCCCCTACAACCATCAGCAATTCATCCTCCGGGCAAAAAGTCTCCTTCTACAAACTCCCCGACTTCTACTCCACGCGCCTGCACCTGCTGATCCTGGGGTACATCCGCCCCGAATACGACTACGTCTCGCTGGAGGCGCTGATCGAGGACATTCGCGTCGACTGCGAGGTGGCGCGCAAGAGCCTGCAGCGCGAGGCGTATCGGGTGTATCTCGATGATGGTGACGAGACGGGGGATGAGCATGTGAGGGAGCAGAGGAGGTGGTTGAGGAGGTTTTGACTGACTAGAAGTCTTGATCTTGATAAAGAGTAGAGTGGAGCGGATATAGAATATTTGCTTTGTTTCTCTTTCGGGCATCGTTTATCGTTCGTTGTCCGTTCCTTGTTTTTTTTTTATTTTCTCTTTTTGGCATTTTCGGGACTGACTGACTGATTTACTTACTTACCTATTACTTCCTATTATTGTTTGTAAATAGCTTGGTTATTTGTTTTGTTTGACACGATAGATAAATAGACAAACAGAGAACTCATCCTGATACTGTTAGACAAAAGACAGAAAATAAAGGAATCAATCAAGTCTAAAACACTACTACTTTTCACATTAAGTATTATGTATATCATTAAATCTCCGTCTCATACAACCTATCTATCTATCTATATCTGTACATACCACATGCCACATGCCACATGCCAATAAATGACGACTTTTGATTATTCACATTAACTCCGGTGCAACGGCACAATATATATCGCATAGATATGCAATATGTATGTACTATATATGTACTGTACATATGCGTATGATTTTATATAGACAATGACTGACTCGACTCATCCAGTCGAGTCAAGCCTAGGTCATCGACGTCGCGAATCGACTCTTCTTGCGGATCTGCTTGCCGTAGCGGAAGAATATGTATCTGCTGCAGTTAGCCAACTGAAAAACAAGTCGGGACGATCGACTAGGAGAGCCACAGGCTTGTACTTACGGGAAAGGAAGCATGGCCAAGGTCAAAAATGCCAAAAGAGTCGTCGCCCACTGGTTGCCCAGGCGTTGGTACACTATCAACTGTTAGCATTGCACGGAAAACAAATTTTTTTTTCTTAATTAGAGTATTCTTGGCGCAAGCTGTGTAACATGCAATAAAGCATATGCACGATATGCAAGGATGCTGCCACGTGTGGTGACACAACTTGCATGTTACAGCAGCCAAGCCAAACATGCGACAACATGCAACGAAACAGCCAGGAATGTACGTACTGTATGTTCCAAACAGAGGAAAGATCCCCGCAAAGCTCGATCGAGCAAAGCTGTTGGCTGCCAGAGCACTGGCTGCATACAAAGGATACGCATCCACCAAGAAGGTAAAGATCCCCGAATACACGAGGACAGTGCTGCATCGGTCAGTGGCTATTTTCACATGATGGGTATATATGAGTCTGCTCACCCTGTCCCAAAAAGAGCGCTGCCAATGATAGGAGCAATCCAATGGACGTTAGGATAGGTCGTCCACGCAAAGATAAACAGTCCCACCGTCACGAAAGGGCCACCGCCGATAGCTACAACATCTGTTAACAACCATCCCCATCAGACAGCCTAACAGACTCACCTGGAGGCAGCCGCCATTCCGGCATAAACTCGGCCTTTTCTCCCGCCGCCGCCGTGTGATTCCTTTCGAGACGCGCGTAGTTCTTGCGCCAGAGCGGATCAGAGAGAATGGCAAACATCATGCCAACAAAGATTCCGAGAAAAGAGCAGCCGACCTGCCACAGACTAAAACCATATACACCGCTGAAGACCGTCTGGAAAGCGCCGAAAAAGAGATACAAAATCCCAAGCAGGATGGCCGAGAAGATGCACAGATTCAGACACATCGGTTCCAACGTCAACAGCAACATAGGTCGGTAGATCGATTGGATGATGGTCTGCAAGATCGACTTCTTCGTCTTCTCCATCGGAGCGATATATCTCTGGTCTCCCGTTTCCGCGCGCAGTTTGATTGCCTTGCGCTTCAAGAGGCTGGTCGATGTCAGCGCGGGACAGACAATCAAACAGGAAAGCACTTACACAGGATGGTAGGTTTCTGGCACGAACACAGTGATCGCAACCAACATTGCTCCACTCCAGATGAGAAGGACGTAAAATGTCCAGCGCCTGCCGAGTCAGTACGGCCTTGAAACTTGCGAAGAACGACAACATACCACGTGCTGAATTCATTGATAAATCCGCCGACACTACGAAGATTGGTCAGTGGTTATGGTCTGTAAAAAACATATTCCGGCTACTTACAGAGGACCTAGTTCGGGCCCAACAAACGGACTGGCCGTGTAGATCATCATCGGCGCAGCCAGCTCGTTGCGAGCAAACAAGTCGCCCACAGTTCCTCCCGCCACGCTCAGAAAGGCGCTGCCTGCCAGACCGCTGAAGAAACGGACCACGATCATGGTCTGGATGTTCTGTGCGACGGCACACGGGATAAGCCATATCACGAAAAAGGTAAAAGATACGATGTAGATGATCCTTCGACCGTAGAACTGCGAATCGTCAGTATCTATACTATACATATGACTCGACCGACTGACCTCCGACAGAGGACCCAGGAACAATGGACCGACGCCTAAAGCGAGCATCAGCATCAGTAATATCGGCCGGACGACATGTCCACATACCGAGACCGAAAATGTAGGTCGTCAATCCCAGAGTCGCAACCTCACGCGAACAGTGGAATTCCTCCATCAATTGGGCGTATGTCATGACATACATGGACGAGGTGCAGGTCCTGGAAGCCCGATCAGCGCGCGATTCACACGCAAGAGTGGAGACTGCACTTACACGCAAATTGAGCCGTACGGAGATGATAATCACGATCAGCCATCGTCTCAAAAGGCTCAGATTGCGAGGATTCATCGGATCGTTCTCCTCCCAGCCGACCAACAGCTCCGATTCAGAGCCCGCGGCCCCGTCCGTCTGTGCCTGTTCCTGGGAAACGCCATTGTTGTCGACCTCCTCATCTGCTGCTCCAATGCTGTAACCATCATTCAAGGACCAGCAGCGGTCTAGCGGTCTAGAGCCGTGGGAATCGGTCTTTTGAACGGTCAGGTGGTGATTCCGGGTTTCAGCGGCGATCGGTTCGTAGGTCGTTTTGTCATTCTCATCACGACTCTCCGCGTCTGGTTTTTCAACGATCTCTGGCGTTGCGTTACTTGCGGTCTCTGCATGTGAGTCTGCCATGGTCAGATGGTCCCTATGCCGGCAGAACGAACAGCCGACAGGCGAGGCGACTCGACGCGTTGAGGAGGGACGAAAGCGAAAGGGAGAGAATAATTGCGACGTTCGACGAAAGAGCTGTCTTCAGTCTTTTTCAGCGATATTAGATTCCATCGACGGCCTGGTTGGAGAGAGGAAGCATGCGATTAGTCAAGCGTTCACATCGCGAGTAAGATTAGTAATATTATTAATGAGAGCTCGACGCCAAAAAAAAGCGAATTGAGTTTGCAACAAAGCGGGGAACTAGGAGCAATGGCCAGTCGGTACCTTTAGGGAGGTGGCAATACTTGGGACCAAAGCCCGGAGCAGCTACCTACGTAACCACCTGCTCTCCTCTCTCCCCTCACGCGCGGTTGAAGATGCCTTCTCTCTCTGTATTCTCCCTTCTCGATAGAGAAGAAATGCTATGCGGTTTGTATCGACGGGGTCGGATATATCCGAACGGGAAGGTCCATGCAAGAAGAGAAAAGCAAGAGGACCACGACCCCCAAAAAGTCTTGTGTACGGAGAGATGCGATTTATGTAACGATTGCTAGAAATAGGCAGAGGGGAGAACCGTAATTTAGCTTAGCATCAGCTAGCTCCCCCAGGCGCAATCTATCGTCGCCGTCTGCCATTCGGAAATCGGAAACGACGAGGAGGAAGTGGGCCGCGCGGAGTTAACTGGGCCGTTGGACTTGGACGCCTCGCAAGCTAACAGCTGATGATCGTCGAGTCGAAATGACCAATACACCGTAAATCAGTGGCAATGGCCGATCACCGACTGGTCTGCGCATGACTATTTCCATAGTCTGAAGGCCAGAATTATTAATCCGTAGCTCCAACGAGCAGTGTTCAAGATCGTTGGCCAATAACTACTCTGTATAGAACGGTGAGCTTCGTCGGCCCGCGCGGACCCTGCGGGTTAGGGTTGTCGGCTCTCCCACCCTCCAGCCCGATGGGGCTAACCGGCGAATCGCCATGCAAAGAAAGCAAAAGCAATAGTATATCCATCACATAGCTGACAATCATGGCTAAGCAGATCTGTCTGCTGACCAGATCTTACACCTTAAATCGGAAGTAAGGCCGCTGGCCGGATCTATCCCCGAGCCTTGGCCTCGCACCATCGAACCGATGTAGGAAAGAAGCAAGACTACCTAGGTAGATAACCTTGTTCATTCATATACCTAGAAAACAGGGATCCAATCATTGACCAGCGGAACTCCAGAACCAGTCCAAATTTGCCCAGGATCATGGCGGGCATTCGTCACATGTTCATTTCATTCCAACCAAAAATCCATCATGGGATGGATGACCAGAAGACCTGGAAATGCCGTCGAGTTGCGGCTATCTCCAAGAGATCTCAGTCCAATAGATACATAGGACAGAAAATGCAAGAAAATATGGAAATCGGCGTCCAACGTCCGGAACGTCCTGTTCATCCCCCCAATTCCACAATCCACGAATTCTACAACTGCGAATGAAGACATCTGTTTTCGTCACCGATAATGGGCTACCGGCATCGGTGGAGGAGGCGAGGGATAGGTCGGCCTGGTGGCTTGGTAAGAAACTCGCGAGAAGTTGGTCCACCTGGGATCCGCAGACCTGCCGCTCTCCAGATCCTTCAATCCTGGGATATCCTGTCCCCGGGTGCGCTGCCGGCGCCGCGTGCACCCTTCCATACGGCCATGTATAAAAAGGAAAGTGTGTATAATCCTAGACCGGCCGGCAATGTCAGATTCGAAGCAATATGGACAGTTGTAGACTAGTGAACCAAAAGCATAACTCACCACACAGGAATGGCAAAGACGACACCTGCCAACTCCAGCTCGCCAATCTGGTACAGCTCCGGGAAGCACTCTCTGCTCAATGCATTCCTGTCCATGTCACAAATGATCATACCGCCTGCGCCCACTGTAGGACTCGTCCACAGGTTAAACGCGCCACCCCAGGCGGCAAGAACAACACCAGGGATGAGTACCGCCCAGACGAGGAAATCAACAATGCCCTCCAAGATCGAATGAACCGGCCGTGCGTTCAAGAAAACGTAGAATGTCGCGAAAAGGTTGTACACAAATGCCAGGATGAGCTAGTCAAGTGTCAGCATCGATCCCAAGTTTTATAGAGAAATGACAAAAACAAAAGACGAATTACCGGCGCAACAGGAACCGAGTCCTGCCAGTCTCCCTTAATAGGACCGCTCGTATGAACAAAAGTCTGGTTCCACGGCATGATTGCCGCGGCAAAGGAAGCAGATGCGATGAGCGCCAGAGGAGCCGTGAGGAGCCGGATGACCGTCTTTCGCAGCAGCCAGGGTGAATTGCCCTCATTCAGCAGTCTCTGTCGAGTGTTGGCCCAGTGGAAAGCGAGCCTGCTGAAGGAGTCCATCGCTTTGCCTGTCGTACTTCTATTTCTCTGCCGTTGTCTTCCTAACCTTTGCTGATCTCGCCCTTTTCTTTTCTGTCCTTGTCTGATTCAACTGCTCTGCAGTGCTTCAATGCTTATTGCTCAAGGGATAATTATCTGGAAACACTGTTCAAGAACCGCGACCAGCGCTAAAGAATGAGAACAAAAGGAATGATCCTCCTCTGGAGGCAATTATGGCAAGTAAAAGAGAACAAAAGAGAGGAACGTAAACAAAAAACACAAAAGGGGTATCAAAAAAAAGATAGAAGATCTAATCAGTCATTGCCAGACAAGGGGAAAGAGAACGACAGAATCAAATGGAGCAGGAGAGGAGGGCAAAGTGAGGGAGAAAGAAGGAGAGTGACTAGCAGAAGGGCCTGCTAATTATCCCATCCTGCAACTGGACTTAATTTAATTTCATCCAGGCCTTTGACAAGAACTGCTATTCTGGGGAGCCCCAGCCACACAACACGTACGAAGTCTGGCATCATGAAATCTGCCTAACCACAGACAGAAGTTACACCGACATGTCAAGCGGCAATCAGTTTTCCTCAATAGGCACTTCTGAAACTGGAATGGAATCGGCGCAGGGAAGTGTTAAAGAAACCTCCCTTTTAAGTTTCAAATGCAAGTACCTATGGACAGGAGTGGCAGGCGGTGCTAGTATCCATTGGCATGCATGCAGTTCTGTAGACATTGTTGCGGGATCAACCTGAGACAGTGGACTGGTCAAACACGCACTGTCACAGACTCAGCCATGCTCCACGCCAACCATGAGACTAGTTTGCCTTGCAACAAGTAGCAAGTTCATGCAACTTTAGCTGATTTGGAAATGATGTGTGTGGTCGTTCCTTGAAGGAACAACAGACTACATAATCAGCTACTAAATGAGGCAGGAGATCAATAACACACGAAAACACGTCCATTATGAATCTATACTACTAAGGTACATGCGACTAAACTTACCAGAGCCTAAGAAGATTGACAGGCTCTAGGTCACCCCGACCTTCAGCTCTGAAACCAAGAGCATCCCAAAATCCTCCTAAAAGGTACCGGTAATAAGGCAATACTCTGATATCCAGCAAAAGAAAGCGAGAGAGAGAAAAAAAAACCCAAACTGCCCTAATAGAAAACAAAAGCCCTGCTCCCAAACAAACCCACCCAGAAACTTTTCAAAGCAATTCAAAGAGAAAAGAAAAACAAATCCAATCTGTACAGGACGCAGGCTCTTCAGAAAAAAAAAGGCAGCATTAGACACCAATTCATATAGAACGCCCCATGACCCAAGTTGGATATCGTCCGTTTTCTTTTCATTTTCATTGTTGGCTCTTCACGCCACAGCCTCGGTAGGCTGGTTGGCAATCTCGCCGCCGGCCTCCGTCTCTGCCCAGGATCCCCAAAGGCCGCGCTTGGCCTTGATGCGGAGAGGACCTCCGATGACATCGTTGTTTTGCTCCACCTTGATCGCGTCCTTGGTCGCCAACACGAGCGTTTCGAAGAACATCTTGGTGGCATCGGCCTTGCTCGTTTCCTTCTCCGGACACAGACTCTGGAACAGCACGCTCTTCTTCTGTGGCGATGGGGCTTCAGCAGCCGCCGCTCCTCCAAAGCGGTCCCGGAGCAGGTGGACAGCATGCTTGGTAGCAAGGGAGACTGGGCCACTGTCTGCAGGGTGGATCACCGTGTCATCGTGCTCCTCCGGCAGCGCACCTGACCCCTCATCCTCACTGGCGTGTCGGTCACCCTCATCGGCTTCCAGTTCTATCTGGCTTTGCTGCAGCGTGGTGTCAAGACCAATGCCTTCGTCCACATGGACGGCGCCATCATCCTCGCCCAACTCCAACGCAGGGGCATTGGCGGCTTCGATGTCTAGGTCGGACACGCCGCTGTCCCGCTTCCTCTTGAGCTCCCCAGACTTCCGGACATTATCGATCGACAACATGCCTCGGAGTTCGGGAGCCCAGCCACGCCCACGACTCTCTCCCAGAACGCTAGACACAAAGTCCCCATTCTTCTGCATGTTCATCAGAGTCAACAGCACAGGATCCCGAGGCAAGAATGAAGTAGGCTTGAGGATCTCCGACCGGTCCTCTTGTTGTTTTTTGACGACCTCGTTGGTGAAAACGGTATATTCGTCACTTTCAACGACCTTACGCCGCTTGATCCGTTGTTTCTCTTGAACAGCCACATCTCCCTCTTGCGCAGCATTGACCTCCTCTCCGGGTTCAGCACTGGCGCGGGGAGAAGCAAAGCGATCTGGAGACTCCCGCTGGGAGCGGGTCTCCTCCGGCCTTGACTCGGCATGCTCTTCAGGAGCAGAGACGGCGACCTCGCCGTCACGGCTCAGATCCATCTGGTCGTCAGGCTGAACGAATCGGTCCAAATTGTCATGACTGTCCTCTGCAACATCCATCTTGTCCAGCGGAGCATCATCCTCTCCCAGGTCTAGCGGGAGGTCGACATCCTGGAGCTTTCCTTCCTCGCTGAACAGATCTTCTTCCACGGGGCGTGGCGCAGGCGCATCTCGACCAACTTCAATGCTGAAGTCGTGACCAAGGGGCGTGTCATCTTCACCCAAATCCAAATCGACCAAGGTATGGTCTTCGAGACGGGCCGGTTCCTGGGATCCGAAACGTTGGGTGCTGCTGTCTGGCAACAGCTGACTTCCAAAATCAACGGAACCCGGTCGCTTACCCTCCGGCTCCTGATTCAGAGACTGAGGGAGTAGAAGCGAAGAAGTATCCAAGTTCATGAACAAGTCCGATTCAGTGAGTACATCAGGAAGAGTGATACCGCCCGGCGGCAATGTCACATTAGTAGGAAGATCATTGTTGTTGGTCAAACGAAATGCCTAAAAGAGACGGTGAGCTATATGTGCAGCGACAAAGAACGTAGGAATACCGACCATCTTGATTTTCATCAACGCCTCGTTGCAATCGTCCAGCAGATAGCGTGCTTTCCGGCTGTAGATTCGCACAACACCCAGTAAAAGCTGACCGCTGAGTCGCAGAGCCATAGGTGCCTGTCCCTGATCGACAATGGCATTGACGCTGCTCTCGATGTTCGACTGGAGAATATGCGATTTAGACAATTTTCGTTCTAGATTGGCGGAGAGCCAGACACGGGCCAATGGCCCGGTCTTTGAAAGAAGAGTCTCGGAGTAGAACATGGCGTCACAACAGTCGCCAGACGCTGGATAATCGATTCAAAACGAGATCGTGTCGAGTACAAGACCCCGACTCCAGGTCAAAGTAAAAGGGTCCAGTCGGGCCCGGGGTCAGTAGCGACGCGCCTATCCAAACAACCAACAGCTTGCGCGACCAGATATTATCCTGAAAGAGAGCGCAAACAAGACGTTGCGTCTCTGCAGGGTGTGGGGTCACACGACGGCAGAGACCCTGGTACCAAAAAAGAGAATGATCGAGAGGGGGTGGTCGCGAAAGAGAAACGTGCGAGAAGCGCGTTGGGCGGAAGAGGAAGGCGAGAGTCGGGGCGGATTCCCAGCCTCTTTTTGTTCTTCTCGGGGAACGGTTGGCATGGGAATGCGTGGCTGGGGTCACGTGCACTGTCAGCGTTGACATTACATAATGGACCGGATCACGATTGGTTCCTGAGGGATCAGGCACAACACTGGTCAGGTGACAGCTCGAAGTTGGGAGAACAAATATCCGGGGCTAGTCCCGGAAAGGCAGGCACTGCCACCGGCCGCGAGGGCACGACAACGCGTCCCAAGCTAAACCCAAAGGGCGCCTGTCGTGGTCCGCCGAAACGGGATGGGCCAGACTCCGAACTTAGGTGTACTTCCTGCGCTAGATCGAAGCCCTTGAATTTTAATTGTTGCAATCGAGTCCCTACGTGTTTTCCCTTTCTTGTCCTTTTTGGAGAGGCGCATGCGGGTGACTACGGTTGTTCCTGATCCCAGGTTTGCGTCTGCTGCTTGTGAACCATCTATACCACCGCTCCTAGATCCACACCTTATCAATTAATTGATGTTGGAGCCAGCTTGCCTTTGACCGCGGCCTGTTGCCAATCCCGTTATCGTCCCTCTCGGCATGATCCAGTTTTTGGCGTGAATTGACAGCTCCGGGTTTTTCCCCAGAGCTTGAGAAATGACAAGGTCAGCGACTCCGACGCTTCCTCTGCACAAGGCGCACATTTCAAGACCGCAGTCCACATCTCCAGTGCCCTCGACCCTCCGCAATCACACCTCTTCGGTAAGTCGCGACCCCTACTAGTTTTGAGCTGCTGCGTTGAGCCCATGGGCGGTCTGATATTGTGGCACGCTGTGGTGCTGACTGGTTCTAGTCCATCACCTCTGCCTACTCCCTCCTCGAGCCACAACAGGTCGCTGAGCGCCTGAATACCTCCCTCACCCATGGCCTCTCTCCAGCTGAGGCTGAAGCCCGACTGTTGCGAGATGGCCCCAATGAGCTCCCGCACGAGGACCCGGAGCCATTGTGGCTGCGATTCTTGAAACAATTCAAGGAAACACTGATCTTGCTTCTGTTGGCGTCTGCTGGGATCTCCTTTTTCATGGGCAATTACGATGATGCCGTAAGCATCACCCTTGCCGTGACCATCGTGGTCACAGTAGGATTTGTTCAGGAATACCGGTCCGAAAAGTCGCTCGAAGCGTTGAACCGCCTTGTTCCCCATTACGCACATTTGATTCGCAATGTCGCTGCCGAGAACGGCAATGATTACAAAACGACCAGGAGCGCAACTGCAGCCAACGAGTATGAGATGCAGGATTTGAGACAAGGCAGCCTGACCCCCGTTTCAGCTGCCCTCAAAGCTGCGACCACGGTGCCTGCAAGCCAATTGGTCCCGGGCGACTTAGTCTTGTTTTCTACAGGTGACCGGATTCCTGCCGATATCCGGATCACTGCAGCCACAGATTTGTCCATCGACGAATCGAACTTGACAGGAGAGAATGAGCCAGTCGTGAAGTACTCAGAAGCCTTACGGGGGCAACCTCTCTCTGCCAAAAAAGAGATCACTCCTCCCGAGTCACCGCTGTATGAAACGTCGGCAGCGGGCACCGTAGGAGCGGATGTCCGCTTGAACGAGCAGCACAACATCGCCTTCATGGGGACCTTGGTGCGTTCCGGTTATGGGCAGGGCATTGTGATTGCTACCGGTCCCAACACGGAGTTTGGTAGCATCTCTGCCTCACTACAGGAGATTGAGAGCCCTCGAACTCCACTCCAGCTCTCCATGGATCGACTAGGCCAGGAGCTGAGCTATGTTTCCTTTGGGGTAATTGGTTTAATTGTTGTCATTGGGCTCTTGCAAGGGCGGAAGATACTGGAGATGTTCACAATTGGCGTGTCTCTGGCAGTCGCTGCTATCCCAGAGGGTCTTCCCATCATCGTCACTGTCACTCTCGCCCTGGGTGTCCTCCGCATGGCGAAGAGAGGAGCCATCATGAGGAGACTGCCGAGTGTCGAGACTTTGGGCTCAGTCAATGTCGTGTGCAGTGATAAGACTGGCACACTAACGATGAATCACATGACGGTCACCAAGATGTGGCATTTTGACTGTCCCGAGCCTTTCGAAGTCCATAGCGATATTGCTTCACTGACCCCGAGTCCTGCTGCACGAAAAATCCTCCGGGTGGGCAACATTGCGAACAATGCACGGCTGTCGCGTGTCCACGCCAACTCTCCTGCGAGCGCCTCCTCTGCCGCTGTGCTTTCGTCGACTGCTGATAGCTCCTCCGAGTCCAAAAGCAGATGGGTTGGGCAACCCACTGACGTTGCCATCCTGGACCTCCTCGATGCTTTTGGAGAGGACGACGTCCGGGATCGGATCAGTGCTCGCGTTGCGGAAACCCCGTTCAGCTCGGAGAGGAAATGGATGGGTGTCATCATCGGTGGAGGCATGTCGGGTGACTCTTCCTTTTCACAAGGAGGCAGCGATATGGCGTACATCAAGGGTGCTTTGGAACAGGTGCTTATTCGGTGTGACACTTACTTGACCAAAGATGGTCGCGAAGTGATTCTAGATGAGCCCAGGCGGAAGGCTGCCAGACAGGCAGCTGAGCAAATGGCATCAGAAGGACTCCGAGTCCTCGCGTTTGCTAGCGGACCAGTAAGGGAATCGGGCAGGAGTCATCGGAGAGTGGGGAGCCGAGGTTCTACGCCCCCTGGGATGCTAGGTCAGACTGAGGATGACAGCCGATTCAGCGGTCTAGTTTTCGCTGGGCTAGTTGGCATGAACGATCCTCCACGAAAGGACGTCCACAAGTCCATCCGACGGCTCATGGCTGGCGGTGTGAAGGTGGTTATGATCACTGGTGATGCAGAATCCACAGCGGTAGCAATTGCAAGGAAACTGGGTATGCCTGTCAACGACTCACCGGAAGGACATTCTGTCCTTCGAGGAGACCAGATTGATCGCATGAGCATGGGTGAGCTTGCAGAGGCGATCTCGACAATTACCATCTTTGCCCGCACCAGTCCAGAGCACAAGATGAAGATTGTGCGTGCTTTCCAGTCACGTGGAGACGTTGTGGCCATGACTGGAGACGGGGTGAACGATGCTCCTGCTTTGAAGAAAGCGGATATTGGAATTTCAATGGGCAAGCTGGGCACCGACGTTGCGAAAGAGGCCGCCGATATGATTTTGACGGATGACGACTTCTCGACGATCCTGAGAGCGATTGAGCAGGGGAAGGGCATTTTCTACAACATTCAGAACTTTATCACTTTCCAGCTTAGCACCAGTGTGGCAGCTCTGAGCTTGGTTTTGCTGAGCACTATTCTGGGATTCAAGAATCCGCTCAACGCCATGCAGATTTTGTGGATCAGTAGGTGATCACTGAGTGTTTCTGTTTACTACATGTTCACTAATCACGATAATGAACAGACATCCTTATGGACGGTCCGCCCGCGCAATCGCTGGGTGTCGAGCCGGTCGATCCCTCCGTCATGACCCGTCCTCCGCGCCCGAAGACGGCTCGAGTCCTCACCAAGCCGCTCATCCAGCGGGTGCTCACGTCGGCGCTGCTCATCATGCTTGGCACTTTGTTGGTTTACGTCCACGAGATGGGCGATGTTGATGACGTTGACAATCCCGGCAAGCGCTCGCGCATCGTTACAGCTCACGACACGACCATGACTTTTACCTGCTTTGTGCTTTTCGACATGTTCAACGCATTGACGTGCCGCAGCGAGGGCAAGTCCGTTCTGCGAGGGGAACTGCCCCTTTTCGGGAACAAGATGTTCAACTACGCAGTGCTGGGCTCCCTGATGGGCCAGGCGTGCGTCATCTACCTCCCGTTCCTGCAGTCCATCTTCCAGACCGAGGCCCTCGGCTTGAGGGACCTGTTCAAACTGGTATGCATTTCAAGCACGGTCTTCTGGGTCGACGAGGGGAGAAAGTATCTCAATGCAGTTAAGCGGCGCCAGGCAGTTGGTCCTGGTTACAGTGTTAATGTTTGATTGTGGTGTTGTTATGATGACATAGACGAATGACCTCTGTTGAGTATTATTTACCTTTGCCTCTGGATAAATATTTGTCTATTTCGTGTTTTCTCTGGCTGGATATCTCCGACTTGACTGGCTACCCCCATTCTGTTTAAATAAAGGAAGGGTCTGCTTTCTAGCTTTCATGTGGCATATATATAAATCTATAAATTTTTTTTGTACCCATTCTTCTTCTTTTTGTCCTCCTAACATGACATAGACAATAACATCTATCATATTCCCATATACCATCATCACGTTGTCATACCATATCATACCACACCATATCCTCTCAGGCCAGGTCGTTTTTTTTTTCTACCTTTTTTCACATTATTTCATGTTATTTCACATTATTTCACCTTTTCATGTTTTTTCATGTTTTTCAGGTTTTTTCAGGTTTTTTTCAGTTATTTCAGTTATTTCATGTTATTTCAATCCTTTTTGCCTGCCCTTTTGCCTGCGTTTAAGCATAGCACAAGAAAAAAAAAAGAGGCGCACAGTACACATACACTTACTTACAATCCCTGACACATTGTTGTCAGCACAGTCCAAAAAAAAAACTCAGATTCATTCTAAAATCAGCACTCACATAGATAGTTGAACTTGGCAGCTACATAGGTACTGTACCCTGCCCCTAATGCTTTTTCTGTGGAGGGGCGTGGAGTGGCAAAGCACAGGTTGTTGAGTCGTTGACAGGAGGCTGCGCATACATAAGAAATGCCCAGGTACTTAGTTGATCAATGATACAAGGGCGCTTGTCGGACAATGGCATGCATGCATGCATGCATAGAATCGAATCTGAATATAACTAATAATAGGAGTCTAGTAGGACTGGGACCAGGATAGAAATTCGATTATTATTTTTCTTCGATGATGGATTAGATGATCTCTCTCACTCTTGCCTTCTAGCGCCGACAAATCATTCGTTTTTTTATACCTGTATTGAAGTGTTGAATGAAATTTGAAGAAAAAAAAATCTAATTTTAATAGAATATGATTTGTTTCCTACCTGATCGATCCTGATCCCCTGGTTGAGCGGTATCATCGTCATCCCTGGTCTATGTACATACAGAAGAGGGAAAAAAAAGATTAGAAACAAGCAAACAAACAAAACCATAATCCCATGTCGCAAACCCACCCACGTTTTTTAATTGAGCCCGTAGACAGACATGCAACATCACGAACGATCCCGATGATGAAAGATTACAAGTCTAAAAGAAAAAGGAAAAAAAAAGGTACAGATCGAAAGAAGAAAAAAAAAAACAAAGGGTAATCCCGGGAAAAAAATAGGCCAGATCAATCGGAGAACATGGATGATGGGTAATGATAAGAGGTGGCGGTGATGAGGGATAACAAGGATAACGGGAGGTAAGAGGAAGAGGTAGAGGTGAAGGGAAAAGGGTGAAGGGTATCGGGTCAATGGAGGAAGCGAGGAAGGAGGCGGAGGAAGAGGAGGAGGAGGAGGAGGAGGAGGAGAAAGGAGGAAATGGTGATAGAGGTCGTGCCTGCCGAGGTAAAGGATGATAAAGGGGGTCAATAGCAGAACAGAGGTGCCATCCAGCTTAATCAAGCCACAGAAACTCCCTGCCCGAAAAGAGAAAATAAAACACGCCCAGCAAGAAATAAGGACTTGTCGACAGTTCAAGAGCCGCCTAGGCGGTTTTCTCTTGGTCCACCAAGGTCTTGGTGCGTTCACTTGCCGAGTGCTGCTCTGCCGCTGGTCGGGACGCTGTCGTTTCGGCTGGCTGGCCGTTGCTTTCGTCATCTTCGTCGCTCTGCTTGCAGGCTTCTTCCGGAGTATGGCCCTCCAGCATCTCACTGTGGGCTCCAATGCCGTACCGATCCGCGTGGGGGATCTCGTGGCCGTCCTCCAGCTGGGACGACTTCTGCGGCGTCCAGGCCAAGTAATCTCTCCGGACTTCCACGTAATCATAGGCGAACTCGCCCAACTGGTCATCGTCCATACCCAGTAATTCTGCTTCCTCAGACGCCCTCAGCTTCAAGCCGGGGACCATGTTAATTCCGTACGCAATGATTGCAGACATGACGAACGCATAGCCGCAGGTAGCAACGATGTAGGCAATTTGGATGTACAGCTGACGGTAGTTGTGGATGAGCCATCCACCGACCTTCGTTCCAGTGGTCGGATTCTCCGCACCAACGTTGACACCGTCGAGGCCGACAATAGCGTCCGTACCGAAAAGGGCGTTGAAAATCAATCCGATGATTCCGGCAACACCGTGTTCAGCGAACACATCCATCGAGTCATCAATCCGGATCCAGTATTTCACTGTAAAACGGGTCAATCAGGTCGTCCTTCTTTTCGTCTAAAAATGTTAGTCATACCTTTAGTGGCGTAGTTGCACACGATTCCCGTAACAACGCCCAGCACAACGCTTCCCCAAGGGGTGATAAAGCCAGACGCCGGCGTTGCAGCTACCAGACCAGAGATGGTGCCCGAACACCAACCGACCATCGACCACTTTCTGGCCAATCTCCAGTCAAGGATTACCCATGCAATAGCCGCAAAAGCAGCCGCCAAGTTCGAGTTCCAGCATGCCATGGTCGCGCGCAAATTGGCACCGAAGGCGGAGCCACCGTTGAAACCCAACCATCCGAACCACAGGAAGACGGTGCCCAGCAGGATCAGCGACACGTTGTGCGGGCGGAAGTTCAGCATCATCCGTTCCTGGCGACGACCCAGAACCATCGAATACGCGAGAGCCGACAGACCGGAACCGATCTCGACAGGGCCACCTCCTGCGTAGTCCATGACCCCGTATTTGTACCCCCAACCATTGACATTCCAGGCCCAGCAGGCCAGAGGACAGTAGACGATTGTGGCCCAGATGAAAGTGAACACCATGGCGGGTAGGAGACGACCTCGTTCAGCAACGGCGCCCATGACAATGGCGGCGGTGACGGCGCAGAATTGCATCTGGGAAGGGTCAGATGAGGAAATAGCAGGAAGAGGAGAAACGACGGACCTGATAAAAGGCATAGAGCAAGCCTGGGATCAGAGGAGAACCGGGGCTGGGGGCACCCAGCGTATTCATCAGGCCGAAGTAGCGCAGGTCTCCGATAAAGCCATTTGTTGCGGTTGGCGAGAAGGCTAGGGAGTAACCCCAGAAGTACCACTGAAACGTCACGACAGACAGAGAGCCCATACATGCCCAGATCATGCTCAAGGCGGATTTTCGGCGGGCCAGACCGGAGTAGAGGAAGCCTAGGCCAGGAACCATGACCAGGACCATGGCAGAGGCCACGATGATGTAGGCCTGGTCGCCCGACTGATACCATTTGTTCAGGTTCTCCGTGTCTATTTCCATTCCAGTCAGCTATTTTGGCTTCCTCGCCCAAGACGTCTGGTAGCACGTACGCGAATTACCACCGAGATCCTGGTTAGTCGCCAGAGCGAAATTGGAGGGAGCGCCCGTCCAGTTGTACGAGGCATAGTCAGGCGCATAGGGCGCCTGGCCAGCAAACGACGACATGGCTGGAATGATGTAATGTCTCTGCCTTTTTTTTTTCTTGTTCTATGTTATTCTTCGGAGGGAAGCTGCTGGGCACGTGAGAGCAAGATGACGCAGGCAGGAAAACGGCAGCGGGCAGATGACGCTATACGACAACAAGGGTATCACAATCGAAACAGAGGAAACAAGACTTGCAGCAACCAGCAGAGCAGGAGGCGCCCTTCAATCACGTCTCCAGCCGCAGTCTGGAGAGAATGACTGTCAGGAGCCAGTTGGGGGACGGAGCAATGGAATGGACTGTGGAGGCCGAGGGCGAGCAATGTATATATTCTGGAAGCCCTGGGGTGGGCCGGGGCGATACGGGACGGCCGCGAGGACGCGGAAGCACTCGCAGATTTGCGTTTGCAATGGGAACGAGTCAAGAAAGCTTGCAGAGATAGACAAGACCGGCCGGAGCCCACCAGCTAAGCCGATCCAAGCGCGAGGCGCAACGGGCGGCAAACCACCGGCGAAAAGGCGCTTCGATCGAGTGGGGATCTGGAGCCGCGACAGGGACCATCCACGCCGGGATGCGAGACACGGCGGATCTGCTCACGGCTCCCGCGGACCCAGCTCACGGCAATGGACTCACGCGACAGTGGCCGGCGAGAGGAGACGCAGAAGGCCGTAAGAGACGAGCTGTGTGCTCAATGATGACCCTGTCACTGGTGGAAGGGGAGACAAAAGTCACGAAAGCCACGAAACCACCTCAGCTAAGGGGGGACAGGGGAGAAAGGAAAAAAAAAAGAAGCTTCTGCTGAGACCGCCCGAATCTGGTCGGCGATTACTGGTTGGGCAGAAATTACCCGGAGCCTGAAGGAGACGAGCGAGAATTGACTGGATCGACCTACTTCGTAAGCAGCTGATAAGAAGACGGGGGTCGTCACGCCGGGGAAAGCGTAGTGTGGGAGTGGGACACGAGCAGCCGAGCAGGCCCAAGCGAAATGAACGAGACAGAGAATGCAGGCCGTCGATTGAGAGAGAATCGAGGGAGGAAACCCCACGCCCTGGTGACCAGCAGAAATCGAGGGCTAAAAGGAAGCATCATCGGCCGTCACTGTCAACATCATCACCACCGGGCTGAGACAAACCCAGCCCGTCGGCCGCGGGCTTTCGGGCGTGGCAAAACGCCTGAACTTTTTTTTCTGCCTCAGGTCGGAGCAGGATCGGACTCGAGCGTCGATCCAGGGCTCCGCTGAGGAAAAAGTCTTAGCGTCACGTCTTCCGGCGCCGCCAAGACCGCAGGGCAGGCTGTTTTCGTTCACCAGGGAAACGGCGGATAATCATAAATTCACGGCCGCCAAAAAGAAAAAATTCGTTCGGAGAACAGAACATATAGAAACACAGAAATATAAGGTGCCACCAACATGAAGCCAAAGACATGTTTGGTCAGAAGCTGCCCCTTTGGAGCAACCCCTTTACACGAATGAAAAACCATGGAGGGAATTCAGGCCACTCAGCTGGACGAGGAAACCAATTCCAACACACAATGACCACACAGCAGGAGCAAAAAAGACACCGACGCGGGCTGGAAGGAAATCTCGCTGTAACCATCTTGCAGCGCTGTCGAGACGTCCGGAGAGCAGGACCGGTCGGACGCCATGACCGGCCATGCAGCGTCCCAGGGCTGTGCGATTGTCCTCACACTCAATCGCCCGGTTTCTCGTCCATCACGCTCTCTCAGAACCAGAAGAGCTGGCCGTCTCGAGCTTGGCGGGCGTCCGCGCCTTTACATATGCAGCAGCAGCACTGCTATCTACCCACTGCTATCAGGGCTGGATGCTACACCACGACACATATCCCGGTCGCTATCTCTGTCTCTCAGTCTGGCTGACCAGCACAGGACGACAGTGCCTGGCGGTTATCTCTGTCCAGCAGCAGCGGCAATCTCCCAGACGTTCTGGGCAGTTCGTTATCGCCGGAGCAGTAGCAATTGGACAAAAGCTGTTGTCCGCAGAACGCGGCGATTGGCTGTAGATAAAGCCCCTGCAGCCACCGGGTGCGGTGGGGCGCCTGCAGGCTTGGCTGCACGCCCCGTCGCCGCATCGGGACTAGCGCCTTTGTCATCCGTGTTGCAGGGTCGCATGGCCATTGGCCGCAGATAAGAGCCTTTTCCGGCGCGCTGATTGGCCGGATCCCAACCATTATTCACACGGCTGCGAAATGCCTTTACAAATTGCTGCTCCTGCTGATAAGCATCCACGGCTTCCCCAGAGCCGAGCCTCCAGCTTCTGTCTTATCCGCACGCCTTCGGGCGTTTCAGGGACGATATCGGCAGGGCCCAGGGGCCACCTGCAAGCAGCTCCCTAGGTAGGAAGGACTACCGCGTCCACTGCGGAGAACAGTATCCATTTTCGTGCAAGTCGTACGGAGTACACCCGGTCAAAATACGGAGTACTCCGCAGTAGCCCTCGATTAGCATCAGGCTGATACAGGACAAGAATTCCTGCAGCACGCCGTCCTCGAAGAACCGATCGGTAGAGGCCAAGAGGTGACGGCCTCCTGACCAATCAGGACGCAGGTAATTGCGCTTTCCCAGATCTCGGCATGACTTCCGTCCGGCATGCCGACCGCCAACTACCGAACAAGAACGGAAGCACGCATACCACTGAATGCCATTGTCCGTTTCAGTAAAAAAGAAAAAAAACAATGGCATGCGAGCTCTCTCTTTTTCTCTGTTGTTACACAGTCCACCACGTCATGTCCAAAAACGTACGAATGTCAATGATATTAATAGACGCACATGTCGTTCGGTAGTACCTACCTAGCTGTTGGTACCCGACTGGGCACGGTACTACATGGACTTCACTGTACAAGGTACCACCAAGTCTTGATGGAGAGTCTCACAGAGCGCACGGAGATGCCAACCCAAAACTAACCTCATCAGTGATCAACTTCATCGGACTCAAGCAGTCGAGAAATGAATTCTCTGTCAGATCCAAGTTAGCAGACAACAGCATGGCACCTGCAGCTGGAAATCGCCTCCAAGGTGCTATATGCATACGTAAGGACATAGGAGAGCAAAGCCAAGGACGTGCTAATGAGAACCACGCCGACCCAGTCAATTTTCGCAACTTCCTTGTACCATGGGGTGAAAATGATGCCGGATTCTTCTGAGGATGAAATGGCTATCCTCGGCAAGCTTAGACAGCAGTGACAGAGAGGACGCCATTCAGCATCGCGCTGATATAGTAGCCGAACCGCCAACCGATGGTGTCGACAGAGACTCCTCCGAGGACCAGGCCGACGGCGTAACCCAGCGGCTGTCTCTTGCCCACGGACGCGAAGCCAATGTTACGTCTCAAGCCCGACGGACACCTCCTCGTCATCAAGCTGACGGCCGCCGGCAGGCACATGGCGATGGCCAGCCCAAGCAGGGTCCGAAAGACGGTTAGCTGGACGGCCGTCTGGGCCAAACCGCATCCCAGCGTCAGAAAGGTGTGTACACGGTACTACCGGCCAGGCAGATGCGCTTGTCGCCCACCACGTCGGCGAGCGAGCCAAAGACCAGCAGCGTGCACCCGGCCGCCAGCGCGTACACGGACGCGGGCCAGAACAGGAGACTCTCGCTGAGCATGAGGTCTGGGGATGCCGGAGCCCATGGTGTTGAGAAAATTGATGCCAGTGAGGATCACGATCACCAACGTGGTTCGAGTGCGGCTGATAGTAGCTACTTCCTATCCATTCTCAGGAGGAACTGTGGAAGTGAAATTCCGCGTCTGCTTTCGCTTGCGCTCTTCCAACTCGATCAAAGACAAAGTAAGCGGATGCGTCACGAGTTCCATTATTATCGTGTCTGTCTGTATTGTAGAAGAGGAGAGAGCGAGAGAGAAGACAACACCACCCCACCGCTAATACAACAATGAAAAAGAAAAAAAAGGTATCTATCAATCAAGACTTGCACAATCCCCACAAGAACAATTCAATTCGAAGACATTATATATACACTTCCAACCCACAGCTAGTTGTAGTAATAGTCTCGCAAGTATGCATTTAATTAATAACACGGATTAGCAATATACAGAGTAGAGTACCTACTCGGAAAGGAAACGTGGATGATAGATAGATAGATAGATAAATCTAGAATCCAGAATCTGGACCTGGATTATTATTACCCATCAAAGCGGAATAATTCCATTGCGTCCCAATTGTTTTACTTTTGCCTAGCTACATAGGTCTGTTAGGTAATCGTCAATACTTGGGTTGATTGTCTTATCATAGTTCTTTTTTTTTTCGGGAGGAATCTAGGACTATAATCTACTTTCTTTTTTAGCCTATAGATATACAATATACATTGTTCAATGCCAAGCAAATGAATATGATCTGTCATCTCATCTATTCCGGACTTGAGGAATTTCAACAGCGGACAGTTACTATGTTGCGTGAAAAGTACAGATTCCACTACGTAAAACAAATATCATTCCTCTGCCGTCTACATCCTCTGCCATCTACATTCTACGCTCTACAGAGATGATTTCTTTTCTAGATGCGGAAATACATGATCCAGTCCTCCTCCGCGGTCTCCCTCTTGTACAGTTCGGAGGGTCTTGTTTTCTTCTTCTTCACCCTTCACTGCAGGCTCTCCCGTCGTCGGCTCTTCGCCTGCAGAGACTACACCGCACGTTCCCCGGCTAGTCTCTTCAGCTTCGGCCTCCTCAACAGCCTGGCGCTTGGCATCCTGTTTGGCCAGTTGCTGGCGCACCCGCTCCTGATGAGCGTTCGACAAGCTCAGCGTTCGATCAACCTCTTCGGTCAGACGGTCCACCTCTGACTTCAACTTCTCGTCTCGAGTCTGCAATGGGGCAGCCTCTTCCTCCCGCACTTTCTTGTCCGGATTAGTCTCCTCCCAGACAGCTTCCAGCTCCTCCAGCCAGCCAAGGGCCTTGGCCAATTTTCGCACCCCGGCATCACAGTCGCCCAGGAGCAGAACATCGTCCGGTCGAGATCCGAGATCACCAACCCGCTCCATGTTGATGAGCAGGCGAGGCGTTTCTTCCTGACAGAGTCCTGGCAGGCTCGCGAATGGCTGGACTGTCAGACTCGTGCCCATGACGATGCACAGATCCGCCCTCGCAGGGAGGTGGCGATTACGGAAGAACTCTTCAGGGAGGGCCTCGCCAAAGAAGACGATGTCCGGTTTCACGAGACCATTGCACTGTGGCGTCAGGCAGTGAGGCACCTCACCTTTCTCCACTGCCTGTTTCATCAGATCATCCGGGTAATGACTCTTGCAGTCGATACAGTGCTGCGACGCGAAGCTCCCATGGGCGTCCACGATCATCTCTCCGGGCAGGCCAGCCTCCCGTTCAAGACAGTCGATGTTCTGGGTAAAGAGCTTCAGCAAGCGCCCCTTGTCGTGGAGCAGTCGGATGAATGAATGCGCAATGGTCGGGCGATACCGCCCGGGGTAAAGTTCGCGAGCGAGAGCATAGAACGGCCGTGGGTTGCTGCGGAAAAAGCTGATGTCAAACACCGCTTCCGGCTCTGGGAGATCGAGATGCGCCAAATTGGAGTAGATGCCTGTATCTGGCGACCGGAAATCAGGTATGCCGGCAGAGGTGCTGACGCCGGCTCCGATCTTTTAGGTTTTTAGTATATCAATCAAATACAACACGCGATCGAATCATTTCCGACAAGGAATGTGGGAGTCCTACCATGACAACAATCCTCCGTACGTCTCTCTCTAGTATATATTTGGCGAGAGACTCCACATCCCGGCGCTCCAGCACGCGGGGAGGGGTATTCTCATCCACCGGCGTGGAGACTTCGTTCCCCATGTTCGTCCGGGGACGGCCAGGTTTCGGCCGCGAATGTCTGGGACGGCGACGGCGACCTATATTGAAGAAGCGTAAGAGAAAAGAGATAGTTCTCGACACGGTGGCAAGCAAATAACGATCGATAGGGAGCTAATAATGCGACTATGGGTGGAATGTGGGCATGCTTTTTCCAGAAACTGGAGACGGCGGAGAAATACGTCAGTCTGCACGTTCTCCGCAGCCCATTCCCAATACAGTAAAGCGCATGATCGACCATATCAGCACGTGAATCTATACAACAGAACATGTCTTCGCATTATTTCTTGCTCTTTTGCAAGTAAGTGAAAAGAATAGGTAAAGTAATGAAAGCATACAGTCAATGGTGGGTAGAGAGCAAGTTTCCTGTTAGTGAACCTAGAGACTCAGCGTTAGCTTTTCTATTTCTTGTATTTTTTTTCCTTTTCCTTTTCCCCAATTTTTGTTTATCCCAGTTGCCTCCCTTCTGGGATTGTTGTAATGTTATTCAAGCTTCAATACCACAGGCAGAACTGTGTACGGAGTACTCCTGTCAGAACATCGGCTGTGATGATACCAGACGGGTTCCGTATTCTCTGACCACACAATATGCCAGCACGAGTTGCTGGTTTTAAGACTTTACCAGCATTCATTATTAACACGTTCCATATGGAGTCGCCACCTCGCAGAGAGGTCATCTACCCTAGGACTTCGAGAGCTTGTCTCTTGGCGGCAATATCTCTCCAGGACGGAGGTATTCGACTGTTGAGTACGAGAAGCGTTGCAAGGCCGATTCAGAAACCGGTAGTATTTCTGGTGAGATCAATTGTTTGATAGTCTGTCAGCCTGGTACTCTAACTCCTCTTGTAGACCTATTGATAGTCGAATGGGCCGTTCCGATGAGCAGATGTCACTGCATCCCATATTCTCCTGGAGTACGGATTTCCTTTGATTCCCCTTCCGACACTGACGTATCAGACTACACAATCATAAAGATGTGGATACGTCTGTGCCAGCTCTCATTTGCTGGTCTCACTCACCAGCATACTGTCGAGACGACATCCACCTTCGACTTAGAGAAGGATCTTGACGCCTAAATCCCGAATTCCATGTTTTCGTCATCTGCTATCTCCTCAACCCCCAACTAGCGATATTAATAGATTTAGAGCAGGCTCAGAGCCCGTGACTTTTGTGGCGTACTAAATTTTTTTTTTCGCGAGCAGCCTCCCATGAATGAGGACGAGGACAATGAGAGCGAAAACGATTCTCAGAAAGAGTTGAAGAGGCAGTTTGGTTCGCCAAAGTTGGGGTTGGGGCTCAACTGAGCAGAGGTACTTGGATATTGTCGAAGCGTATTCGTGACTGTCAATTGACTGAGACACGATCTGGTTGCCATTGACTAGCGTCTTCCACTGAGAGAAATCTTGCTGTAGACAGGTTATCTTTTATTTTATAATTAACATTCGATGCTTGTTCATGTTGTAAATATTGATCTGTCCTACTACGTAGACCGCCTGCCATACATCTCTGTCCGGCCAATGAACGGGCTTCCCCACAACGAAGCGGCCCGTACGACGGTGCCTGATGACTTCCGACTGCAACCTGTCAACATCCCACCCCGCGACGTCCGCCACGTCCATGAGGAGGAAATGTCCAAGGTAAACGGTGTCAGCACCATCAATGGTCATGTGGAGCCCTCTTCGCCCATCGCCACCGCTGGCACGTCCTCTCCTCCCGATGTCTTCAACGCCAGCTCCGTCGCCGAGATCAAGGCGGCCCTCTCCCACCTCCAGGACCAGGAGGCAGCAGTCACAGCTCGTCTAGATGCGCTCGTCGCGTCGCAGAAGGACTTTTCGCGAGAACTAGGTCGACTGGATCTGCTGCGCGCCCATCTCAGTTCCCAGGCCAGTACGACCCGAACGATCAGCCATGGCATGCTCTCCGGCGCTGCAGCGACCGCGGACCGCATCTCGAGCGCCGTGCGACGTCTCGACCTCGAACAGTCGAGGGTGAAGGCGACTTTGGAGGTGGTTGAGCAGGTGGCAGAACTGAAGGCGTGTGTCCTGGGCGTGACGGGTTCGATGGAGGGCCCTCAGGACTGGGAGACGGCCGCCAGCTATCTGAACCGGGCCTCCAAAATCCCTCCGGAGGTGGTCAATGGCGCCTTCGCGGCACAAATCGTGCCCACCGCCGAGGTTCCCGATCCCCCCAATGTGACGCTCAACAATGCGGCCGAGTCCCTCTGCGGACTGTTCCTGCGAGAGTTCGACAAGGCGGTTAAAGAGAACAACAGCGCAAAAATTACACGATTCTTCAAGCTATTCCCGCTAATAGGCCGATCGGAAGTCGGTCTGGATGTATACGGACGGTACGTGTGTCAGGGAGTGGCCTCGCGGGCGCGGTCCAACCTCAATGCGGGGACCGGAGGAGCGCAGGGCAAGGATGGCTACTTCTACGCGAACGCTCTCACCAAGCTATTTGAGCACATTGCGCAGATCATCGACGGACATGGGGAGCTGGTAGAACGACACTACGGTTCGGGCAAGATGACAAGGGTGATTGAGCGATTACAGGTGGAGGCGGATGTCCAGGGTGGCATCATCATCGATACGTGGAGTGATGAGCGCCATGTCGATCGCAAACTAAAGGATATCAAATCCTACGCCTTTACATTCCTGGTGCAAAGCTTCCTCCCGGCACAACGTGGCGGCGGAACGCCTCGTGCAACCTCGCCAGCGAGCAAAGATGCTGCCCCAGCTGAAGACGAGGGCGTCGACATGAAGGAGGTGGATGGAATTCTGAATGAAATGGCGGTCATGTTGGGACGTTGGTCTCTTTACTGTCGGTTTTTGGCAGACAAGTGCAGGGTGTGTGACTGAATTCTTTTTCTTCCGTACATGCTGGTTGCTGACCAAAAGAACAGCCTCCCGAAGAAGACGAGGACGCAGAGATCCATCTGATACTGCCGGATTTCCTGGTGGAGTCGGCCCTGGCGAAGAAGATCAACGATCGATTGATCACTCCATTCAACGCCATGACTACCTTCTTCTTACGCCGCTCGGTCGAGAAGGCGTTCCAGCTGGATGAGCAGCCGTCGGGCCTGACATTGAATCCGCACAAACCACTCAATGCGGAGCCTCCTCACATCACATCCGCCGTGGACGACATCATGTATATAGTTAACAAGGTCCTCCAGCAGTCTATTGCGACGTCCCAGAGGGCGGTGGTGACCAGTGTTGTTCCAACCTTGGCCCGGGTGTTGGGATCCGACTTCATCGGCATGATCCAGCGAAAGATGCGAGACGAATACTATCCCAAGCCGCCTGTGCAAGGTGCTCAACCGCCAGAGCAGACCGTCATTGCCTTTCTTGTTTTGATCAACAACTTGGATGTTGCGGTGGACTACATCCGCCGGATCGTGCAGGGGCATGTGGAGAAGAAGAGTGCTGGCGTGGACGACGCGTCAGAAGACGACAGCGGACTGCAGGCGCTGTTCCCCGTGTCAGACGACGCTGCCGTCGTTGCCCAGACATTGAAATCTCTGTCGACGTCGTTCGAGTCCAAAGCGAACGACTTGCTCTCGGACGGCATTCAAGTTGTCTTCAACAATGTGGTGAAGAATCGTCTGCGACCGATCCTGGCCGACGCATTCCGAGATATTGAATACCAGCCGCGGGATCATAACGATCCCACCAGCACATATCAAAGCTACGATCCGGACGAGGATGAGGACGAGGACGCCCGTCGTGCGGAGCTCGTTCGCCCGCGGTTTGCAACCGCGTGGGGAGAGCTGCTTCTGCCCATCTCGCGGATCTTGACTGCGGCAACTTTCGACCGTTTGTTGACGGTGACGGTCGCCTATCTGGCGCGACTGCTAGAGAAGCGGCTCTGGTCGTATCACGGACGGGTCAACGCGCTGGGCGCCATCCGGCTGGAGCGGGATATTTCGGGGATCGTGAGTGCGGCAGTGGATGTAGGGAGCGGGTCTGGAGCGCCATCTCGCTACCGGCATCGAGAAGCGTTTGCTCGATGCGTGCAGATCGCGATGGTGATGGCGATGGAGGAGGATGAATGGGAGGAACTGGCCCGGGGCGGGGAGAGTGCGGCGGTGGTGGACAAGTTAAGTCCAGAGGAGCGGGCGAGAGCTCGAGCGATGGTGCGATAGATTTCTTTTTTCTTTCTCCATGAATATGATACCACAGCATAAGTTATGCACTGTTCTTGGCCATGACTTGTTTCATATACATATATCTAGGATATGGGTAAGGGCGGGATAGAGGAAGTTTATCAGTTCTGTACTGTACATGTAGTCAATCAAAGATGAATGCAGTTGAACTGTGCCATGATCTATCTATACTGTAGAACCAAGGAAAAATAGTACTAATTAATGAGATCTAATTTCTGTTGCTGTACAGGAAGAAAAGAAAAGAAAAGAGAAAGAACCCTTCCTAACGACCTTAAGCTTCTCTACCTGCTACCATTCTCTTTCATCCTCACTTATGCAGCACAACAGCAATGGCTTGCAGAAACAACTTCCTCCCTCCCTGAGGGCTCGTTCGCATTGCGAACAAAACAAAGGCTTCTTCAGCCAGATGACTTCTTGATGCGACTTCACTTTGGGAAGCTTTTATGTACTGAAGTACTAAGTAATGAATCCAGGCCGCCGTTGGAGCGAAGAATCCCTGGGTTTTCGACACTGATCCATTGTTATTGTCTTGTGTTGCGTGTGAGAGTAATAAATGGAAGCTTCTTGTGGAAAGAAAGTAAGAAAGAAAGAAAGAAAGAAATGAATTCTGCTGATAGCTACCTAGCTACATAATCATAGCTTCTTTAGCTTCTTTTTTTTTTGTTTGGGCTTCTTTTGCGTACTTCCAGAAGAAAGCAAGTTATTATTGAAGTTAATAGTTATTGGGACGGGGGGGGGAAAATAGTGCCTGGACGAGTTAATAGAATAGGGCTTTTAGAAACTTTCAATTTTTTAGGGCTAATCCAGCAAAATAAAGAGGGGGAAAAAACAGGGAAGATAGGGAGGGAAATGAAAAAGGACAGAGGGGTATTATATGACTCGAGTATTCCTTACCCTCCGTATATTATTAGTCCCTCTATGAGGGGATAATAAAGCAGAAGAGTGTTCACGTATATGGCTGGACTAAATTGATTCTCTCATCTTCCATCAGGCATCCTGTCTAGAGTGCTGACAGACTATCGACTAACTAGAAGACTAATTTTGTGGTCGACGCCGTATTGGCGGTGTGAGGGCGGATTCGATTCGATGGAGGTCCAGGCCCAGCAGCCAGGGTTTAGTTCCAGGAAACCGATAGTTTAGATTATGTAGTTTAGAATTTTGGAATAGTTTTTTTTCTGGTCATGGGATTAGGTGACTCCAGTTCTGTCTCCAAGTCGAGCTTGGCTCGAGTGGAGAAGACGGCGGAACCAACGTCAACGCCGTTCTAGCTGTCAGCACAGGACGGAAGAATCCGTCCAGCTGGTCCCATCTGCAGGATTGGATAGTCGATCATCCAGCTCAGAGCAAGCAAGGATTCGGATTTGTGTGATCGATCGACGGTCGTCGACTCGCACGGGTCGTGGCAGACTCACCGGGCTGCAGGCTGGGATTCGGCATTTCCCTCCCTCCCGCCTTGCCCCACGCTTGCTGGCATCCCCCTCCAAGCACTTCTCTCGTCTTTTCCTCCTTCTTTTCTCTTTCGTCCTCGAAAAATTCTGCCCTCAGTCTGCCTTCTCTTCTTCCACTGTCGACGCTTGCCACAACTCCGTTAGAGTCACCATGGTGGGAATTGGTCCCCGGCGCCCGCCCTCCCGCAAGGGTAAGTTGCCCACCCCACGTCCAGAGTGCGGAGAGCGTGCTGACAACGTCACCAGGATCCATGGCCGATGTGCCCAAGGATCTCTTGCAGCAGATCAAGGAATTCGAGGACCTCTTCACGGTGGACCGCGCCAAGCTGAAGCAGATTGTTGACCACTTCGTCAAGGAGCTGGAGAAAGGTATGTCAGCCTGTATGGAGGAGACCCGAGAATCCGCACGCTGACCGTGACCTTTCTTTCCAGGTCTCAGTAAGGAAGGCGGGAACATCGTAAGTCCAGTATCGACTGGATTAGTACGAAAGAAGCTGACGCCGCCAGCCGATGAATGTCACCTGGGTGTTCGGCTTCCCTTCGGGTGACGAGACCGGAACCTTCCTCGCCCTCGACATGGGCGGCACCAACCTGCGGGTTTGTGAAGTCGTCCTGACGGAGGAAAAGGGCGAGTTCGACATCACCCAGTCCAAGTACCGCATGCCGGAGGAGCTCAAGACCGGCACGGCGGAGGAGCTGTGGGAGTACATCGCCGACTGCTTGCAGCAATTCCTGGAATACCACCACGAGGGCGAGAAGCTGGCCAAACTCCCGCTGGGCTTCACTTTCTCCTACCCCGCGACACAGAACTACATCGACCACGGCATCCTTCAGCGGTGGACCAAGGGCTTTGACATTGATGGCGTCGAGGGCCACGACGTTGTTCCCCAGTTCGAGGAGGCTTTGAGAAGAAGAGTATGTCAGCCGCGACACTGCAACTGAAGCCTGCTGACGGGTATTTTAGGGTCTCCCCATTAAAACCACTGCATTGATCAACGACACGACGGGCACACTCATCGCGTCCGCCTATACCGACCCCGAGATGAAGATTGGCTGCATCTTCGGCACCGGGGTCAATGCGGCGTACATGGAGAATGCTGGGTCGATCCCTAAGATCGCCCACCTGAACCTGCCGCCCGAGACCCCCATCGCAATCAACTGCGAGTATGGCGCCTTTGACAACGAACACGTCGTGCTGCCACGCACGCAATACGACATCATCATCGACCGGGATTCGCCCCGCCCCGGGCAACAGACGTTCGAGAAGATGACGGCTGGTCTGTACTTGGGCGAGATCTTCCGACTGGCTCTGATTGATCTCATCGACAACAAGCCGGGTCTGATCTTCGAAGGGCAGGACGTGTCCAAGCTGCGCAAGCCGTACTCGCTGGATGCGTCTTTCCTGGCGGCCATTGAGGAGGACCCGTTCGAGAACCTGCAAGAGACGCAGGAGCTGTTCGAGCGGGTGCTGCAGATCAAGCCGACCAAGCCCGAGCTAGAGATGTGCCGCCGACTGGCGGAGCTGATTGGCACGCGAGCAGCGCGACTGTCGGCGTGCGGTGTGGCCGCGATCTGCAAGAAGAAGAACATCGAGTCGTGCCACGTCGGGGCGGACGGGTCGGTGTTCACCAAGTACCCGCACTTCAAGGCGCGGGGCGCGCAGGCGCTGCGGGAGATCCTGGACTGGAAAGACGATGAGAAGGACAAGGTGGTGATCCTGCCGGCCGAGGATGGATCCGGTGTGGGCGCGGCGCTGATTGCGGCTTTGACGCTGAAGCGGGTCAAGGAGGGCAATCTGGTGGGCATCCGGGACAAGGGATCCATGGAGACGATGCTGTAGTTTCCCAGAACTGCAGTGATGGGCAGAAAGGAAAGCGAGACCGATCCGATTGCATAAGATGATCCAGACATACGTACATATACATAGATTGGGTTGGCGGACATAAACGCTTAGCTAGATTATATTTTGATTATGAGTGCCCAGTGATGAATCTGGATTCATAGAGAACGTCGATGAATGAGTGAGTATTCGTTTTGGTCTTGAGCACTGCAGTAGTACGATTGGTATATGAGCTGAATTCAATCAGCGCCTTTATATGCTATATTTATATCTAGTATAATGACTATATCAGATTAGACTGTCGATGTATATATATATATATTTATATATAACCTATACGTGAGATCCCGCAAGAGAAACTAAGAATCAACTGTGCACAAAATTTCGCCTACTCAACTCACAGCTTCGACGGCACCCATTTCGGCTGTGTCTTGGACGCAAACGCACTCACGCCGATCTTGAAATTCTCCCCCTGGTACAACTTGTCGATATACTCCTCCGCCGTGCGGGCAGTGGCCCGCTCGACGCTGGCCGTCTCCCACGCCTCGCGCAGGCCGTGGCGGGTGATGATGATGGCGTCGGGCGACAGGCTGGCGATGCGCACCGCCAGCGCAACAGTCTCGTCCACGACTGACTGCGGCGTCTTGGAGATCTTGTTGATCAGGTGGTACCCCAGCGCCTCCTGCGCGGACAGTCGCCGGCACGTCAGCGCGATCTCCGACGCGACCTGCAGTCCGCAGTTGCGGATGATCCGCGGAAGACCCCCGGCGGCTGCGTACAGTCCGACTTGCGCTTCTGGGAGGCCGAATTGTGCTGTGGGCGAGGCTACTACTAGGTCACTGGATTGAATTGTCAGCCTTGTAGAAACTATTGATAAGAAGTAGGTAGGGAACACACCAGTTCAAGCAGATCTCGAAGCCGCCGCCCAGGGCATACCCATTGACGGCCGCCAGGACGGGCTTCTTGCCTCTCCGGCGGCTCAGGCCCATAAACCCCGTTGGCGGATGGGCAAGGCCCAATTTCGAGTCTGAAGACGGAGAGGAAGATTGCGACGATGCTGCAAGCTCGTTCTGCTCAATCAGGTCCTGGCCCGCACAGAAGGCCTTGTCGCCGGCGCCCGTAACGACGGCGACGCGCAGCGAGGGCTCCTCGTCGAACCAGCGGAAGATGGCATGGCCTTCCCAGTGGGCTTTGTTGGTGAGGGCGTTGCGCTGCTTCTCGCGGTTGATGGTCACCAGCAGCACGTGCGGGGCGGGATAGGACAGCAGATAGGCGGTCGTGGCGGGGGGCTGCGTCTGGATGTTGTCCGCCATGGTGTACGATAGAGGAGTATTCGTCTTATTGATCTATGGTATATAGATGGGTTATTGTTTTGTACAACGCATTAGCTTCCAGTTGGTAACGCGGGGATAAGCTTAATACTGCCTCGGTAACTAATCACCTTGCGGCTAATTCTAATGAACCTAGGTCCGGCCAGTCCACATTAGAGCTCCTTTGGTATGAAATGCTCTCTATCCGGAGCTTAGCAGAGCATGACTGTATGAGGGCTATATACCAAGATGCCATTGGTGGGGAGAATTCATCCCAATTGCAAACAGCACGTCGATATACTTCTTCATGTGCGGGGAAGACGATCGACCTCGGCACGCGTTGTGGACCATCCATGCGGTGGAACTTAGTTCTTCAACTCTTGTACTACATGAATAGTATAAACATGCAAAATACAGATCTGTATACACCTGTATACGCATGGGTATACGCCAATTGAGCTAGTCAACAAGAGCACAGTTCTCTCACCATGGCTCCAGCCACACCAGTCATCATCGGCGTCGCCGACGTCAAGAACCGCTCTGTCCAGGTCGAAGACGCCCTCGAGCCCGCGCAGCTCATGCTCGAGGCCATCCGCCAGGCCATCCAGGACACGGGTCTCGATTCTGCCTCCCAGCAACAGCTGCAGTCGCAGATCGACAGCATTGACGTCGTCCGGACGTGGACCTGGCCCTATCGCGATCTGCCGGGGCTGCTGGCGGAGAAGCTGCGCATCCAGCCTGAGCATCGATTCTGTACCGACCATGGCGGCAATCAGCCCGCGAAGCTGCTGGATGAAGCCGCCCGGCGCATTGCCCTGGGGAAGACCAAGGTTGCCGTCATCACGGGGGGAGAGGCTCTAGCCTCACGTGAGTCACTTCAACTCTTATCTTCTTCAGACGAGAGCAGGGCTAATACTGCATGTGCTGTACATGTACTGACTGACTGCAACAGTGGCCGCCTGCGCGAAAGCCAACAAGCTGCCTCCCCCTGGCTGGACAGCGCCAGACAAGCGCGTCGAGTCGGTCTTTTCTCCCTCGACCCTGGCTCTGGGTGAAGGTATGCTGCAGACACTGACCTCCTATGTGCAATTGACACTCACCACATCGGCGCGAGCAACAGACCTCGGTGGAATCCACTCCATCGGCGCCCCGATCCACGTCTATCCTCTGTACGAGAACGCCTTCCGCGCGTATCGGGGCCAGTCGATCCGGGAAAACAATGCCGAGTCGGCCAGACTGTACGCCCAGTTCAGCCAGGTCGCGTCGCAGAACCCTTACTCCTGGAACTACGGCAAGCCAGCTGACACGGCGGAGTCGATTGGCACCGTGTCCAAGCGAAATCGCATGATCTGCTTTCCATGTAAGACTGTCTCGAGACTAGAACCATTCTTACACTGTATTGACTATTGACTCGTTTAGATCCCCTCCTGATGAACGCTTTCAACACCGTCAATCTAGCAGCCGCCTGTCTGCTGACATCGACGGAGTATGCGCGACAACTGGGCGTCCCGGAAAGTCGATGGATCTATCCGTTGGGTGGTGCAGGGACGAAAGATAGTGACTGGTGTATGCACATCATCTCTGTTCCGGAACAAATCCACATGTAACAATACAGTTGAGCTGATGAATTATCGCAGTCTGGGAACGACCGAATTTCTTCACCAGTCCGTCCATCTCCCGCTCGCTGGACGAGGGACTGCGCTCGTCGGGGTTGAGGGCAGAGGATATTGACCTGTTTGATTTTTACTCGTAAGACCTGACGAGATCAATCCATCGTATATTGAATTGATGCTGACGGACTGGACTGAAGATGCTTCCCCATCGTCCCCAAGCTCGCCTGTCATCATTTAGGGCTCGATATCCTGAACCCTGAAAAGCCGATTACTCTGCTGGGGGGACTGACGTCTTTCGGGGGCGCAGGGAATAATTATTCCATGCACGTATGTATTGCCCTCAATACATACTTATCAAAAATCATTGCCTAATACATATTCAATATCGGGTGCATATATAGGCCATCACAGCAATGGTCCGCAAATTGCGAACAGGCCCAGCTACCAATGGCCTGATCCTCGCCAACGGCGGTGTCCTGACCTACCAGCATGTCGTCTGTCTGTCGTCGAAGCCTAGAAGATCGTCATCGTCCTACCCCGACAGAAACCCCCTCCCGGAGGTTATTACTGATGTCCCTGTTCCACCGATCGCTGCCCAGGCAGAGGGCGAGGCTACGATAGAGGTGAGTCTCTCATTCCCTTCCCAGTCTTCATGTATACATACGTGTGCATGCATGTACTTATCTACGTGAAATTTATTCCTACATATATTAATCAATCAATCCTTATCGATACAACCCCAACAGACCTACACCGTCGAATTCAACCGCTCCGGCTCCCCAGAGAAAGGCTTCATTGTCGGCCGCCTCAAAGATACCGGCGAGAGGTTCGTCGCCAACCACGCTGATGCGGAGAGTCTGGCTAGGCTGGCTGGCTCGTCTTCTTCGAGCGAGTTCGAGCCCATCGGGCAGACGGTGTTTGTTTTTGTGGAAGATGAAGACGAAAATGAAAATGAAAGTGAAAATGGGAACGATAAGAGAAGAAAGAAGGCGAGAAGGAGGAGGAATCTGTTCTCCTTTGAGAGGAGGGAAAGCAAGGGGAAAGGGAAAGGATTGTCTGGGGCGAAGTTGTAAGTACGTATAACGTATACAACGTATGTAATGTGTACTGTGTATATTGTATAGTACATGCATGCATATCTGATTATTTGGATGAGTGTGTATGACATCTACCTACCTATCTACCTACCTATCTATCTATCTACTGTCTAATATACAGTTGAAAGACGAAGTTGATATCCATATTTGGTAAACTGTCCGTACTTGGAAATTAGTAACAGGTCAGTAATAAGTCCTGCATGCAATTCATTTCCTGAATTCATTCTTTCTCTCTAGTTCTGTCGATGAGCGTCATCTATATACTACTCTACAATCCAGTCTATACAACATGCAACAAAAGACAGGCCATATGATCATCCCATCAACCGTGAATCTCCCACAGTCGGATCCGACCCTGCTCGTTGCCCACAGCCAGAAGATTGGACTCGGGCGAGATGGCTACGGACGAAATCCGGCCAAACGGGGTGTTGGAAGTCGGCCAGTTGCGGTAGACGGTGCAGGATGGCAGATGGACTGCGTCAAGTCAGCATACAACAAACATGTCACGTCGAACAACAAACAACAAGGTTGAAAGCTTACCCAATCTTAAAGCGTCCCTCTTCCATCGGCTGGTCATCACCATAAGCTGGCCGTCCGCCGAGAAGACGAGATGACTGATCGGCGTCGTCAGCTGGTCCAGCATGCGCACCGGCTTGGGATTGCGAGGGATCGCCTCTTGAATATCCTTCTTCTTCGACGACTCAGCCTGGGCCACCGCCGCCGCCCACGGGCGTCGGTCGTAGACATTGACGATGCCGCTCGAGCTGCCCACCGCAACCCACCGGTCTCCTCCCAGCTGCGGCCGCCCCGACGACCCGCCCAGACTGATCACGGTCGTGCCCACAGCGCCCTCATCCGTCCAGCGTGCAACAACCCGGCGGAGTCGTCCATCCCATTCCGATATCTCGCCGTTCTTGCTCGCAACACACATCCCCTCGCCGTCACTCCACCATGCAAAGTCGGCGACGCCGCCCCGGCCATCGACGCGCACCTGGGCAATCCATTTCCCGGACGTGGAATCCAGGACATTGATCAGGCCGCCGCCCTTGCGCGCCGTCCCGACCAGCCCGATATACCGTCCGCACGGTGACAGCTTGAATCGCTCCATAGACCTCTGTTCCTCCTTGCGGGCTGCCGTAGCCTTGACCTTCTCCACCTTTCCTGTATCCAGATCCCAGATGTGGAAGTACCGCCGACGGCCGGACGCAAAGATCCTATTCCCCGTGGGCGGAGCAAACGCCGAGGTATGGATGGGTGTGTGTCGGATGTGAAGTGAAGTAACGAGAAGATTCGGCGACGGCGCGTCTGGAGAGATATGATGCAGGAACAGTGTCGACGCTGGACCGGAGGAGAGCAGAAGTGGGTAATGAGGGTGAAAGGAAAGAGAATCTATAGAAGACTGTATCAAAGCATTAGCCAGACTCACGTAGATCCCGGCTCGAAAGCTCACTTACCGGCTGATCGCCCCCGACATCCTTGAGTCGCTGAATGTCTATGACCTCCTGGCGCAGTCTCCTTTCACCACCGGTCTTCCGTTCCTGTCTCAAAAGATCGCCAGCACTCTGGAGGAGCTTGGCCAGCGGTTGCGTTGACAGTTCGCTCTCATCATCGGTATCCATCTCGTCCACACTCGAGACGTCAGAGTCGCTGCTACCCATGCTGCCGGCCCTCTTCCTCCGCTTTGCGTTCCTCTGGGGATTGGCCCATTCGGGCGTGGGATGCAGCCGCAGGTACTGCCTGCGTAGTCGTCGAATGTACTCCTTCCCGCTGATGAGATCCTCCGACTCGGTGACGCGCAATTTCCTCAGTCGCTGGTTGCCCGCCAGAGAAATAGTCAAGCGCTCATCATCGCTGTCCACCCAAACGGGCGGCTGAACAGGATTGCCAAACTCGTCCGTCTCCTCTTCCTCCTCCTCCTTATCGGATGGCGTCGTAGCGGCGGGAACAACAGCACCGGGTGCCTCGACTGTGCCTGAATCGAGGAAAAATAGCTTTGCAGAGAGAAATTGAGGTTAGCAGCAAAATTCCCTCCATTTTAGCTGGCCTCCACTCACATCAGCATCTGCGATGCCGTCCATATCCTGATCATCCTCTGCGCTCTTGTCATCCCCGCCGGCGCCTTCATCGCCGCTCATCATATCAATATCGGTCGTTTGTCGACTCCGATGGCTCTTCAATGCCTCGTGAAAGCCCTCGTCATCTCCGAACAACAGCTTCTCCAGTTTCTTCTCCGTTTCGTCTGGTTCCGGGACGTCCTCATCGCTGGATTCATTGTGATCTTGGTCTTGGCTGACATCGTCCTCTTCTTTGTCGTGGAACTGCCTCGAAATTGACTTGTCCTCCTCGAAAGGAGACGGATCTGCTCCGGCGGAGGCCTTGGCCTCTCGCGCCTTTTCCTTGACACGAGACATGGAGTCCTTTTCTGCAACCTCTCGATTAGGAAATCAGAGCGGGTGTGACAGGTCCTGAGAACTATAGCAATGATAACAAGAACACATACGACTCCTCAAGAGTGCGCAACAGCCTGGTGGAAAATTCTCTTGTCCAGCCGAAATTTTTGCTCGCTGCAAAGATCCAAGACTTTTTTTTTCTGCCGTTGCGGCTCTGCTGCGGAGCTCCGTTAGCGCGGGCGGAATCGCTCTGCGGGCCCAGTGGAGCTGCTGATAACAGATAGGGCTAACTGGCGTAAGGAATGTCAAGAGCTCCTGTACGAAGTATTCCAGGTTAAAGAGAGATCAAGAAATAAATGTGATTGGCAAGAAACATTCTCAGTGTGTGTTGCATGCGGTGGTCGCGTATTGAGTGAAACAAAGCAACCATCAAAAAACGAGCATCAAAGATTATAAATAGTACGCAATATGTCGGGACCCGCCTAGAAAGCAGATCATAAGACTATCCATTACAAGAATATAGTGAGACTACCTAAAGTAGGTAGCCTTAGCATAGACTGAGTAATATTTTTTCTCTTCGCCTGACCCGTAAAATTTGTCTTAGATAATAACTAGATTCCTTCTATGGACATGTCTCTGGTAAGAACTTAGAAGAGACGGTTTAATCTATACAGTATAGATGGGAGGAGGGGATCATCTTCCACTTCAACAAGACATAACACAACAAACCGTTCATCGTAGACTATTCAAGGCAATCATGCAAGCTTCGTAGAAATCGAGTTGTACAACGCCGCAGCCACCGATTAACGCCCCGAACGCGCCAAAAGCAGAACCAAACAGTAACCGGAAAGCATGTCGAAAATGACGTCTCCAGCACCAGTCCTGGTATCACCGGCCATTCCGTTCATGGTGTGCATGATCGAGTCTGTAATTGTTCGACGAGGATGCCCGGTCGGCATCCTCCCCATCAGTCGTCGGGTCGTAGTCAATGGAATCCTGGCTATGAGCAGCGACGTTCATCTGCGAAGAGAAATGAACTGGCTTGCCCATCGCTTCATCATCTGACTCGCTATCTTCGTCGTCACTAATAGCAGCCAACAGAGCGCTGCGACGATGTCGGTCATCGTCCAACATCGCGTCCGCAAGGGCGTCTTCATCCAGCAGCGGTTCGCGGTCCACCGGAACCTGTTTCTTGATGAATGTGTCGATGATGTAATACTGAATCGCGTTCATGATGACGGGAAACAGGAGCATCACGAAGATGATTTGGGTGGCAGTATTCCCTTCCGTCCACCGCAGGGCCCAGTCGCCAATCTTCACAATGACCGGAAACATCTGGATGATGAAGAAAACGCAGATCTTCATCCACAACAGGCCGATAAAATAAAGTAGCGACTGCTTAAACCACCACGTGGTTTTGGGAGGGTGTCCATAGTTGCCCGACTCGATAGATTCAGGAGGATTAGCGAGAGGAGTGTACTGCGCAAGGTGGTTGACGATACGGAGAATGAAGACGAGAATGGGGATTCCAAGCGTGGTCTATTGTCGATAAAGGCTCTCATCAGCTGGTGATCTGGCAGGCGATCGGGCAAATGACTATACTCACATCGATTCCCAGATTCAACAAGTAGAACGAGCATGGGTTCGGTTGGTATGATGTCCGGGTGATCTCGAAATGGCCGGCAGAGAACATGGACATGAGCAGGTTGGCCAGATGCAGCATCGCCGAGCCAAAGACCTGCTTGGAGACGTCGAACGCCCAGACCTTGACTGGCCGTTGCGGCCTCTCCTTCCATCGCTTGTAGACGAGGGATAGCAAGGCTAATGCTCCCAGAGCCGCTTGAACGACGAGGGAGAACGGCCCAAGCAGTTCGCACTCGCCGTTTTGGTTGGGATCCTGGCTCTCCATCGCATTGGGCACAGCAGTAGGAACAGACGTCACTATAGAAGTGATGCTGGAATGAGCGATTCTGGCTGCTGTCGCTGCGGCGGCCACCGTAGAAGACGGCACTGGCACCGTCATCATTGTGGCCAGCGTCGAGTGAGCTGGACGATCCATTGGCAGGCGGTGCTGCCTCTGGCTAGAGAGGCGCCACTAAGGCTGGGCGGCGGACCTAGCGCATACAGCGACGCCCAACAAAGCATTCAAGTCACCCGCAGAATGCGAACCCCCTCCAGATGCACGCAGGGAGAGGGGAGTCCAAGAATAAATCGAAGGAAGTGAACCCCTTGACCAGCAGGGTGCTGCCCAGCAGACTTGAAAGGTGGCGATGTGACGCAGCGGCCAGCATGCGGAGAAGGTGGTTAATTAGCCTTCAGCTAACTCGCTCTGGGCGGAGTCAGAGAGGCAGTGAGGACCACAGCAGGAAACCGTAGTAATTATAGGGCCAAATAGTCTTATCGTACTATTACAGTTAAATCTATACATAGCTACGAGACCATCAACATCGAGGAGACCAGCAAAGGGTTGTCTCATTATCATGACTCGACTAAAACAGCAGCCCACAGGCCCGACAATCTGTGCCATCATTCCAAACCTGGCCAGGATATCAATCATTCTTGCAAGCCATTCACCCACGAATAAGTTCCATAACCGTAAATTGAGTGCTGTGGAAACCCGCCATCAAAGAACAAATACAATTATAAATACGTGGAAAGAAGGGAAAACGTAAACAAATGGAACGCCAGAGACCCAGGACCCGTCCATGGTGGACAAGACAAGACAAGACGACCGTAGCAACGCCTCAAGCAGGTCTATGCCCAGTGTGACAATATTTGCACAAGAAGACAATGCACGAAGACATCATTCTATCCCGTGCTGCTGTTTGAGGCGTTCTAAGTTCTCTTGTCTCTCGGCGAGGTCCTCTTTCGAGCGGGCCATCTTCTCGGGCTGGTGATATAGTACTGTCGGATGGGAACTCGTCAGCCCTGAAACGGACGCTGAATCATATTATTCCAAAGTCCCAACTCACCGACAAGGTATCTGTTCTGAAAGTTGAAGCCATTCAGCTTGTCGCATGCCTGCTTGGCATCCATGACGTCCTCGTACACAACGAAGGCCGTTCCCTTAGTATTGTTGGAGATACCCTGGCGAATTTGCCTGGACAGTGGAAACGAAGACAATCATCAGACCTTGTCCTTCTGCGTTCAAGACACGCTGGGAGTCGGGAGACCGTGCTTACCGGATGGGGCCAAATTTGCCAAAGAGACCGAACAGATCCTCTGCAGTGACGTTGTAGCTAGAACCTCTGTCAGCCAGCCCATCCTCGATATCTTTCGAATGGCATATGCTTGTGACATATGCTCTGGAGGCAAATGTCCGAGATCGGAGAAATGGAGTGCTGGTCAATTGAGCTCAGCGTACCTCAGGTTCTTCACGAAGAGAATACTAGACACGGAGACGTCCAGTTAGCAATCTGCGCATCACAACCACATCAGAGAAGCACTCCTCTCCGGCTCCCCAGCAGCGCCCATGACAGCAGCGCCAGCGGAGCGGCTCGGAGAGGAGGGGCACGGGGGGGGGGGAGGAGACACCAACCGATTGGCTTCGGGGGCGAGCTTGCGGCTCATTCTCGGGTGGAAAAGAGGGTATGGAGGATTTCTGGTGCAGTAGAGAAGAGAGAACGATGGCACTGCAAGATAAGAGCTCGAACGCAGCAGCTGGAGCAAGATCCGCAGCGATGGAGAAGCAATGGAGAGGCAGGCGTGACTGCGCGAGGTCTGCCAAGAGGGGGCGATCCAAAACGGGCCTAGCGCCATCGGCCTCCGTGAGGCTCGCTGAGCACGCAGAAAGACGACGGCGAGCACCCCCAGCAGAGGCCGCGATGAAGGCACCGCTGGCTGCAATGCGGGCAGTGAACGGCCTGGCTCGTAGGATTGCGTCTCTGTCGGCACCCTGTAGCCCTCTGGTTCTGTAGACGGCGCGCACGCGTCTCCCTCTGGCGGCCAAGCGCCCGGCTTCCTCGGCCGGAAACGACCTGCCCGGCCCTCAGCCCGCCCTTGTCGAGACGTCCTCGCAGCAGACGTCCGACCGCGCCTCCTCCCCTCAGTCTCCTCATCAATTCCCCGTCCTCCTCCAGCAATTCTCGCTGTCTCGTGCTGCGAACTCCCAGGGACGACCTTCTAGGCTGCTTCTGGCGCTGCCTGCGCCCGCCCTGCCTCGCTTCGGCGCCGTGCCTCCCGCGCTCGCTTGTCGCTGTTGGTCTCCCAGGTCGAGCAGAGCACCTTCACCTCCCTCCTCCCATCGCCTCCGCGCCGCGCCATCCTCCCTCCTCCAACCTCACCACCCAGTACCTCCTTCTGCTCATCCTTTGCGCTCTGCTCTGGCTATCATCTCTGCGCGCTTGCTCATCCGACCGGGGATGACTTTGCAGTCGCCCTTGGTCGCCGCTCTCTAGTCCGCGTGGTGCAGACACCCCCGCTTCGTACCCGCCTCCCGCAAGACAGGACGAGTTCCCTCTCTCGCTCCTGCGCCCTTCTTCCTCCGCATCCTACCCTCGAATCCATCCATCGTCAATCTCCTGATGGCGAGCGCTTCGTCCTTCTTGAGCCACCTCGGTGGCCGCCCGCCGCGATACCGCACTCCTTCCCCCCCGCGACGCGCCGTCGAGCCCATCTCGCCATCCGTCAACTCCGACGCCCGCATCCCCTGGAATGAGCGCAACGCCTTCCGGCCATCGGATCTCGCGCGCGACACATACTTTCAGAGCAATGACAGCCGTCGAGTTCCGGATGGTGCTGGCCATCACCAGCAGCCCTCGACGGACAGTCAGGCTTCTCATCCCCGATCCGGCCAGAGCCATCACCGCTCCGGCTCGACCATAGACACCCTTGCGACGATTGCGTTGGCAACGAGTCCCACTTTCGCGCATCTCCCGTACGAGCCTTCTCATCCTCAGAATACCGCTGCGGCTGGTTCTCCGCAGCTGATGAGACCCCGCGACGGCACCGATGAACGACCCGCTAAGCGTGCGCGATCGGAGAAAGATTTCTCACCGTCTCTCGAACGCGCTGATGCCAGACCGTTGACGAGCCATGCTTCTGTCCTGGATAGTATGAAGACAGATGCCGAGCTCCTCCTCAACTTTGCCAGACCCAGCAATTTCCACTCTATCCCCCCTGTTCCGAAGACGAGCTCTGGCATCGATGGATCTTATCATCACTATGGGACGGAGACAAAGTGGTCCACGGCCGTTAGTACCACTAGCGGAGGTAATAAACCCTCGCCATACGCGTTCCACGAGAATGGATTCTCTCCCTCCCGCATCAGGTCTCACTCGGATGGGTCTACGGCTATTGCGCGGCCGGTCATCCCGGGCTTGCGACCCAATACGAGCTCCTCGACGCTTCCATCTGTCACCTGGGATGGTGAGGAGGCCAAGTACAATGGCAACGAAACCACTCAGGCCATGTCGGATGAGTACAACAAGAATATGAAACCTCAATCTCAGCATGAGTCTGCCAATGGAGTCGCCATGGAGGCCATGCCGGAGACGAAAGAGGAAGATGCCGATTCAGATGACTCCAGCCAGGCAAGCTGCGCAGCTTGTAATCTGGTGCGGATCAGCGTCAACGGGGAGGATCAGGGCGAGGTGACCTGGATCAACTGCGACGGGTGCAAGCGGTGGTTTCACATCGTCTGTGCGGGCTTCAAGAACGACCGTGAGGTCCGGACCGTGGACAGGTTCATCTGCCGCGGATGTCGACCCATCCATGGCCAAACCACCTTTGTGCGCAAGTCGTCTCGCGCCCGCACCGCCATCGACTATGCCGGTCTCAATCAGGGTCTCGTCAAAACGTCGACCGACTCTCCTCAGCATCACTATATCCAACCCATCAAGGAGGGCAAGATCCGCTTTTTGCCCGAGAACTTCCCACGCATGAGAGCCGAACTGGTCACGGCCGAATTCTTCGAGCGGGGTGTGGGCATGACGGAGCCCATTGTCATCCCCGCGGAGCTCAACCCTCGCAACCCGGCCGTGTCGCCGGTCGATCCTGAATTCGACAACCTCGTCGCCGAGGCTCCGACGCAGGAGATGTTTGATGAATTACTCGAACACCTGCCCGAGGGTGCGGACGCCGAAGTGGTCATCGACTGTGGTCAAGATCTGCTGGATATGGTCATTCCTCAAGGTCTGACCGTTCGCAGAGTGGCGGAGCTCTATGGTCCCGAGGAGAGAGTGGAGGTCATCGATGTGAAGTCTCAGCAAGGGGAAGATAAGAAATGGAACATGCAGAAGTGGGCGGACTACTACGAGAGCACGGGATCCAAGGTGGTTCGGAACGTCATCAGTCTCGAGGTATCCCAAAGCCCGTTGGGCAGACTGATCCGCCGACCGAAGATTGTGCGTGATCTCGACTTGCAGGATGCCGTGTGGCCGGAGGAGCTCAAGGCGATCGGCGACTATCCCAAGGTTCAATTCTACTGTTTGATGTCCGTGGCCGACTGCTACACAGACTTCCACATCGATTTCGGTGGCTCCTCGGTTTACTACACCATCTTGAAGGGGAAGAAGACCTTCTTCTTCATCCCTCCCAAGGAGAAGCATCTGAAGAAATACGAAGAATGGTGCAATTCTCCTGCCCAGGACACGACCTTCCTCGGTGATCAGACCAAAGAGTGCTACCGGGTCGATCTCCAAGAAGGCGACACGATGCTGATTCCCGCGGGCTGGATTCACGCCGTGTGGACGCCGGAAGACAGCCTGGTGATCGGTGGGAATTTCCTGACACGCCTGAATTATGGGATGCAGATCAAGGTCGCCAAGATCGAGAAAGATACCAAGGTTCCGAGAAAATTCCGGTATCCTTTCTTCCAGAAGATCCAGTGGTACGCTGCTCTGAAGTACCTGGAAGAGGATCCCATCCCGGACAGTGTGTGGGAGGCGTTTGCTCGAGACGAAAATTATCGTTTCTATCGCGAATTTCCGATCTACTACGAATTTGGGGAGCGAGAAAACAAAGCCCCTCGTGGATCTCCTTACTACAATGCGCGCTTTTACTCCCAAGCCGAGTTGGAAGGCTTGCACGAACTCGCGAAATACCTTCTCCGGACTGCACTCATTGCCGCTGGCTATTCCGTGGAGGGAGTCACGACGGAGGCTAGAAATGCGGTCAAGCGATCCATCCCGAAAATGCAAGGCGATCCCATTGACGTTGTCAAGAAGTTTGGCGTGTGGGTTGCCTGGAAACGAGGGAATGAACCCGCTCCTCAGTGGACCAGACCTGGCGTCATCACAGCCAATTTCAAGCTCGAGCAACTAGACAAGAAGCCAGCAGGCCGACCCAGTCGTCGATCTGAACGCCATGCGGATGCTCAGCGAATATACGCCGAAAGACGGGGTCTGCAGCGTCTGTCTGATCAGGGTGCCGATGCCCCCCACGGTCTTGCGAACGGCGTGTCAGTGCCATCTGACAACAGCACATCGGTTCCCCACCAGGCTAGCATATCCAACCCTCCTGTCAAGGAAGAGGCGCCTAAGCCCCGTAATGTCAACAAGGGTTCCGGCCTGGGACCAAAGAGGGTAGCTTGTGATGCGTGCCGGAAGAGACGGATCCGGTGTCGCCATAAGGATGAGCAAAATGATGCGAATGCGATGAGACCATCGTCCGCGAAGCCGACGACGGCTAATGTGTTCGACTCGGCGGAGATGCAAAATCAGTCGATGTTGGCGCGGGATGCTGCCTCCGTTTTGAACGCGCTGGCATCTGTCGCCACGGAGACCGGTCTACATGACGGCACCAATGGCATGGGTGTCAATCGATTTGAAGGATACCCTGCTGATGGGCGGAATTCAGCTCTTTTGGAAATGCAGCGAAACGCCGTCGCACGACCAACCGATGTAATCCCCAACGGTGTGAATGTTGGGAAGAAAGGAAGAAGCAAGGCATGCGACGAATGTCGCAAGAGCAAGGTACGTCAGTCCTATTCATCAACATTCCTTCTGTGGACTTCTTTTCGCTGACAAAGAGCAGCGTCGCTGCATCCATGATGAATTTGGTAGGATTGATCCGATTAAGGCACAAGAGCGTTCGAAACCCCGGGCTTCAGCCTCATCTAAGCGACCCCGACCTGGCGATGACGGCACGGTTTCCACGGCAAACAAGAAGCCGAGACAGGACACATCTGCCGGTGCGGCATATCCTGTTAATGTGACGCAAAAGGAAGACAACGTGGCTGTTGCATCGGTGTCGGGTAATGGCTTTGTTGCTGCAGAACACGAACAGGGTGACTACAAAGTCCCTTCTAGTGTCCAGTCACCCCCAGCAGAGACCGTTTCACCGGAGCAGCATGCCATGAATAACGTCGGGTCGAACCAGGTCTCATATGGGTCCCCGCCGGCCGTCAAGGCAGATGTTGATGCAGACACGGTTACTGCTGTGCCGATTCAGCCAACAGAGCCCGCGAGTTCTCTCGTGTCGCCGCCAACTTCGCTTGCCGGGGAGAAGGATGACTCACCCGAACAGGGCAATGAAGAGACGCGTAAATCGGTGGAGGGAGAGCAAGATGCGTTGCATACTCCCACATCAAGCTCTCGACACTCCTCTCGTCAGCCTCGACAGGTGGATCGTTATGTGCCGGAAGTAGTTCCGCCAAAGGCCACAAACAAGTCTTCTGCCCGAAACACGTCTACGAGTGGTACAAAATCTAGCAGTGCGAAGAAGTCCGTATCGCGCCCGACATCGTCGCACGCGAAGAAGAGTGCTTCTCCTGCTCATGACAAGAAATCGGGCTCGTCCACGTCACCTCGGGCGCCGCATAGCAAGAGCGCGAAGCAGCCGCACGGCTTTGCTGAGAGCGAGACCGATCTGGAAAGCTTGAGACTGATACGAGAACTACAAGAGCAAGAATTCGGGCTACGGAAACGAACTGCTAGGGTTTGAGATGAAGTCGTACTATCATTCCTTCCAACCTACGCAGGCAGTGACATCATATGCTGGTCGTATTTTAGAATGCAAGACTGGAAACAAGCTTCATTTCTTTCTTTCTTTTCTTTGCTTTTTTTTTCTTGATTGTGGTTTATTTCAGGAATGCAAAAGGGAATGAGCACAGGTTCGGAATCGGATTGGAAAAGGCGTGTATTTCGTTCGGGTTAGGTTTGTTTCTTTGGGCGTCCATGGTAGGATGATAGGGTGAATTTTTTGCTTTGCTGCGCGTTCTTTTCTTTTTGTCCTTTTTTTAACCCTTAAATTTTGTCTCAATTCTTTCTTTATTCTGTGAGATTAGTTATTTGTTACCTCTGTTCAGTCAGTTTCGTTTGGTCTCGTCGTCGTTATCATCGTTATCATCGTCGTCGTCATCATTATTATCAACATCATCAACATCATCATACCTTTGTATTTTTGTCTGTCATATATCCCTGGTGTTTTTTTATTTTGTCAAATCAAATCAGTCGAATCAAGTCGAATCAAATCAAGTCGAATCATTATTCAGCCTTTGGATCTGTCGCTTTTCGTTCGTTTCTTTGTTTTTTTTTTCTCAGGCTTTTCCTTCTGAGTCCTTGACGATGGTAATATCTATCCTATCCTATCGACCGTCAGTCAGTCACTTCACTTGCATCATCATCATCATGCAGTTATTAGCTTATTATCTTACTTTCGCTTCCTTTTTTCCCTTTTTGTATCGGGTGGCATCTATCTAAAGAAAGTATCGATCGATCGCCATTTCTTTCTGTTTTTTCTCTTGTCTTGCCCTGTTTTGTTTTGTCTTTCTTTCTTTCTTTCTTTCTGTTTTGTTTTTTTTTTAGGAGTGGCTATTATTTATTTTATTAGTACTAAATCAAGCAAGTGTAAGTAAGTTAAGTACAGAAACAATAATTTCTTTCTTCTTCTTCATTATCATCTTCTTCTACAAGGCCATTTATTCCATTGTATTGTATCATATCACATATATCATGTCCTATCGTCAAGAAATGAATGACTAAGTCAAATCGACTCGAATCGTTTTACTTTGGTTCAAGCAAATAATATACAGGATAAATTGGACTATTGATATTAACTGGATAGGATATCTGCCTAGCTGTCTGTCTATTGTGTCTCCAATCAATCAATCAATCAATCAATCAATCAATCAATCAATCAATTATTGGGTCTACATGATGAATTGGATTGAATTGAATTGAATGGGTAATGACTCAAGCAAGCAAGCAAAGTCGGGTGGAATCGGGTTGATAGGCTACTTACATGCTAGACTACTAGGTATGGAATACTCGTATGTACTGTAGTTAGTAATTACTTACTGTTTAGGTTGTTCATTTACTCCGTACAATGGTTCTTGTTATAATTTTTTTTGACATTCCCTGTCATTTTATCGTCTAATAATAATAGGAATATTCCGAGTAACAGGACAGGAAGAATCAATTAATAATAGTAATACAGACAGGCCATGTCCGGACGTGATTGTCATCCGTCCCTGGTGCTGCACTGCCGCAGCACAACGTCGGTCAGGCCGTCAATGCGTTTGATAAACCTAGGTGAGCGATAATCAACTTTGGTATAAGACTATCGAGTCGGGTCGTCGGTTGGATGCTCGTGCCAGATCTTAGACTCGGGATTTGGCCAACAGCTGGACCGTGACTGGCCGCCAACCTGCACCACCGGAGACGATGTACGACGCCGTCGCAGGGCCCAAGAAAATCATCCGTTAAGCTTAAGCTAACGTGGCTCAACAACGCCCAACACGCCAATAACGAATGTCCTAATCCAATAACCCTTCTTTCCCTCCCAAAACAAAAAAAAAGGAAAACAAAAAAAATTAGCTCTATATGATCTTCATACCTCGTAATAGCCAATCATAGCGTCTAGAAAGCAGTCGTGCATCACAGGACAAACAACACTGGGGTATAAGGAAATCATCACGAAGTGAATCCAGCACCATCCTTTTCAGTCTAAAAATGCCCCGGGTAAAGGAATCTAGGTCAAATGACGAGAAAGGAGAAGATCAGCTGCCTCGAGCCATCGCCGCTGCCTGACGATCCAAAATCGTCTGCAGGTCTTCATCCTGGAGTTCCTCGCCGGTTCCCACACGGGCCCAACGCTTCGCCCGTCGCTCCTCACCGATGTAGTTTCGGATCACACACGGGTCCGTGTATCCGCCTTGGCAGACCTTGCGCCGGCCCAGGTGCTTGAATCGAGGCCCTAACGGTCCGTTCACGTAATGGTATTGACCTGCAAACCGGTATTGACGTCGATCTCCGAGAGGGTAGAACTTGTCCCCCCAGTGGCCGTTGAAATAGAACCATTCGGTGGGCGCCGTTGGGGAGAGCGTTGAGGGCCGCAGAACATCCGTCTGATGATTGTAGGTGTAAGAATGCAGGTTCAGGAGAGGGTCCCAGAGAGGCCCACGGTCCGTCTCATCATGGAGGAGGCCCCAGGGCAGAATATATTCATGGATCCCGGGCGTAGCATACATGGCATGCGTACCCACGGCAGAGTAAATGACCGGCTTTTGAATAGAATATGTTAGCTTCGAAAGTCCAAATGGGTTAATAGGGTGGTCAACGTACCCGTCTGCCCCTCTTCTCGACAGCGCCGTAGCTGTATGCTTCCCCAGCGGTGTGGGCGCTGAAGAACAGCGCTTTGGGCTTGCCTTGGTAGAAGCGCACCAGACAGTGCTCCCAATCACCCACGTGGTTGCCAAAGCGGATATTGAGGACAGCATTCCCCAGATTGTAGCTGTAGAAGAAGAACCAGAAGGCGTCGACGATGCCGTGGCCTTTGTCGACTACCACGAGCACTGCCGGAGCATCACTGCGTCCGCCGGATCGGGTATCTCCCCGAATCGCGTGGCCGCCATATCGTCGTCGGAGCCTATCAACGTATTCTCTGTCCTCCGACGATGAGTTCGAACCCGTGACCCGAGCGCTCACATTGTCCTCCCCTTCGCCGACATCGTACCATTTTGCTCGATCTTCGTCCGATTCATCGTCCAAACCTCCGTCCAGAGGGTCATCCGGAACACCCGGCAAGGGCTCCTCGGGCTCAGCATCACCGGGCCTAGGGATATTCCTCTCGCCAGCGAGCCAGGCGGGGCGTTCTTCGACGTCATCGTTGCTCGTCAGATAGACATGCTTGCCGTGCTCCCACTGGTTCAGTTCGTCGAGATCTCGGAGGGTGGGATGGCGCCATCCGCCCTGGAGGGGGTGTAATTCAGGTGAGGAGGAGTGTGGGCCAGGTGCTCGGCGATATCGCCCGGCCAAAACTGTTCTCTTGAGAACAGATGCACCAGAGGGGAGTACTCGAGCACGTAGCCGGGGATCTCCCGCAGCACGCGTTCGTCATGACTCCAGTCCTCGACAGTCCCGTTCGCATCTGTCCAGTCCAAACGCCAGAGTCCATCATCGTCATCGTTCAGAGGTTGCTGGTGTTGAACCCGGCGCGGACCCACGGAGGCGTGGACCAGCTTCACATGGGCTAATCCGCAGACCCCAAGCCAGCGGCAGGCTTTACGGTCGAGCCAGGAGTTGGAAGTCGCGACCCATTCGGACTCTTCCAGGTCTTCCTCTGACCAGATGAACAGGGACGGCTTCACAGCCCGGACAAAGCTGTTGATGCAGACATAGGTGATCAGGCTGGACAGGACGGCAATGACAGCCTTGGAGATGCGCGACGGCATCGGTTGAACGAATGGCAGGACCCCTGGTCTCCCAGAGGCGACAACGGGGTTGAGATTGGGTCGAGAGGTCGGCAGTGCTTGTCCGGGACCAGCGGGGAATCCTGCCCGCAAAGGGTCTCGGGACGGTCGAAGTCCAAAGTGCTCTACCAGGCCTGCGGAGAGAGGAGCAGTGATCAAGGGAATAGGAGCGAGGGAGTCGAGCTCCGCAGCAGGAGCTCGGAGGGAGAGCAGGGAGAGTACGGGGCCGCGAGAAGGGATGTCGACGGAGGGCGAGAGAGCAGCAGGAGAAGGGGATGGGAGTGGTACCTGACCACCATGACTTGGGTCGGTAGGTATATGAAGGAGAACAAGCTTCAGTTAGTTAGTCAGAAGGCACGAAAGCGTATCGTCCGGGACCAGCAGACGGCGCCGAGATCTCGTGAGCGGTAAAGAAAAAAAAAGACACGCTCAAAGCAGCATCGAAACCGGCATCAAGTCTGCCAGCAGCTGCAGGGACAACTAGCTGGAGGCAGACGCGGAAACGGGCGGATGCCTGATTAATCCATCATGAGGTCAGGCGGGCAATCAGAGCGCAGCCTGCCTTCCGCGTGCAGCCGGCACTGGCTCGCAGCAAATCCTCGAACGTGGCTCGGTGCTGGCCACTCACGGGCTGCCACCGCCTGACTAATGCCAGGCCTCACGCTTGTCATGTCGATCAGAAATCTGCCATGAATTCGACTGCTTCATACTACTACAGGTGTGCGTAGAATCACCGACTTTACTGTTGTCGACCAAGAGGGGCAGAGAAGGCCCAACATATCGACGTCATCGCTAGCATTCATGCCGGCCCGCTGGCGGTCAGCCTTACTTAGTCTTAGGCTCGGGCGGAACCGCTGCTCCGGCTTACTTATCCTCATTTTGTCTAGTATAGAATTAGAATTCGTGCTATTTTGCGATCAATTGTCCAGAATATATACTGATTAATGACTGACTGCTGAGAAATTTACTATTATGCCTCCTTTCAATTAGCAGAGCATTCAGCAATAACTGCGCAGATGCTTCCCTCGTCATCCGGCTCGCAGTAGCATCTTCCTTGCTTCCGATGAAACCCAATTTCGTCTTATTCTGCTCGTCTTCTATCCTCTGATTCTTCTCTTCATCCGCTTCCGTCGACCTCCGCGATAGCGACGCCGTTAACCAATCCCCGGATCCGCTACCGTCTTGGCATGCAACCTGCCTAGCTGGATTCTTTTTTCGTTCGCGGGGTTGTCTACGAGCACGCGACATCCCACCGCGCATACTGCCCTCACCTGCTTGCGTTCTGTGCTAGCGTCATCGTCCTGGGCATGTCCATGCAGGTCGACTCGGATGCGAGCTCTGCACGAGCCGTCGATCCAGCTCTGCTGTCCGGGCCCGACGCGGACGATTTTGACTATGAGTACGAATATGACGAGAATGAGACCGAGGTACGTGCAGCCATTGACTGGTCGCAATCCCTGGACTGCCTTGCTTCTAACTCGCAAATCCACAGACCTTTTACATCAATCTGGATATCACCACTCTGAACGGCCCGATCCGTCCTCCCCGACGCAGACAGCCGCCCTCCACCGCTGCCACTTCTCCACATGTTCCATCGTCAACAATCGGCTCGCCGGAATCACCGCCAGACGAGACCAACGGGGCGTCGATCGACCAGCCGCCAGATGCCGTCGCCGAGGACCGAATCCAGATCCTGGATCTTCACAGCCCCAATCCTCTCATCTCGTATCAGAACCACATCTTCAGCTGCTCCTGGGCCGACGTGATTGGGACAGAATTGTTCTTTTCTAAGCCAGAACCCGAGCCGGAGCATGCTGGCCTGACCTGTCTCAGGCACGGGAAAGACTTTGACCTCATCGCCGCCAACAGCGTCAAGATTGTCGGACGCAAGGCCCATCTGATCTCGAATTCGGGGCCCAGAGAAGACGACACCAGTGTTCACCCCCAGCAACAACAACAGCAACAGCAAGGCTTGCAGGTTTTTCCAGCGTCGCATGCAAAGCGGACCAGCCAGGCGCGCTTTCTGCAACGTCTCGTGAACGCCAAACAGTCCAAGGGCGAAACCGACATGGTTCGCACCGTCTACAGCGTCAAGCGGGGTCAGCACTTTGAAGATCGACTGCGCGGGTGGGCCAGAACGGAGGAGCGCATGGCGAGGATCCAACGGCTGAGCCGGGACGCCCTCCAGGGGGACGCCGATGCCATTAGAGAATTGCAGGAGATTTACGCAGAGGTTGAGGCTGCTGCAGACAGCAGTAATGCTGGTCCTGCTGCTGCTGGTCCAGCTCATGAAGATGCCTCACCTCACCAACCTGAGACGTGAAGAGATTTCCTAGTAGTAGCATCAACCGACTGTTCTCTGTTAGGGGGAGGATGGAAGTCATATTGATCTTTTTTCCTCCAGCAGAATCACTCTCAAGAGTGAGGTTGTGACGGAACAAGCACTTCCATCTTATACCGAAACCGATGGTCCAGGGGATTCAAACAGACCGCGCAAGGCTGACGCAGGGCCAGAACGCAAGTCAGGCATCTTGCTGATCGACTAGGAGTGCCCTCATCACAGACCTCACTAGTCAGTTATTCCTGCTGTGTGAGACAGGACACTATGCGGTCCATAAGTTTGGATCTCTTTGCTTTGCTTTGATTTATGGACTGTCAAGCCGACAGGTGGATTCGAAGACAGGCACTGCCCAAGTTATCAGCAAAAGCCCGACCAAGATCGGTCAATTCTTTATTGTTATTATCTGCAACCACGGGATAGATAAGAAACAGGATCATGCGGATCGACAGAAGGGATTGATTGATTGATTGATTGGTTTGAGGGGTACAGGCATTGAAGAGAATATAGTAAATAAATAGATAGATAGATAGATAGATAAGCAATCATGGATAAATGCCAAATGGACCACCCGAATTGATTCATTCCAGACCAGACCAACCCAACCCAGCCAAATCCAGCCAACCAAACCACAACGCCGTGCATAGATAATGATTGTGAAAGTGAACGACAATTCCGACCCGCCCCGACGATTATTAGGATATATGTATGCAGTTGTTTATGTACAAATACAGGTATCCGTTCTTGCTAACGCATGAACAGATTTTTTTTTCTTTTCATTCCTTCCTTTTTTTTTAAGCCATTGAAGAATGAGCGAATGAATGAGTGAATGAATGTCGTGCAAGTTTTCTTTTTGTTTTCTTGAGGATATTAGCTATTGTACGAGGACGGGAATCCCACCGGCGACGGGGGCGGCGGCGGGGGTTGATGATGGTGATCCCAGTCCACGAAGCTGCTGGCGTCGTTGCCGTTGTTGTCGATTGTCGATGACTCCTTAGCAGCAGCAGACTCGTATTGGTTGTAGGTGTAGTATTTGGGGAGCATGGATGCGGATGCCTCGATGGCACGGGAGATGTCCTGGCTGAAGGTGGAGGATGATGACGGTCTGATGGGTGACGGGGCCAGGATGTGATTTTGTGGTCGGTTCTGAGGGATGGTCGATGCCATTTTTAGTAATCTTTGGGGACAGGAAAGAAAGAACGATTTATTCAAGCGATTGGTTGGTGGTGATCGATATTTCGGGAGTTTTCGAGTTGGAAGAAAATAGTAGAGTTCAGAACAGAACAGCCAGCCAGCCGATCGATCGATCGTTTTGTATGCTGTCTGTACTCGAGGCAGCAGGAGTATATGTGTATTTTTGTGATTGCCTAGACAGTCGTCCCAGTCGTGACGCTGTTCTGATCAATCGAATCCGAAACTTCCCGACGGGACGGCACAGGCACCGACGAAGGTTATTCCCTAGTAGGTTCGGAGCATGTTAGTGACAAGATAAAGATGATGAATGAGGAGATGCTAAGCTGGACTTACTGGGCCGTTGTCAACTTGGTGGCGATGTCGTTGCAGTAATGCGGATTCCAGTGGTGATGTCAGGAGTGAATACTCAAATTTCCACCGTTCCAGTCCTTGAAATAACAGACAGATGAAAGGTGAGTCTGAGGACAGAGTCGTCAGAGTGAGAGAGCAGGATGGCCACTTTCTGATGGAGGAGGTCGTCCAGAACTATTTAACGTGTCCTCCGTACTATCGCCCCAACCAGGGGCCAAAGGAGCCAGACGTGTGGGGAGACGATTTGCATGCCTTGACTTGTTCGCCTTATCTTGCTGCCGATTCATTCCCAAGCATCGTCCTCTCGCCTTGCAGCGGCCAAGCCGGTGCGGTGGAGCCTGGAGACTTCCCCAGAGGCCGCGGAGCTCCCCCCGGGGAAGCGGAGAGCCGAACGCCGCATTAACGGGCGCCTGCAAAACGGTCGTTCTGTCTGGCACGCTGACTGGCCGGGGAGCCTTCCGACGGAATCGTGGACAAATTAATACCGTCTTTCTTTTTGTCACACAGAGAACAGACTACGCGTACAGATTATTACTCTGCTGTGCCCCGTCGCCAGCGATCGTCTTGGCTAGCGACTCCGACGTTGGGGTTGGGCCTGCAAGTGGATCGATCATTCCTGCCTGTCGGAGTCGCCCCACCGCCCGGCCTGCCGGGCTGGCCTTCCGGGGGCTGCTCTCCTGAACGCCCATTAACGCCCCATTACTGCTTTGTTTGTTATTGCTATCCAGCCTGTCAGACGTGGGGGAAGGGAGATCGACGGAGGACACTCTTCTGGCCCCTGGCCTCCTGCCTCAGCTGGAGCTTCTGGCCTGCTACAGCGGTAGCCTCCCTGGCAGGACAAGGCTGTCTGTCGTAGATAAAATCATCTGTTGAGGCGTACTCCGTACTCAGTACGGAGGAGTACTCTGTAGTTATCAGGGCCTTCGGAGAAGCGGCTTCTGTCCGTGTCAGACTCCGAACAACCCTGGTTGATCGACATGTGTGGCCAGACTAGGGCGCAAATCCCGCGGACCGCGGCCTCATCGTCGCCTTCTGGAAGCCGGATGTAGTCTTCCATTCTCTGGGAGCACAGATTCTTCCGTATTGGGGGAGAAACTAGGGGGAGTGTGTCGAGAAAAAAACCGGATCAAGCCACACACTCCGAGGCGTGCCACGGCCAAGTCGATCGGATGTAACGTAATCCACAACCGAGCGGATCGCACCTCTCAACGCGTCTTGTATATAGAAATTTAAAGCTCAATTATCTACCTAAAACAGCAATTATATACAAAAAATTAATTACTATTGTGATTAGGACATTGATTCCTTCTGTGGCCCAGAGTATTACAATCGCTACACCTATATTGTGGGCGTACATGCGGTGGAGAGGCCGGTAATTGAGACTGTAGAGGATCATTGACTGGAGGTTCAACAACTTGATCTCTTGACCTTATGAGATCCTGCTCTTCTTCTCTAGTAATTCCTCCTTCATGACGTATCTTCTTCTTGGATCTTTGACGCTTTTGCTTCTCCTTCTCATGTGCAGCAAGTAAATCCTGATATTCCTTCTTCATTATTGCTGCTTGAATCATGGTGGATTCACATGCCTTTGTAATTTGATTGAACGCTTCATTAAACCGACTTGAAGGACTTGTATGACCTTGCTCTATAAGTTTCTTGACTGCAGTTGCTTGCCGCTGTAGTTGACAAGGATTATGAGGCGTCTGTAAGCCCCAGGATGACTGTGAGTTACTGGATCGACTTCCTGGTGGTGTAGGCGTCTTAAGTTGAATATGGAGCTTTTGAATAACTCGGTCTGGATTAAATGGATGAATCCCAGTGGCTATAAAGCCATTTTGAACAGTATGAGCCTTAAAGGCTTCTGCGCATGCTGCAGGATATGCCTCTAAGAAGTCAAGCTTTGCAATGTGATTGAAGCCGTGCTGCATCTGCTGCTGAACAAGGTTGCCATATCCATACTTTAGAGGTGCAAAAACGCTCACATCAAGAGGTTGTAGAAGATGTGATGAGTGTGCAGGCATACAAATCGGGATAATTTGTTTTGGGTGCAGAGTTTGTCAAATTGAGGTGTAAGATGGCTTCCATGGCCATCAAGAACTAGTAGTCGATATGCACCTTTCCTGCGCTTCTCTGTCTCAGGAATGAATTGATTTTTAAGCCACCTTAGGCTAATTTCATCAGTTGTCCATCTGTTGTTGCTTTTATCAAGCCGCCAGCCTTCTGGAAGTTCATCAAACCAGGCGTCTTGAAGTTCTTTTGCTTTGAAGATGATATAGGTAGGAAGGCTCCATCCTGTTGCACAAACTGACTCAATTGCTGTAACCCATTTGCGATTACCAGGTTGTAGAAGCTTTGGACGGCCATAAACCTTACTCCTTGTGATAACTTTTGAAGTTGCACAGAGGCCCATGGCAAAACCAGTCTCATCAAAGTTGTATATATCATCCGGCTGAATCCCATACTCCATAATCTTCTTGTGTAAGCAGTCCCCCACTCGCGGATTATCTTGCTATCTTCACATTTGGCATGCTCATAGTTATATCAATGCAAGTATCGTGTTTTGAGCTCATCGCGGCGTTTTACTAGGTTAGAAACCCAGTTCTTGCCAACTTGCGGAGGAGGACCTTGAGACCCACGTTGAGATAGAAGATGATTAGCCATATTTTTAACAAAAGGAGGTTGAGGAGGTAATCCACGCTTATCTAGGTCCAGAATCCACTTGACAAGCATTTCCTCTTCATTTGCAGTCAATTTATGTGAATTTGCGCGTAAATTGACTCTTGCAGGGCGTCCCTTAAGTCGAGACTGTAGGGTAGTATATGGCACACCAAAAAGATGCGCAGTTTCTTTAATTGAAGGAATTTGCTTCTTTTTGTAAGCAGAAATTGCAGCTTCGATCTTGCCCTCTAATTTGAGGGCTTTTTTTGCCTTTGCAGTGCAAATTGGTGGCATAATTGCGCGTTGAATAACTTCAATTTCTATATGAGTCGCGTTGACAGGTGGCGATCCGCTCGGTTGGGCGATCTGCTCGGTTGTGGATTACGTTAGCTCGGCCATACTTACAAATACTTGCAACTGGCAGATTATATTATAGGTATAGCTGCATACTGTATTACATGCATGTTATGGGTGTATTGTATATTTTGCAGCGTACTTCCTGTAGAGAGTCGAACTAACTACCTAACCCACCATGGTAGTTACGTACCGATGGTAGGGCGCATGAAAATAGGAAAAAGGACAACTCAATCGGCGTTTCACTCACCTCCGGTTTCGCTATCCGTCTCCTTTCTTACGAAAAAAAAAAAGGGGCCCTTGTCTGTGTTCATCCCTACAATAGAGCATGCAACATGGATAATGGAGGAGTGGTGCCTGTGGCAACTATGCGACAGGCAAGATACGGCCATCCATATGCCTACCTAATAGTGTGGTTGGTTATCAGTGGGCGTCAGCATATTGATGCCAAATCATCTTGCAATAGTCAACGACAGGCAAGGCGCCCAATAGTTTTTACAACACGTCAGCCACACATAGTATGTACTGTTAGGTGCCTAAGGTACGCCTTCCTCTAGCTTCGGATTTATATTAATTTTCGATATCGACGTTAATTAATTCAGACAGGATATCTTATTAACTTGGCTAATTAATTCAATCCACACGCATAACTTCAGCTAATGCGTAGTAATACAGACATCCTGCAAGGGAGAGTGGCACAGACATGTGCCTCAACAATCCAGCCACAGCAATGCTGCCTCAAACGTATGGTATGTATGTCTGTTCAACATTCTTCTTGCATCCCAGCTAGGCAGCGATGCAGGTAAGTCTGATCGTCGATCGCATTGCATTGCATTGCAGATCGAGAACGCAAAATCAAGATCTACCTAGATGTGTTGATGTGTAGATTCTTGGCTTTTCCTGTTGTAGATACCGCCACTTGAATGTCTTGCCCATGGTCTTGAATTTGCTTGAGCATTCACTCTAAAGACTGCATGCTCATCAAGTACGGAGTCAGTCCTTTATTTATATTCACTTCACATGAGACATTTCGGAGGAAGTCGCTGACATAGCACTATTTATGGTGAATCATCATTCCTTGTTGGATATATAACTGCACGTTCCTTCCTGATCTCCCTAAACTCATTTCTTCTCCTGCTCCCCATCTTCTCGATTTCCACCTCATCCATGGCGTGTATCAAAAGCACTTGATGCACGAGCCATCCTTGCCATCCTCAAATGCAAGGGAAGCCCTATCCACCAGATGACAGTGGATGTCTTCAATCACTGGTTCAATGAGATCGTCGAGCAAAATCCCGGTGCATCATCTACATACGTCGCTGCTACAGAAACAGGCGAGTAGGAATGGACAATCCTTTCAAGATCAGTTGAGACTACAAGATCGACGGCATGGATGACCATCAATGGTGTACCCAAGGTTGCACTCAAACCGATTTTCAAAGACCAAGACTTGCAGTCCTTTTCAGTCTCAGAAGACCCCTTTAGGGAGCTATGACCGAGAAGCTGAAAATAACCGACTTGGTGGATTTTGCACATTCCAAAGCGTACGGAGGAATACCGGATAGGAATACCATTGACGATGTCGTTGCACTTGCACTGCCAACTCGCATCTGGATATCTCAGATATATCCATGGCATCAGCAATGGCTGGAAGTTGCTACAGACCGTACATACAACCTTCAGAGCCGATCCTGGCTCACATATCGTCCAGTGAAAGCAAGAAATTCCCACTCAGGCGGCAGAGACTCATAGAAGCTATCTACAATAACATCATGCAGGGAAGGATTGAGAGTGAGTTTTGCTCATCCCCTTGCTAAATTCCCCTGAGCTAACACTTCATTAGGGCTACGGAATCTAAGCGCGAGTAAGAGTACAACCTCTGGCACAGATTGCCCAACCACGGCAAGCTGTAATGTTCGTCAGCTTTTACAAAGCCTGCTTAGGTTCTGCTAATTCTCGAATAGTGCAAAAAGCAAGATAATGACCAGTGCATGCTTACTGGATGGGAGGAACCAGACGCTGCACATATCTAGCTACATTCAAGGCGACCGCCACAGCTCTACCGGGACCGATAAATCACATAACTTTAGGCAGCAAGCACCTTCCTTCATATTTGACCACCTACAAGCATAGACAAGTCTGTTGTTTATCCAACACAGTATACTGGTATACAGTTTTTGTGTTTGCATCTCCCATACTTATCTCCGCATCCTAGAGGCATGTAAAGTTTCGACATTTTTTCTGGAGTCCCTAGTCTACCATGACGTCTTTGCAGACTTCAAGATCCGTATGGAGGATGATTCAGAAGACCATGTTAGGTGATGGACAGGTATTCTTCAATCATTTCATCAGGGCTACAGAGGAGATTACTCTAGAGACTACTCTGGCCTTGGCGTGGCGTCGTGTTGCGGGCATCATAGCCTGGGCTTTGACACTCACAGGATGCGCAGAAACCATGGCTATAGGTGGTAATTCTTTGACGCTAAAACCCCAGAATAATACCACCCATGCAGATGCATATTGCATTTGGTCACTTGATTTCATTTTTCTTTTTTTAAGGGTTGTTCAGCTATCGTCTGACAGCGATTTAATAATAATATAGTTCTAGAACAACGACTTCGACTGGTCTAGGAAGGATGGAGGATGGACGCAGAGGCTGTGCTGCTTTGGGGGTATGTCTTTTGCCCCAACAATACCTTATTGTCGACGTTAGTCCTTCCCAGGAAAAGCTCCCGATGGTTGGAAGTCAGCTTTCTTGTCTCGTGACGAATGCACTCCTAGCTCGTAATATACGGAGAATATACGGATAGTATTGTAACCCTGACAGACATCTGATATACCTAAGCCCTGCAGAATTTTTCTTGTAACGATAGTGAAACAAGATTTTCAGAGACTAACGAACCAACGATTAGAATAGAAAACAATCAGTATACAGTAGTAACCGGGCAAAGGACTCGTTGACTGTCACGCTTAGACTCGGTTACTTGCGGCAGGTGGCGCAGGTCGTCGGCATTCAGGTACAGTCTGGAGTACCTGCAACTTTGCAAGTTACCTTAAGCAATTACTAGCATTAGCTACTTAATTACCATCTAGTTAGTAGACAGAGAATGAATTCGTGACTGTAGAGCTTGGATTAAAAAACATTTCTCTCTAATTGAACTGGCAATTCGACTGATTGCAGTATTCGGTTCGACTGACGAAGCAGAGAGGAGCAATTGCACTGCGATGAGCAGATCGCTAGCGAAAGAACGTTCACAATCTCAATTGACTTCAGAAAATGTCCGACGCCCCTAGAAGAATCCGGAGTTCACTGCTGGGTCATCACAGTGGGACGCAGAAATTCCAACTCTTCCCCGCATGAACCGGGGAAGCTCGAACGGAACCGGTTCACTTGAAAGAGGATAACACTTGTGGCAAAGAGCCCTTCTATTCCATTCTGTCTTCTTTAAACGGATATTCTTTTTTTTTAAAAAAAAAAGAAGAAGTTACTCGGAAACAATACCGCGGAGAGAAAGACTCCTTTCGTACTGGCATGGGCTACAGAACAACGCGGGGTTTAGCCTGGAACATTCTTACCGGCTCGAGACATCCGGCCCGTCTGTATTCCGCACCATGCGGTTTCTATGAGGTAATCCACGGCTCCAAAATGGGTCAAGCATGACGCGTGACAGGCCTCTTTCTCTTGAGGCATTTTCTTAATTCGCTTTCTCGGCGCTTTGTCGCAAAAGGCTGTGGGATTGTGTGATATTACGTGCTTGTATGCTCGTCTGAGTCGATGATTGGGTCATAGGACCTGGGAATAATTCTGCCAGTGGAGTAAGCAGTACTTGACCAGGCAATTCCTGGAGACGATGGCCACATGCTGGCTCTGCGACATTATTGTTATGTAATCACTCCATAGTTGCTTCATAGTTGATTCTCATGGGCGGCGGACGCTGGCCAGTCAGGCCCCTGGCGGACGTCGACTTCTCGGTAATTTCGCTCGTTTGGCACCCCCCGTGGACGCCCCGGATTCGACCAGACGGCCGACGATTGCCTCCAGCGGCGATCCACTCGAGTGCCTGGCGGAATCCATTTTTAGCAGACCTGTGTGGCTGCAACGCACCGCCTCGAGTCTCGACCAGACCTGGCAGACCATGTGGCCGTAGCAAAACACCGCGTGCAAAGCGAAAACAGACAGGTCTCATGTCGCGCGGACCATGGCAGGTCGCATGACCATCGCCCCTTTTCGCAGCGGTGGAATGCGCGAGGACTCGCGTTCATGGGCGTCGATAGTAATCGCGGCGATCTAGATAAGTGCCGCTAGTCGCCATGTGCCTGGGTCCATCGCCGTCTAGCGCTCGATAGCGCAGGCTGGCCCAGCCGTTCCTGACCGCTGCCCAGACCGCATCTTGCCGCGAATCACGAGCGGCTCTGGCGCCCTCTGACGTCGTGCCCCGTGATTCGCCATGAGGCCCTCGTTATATATAGCCAGCAGACAAGCAGACATGGATGCGCCAGCAAAAGGCGTTCTCTATGCCTGTGACGTTCAGTCTGCCTCTTGCATGGCGTCGGCTGTCTGCCAGCCCGGTGTGTTCCTTCTCTTCGGATAAGCTTTCCGCGTGGTATGTGACCTCGATAAGGCCCTGCACACCGTCTGCCCTTTCATTGTTCCCCTCGATTCCCTGCACGCGGCCGCTGTGTAGCCTCGCGGCCACATATCTCCCTGCGCGATCCGGCGTCGTGATCGAATGGGCCGTTTCCTGCCATTCTCGTCCTTTCCCTCTCGTCGTCTTAGCTAGCTGTCGCGTTGCGCTGACCTCATACGGCAGTACTCGACGCCCCCGCTGACCGCTTTCCCCCTCGATATTGAAGACGCCTCCAGCAGTGCTCTGATTTCTCGTCCTACCCACTTCGCCAGACTTGTCTCCTCCTATTTCTCCCAGTCGCCATGTCGTCGTCGTCGATCGATCCGGGCTCTGCGCATCCTCCATCGGAGGGCATGTCGTCCGCAACAGAGCCGGAGAACAGAGTAAATGGCGACGGTTCGACTCCAAAGCTGTTTGTCGATGGCGGATCAGGCCCTGGAACTCCCATCGGTTTCCAGCGTTACCCCCATAACAAACACCTCGACCATGTGGCCCGAACGCCTGTCCGCCAGCCCTCGCCGCAGCCCACTCATCTGGGCATCCCCGGGCACAGGGTCCTCTCGGAAGAGGATCCCGGTTATGTTGCGGCCAAGTTTGAAGGCAAACAGAAGCAGATGGAGCAAGGTGAGCATTGAGGTTATCATTGAGAATGGAATCAAGAAAAACAAGGAAAGGTCGGGGATTTTCCCTCTCCAGATCTAACGTTTTTCCATAGTCATGGACCGGTTAGAGGAGAAGGGGTTCTTCCCAAGCGACTTTGTTGTCTCCGAAACCACCTGGTTCTACAACATGCTGGGAATTGATGACATGTATTTCCAAACCGAGTCCGTCGACTCCATTGTCACCCAGATCTTGTCCCTGTACGCCGCCAAGGTCGCCGCCTACGCCCGCGACGACAAGCGCATGGAGATCCGGCTGGACAAGGAAGACGAGGATCATGCCGTCTACATCGACACCAGCAAACCCGGTGTGTCCACCTTCGACGGTCCCCGCTACGAGCAGAGGATCGATAAGAAGTATATCGACGGTTCGGGGCCTGGGAGAAGCTACCGCGTCGAGACCTTCCGTTCCTCCAGTCCGCTGCCGGGTGAAAGCGAGCAACAGCTGCGTTGCTACTTCGTCTACCGCTGCCAGTTCAGCAATCCGAATCCCGATCCCGACGAGACCAATATCGAGATCATCGGAGAGAAGCGCTTCCTCCAGAAGGCTACCCCGAATACCAAGGCCATCTACCAAGAGATCATCAAACATGCCGTCGCCCGAACCGGTCCTGTCATTGAGATCTTCGACATCGAGGGAAGTCGGGAAAAGAGGCTGGTAGTGGCGTATCGCCAGGGTTCCGCCATGGGAATGTTCAGCGCTCTATCGGACCTCTACCATTACTACCGCCTGACCAGCTCGAGGAAGTACTTGGAGAATTTCTCCAACGGCATTACCGTGATCTCGCTTTATCTACGTCCCGTGGACAAGCCTGAGATTGCCGAGAAGTACCCTCCGATTGAAGCGGCCATCCATCAGATCATGAAGGAAGTGTCGCTCCTGTATTGCATTCCGCAAAACCGCTTCCAGGATCACTTCGCCAGCGGCCGCCTCAGCTTGCAAGAGACCATCTATGCCCACTGTGCTTGGGTCTTTGTCCAGCAGTTTTTGAACCGACTCGGGTCCGAGTATACTTCCTTGGCCGCCCTCCTGGACACGAACAACAGCGTCCACGCCGAGCTGCTGGCGAAGATCAAGAAGCGGCTTCGCACGGAAACGTTCACGTCCGACTACATCTTTGAGATCATCAACAAGTACCCGGATCTCATCCACAAGTTGTACCTGGACTTTGCGAACACGCATTACGTGCAGACCGGTGGTCCCGGCCAAGATGATTTCCTGCCAACCCTGAGTTACCTCCGGCTCCAGGTGGCTGAGGTTCTGGATGATGCGAGATTGAAGGAGCTCATCTCGAAGACGGCGGTGAACGAGCATGACGAGATGGTCATGATGGCCTTCCGGACCTTCAACAGGTCCATTTTGAAGACAAACTTCTATACTCCGACCAAGGTCGCCCTCAGTTTCCGACTCAACCCCGATTTCCTGCCCGAGCATGAATACCCTCAGCGACTCTATGGCATGTTCCTCGTCATCAGTTCCGAGTTCCGAGGTTTCCATCTTCGCTTCCGGGACATCGCACGCGGCGGAATCCGTATCGTCAAAAGCCGCAACAAGGAAGCTTACAGTATCAACGCTCGTTCGCTGTTCGACGAGAATTACAACCTGGCCGCTACTCAGCAGCGGAAGAACAAAGACATTCCCGAGGGAGGCGCCAAAGGCGTTATCCTGCTCGATTTCGAGCATCAAGACAAGGCTCGTGTCGCGTTTGAAAAGTACATTGACAGTATCATGGATCTGCTTCTGCCACCGGCCAGTCCGGGCATTAAGGATCCCATCGTCGACCTGCATGGCAAGGACGAGATCCTCTTCATGGGTCCGGATGAGAACACCGCCGACTTGGTTGACTGGGCCACGGAGCACGCCAGAAAACGGGGGGCACCGTGGTGGAAGTCCTTCTTTACCGGCAAGAGTCCTAAGCTTGGAGGTATCCCACACGATGCCTATGGTATGACCACCTTGTCGGTGCGTCAGTACGTTCTCGGCATTTACCGCAAGCTGAACATCGACCCGTCCAAGGTGAGAAAACTGCAAACTGGCGGGCCGGACGGTGACCTGGGATCCAACGAGATTCTGCTGGGCAATGAAACATATACGGCCATTGTGGATGGATCAGGTGTCATTGTTGATCCGAACGGTTTAGACCGCGAAGAGCTCGTGAGACTGGCCAAGAAACGAGTCATGATCTCCGAATTCGATCTGTCCAAGCTCTCTCCGCAAGGCTACCGAGTCCTCGTGGAGGACACTAATGTGACGCTGCCAAGTGGCGAGGTAGTCAACAACGGAATGCTTTTCCGCAACACCTTCCATCTTCGAAAAGATCTGCCTTATGACATTTTTGTCCCTTGTGGAGGACGACCGGAGTCGATCGATCTGTCTAACGTGAACAAACTCATCGTCAACGGCAAATCGGTCATCCCGTATATTGTCGAAGGTGCGAACCTCTTCATCACCCAGGACAGCAAGCTGCGACTGGAAAAGGCCGGCTGCATTCTCTACAAAGATGCATCCGCCAACAAGGGTGGTGTGACCTCGTCGTCGTTGGAAGTCCTGGCGTCTCTCTCCCTCGACGATAAGGAATTCGTGGAGAACATGTGCGTTCACGAGGATGGCACGGTCCCAGAATTCTACCAGGCGTATGTCAAGGAGGTGCAAGAGATCATCAAACGCAACGCCACTCTCGAGTTTGAGGCGATCTGGCGGGAGCACGAGAAAACCGGTCTGCTGCGCAGCGTATTGAGTGACCGGCTGAGTAATGCGATCACCAATTTGGACGAGGAGCTTCAGAAAACTGGGTTGTGGAATAACGTCCAGCTCCGCCGGACAGTTCTACAGGAGGCTCTCCCGAAACTCCTTCTGGAGAAGGTTGGCCTTGATACGATTCTAAAGAGGGTGAGTTGCCGCTTCACAAATAAATTTTGGTTTATGGCGAAATATTGACCTGTCAAAACAAAAATAGGTTCCTGAAAGCTACTTGAAGTCCATCTTCGGAAGCTACCTGGCTAGCCGGTTCGTGTATGAGTATGGCAGTAATCCAAGTCAATTCGCTTTCTTTGACTTGTAAGTTGGTTCCTTGAGAAAAGCACCTTTCGTGTGAGGTTACTGACTTGACGTTTTTTTCTTTTCTTCTTCACAGCATGTCGAAACGGTTCTATCCACAAATGTTAACGAAATAGTGGTTATTGGAATGGGTATTGGCTTAGAGGGATCACATTCTTCCATTTGAATGTCGCAAAAAAAGACGATGAGGATTGGCGCCTTGCCTAAGTTTGTGGTTATTTGGTTAGTTAGAGTAATTAATTGTTAGTGAAGGAAAAAAAAATCAAGAAGTTTTCTCAGCATATCAAGATGCTCAGCCATCTCTTTTGTCTAAAAAGCAATAACTAGTTAATAAATACATAATGAATTAGTCAGCCATACTATGCGCATTATCCACATATCCCACCATTTCGTTCACTAATATGTAATAATATGTACACATAAACATACGTCTATAAAAACGTAAAAACTATAACGATCTATCTACACGGGATTATGATCGTCAATGCCATCAATACGCCATCCATCTTCGTATTCGGTCCGACTGTACGTCTCCAATTGGGCCCATAGATCGGGGTATCTTTGTTTAGCCCACGCTTCGACCTGGTCCTTTATGTGCTGATGAGGACTAAGATTGTAGAATTGGCCGATCCTGTGTTTTTTGTACTGTCAGTATCATTGGCATCATCATCGGTTTTTTTTTCTTTAAATGAGTTGAAATTAAATCAAGGGTGATAGAGGGGGAAAAAAAGAACTTACGTAGCCCTAGTAGGCCCCAAACCGATTTCGGATTGCATCTTCTCGATCGCCTCTACGGCACGGTCGAATTCGCTCTGAGCCGCCAGGGCCCTGATGTATGCATTGTACATTCGACGATCTATCTTGATCTCGAGAAGTTTGGCCTTCTGCATCATCTTGATCGCTTCCGACACGCCCATCGGGTGCGTCTCACACACTCGGAAGAAGATCGTTATGGTATGGCGTGAAGGGCCTTCCTCGGAGCGAAGAATTTCCTTGAAAATCTCCATGGCCTTCTCGGGCATTTCGCACCTTGCGTAGGCGAGCATCAATGCATTCCTGACCCTGGTGGTCAGGTCTACCTCCAGATCCAGCTTCAACATGTTGTGGACCAGCTCCAGATTCTCCCGATCAGCCGTTCTGGCGATCCCCAAGAAACACCTCCTGTACGTGTCTGGCTTAGGACGTTGGGCAAAGCTCTCCGCCTGTCGCATATGCCCAAATACCAAACATGCCAAGTCGCTTCGGTTGCGCCTGAAGAAGGACCACATGATATCAGTCCGGACGCTAACTCCGGTCTCTGGGAAGGCTACCTTCAGGAGATTATATGCCTCCCACGCAACGTCATCGCTTTGGCTGAAATCCATGATAAATTTCGTCAAGGATTTGCGGATCTGAGTTCTCTCCTCCATATCATAAGACCCCAGACGTGGTCGCAGCAGCTGGGACACGGCATCCCAGTCGCGCCGCCGCAGCAGCATAAAAGTCAGGGCTGCCATGGTATCTGGCTCCAAACGGATATTATTGTCGATAAGAGGGTCAAGCAGGGTGGAGATCAGGTCGAAGAGAGGATCGGCCTGTTCGGAAAGACAGAGCATAGTTATCAGCTTATCCATCAGAGGTAGACTAATGTCAGCAATCGAGTCGCTGTTTTCCAACTCGCGTAAATATTCCAAGGTGCCCTTGAGATCCGAAGCTTGGATCCGTGACTCCAATTGTAGCATCACAGTCTGTACATCTGGCTGCAGGCCCCATTGAGATGTCAATGCAGCAAAATCAGCGGCCAGTTGCGGATTACCAACGGCGTTCGCGAATTCTATAAGAGTATTCACGCAAGAGATCGAAAGAGACTGTAGAATCTGAGGATCTTTAGCAGACCAAGTATCCAGTTTCTCAGCCAAAGCAGAAGCTCCGCTTCCACATGCCGCCTCCCACAACAAGTGAATATCCCGCGTGTCTGCATTAGGAGTCGGTGGAAGTGAATGGAGAACGTTCCTTGCCCAATCCAGATCGGACTGCATGATCGACGCTTTTATCATGGCTAATTTCGTGGCCATCGTCGGTTCGCCACCGCCGGAGATGGGGCATTCGTACATTGTCTTCGCGGCCTCCACCAGATCTTCCTGGAGAAGCATCATAGTCACCTCTTCGTGGGTGGCCTGATCGAATATGTCGCCGTGTTTCTCAATTCCTTCTACGGTCCTCCAGAGCCGTCGCCTGTCATGGTTCATAGCAAAGCCTTTCATTACCCAGAGCCACGGCGAAGGTTTGGATTTGAGAAGCCTGCGCCGGAATGTGATAGTCACGCGATAGGCCTCCTCCGGGTCGCCGTTCATGGACAGAACGCGGATATATGCTAAGAGTGTCTGACGATCGATATCGTCTGCATCCGATCCTCGATCTGCGGATAATTCCAAAAATGCGAAGCGTGCCACTTTCCGCACGGCATCATGCGACTCGGGTAGGCACGTTGCTTCTGCCAGGACGTGAAGGATCGTTTCCAGATTGTCTCGGGAGAAAACGGCTTCCCAGTCCTTCGGATCAAGCTCCTCCTGTCGTTCTTTCAAATACCTCCATGTTGCAACAAGAAGCCTGCCGTGAAAGCCGGTTATTACACCCGGCGTTTCAACCCGCGGCTTGAAGAAATCCCGGAAAGCCTTAGACAAGGTATCATGTGGTGGTGGTCTGCTTCTGTTCTGCAAGGACCTTACTAAGTCGCTCATCGGCTTGAGTCCGGTCTCCAGAGCTATAGCCTGATGTTGATCGGGAGGAGGAGGTGTGGGAAATGCGAAGAACCCTCGTCTTTGGACATGGCCGCGCTCGTGTAGGTACACCCTTCGGGCGCGATGAGAAGGGAGCGAATGCAAGAGTCGACCGCGACAATGAGAGAAACGGAACGGCTCATTATTGAGAATGGCACGAAAGACGCGTCTGGTGAGGTGGGATTGCATTGTCTGCCTGTATCTGATTTCCGGTGTTGTCGCAGAGTTTTGAGTAGAGAGTGTGGAACTCGAAGTAGAAAACTCAGTATGGAAAGCTGGCAAGCATTGTCCTTACAAGGCTGAAATGGACAATCAATTGAAAACACGGAGCCCAAATACAGAAAAGATAGAGGCTCCAGAGAATGAAAATCTGAGTTGGACCGCCAGCAGCAGCCGCAGTAGTAGGGAGCGGAGCTGTCGACGGACTACTTGCAGCCCCGGGCTTGGCGCTGCGAGAAAACGGGGAGAAAATGCCAGGCGCCGAAGCAGCTTCGTAGTTTCACCACACATCTTTACTTAACCGCCAGCACGATAACTGCGCTGTTATCCCTGTCAAGGCACTGGGCTTAGCCAGGGACTTGGCGACATCATGTCACTCAATCTTTTTCCCCGGTGGCTTCCTCGTAGTCTCACCGGGACTACCGGAGTACTCTCTACCTGCCGATGGAATTCCACGTCTTCAGCAGCATCGCCATTGAGTGCTTTTACTGCTCAAACCCAATCCACCGGGACTGCACAAAGTATGTAATAGATTTCCTCTCTAGGCTGACTGATACCGGCACCTCTACGTGTACACCTACAGAGTCGCGGCTGACAGATGATCTAGAGTCGAGATTGCTAAGCCGTCGTCGACTTCCGAATCGGCAGAGATTCCTGGAGGAGCAGAAAGCCCAGGGAGAAAGTCGAGTCTTGGAGAGGTTTCAGACTCGTGAATGGAAAGCAGGCGATGTCTATGCTCCACATGATCTGAGCCCAGCAGAAATGAAGAAATGGTCGAAGCGCCACAGCCCGAACTCTGATGCGTTTGATGCATTGAACATGAATCCGCTGGATCAGTACAAGGTAAGCTAATCAGAGATGACTTCAAAAATTCGCTATAGAAGAACTAGTTTGCTAATCAAGTACGCTTCACTGGTCAGAATTTCTCCATCATGTCTGAATATATGACGCCAATGGGCCGTATCAAGCACCGCAGCCAAACTGGGTTGCGTCCAGTGAACCAGCGGAAAATCGCAAAAGCAATCCGACGAGCGATCGGTATTGGCCTTATGCCAAGTGTCCATCGGCACCCCGAGATTCTTGCTGCGGAGGCGAAGAACAGACTGGATTACGGCCGCGTGGCCTGAAGGAGAGGCAATGCTCATTCATCCACCAAGTGAGATTCGGCTTTCTACATAATGGTATGATACGGAGTCAAGGGGCATTGGAAGGCAACATTATTATATCGGTTGTATGTATGGATGTACAGTACATATTAGAGTGTATTTTTAGTTTTTGAAATCCACCCACTACGCGTACTTTTGAGATAGAGCAGATGTCCGGATCTAGAATCCACTCGATTCTTTCATTATCTCAACGCCTTCGGTCGCTTATGTCGGCAACAGAGCTGTTAGCAGTTGGCTTGATCGTTGCCTGAAGTGGCTTTAGTTGCGGGATGGGGAACGTCAACAACCCCCCACCTGTCCGATAGCTTCTACAATCCTCAACGTAACCCACCCATCGCTCCAGGGAGAAAAAAAAAAGCAATAATAGTGTGTTTCTGTTCTCCATTTGTCTCCTCTGATGTCTCTGAAGAACGGTATGATCCTCTCTTGGAGGGTTATTTCTGAACTCAGCTGAACTCGATCTAGAGTACATCTGGGCCGCCAGCCCCTCCACAACAAGAGGTCAGCCAACTCAGCTTGCTTCTGATGCCAAAGGCGAGCGACTTGCGTATGCGGTATAGTCCTCACCAAAATTCCCTCGTTTTGGAACACATATCTAATGACCATTAATGTTGCGTAGTCAAACAAATCTATATTCCTTCGCTCAATCGACAACCCCACCATCGCAAAGCAGTATACAGAGCATAAAGCCCAGACCACAGTTGCTCGTTTCTCACCATCCGGATTTTATGTCGCTAGCGGCGATGCATCAGGTACCGTGAGGGTCTGGGACTGCGTTGGAGAAGGGATTACCAAGGGCGAGTACCCCATTGTTACTGGTCGCATTAATGACCTTGCGTGGGATGGTGATTCGCAGCGTATCATCGCCGTTGGTGATGGCAAACAAAGATATGGACACTGTTTCACTGCAGACAGCGGAAACAGTGTTGGCGAAATCTATGGACATACCCAGCCCATCAATTCCGTGTCAATCAGGCAACAGCGGCCTCTGAGAGCTGCTGCTGCCGGAGACGACAAAACTCTCGTGTTCTACCACGGCGCCCCGTTCAAATTCAACACAGGGATTCGCGACAAACACACTAATTACATCTATGGCGTCGCCTTCAGTCCCGATGGCTCTCACCTGGTCAGCGTAGGCGGAGATCGACGAATCTGGCTGTACGATGGCAAGACCGGGGAGCCAAAGGAGCAAATTGGAGAAGGAGAACATAAAGGAAGTATATTCGGTGTCTCATGGTCGAGCGATTCGCGAAGGTTTGTAACAGCTAGTGCTGATAGGACGGTGAAGATCTGGGATGTGGAAACAGGCAAGGTCACTCAGAACTGGACCCTGGGGGAGGAGGGCACTGTGAATCCCCAGGATCACCAGGTCGGTGTCGTTTGGCCACCAGGCCGAAGCGATGGGCTCATCATCAGCTTGTCCCTCAGTGGAGACCTGAACTATCTGGTTGAAGGGACACCCAAGCCTAGACAAGTTCTCCAGGGTCACCAGAAGAACATCACGTCATTGACGCAATTCAAGTCGGATGACGGTAATGAGACCCTCTGGTCTGGAAGCTTTGAGGGGCGGTATGTAGCTGGGACGTTGCAACGGGAACTGCAGAGCAGATTGAAGGCGAAAGCCATTCCGGCTACATCTCAGGTCTCACAACGACTCCGGAAGGCAAGGGGAGGATATACAGCGTCGGCTGGGACGATACACTGCGCTCTGTTGATATCAGCGCCAAAACATATACGGGAAGCGCAACAAAGCTATCAAGTCAGCCAAAGGGTGTTGCTGCTGGGGCAGAGACAGTTCTCGTGGCCAACTCAGAAGGCATCGAGATATACAAAGATGGAAAGAAAGTCGGGGACTTCAGCGTAGCAGCTAGCGTAACTGCGGTCGCTGCGCATGGAAGCACTGCAGCAATTGGAGCAGAAGATTCTTCGATTCGGATCGGCACCGTCGCAGGTTCGACCTTGACGCCTAAGACCGAGATCAAGGCGTCACGCAATCTGATATCCGCTTTGGCATTTTCTCCTGATGGCTCTCTCCTGGCAGCTGGAGATTCTCGTGGTCGAGTTCTAGTGTTCAAGGTCGCTGACGGCAGTCTGGTCACCGACCGCTGGACCGCTCATACCGCTCGAATCACCTCAATTGCATGGAACGAGAAGGGCACCCATGTGGTAAGTGGGGCTTTGGATACGAATATCTTTGTCTGGAGCCTGGCCAATCCTGGAGATTGGATCCAAGTTCCCAATGCCCACAAGGAGGGTGTCAATGGTGTTGCTTGGATTGCTGGGGGAACAAAGATCGCTTCAGCTGGTGCTGATGCAACAATCAAGGTTTGGAAAGTGGAGAGCTTGGTATAAGATGAGACCGTGAACATTGATGATTTGATCACAGTAAAGGATAATCATATGCATGCATGTAGCTAGATGTAGGTATGGAGTAGTTGGCTTGATAACATAAACAATGCACGGCCGTACTGGAATTTCACGAGCTAGCTCTGTTTGACGCTCTTTGCTGGCATGGACTCCAGATAGATGCTGAAACCGAGGCCTTAGCAGGTAAACTCCACGTATCTTTCATCGTCTTTATTCTCTGATGTGCGCACGCCAGGATACATCCTGTGCAGTTTCATTGTCCATCGAAACGGACCGCGCGTGCCCCGATCGTAGGGCTGTGGCAATAGCCCCGCAGCAGCGGTTACGCAACTGGGAAGCTAGCTTCAGCTGTGACGTTGCTTCATGACTAGACGTGGATCATGAGACCACAGCTGCCCACAAGGCGCCTGGTGCCCTTGTGCCATTGAAAAGAGATTTCCAGGCCATGATATGGACATGGCCCTGACAGCGACAGTCAGAAAAGTGCTGCCGAATGGAAATGAGGACATCGGAGCGGTCGTCCTCAGACTCCCGCATGTTGCGGCCCAAAGTAAGCTATCTAACTTGTTGCTCGCTCGGACAGGATTTACCTCTTCAGCTTGCCTTGGCTGCTTCCTGATTTTTGCTGACTCGGTATTGCAGTTGCGGCAGGCAACCTTCGTCCTTCCCAAAACTGGCCAACGGTTGAAAGGTCTTGTTAATCTCAGCAGCCGCGATTCGACGGAGAACGGCAACCATGAAGAGCAACGACCGTTACTCGCCGAGGAGGACGGTGAGGCTGTCCACCAGCCAGATACCTTCTCAAGATTTCGTGACCCAATGTCCGCGATGTGGAAACGTGCGTATGGCTTTGCAACGTCGGAGTTAGGAAAGGGAGTTCTCAAGTGCAGCCTGGCGTATCTCTTGGGATCTCTTGCAACGTTTATTCCGGCCATCTCTGCGTTTCTCGGCCACCAAGATGGAAAACATGTGGTTGCGACCATTACTGTCTACTTCCATCCTGCACGGTCGAGGGGGAGTATGTTCAAAGCCTTGATCTGCGCTTTCCTGGCCTTTCTCTATGCCGCCTTCATCTCCATCACCAGCATGTGCGTGGCCATGTTTTTCGAAGATACTCTTGATCTTCTCCCTGTCGGTCATGCTGTGGTGCTCATCGTCTTCTGCGGCGGTGGCTTGGGCTTTATTGGGTGGATAAAGCAAAGACTCAACGATCCGTTGGTCAACGTTGCGTGCTCTTTGGCCTCACTTTCTACAATTACCGTCCTAACGAAAGAAGGGGCCGTTCAAAAGGGAGCTCTATCCTTCGCCAAAATTTCCCAGGTCCTGAAAATGCTGATCATGGGCGTATGCGCCACAATGGCTGTTTCTTTCCTCATGTTTCCGATATCTGCGCGAAAAAAGCTCCGGTCCAACCTGAAAACAATGACAAATACGCTGGCAGTCATGCTGGGGTGTGTCACCGAGAGTTTTCTCACTGGATCCGAGGATAAGTTGCATGCCGCAGACTTTGTCGATGCGTCTGCGCAGAACAAAAAAGCGTATGGTCAGCTCGACAAGCTTGTGAAGGAGGCGAAGCTCGAACATTTTGCGGCGGGTACCGAAAGGGAGTATCGATTGGAGAAGAGACTTGTTCGTTGTGTGCAAGACATCGCTCAAAATATGGGAGGATTGCAAAGTGCCGCAGCCCTACAGTTTCAGCTGCTCAGACAAGCTCAGTCTAGTACAGCGCCTACCCAGCAGGGCCACAGACCGTTTTCCGGGCAGAGGGGTTCAATTACCTCCCCAGGTATTTGGTCCGTTTACGAGGAACCAGTTATGCTGGCCTCGATAGATGAATCACCGGAAGAAGAGATGTCAAAGCCAGACGAGGACCAGACTGGGCCCGTTTCGGCATGGAACGATCATGGAGAGCTGCAGCCAGTCCTCTCGCCGCAGAGAATGTTTGAGGTTTTCATCGATCATCTCGGACCGTCTATGGTATTTGCTCCCGAAGTGCTTAGCTGATATAGCAAGGTACTGACAAATTGTCTAGCGGTCTCTTGCGTTCACTCTAAAGGAGATATTCGAAGAAATTCCTTTTGGACCACCACCTGAATATAAGGTTTCTTTCAATAGCCGATATCAGATCAGTCTTGACCGTGCACTTGAACTGTATCGGACCGCCAGAGAGGAGGCTCTTACGTCGATTTATCGACAGAAAGACTTTGCAAAGATTAAATCTTTTGATGTTGAGGCTGATCTCGAGGAAGTTTCTGCCAGCTGTGGCCTTTTCAGCTCCTCCCTTCTGGAATTTGGAGAGCAGTTGAAAGATGTATTGGCAATCCTAGACGAGCTGCAGCTTGAAGCTGAAGAACGGCCCAAAGGACGGTCATGGAACTGGCTCAAGTTCTGGCGGCATATCAATGTCGGGAAAAGTAACACCAACTCGCCAGATACAGGTAAGCATACATTACATCCAAATCAAGTTTTTGTTACTGAAGGACCATCTAGAACGCTTAGCTACCAATTCCGCTGGGCATGATGATGCTGCGGTGCGCCCCTTAATTCGAAAAACTCCCTCCAGTATGGAAAGTAGTTCTCTGGGAATGCGTACAAAAGATAGACTTGCCTATCGTATCTGGAAGTCTCTCAGCTTTTTGCGACGTGACGACACGAAATTTGCCCTCAAAGTCGGTGCTGGTGCGGCTCTCTATGCTCTGCCCTCTTTTCTTGCATCTAGTCGGCCAATATACTCCCGGTGGAGAGGAGAGTGGGGTCTTCTGTCCTACATGTTGGTTTGTTCCATGACTATTGGCGCCTCCAACACCACTGGATATGCTCGATTCTTGGGTACATGCCTGGGTGCCTGCTGCGCCATTATCTCGTGGTATATTTCTGCGGGAAACGTATTCGGCCTAGCTTTCCTGGGCTGGCTGATGGCTACGTGGACTGCTTATATTATTCTAGTCAAGGGACAAGGCCCGATGGGACGATTCATCATGCTCACGTATAACCTCTCAGTCTTGTACGCATATTCCCTGTCAAGGGATGACAATGACAACGACGACGACGAGGGAGGGGTACATCCGATTATCACCGAAATTGCACTGCACCGCGTTGTTGCTGTCTTGTCTGGCTGTATTTGGGGCATAATAGTCACGCGCATTATCTGGCCCATCAGCGCAAGAAAGAAGCTCAAGGATGACTTAAGTCTACTCTGGCTCCAAATGAGCTTGATCTGGAAACGGGATCCATTATCGACGATGGTGAACGGAAAACCAGCGACCGCGTATCTAAGCTCTAGGGAGAAGCTCCTAATCGAGCGCTTCGTATCTCATCTCGAGGCTCTTCAGGTTGCTGCGCGGTCGGAATTTGAGCTGAGAAGTCCATTTCCCGATGCTGCATATCGAAACATGCTTAGCCGCACGAGACGCATGCTGAATGCGTTCTATGCCATGAACCTCGAGGTGTTAAAGAATCTCTCGGCCTCTGAAGGTAAAATTGCTCTGCTTCAATACACAGCTCAAGAAAGACTCCAGCTATCTGCTCGCATCAGCCACCTGTTATCGGGTAAGACTTCAATCATGTCTCTTCGATTTTAGGCATCGCATCTGATCTTTTCTCAGTGCTGGCTTCATCAATGAGGCTTGAGTACCCATTAAATGATGCCCTCCCTAGTATCGAACATGCCAGGGACAGGCTTTTGGCCCGCATTTTTCATTTTCGCCAGGACAAGACCGTGTCGTCCTTGACAACTGATGGCGATTACGCTTTGCTCTATGCCTATGGTGAGTTTTGTCAACCGGAAAAGACGCTTGATCATCGTAATTACTGACTATCGCCAGTCCTCGTAACAGGCCAGCTCGGCAATGAAATTGTGGAGATCATCGGTGAAATAAGTAGGCTCTTCGGTGTTTTGAGCGAAGATGTAATAGAGCTCCGGTAGTGTAGTGTGAACGGGGGATAGGGCGAGAGTAAATTGTATCCTACTATTGCCCATTTGCATTTGAAAGGCGTTGGCGCGTAGGTGCTTAGTGAATAGAATTCGCTTTTTTTTTTCGACTATTATGCTATTCTAGGAGAATAGTCAGACGATGTATTGATGCGTAGCTAAGGGAGGACCTCGATAGATAATAGATAGTCGACTCCGCGCGTTGCAAGACCGAATGCGGGCGATGTGCCGAAGTGCACCTCCGTCCATCTGATTTTAGGCCCTGAGAGCCACCTTCCATCATCGCCAACCATCAACTATCGGCGTTCTTGGCGCTGGATACCCTTCTGCTGCAGATCTCATCTCAGCAACGTCTTATGCCATATTTATCCCGGTTGATGAAGGCCTAGGAGTCTTCGGCTTCGCGCAGCCCAACGCGCTCCTAGGACCATCCCACCACAATGCAGATCGACCCAGCGGCTCTGAGCCGAACAGACTCTGCATCAGCCCCTGTATCGGCGGCTAAGCCTGTCGCTTCTACAACTTCTTCGACGCAGAAGTCGACAAAGGCCTTCACCTCTGTCCCGCGGCTCGATCTCGAGCCAATCTACACGGAGCTGAAGGCCGCCATCGGCGACAACTGGGCCGAGTATAAGCAGTCGATAGCTCTGTTCCTTCTAGGTATGCATGCATGACCTCAAGCGACTTCGTCAATCGAAATTTTAACCATGCAATTTTTCTCGGCCTGGCCTTGCTAACTTTGATTGTTGCAGGACATCTCAACCAGGCTGAATTCTCATCGCGCGTTGACCACATAATATGCGCCGACCCCAAAACAGAACATCTCCACAATAATTTCATATGCGCTATCATCGCTAATCTCTCAAGAGATCTCCCTGATCATGGAGTCGCCAGTTGGGTATCTGCGAATGATAAACCTACGGTGGTGTCGAAGCCGGTCTCCAGCGACCTGGCGGAGCAGAGACTAAAGACTGAGGTTATGCAACTGCCTCCTAGGGATCGTCGAAGAATCAAAGCCATCCCTGAGGTATGACAACGAGCCCTGAAGTGCTCCCTTGCGACATTTTCAAGTGCAGGACAGGACATGCTGACAATCCGGTTGTCATTTCCAGCCTGAACCTCATGAGTTGGCGAGCAATGAATTGGAAGAATATCACCGGGCTAAGCAGATCAAACTACCCAGTCAAGTCCCAGCAAGTGCGGGAGGATTAAACAAGACAAGTAAGAAACCCCCTCATAGCAAGAATATGATTGCGATCCGTCTTCAGAAGCAAGTTTCATGTCCGATCTTTGCTAATTTATCTTCCTTTAACAGATTGGGAACTCGAGATTCGAAAGCGCTACGCCCAGCCTCTAGCTTCTGAAACTGGCGAGTTCCCTGATGCAGAAACGATCCACGCGCGTATGGTGCCTATCTGCTACGAGGAGTCTGTTGTCAGCGGCGCAGGCTATCCCTGTGCCGAGTTCATGGCGATTGCGACAGAGACATTCGTCAAGGAGGTGCTCTCGAGTGTGTTTTCACGAACAAGGCATAATGGTCCTTCTGGAACGATCAACGGCATGGTAACGAGAAAGTACCGCAGGCAGCTGGAGCGCGAAGAGCTGGCCTTCACACGTGGCGAGATCACGAAGGACGCTGCAACCGGACTTCTACCTGTTGAGGCCAAGGAAGCAAGTACGAGACAGCCACTCGGGGTGAAAGATCTTAAGCTCGCGCTCACCCTCGGTGGTGGGCTTCTCGGTCAGATGCCTTTGATTGTGGACCAGATTATGGGGGCCTATGATGAAGATGAACTGGAATTGGAACGGCAAGAGTATGCGGAGCAGACGTGGGATGATAAGATGGACGATGACACCGGGGTCGCAAACGGTGTGGATGAGATGGACATTGACGAGAACGAATTGGGATGGGAGGGAGGCACCGCGGCGGATAGGGAGCAACTAGGCTCTCTCCTCGACGAGTGCTTATCAATGGCAGCCTAAGTCTCAAGTCGTGAGACTCATTTTTTTTCTTTTCATCATCAAAGGGGGCGTCTGTCTTACTTCATTTACAGGCATTTTGCTGGGGAAGTAAATCCCCTAGCTCAATGCATTTGGACTGACTGATGACGGTGGGAAGGGCGTGGACGTGGCGTTTTTTTGGGTGAAATCGTGGAATCCGGAGAGAAATTTATACCTGGTCTGGTCGGCCCTGTTCTGTCATGTATACAGCTTTATTACTGGCATTTGGTGCGGAGTTTCTCGATTTCTATACTCCTTTGCTTTGTCTTCCTCTTTTTCTGTCTTCTGGCTTCCATCTTCTACTTTTTTTCTCCCTACCATTCGAAAATAAATGTATGTCTATAGTTCATGACACCATACTTTTTCACCATTTACTATTGAATATTATTGCATCACTACCGTATTATTTGATGGTCAATCTCGAATTGCTGGGATCGTAAGTAAACGGAGTGAAATTGTGTCTGATTTACTCATAAGCCGTAACGTATTTAAATCTTTGTATCGAGTAACTACAATATACTGCTAACACACACATGTCATGCCAAATCCAAAGTTGGCTATGTATACAAATTCAATAACTAAACGCTCAATTATTCCCCATTGCCCTTCCGAACGCCCACACGACCCTTCATATCCATAAAACTGTAGTCTAATTAAACAGAAAAAGGTATTAATTGAACATTACATCAAGAAAGGCGTTCCACGACCATCTTCAAGATTTCTTCCGTCGACTTGTACGCGTTCGCCGGGTCTTTGGCGACAGACTGCCATATTTCACCGTGTCTTGGTTCGGTGGCGATGCATTTGGCAAGCGCTTCCTGGCGTTTCTCCTCGGTGCCATGCTGCATCAAAAACTTGTAATACCAGGCCCAGATATCTCCTAGGTCACTATTCGCGATGAGAGCTTTCTCGAACCAAGTCATTGCCTTTTCCAGTCTGCGTTCATCCCAGAAGATGCGGGCAACCGTGACCAACAGTATCGGATCGTTATCGACTTTCTTGATTGCTTCTAAGCTCCGAGGCTTCCGATGGGTTCTGGGTTCAAGGTGCCAAATGCTCTCACTCCATAACAGCCCCGAATTAGGGACTTCCTGGAGAGCCTTGGCCATTAAAACCTTCGCCTGACTGATATTGTTCGCTCGTCGCTCGACCCGAACACTCTCGGTCCACAATTCAGCATTTTTAGGTACTGCGAGGCGAGCTCTGTCGAGAATTGAGCGTGCTTTGACGACCACACCAGCCTTTTCCTCGAGCCTGGAGGCAAGGAGCCACAGGGGAACTGACTGAGGGCAGGCCCTGGTGCCGGTACCATATGCTTCTCGAGCTTGGGGATACTTGTTCTGTGACTCGTAGATCTGGCCCTTCATCATCCACAGCTTGTCAGCCTTGGGATAAAGTTGAAGCCCCTGGTTCACAAGGTCAAGAGCCTCGTCCAGGTTACCCAACTGGCGCTCGAATGCGACGCTCTTGATCCAAACACGATCGGTACCCGCTTCGCGACGAGCTGTGGCAAGAAGTTCTCTCGCCTGTTCAGTTTGTCGCGCATCAGCCTCCAACTTGACGGCGGCAAGCCAAATATCTTCGTTATTGGGGTTTTGCGCGAACGCCCTTCCCAGTACGATCCGCGCATTATCAATTTCCCCAGCTTGCCACTTCTCCTTGGCGAGCTGCATCCAGAGCACCTCGCTATGAGGACATGCCTCCACGGCTTTCTCCAGGACTTGCCAAAGAGCCTCCTTGGTGCCGTGGTTACGCTCCAAATCCGCGGCAGCAAGCCAGAGTGACTTGCTATTCACGAAGACACGCAGAGCATAAGCGTAAATTGCCCGCGCAGTCTCATATTTGCCTCGGGCAATGCTGGCTTTGGCATCTTCCATCCATATGTCTTTTCGACCGTCATCTTCGTCGAGACCCCATCCCAGAGTCTCACGGATGATGGCTCCGCAGGTCAAAACAGCACCTTCCTCCTCACATTTCTCTGCTTCCGCAATCCAGTCCTCTCTCTTCGGCATTGCGTTTTCTCTAGCAAGAGCCTGAACAGCCCTTCTCATGACGTTGACTTTGTTCGCTGTACCCATCTGCTCTTGTAGTCGAGCGGCTGCAATCCAGACTTCATGGCTCGTGGGCACTGCTTTTCGGGCCGCATTCAGCACCTTCTGGGCATTTTCCGGGGTTTCAAGTCGAGCAAGAGCAAGCCACAACTCAACCGACAGCGGAATCATTTCAACGGCCTTGGCAAGGAGGAGTCGAGCATCGGCCGGATCCTCTTCAAGATTCACTGCTTCTTTCCAAATTTGAACAGACTGCGGAATGTGGAGGATTGCCTGTCGGAGGACGTTCTTTTTGGCACGAACGTCTGATTCTAGCTTCATGGCTTCAATCCATAATCTCGTCGAGCGGTCGTTGTGCTTAATCGCATTTGCCGCTATAATCTTCGCATTGTGATTATCATTGAGCCGTATGTTTTCCAGCCAAGCATCTTCACTTTTCGGGCACAACTCGCACCCTTTCGCGATGGCGTTTCTCGCCGCCACGATTCTCCCAGCCAACTCCTCCAAACGCGCAAGGGCGATCCAACCCGGCGCATGTTTGGGGTTTGTCCGTGTGACTGACTCGAGGAGAACTCTGACTCGTTTGATGTCACCAATCTCAACTTCACCCGCTTTAAGTTCTGATTTCGTTAGGCTGGTCAAATAGCCCTTCGGGTCGATGTTGGTCGCATTTCCTGATGACGCATCACCCGCAGAGCCTCGAGCTGCTTGATCAAGGCGTGCTTGGAGGACTTTGTCTCTAGCTGCGCCGATGTCCGCAAAGTTAGTCATCGTTCCCTCTGCGCCCTCTGCGCTACGGGCATCCGTTTGTGTGCCATCATCGGTGACTGTGGTCTCGAATTGCGTCGAGTCTCTGGCGCTTGCGATCACACTATCCGGAACAGCATAGAAGCGTTGCCGCAAATTCTGCTTCGCGCGTCTATTTTTGCCAGTAAGGTCGCCAACTTCAGGGAGGTTAGCCCATTCCTCATCTGTCACGGAGGCCAAGGATCGCTTGAGATCGGCAAATTGCTGCTGGATTTTCGGATTATTTCTCTCGTACTCTTCTCGTTCTTGACGCTCTCGAGCTTCCCTATATGTGGCGAACGAATTCAAGTCGGTTCTCTGTCCAGAGAAAAATAGAAACACGATGAACAAAAAAGACTCTTCCGAAGGGTAGGGGGATGGGTATGCGAAGCTGGACTGGAATACTAACCTTCTTAGTTTCCGCCTTCTATCCATCTTCTGATCAACCTCATGATAGATACGGTCTGCTTCGTCATCTTCGCGGTCATACTGCCCATAGGCGAAAAGTCCGATTTCATTGTCAGGATCTTGAAAACGATCGTCGTCCTCCTCTTCTTCTTCCTGTTCTTTTCCTTTCCCACCTTTCTCTCGCCCCACGCCGTATGCTGTGGGCGGCGCAGCACCTAAAAGCTGAGCTCTCTTTGCGAGAGCTTCCCGTATCTGCTCTGGCGTCGGACCTTCTCGCGCAGGTCCCAGATCTGATCGGGTGGTAAAGCCTGTAGCACCTCGACCCAAGCCGGCGACATAGTTCTCGGGAGCTGGTTGGCTCAAAAAGTCCTTTCTACCCGACATCTTGGCTGAACTGTGAGCGCAAGAAGATCGCTTCGCCGATGCTGTGAGGGGAGCTGGCAGCGTGCGGCGAGAGGCAACTCTGGAGGTGAACTAATACCACAATGTTACTCGTTGGTAATACCGCTTAAAAGTAATGCCGAGCGCCGATCTTATCGGACTGCGATTTCCACCACCTCACAAAAAAAAAGTTACTAGTGATCCAGTACACTGTACATATGGTTGGCATTTGAAAAAAACCACCAGATTTAAATCATGCCCAAAGCCAGTTCAAAGAAGCGCAATAGCGCTTCATCGGCCAGCCCTTATGCGCAGGCTGCGGCGAAGACCAAAGCGGCCAATAGCATATTCAAAATGAATACTGATATTGGTCAACACGTGCTCAAGAACCCTGGTATCGCCCAAGCTATCGTTGATAAAGCTGACTTGAAGCAAAGTGATGTGTGTACCATGACCTTCTTTCGTCATTTACTCTCATTAGTATGAACATTTTCACGTCTAATACTGTCCTCTAAATCTACAGATAGTCCTAGAAGTTGGCCCTGGCTCAGGAAATCTTACAGTCAAAATTCTCGAGAAAGCGAAAAAGGTCATCGCAGTGGAATTGGATCCCCGAATGGCGGCAGAAGTCACAAAACGTGTGCAAGGCAAACCAGAACAAAAACGGCTGGAGGTTGTGATAGGAGATGTGATCAAGACGGATCTTCCGTATTTTGATGTTTGTATCAGCAACACCCCATACCAGGTGCGTTTCTTTCCTTTGATTTAGTATGACCCTAGTCATGAACTGACGACAATTAACAATTAACAAGATCTCTTCTCCCCTTACATTCAAATTATTAGCAACCACGCCAGCACCCCGGGTCTGTATTCTTATGTTTCAGCGTGAATTTGCCATGCGACTTTTTGCCAAACCGGGTGACAAGTTGTACAGTCGACTTTCGGTGAACGCACAGATGTGGGCGAAAATCGATCATGTCATGAAAGTTGGCAAGAACAACTTCAAGCCACCACCAGCAGTGGAATCAAGTGTTGTTCGCCTGGTTCCCAAGAATCCAAGACCTCAAATTAGCTATGAAGAGTGGGACGGCCTGTTGAGAATTGCTTTTGTGCGAAAGAACAAGACCCTCCGATCGAGTTTCTTTGGCACTTCAAGTGTCATGGATCTACTTGAGACCAATTATCGAACATGGTGTGCACAGAACGACATCCCTGTGGAAGATGGGCCCGCAGATGAGAATGACAACACCGAAATGGATATGGGAGAGACGGAAACTGGCGAAGAAGAATGGGATGGTAACATGGATGTGGATGAGGACGAAGATGTGCCTGACTTCTTCAAGGACGAAGCAAGTTCCCGTCTTCAAGAAGCTTTGAAGAACAAGCCCAGCAGGAAGAAAAAAGGAAAAGTTGCTCAGCTTGTCCGCGAGAAAGTCCGGCAGGTTCTGGAAGATGACACGGGCCTAGCGGATAAACGCGCAAGGATGTGCGATGAGGGCGACTTCTTGAAGTTGTTATGGGCTTTCAACCAAAGAGGTATTCATTTCAGTTGATCTAGTCCTGGAAGGGATACCTATCGAAGGCCGGGATCCGCCCAAAAACATATATTGAATCTTCACTGGGCTTCAGAGCTTGAAGCTTGTTCACCTGCAAGTCGCAAATGAGCGCTTGAGTCCTGGAAGAGACTCTGCCAGATGAATGCTTCACTGAGCAAAAGCTCGATGTCCTTCTCAGTCCAGTCTTTCGTCGGAAGCGCCTGAAGAAACATCATGATCTCCTTTTGATCTGTTAGCACAGGTCAAGGCAAGACAGTCTAATATAGTAATGGGTGCGAACCTGGAAATCCATCTTCAACAGCCGATCAGTCCATTTCACAAGAAAGGCCGCGCAGACATATAAATGGAACCTGGAGAAACCCTGCTCCTCGGCCTTTCTACAAGTTAGTATGCTATCCACACAAGAAGCATAGTTCAAAAACCCACCATGTATGTGTCCCACATTCGGATTGTGTTTTTGATGCTCATTTCCCTCATAAGCAGGCAGTTCATCCATCGAAAGCTGAACTGCATGAATTCGACGCCTTCCTTTTCCAGATGTTTGGCAAGACTGGAATCAATGCGCGTGGTCAAGTCACGCAAAGCTTTCACTTGTCTGTGTATACCTGGTTGGGCATAAATATAGTTGTCCTGAATGCCATCAAGCAGCTTAGTGAGACACCAGAATGAATCGGCTTCCACTGCATCAAGCACGGATTTTGGTAGCTGCCCGGGGTCCATCCCTTCCTCGACGTTGGCGTCTGTAACGTAAGCTCCCAAAAATACTTGCCAGAATGGCGTAACAAGGTCGTTGATGCCCTGCACATATCCGCTGGCTGGGTGTCGTATTGCCCAAACGTAGAGGATTCTCTCCAGGGATCGTTGCGTAGCCTCGTAGCCGTATAGCTCCAGGTGCGGGTTTGTTCGAGGGACATCAATACTGATCTGGTGCCATATCGCCTCGTCCAGGCCCCTGCCTCGTCCCGAACTCGTACTTCCCGGACCAGGTCCGGCAGCGCCCCCCGTACCACGTTCAAAGGCCTGCCGAACCCCATCAAGATATTCCTTGCGCTTTCGCTCCAACGTTGAGACACGCCGCTCACTGTTTGTCGGCAAGTAGCCAAGAAGCAATTGCCAGGTCATCGCTCGAACTTCGTCGGGAATCCCTGACCATGCTAAATCGCGAAGCTCAGATAAGGAAACAGTACTAGCTTGTAGAATGCGTTTGAATTTGTTGATTCTGGAGATCCGAGACGAATGCGCTTCCAGTTGTGTGGGAGTAGCATTGGGTGGCGGTGGGGAGTGATTGATCAAGTTCAAAGAGTTGACAGGATCTTGGGTCATGTCAGCATTTCTGCAACTTCCTCACGGCATATACCATTGATTACCTCTCAAAATCTCCTTATACTGAGGTCGAAGGATCTTTCCTTCGCTCTTTTTGGCGGAAGGATACAGAGGCACACCTCGTTCCTCAGCAATATCTGAACTATTCGCTCGCTGCCTTCCGCTTCCCAAGTCAGGTGCAAGACTTGGCATGTTCCTGTCAATACAGCCTCCTGAATCGCTATCTTCTCTCTGAAGACTGCCAGAGTCTTTCCCCTTCCTGCGCATGCTCGTTATGCTGGGGAGTCCAAATTCGTCTTCATCATCGTCATAGACGATCTCGTCGTCTTCGTCCTCATCCTCGACTGCATTGTCATTGCTCCAGCCCCCAACTCCGTGCGATAAAATACTCTCGTACGACTGATGTGGAGGAGAGGTGGTCTTTCCCCCGAGCCGTGCAGGCGGCGACGAAACATGGCGTGCACTTCCCGCGGACTGAGTGGAACGAGGTGGCGTTCGAGGTCGTGCATGCGACATGCTCCTATAAATTTCAAATACAAAAATATTGTTAGCAAGGGTTGATGTTATCAATCTGAAGCGAACAAAGGATTGGGCGATATACTTTAGGATATCAGCGTGCGAATATGACGCACCGACAACCGTATTGGAATCATACACCTTCGAAGCGCTCTGTCGCTGGGGGGCGGTTCTTGTCTTCCAAAAAGGGGATCCACCCCGTCTTTAGATGTCAGCATATGACGTCCTTATCAGAAGGCTTCTCTCGACGGGAAACCAAGGCCCTTCGGGAGGGTACAGTACATACTCAGAGCGGTCTGCTGAGAACAAGCACGAAGATTAGATGAGGTATTCAGGCCAATTGGATCTGGGGGAAATGATGTGAGGTACGAACCAACCTGGACCATCTCCTGCACCAATGTTGAATGGCGCTGATCAGTAGGTGTCCACATCAGAGTAGAGGTTGGAACTTACCTGCTGCTGGCCTTTCTTGCTGGCCATCTTCTGGATACGTCTATGGGTGGCACAAACGAAAGCCGATCATCAGGGTATAATAGAACACAGATTAATTCTTGGCACTCCCTAGAGGGTCTAAGCGTAGAATGGCAGACAGCATCAGTGTGTTGTCTTCTCCCTGCTCCTTCATTCGAAACAGTCCTCCATCTGATATCCCCTCCACGGGCCACCAAACAACCAGCATTCTGCCCGGGCGGTCAGCACCTCCACCCGTTTCCCGTTCAGATTTAGCCTGCCGAGCACCTGACTGGGGGTGACCTGCCTTCAGCACCGACATCGAACTCTCCTCCCAGCCCTCACCAAGCGATCATCGAAGGCTCAGTTGCCGATCGCATCGATAGCTGAACCTTGCATGGGCTCCCCAACTATTGCTCCTCAAGTGGACGTGATCTGATATAATCCTAACCACTAACCAGTTCAAGCATCCCTCTTCCCTATCTCGCAGCGCCGCAGGCCCCTCGGGTTTCTGCTCTTCGCTCTTTACCCCGTCTCTATAGTACTCTCCCACCATGACTGAACCAGAGGATCTCGAAGAAGATCTCTTCGCCGATCTGTAAGACCTTATTCCTGCTCGATTCTCTGAAACCTAAGGCCGAACTTACACCTTCTCAGGTATGATGCAGATGATACGGCAAACCAGGCTACTTCGACAGGCGTCGCTCCAAACCCCTCTGAGCCTGTTCCATCTACCACTCATCCCCCGTCCAGTGAGGCGACACCTGCACAGGCCGCAGAAAGCTTACAGACTTCGCAAGCGAATGACAGCAGTCAGACTCAACCAACCGAAGGGACAAATGGTGCAGAGTCTACTGATGCCGGACAGTCCAAGGATGCGACCGCTCCTGCAGAGCCGGAGCCTCAAGGCACCGGAATTAAGGAAGATGGGTAAGTCTTATCTATGTTGCTGTTATATCTGATTCGGTATCATTTCTTTCCTCTGCTGGACAATGTCTTCTTGGAAACGGAAACAGCGTGAGTATACGACTATTTACAAGTCACGGATTCATGGCTCAGCTTTTGGGTGTTTGGCTCTCGTCTTTTGTGGTGGGAGGGAATGATGGCGTTGGCTTTTTGGTGAGCCTTGTTGGGATCTGGTTAGGCTTCCTGAACGGAGAAGCATGGCAAAAGATGGAACACGAAGTTGCGACAATAGGGAACACCTGCCCTCATTCCAAGCACCGGGAGGTGGAATCGCTTCGAGAAAGATGGAGACCAGACGATACCGATATACACATTTCAAGAATTAGCTTATCTGGATCCGCTTCCAAAGGAGCAAGCCTGTACGCTTCCTTGTTTCAGCAGGCTCTCCAAGCTTGAGTCTCTGAGTGGATCTAGTTGTGATGACAGGCTGTGAATGGCAACTAAATGAATCTTCGGATTCATGGTTCGGCGTGGCCAACCATTGGCCATTTTCTATCGGATTGGAGTCGATGAGAGCTAGAGGTCGAAATGCCTAACTTCACGAGGCCGATGTCGCGAGCGACTATAGTACAGCTGTTACTATATAGCTTCTTATCGATACATCTTGATAGAGCAGAGCAGAGCAGGAATTAGACATTTCGGCTGTCTGGGAAAATGAAGAATATCGAACAAGCTTTACCTAGCTACGGACTATTAGAGAGACCGCGACCCTCAGTCGAGAAGAGCAGACAAAAAAAAGAAGCAAAAAAGAAGCATCAACTCTGTCACAATTTCAACCTATCAATTCAGAAGAAGCTGCGAAGGCAGTGATTCATATCACTCGTGCTTCCTGCCAGTCCTGCAACAACAGCTATTGTCGTCGCTGGATTTCAGTCTTATGCTGTCGGTCCACTTTGTAAATCGGTGGATTTTGGCTAGAAGATTTGCTTACGCCCTCGTCCGTTGTGGGATGCAGCCACCCATTTGACGGCAATTATTATTAATGAGACCGACCTGGCACAGCCTCGAAAGGAAGTACGATTACAAGCGATTTTTTTCGAACACTGTTTGTTGTCTCGTTCGGAAAGGGCCGACCCATCACTGCTACTCCCACTGGCCTCCGTCTCTGGATATATTCTGCATTGCTCTTAAAGCTAGAGCTGCACGTTCTTGACGTGCCAGTACACCCATTTTCTGAGCCTACAACACAGAAAATCGGATACTGAGATGCCCTGCTGTTCGTTCAAGAAGACATTCCAGTCATGAACCCGAATCAAAATCTCTTCCGTTTCCAGCTCTGGTTTCTTGTTTCCTTCATAGCTCTGTTGATAACATGCACGAACGATGAAAGTTGAGACTTAGCTAATGAATGACTTAAATAGGAAAATGTTCATTGGTGGTCTAAACTGGGAGACTACAGACCGTATGAACCTGTCCCAATGTGCAATGTGCTCAACAGGATGCATTCTAACATCTTAATCTAATAGAATCGCTCAGGGATTATTTTTCACAATTTGGAGAGGTCCAAGAATGTACCGTGATGCGCGATAGCGCTACCGGAAGATCCAGAGGCTTCGGATTCCTCACATTCAAAGATCCAAAGACCGTCAACACAGTGATGGTCAAAGAACACTACTTGGATGGAAAGATTGTAAGGCCCTCTCCTGCCCGCGTTCCACCCATATCTACCGACCATAGAGGATTTGAAGCTCACATATTACCAAGATCGACCCAAAACGCGCCATTCCCCGCGACGAGCAAGAGAAAACCAGCAAGATATTCGTTGGCGGCGTCAGCCCGGAAGCCACTGAGCAGGATTTCAAACAGTTTTTTATGCAGTTTGGCCGTGTTATCGATGCAACCCTGATGATGGACAAGGATACCGGGCGCCCCCGAGGATTCGGATTTGTGACGTTTGATAGCGAAGCTGCTGTCGAAGCTACACTTTCCCGACCCTTAGAGATTTTGGGAAAGCCAATCGAAGTCAAGAAAGCCCAGCCAAGAAGCAATATGCGTGACGAAGAAGACCGAAGAGGCCGCCGTGGAAGGGGAGATGGCGCTCATGGAGCTGGCGACAGTGGTCAACAGCAACAAACAACGCAGGGTCAAGCTGGAGTGGCCGGCGGAATCACGCCCCAGATGATGGCTCAATACTGGCAGCGGATGCAGCAGTACTTTGCCCTAATGCAACAACAGATGGCAATTGCCGCAGCCAGTCAAGGTCAAGCTATGGGCGCAATGGGCATGGGGATGAACCCAGCGCTGATGCAGCAAATGCAGCAGATGAAGCAGATGCAAATGGGTGGCGGTCAACAGCAGGGGCAGTCCCCGAGTCCTGGTCCGCAAGGTATGCAAAACATGATGAATCCTGCCATGATGCAACAGATGCAGCAAATGCAGCAAATGCAACAAATGCAGAATCAAGGAATGCAGAATCAAGGTCAAGGAGGTATGGGAGGACAGATGGGAGCAGGGATGGGGATGGGTGGAAACATGGGTGGAAACATGGGCGGGTTCACGGGTTCACGGGGTGGTCCAGGATATAATGCCCAGGAGCAGATCGCCTTTGAGCAGCAGAAGTATGAGCAACAGCAAGCTCGCCGAGCGATGGAGAATCGAGGATTCTCGCCTTATCAGCAAGGTGGCCCAACTTCCTGGGAAGGCATGTACGATGAAGTGCCTCAGCCCAACATCCCCACGGGCCCTCAAGGAATGGGACGTGGAGGCATGGGTCGTGGTATGAATCAGAATCAGAACAAGCCAGGAGGTCCTCAACAGAATAAGGGTTCGACTCCCCAGCCGAGCGGCGCACCCGCAAACGCTCCCACAGGACCGAAGAACGCCGGCAAGCCGGGCGCAAACTACCGAGGCGGAGGCCGTGGAGGAGGACATCGAGGCTTCCACCCTTACGCTCGATAAGTCCTGTTGGAAGATAGATGAGGTTGACCTGTACGGACAGGATGTCCTTTCTCTAATCAAGCAGGATGGGATGGGCTCAGTTCTTGTACTGTGCCTGCGAATGTTTTCCTCTCCCCTTCTTTGATTAAGGAAAGAACGAATACATCAGAGAGGTCATATCTGGAAATATCTTCCTTTTCTTTTTTTTTCTCCTAGTCTCGGAGTTTGCAGTTACCCGGCAGTGCGATATGAGCCTAACCCACCTCGTGAAGTCTTATCAAAGATGCTTTGTCCCCTTCCCCGTTTCCCATCTGAAGCAACAAAGTCTTGTCTTTATCATCTCATTTTCTCTTTTCTTTCTCACACTGCTTGTCTGTATCAACTTAAGCAGGTGGATGGGTCTACACATGTATGTACTTTGAGAATGGATTATTGGTGATGAGCGGTGGATTATTGATGATGATAAAATCAATGAATAGGTCGCGCGGAGAGGAGAGATTTGCTAGGTTGACTGGTTCATGTCTTGTCTACTTTACTCTATTCTTATAGGAAACTTATTGTGTTTTTGCAAACCACTCGCAGCACCTGACTCGATGTATGACTAGCTAAGCATATCTGCTCACGTCCATGGAACCCGACTAGCAAGAATTGTACGAGTTGTCGTTGGCAAAGGGATTGCCTATTACCCTATATATAGATAGATTACTACTGATGGAGACACACATCTTGCATGTTAGTGAAAGATATTGCAAGAAATATAAGAATATACATTTGAAAAAATGAATAAAACTATATGTACAGTTAGTACCGTAGACAAAAATCCCTCCGATACACAAGGTATTCTTCTCTCTTCAACCTAGTCGATATCTGTAAGGGCTGTAATTCCAGGTGAGACAATGAGAAAAAAAAAAAGTGACCCGTTCCAAAATGTCAATTAGATATTACCCACTGTATTCCATCGAGGAATACCAGGCTGGCAACTAGTCAATCATAATTACGTCGGGGCCTGCCGGCTTGTCAGGCGCTTGCGAAGTATTTGCGTTCGTGCCCGCTGCTCTTCCCGGAGCATCGACAGATGTTGACCCGCCAGGCCCCTTCGTTTCTGCAGACATCTGTCCCGCATCGGCATCTTTTCCATCCCCACTGGAAGCCATAGTTGCAACATCGGCAAAGCACGAGTCCAGCTCCGTGATCAGATTTCCAACTTTGTCCGCGTCCGCCACAGCCCCATTTCCAAGGCCCTGCCAACCGTCGCCTTTAGAGTCGTAAATCCTTTCTTGTAATTTGCTTGCGATAACTTCCTCTCCTTCACGTTTCTCTCGTGATGAGCCGATGTCCTTCAATACCCATATCATGCCGTCCCGGCGATATCCAGCCGTGAGAAGGAATCGGAAGCGTAGGCCAGAATAACGGAATTGATATGTTTTCGCACCACGCGCAGTGACCTGCACCGTCAAGGACGGATTGCACGACGGCTGTGTGACCAGGCGATCTAAAGCCCGTAACAGCGGAAGGGTGAAAGTGAGAAGCCGAATCACCGAATCAATACCCGCGTAAGAGTCTTGATTCAGGATTGCTGCGAGAGATTGTCTGATTCGGCTATGAGGATTCGACTCGGCAAAAGAAATGTCGAGGCGCAGGCGGAAAAGCGATGTCGTCTCTGAGCGGAGGGCGGCAGGTTCCAGATCGGCAAGAGAGTCGGGCCCAGAAAGCCGGACAACGATGCTGGCGCTGAGGTCCTGTTCCGGCGCGTAAACAAAGGAAAGCCGCGAAAGGGACAATGTCCGTATTTTAACCTTGTTCCGCCGAAGGGATTCGAAAACGGAGAGGACAATCTCAAGTCGCTGAACACGCTCGCAGAGCTCGGCAATGATAGACTGACCGGCCGCAACCAAGAAACGGATAGCAAAGCCCGATCCTCTCCTCTGGAGAATCACTGAGTCGTCCAATTTCAAAGTCCGGAGACCGAGATTCCTCAAGGGAGCATGGAAACGGCCATACGCTACGACGATAACAGCTTTCGCTCGAGGGTCGAATCCGTGGTAGGAAAGGCTGATCGTTTCTTTCACATATGACTTCTTCCTGATTCCTGCAGGGGGATGCATCCGGAGCGCTTCTGGCAGCTTGGAGGTGTCAAAACGAATAGAAAGATGAGGTACTTCGAGGTTCCGTCCGAGTTGTAGGTTTTGAGCAGTCGGGAACGAGTGCAAAGAACGCAAATCCGCCAACCAAGACGCATTGGCATGCATCGCGATAATGCCGGCCAACGAATGTTCAAGGTTTGCGAAGAAGGAGTAGCTAAGCTGTTGGTGTGCGGTAACCAGGTTCCCGACCACAACCCGAGTAGATTGTATCAGAAAGCCTTCCGATGAAGCTGAACTGTGTAGGTGCTGCAAGTTGGGGTTTGGCGACGGCCGGGGTTTCAACTGCAGAACCCACCAATCATCACCACTCAGACTGGTCGTCGCAGCCACAATCCAGCCGGGTTGCCAGAGACGATGACGGAAAAATGAAGCCCGCAGAATATTTGGCGGGAATAGACGTCGAATATCGACTTTGAGTTTCCGATGGTCGACGATTTCCCACCCTAACATCTTGGCGTTCGCTTCGATCTCTTCCATCGCTGCGATACATCGGAGCCGGGAAATCCTCGCGACAAGGTCATCCGCATTGCGATCCTTATCGAGAAGACTTAGGGGCGTGGGAGTGGTCCGGAGGCATATATTTCCTGACACGGGTTCAACAGAAGCACAGAGATACCGAGACCTCGTTAGCTGGACGTTGAGATAGCAGTCTCCTGGCTCGATGGTCGAGGTTTGGGCTCTGAGGGAAAGCGAGCGAGTCGCAAATAAGGGCTCCACGCTGAATCTAGCATACGCGGAACGAAGCCAATGAGAAGTGTGGAGGGCGATTGCGCTGCGCAGAATTGACTCTATCGAAAGATTCTCTGTATCGAAGCTGATATCCGTGGAATCCACTTCCTTGTTTTCCCGTATCCAACGCAAACCCAAATGTGACACCCGTGGAGCTCGCTCTCCTGCAGAGGTCTTTTGACGACCGCTTCTGATGCCGATCTCCAACCAGCTCTTTGGTCCGGGCTTGTTGGCCCAATACTGTACCACTAAGGTGCGGCGTAGTAATTCAACGCGCAAGGCATCAGACCACTGGCCCCGTATGAGATCCACTGCTTGTCTGAAAAGAATGTTGATCTTGTTCGAGAGAACGAGGTTGTGGACGAAATCGAAGCAACCCGCCAGACCTTCTGTTCTTAGAATGTTGTTGATCCGCAGGTCCAACTCGTTGAAGAAGCGACCCTTGGGAATAGGAGAGGACGGCGAGAAAAGAAAGCGGATATCGATGAAATAAAACTGAGAATGGGGGTCCTCTTCCGCGATGGAAAGATCAATTTCAAATTCTTTAGGAACGATGAATGTCACTCGGCCGTCGTGGACCCGGTAGTTATGAAAGGGGGCAGGGACAGAATCATGTAATATCAGCCGTGTGCTGATGATCCGATTTATTTTTCGCAAGGTCCGGAGCAAGCCTTTTGCGGTGAGAGGTTTCGGGGGCTTGTACCCAAGCTGGAAAAAAACAAAGGAGTTAGCATGGATCCATGTGTGTGCAGCAAAAAGGGTGAAAACTGACATCTGGCATACTGGAGACTCTCCCCGTCGACAAAACCTCTAGCGCGGTTGCCAGATCTGGGTTGGCGACCTGAGCCCTCACCAAGTCTCGTTTCATATCGGCGACTCGTTGGATGGCTGCATTGTAGGCCATGTGACGTGTGCGGATGAAGCCTTGGAGGTCGATCAGCTTGCTAACGTCGGCTGCTTGCCGACTCCACTGGGAAAGAACGAGTAGCTTGATAAATTCGGCACGTTTATTCTGCAAGAATTCCAGGAGTCGGAGCTTCTTTTGCACATTCTCCGTAGACTGGTTCCCTGACGGTTTGCCGTTCGGAAGAGTCAATTGAGACGGCTGCTGCTGGGTCGATACCTGGATGTCCGCCAGCTCCGTGATCAGATCAGAGAGATCATTCCAGCACTGCTGAACGGCTCTATTGACCAGCTGGCCGTAGGGGGAAAAGCCCTGGGTGATGTGAACCAGCTCCGGAGGCGGTTGCCTCGGTGCCTGAGTTGACTCTTCAGCTCTGGCCATTTTCTGGGGATGATCATTCGTCATATTCGGACGTCGATCGAGGGAACCAGGCTCCTTGGAAGAGCCATTCAGCTGCCTCGAGGCTTTTTCCGAGTCCGCCAGCGCGCCATTGTTTTCGGTCGCGCGCACCGAATTTGGTTGCCCATTGTTCTCGTGAAGGTCATGGGGGCTCGTCCAGCGTCTGGATCCGCTGTCACTGGCATCTTCCATGACGATACCAGGCATAACTGGGTCCGGCCTGTTGGGTGCGGCCTTGTTGTCAACTCGCGCCCTCCCTTGGTTTCACTGTCGTGCACGCGATCCCGTTTCAAACAGTAAGTGTGCTGATGATCGCTCAAGTCCGTATAGCCGGTGGTTGTGAGACAGAAGGAGGGTTCTATATCAAGCCGAGGGTATACGCAGCGGTTACAATAACATTCAAGAAGAAGGTGTTTTGTATGCCAACGGACCCGGCGGCATTGGGAAGGTCGCAGATGTACCGTGGTCAGAGCAAAGGATCCGGTCCGTCAGAGATGGTCAGGAAGGGCTTCCAGAGGATGAGAAACCCTCACCAGCTGCGCGCAGAGAAGAATAGTTGCCAAGAGATAAGAAAGGGATTTGCTCGGACTCGTGATGAAGCACCGGCGGCTGGTTTGCGCGCCTGTCGGAGGAGGACGACGAGGCGCGACAGCGTTTGAAGACGACAAGGGCCGCAAAGATTGTGGATCGGGGCTTCTGCAGATAGAATCGAGGGATAGAGAGAGTAGGCGAAGGTGGAAGAGGGATTGGGAATGGACAGAAGGGAATATCAGAAAAAACGAAAGTAGCTCTAACGGGTCAGTTGATAGATCCCGAATGGGCCATGGACCCTCAAGGGAATGTCATGAAAGGAACAAAGGCCAGGAAAGGGTTCAGGCTGGCCTGGCGCTGCGACACAGCTGGTTTCCTGCGGGTGAGGGACGACAGGACCGTCGGGGCCAAAGACAGCTGTGACGGAAGAACAAGAGGCAGGTCGCTTGATGATGGAGAGATCGCCGGGCGGTGATAACGCGGGCGCCCCGTGCCGCACGGGATCGTGACGGACAGCGTGGAGGCCTAAGGCATCCAGGTCCCGTACGCCGGCAGACTGCAGTACAGCAGACCGCGTGGAGTGTCCGTGCCTCGTCTTAGACTCGTGGTGAGGGCACGAGTCTCGAGGAATCGTAGACGGCCAGCGAGGAACGTGCGGGGGAATCCGTCGTCGACTCGGCCTTGACGAGCAGCCGTCGTGAAGTCTTCCACAAGGCCCCTGCTGGCGACTGGCCGGCCTAGGCCCGTCTCGACCTTAGCCTGCAGACTAAGGCTCTCCGGGGCCGATCCCGTGCGACAACGTAACACCGCAGTAATAGATAAACAACCATCACTGACCGACTCTCTCGGCCTTCCTCAACAGCCCAGTCCTGCACCGGAGCTCGCGTCTCCTGCTTTTCTACTTATGGTTCTACTTTATACGATGGACTCCCAATCCTCTTCCAGGCGCATCTGTTGACAGTCTACTACAGTAGCTTCTCGACGGACCTAGAGCGCCTTCTGGATCGTCGGAGCTCGGACGGGACGCCTGGCAAGCTGCATCGAGTCTGTCGGAAGCAGCACCCAGGATAGACCAAGGCATATAATCTATACATATTTATCTTCGTCCTCCCGGATAACGATGTGGATTGCTGTTTAAAGGATTCTTCGGAAGCTCAGTCAGATAAAATGGCGGAGGACGAAGCTCTACTCCCTCCCCAATACCCAGGCGACGATACCCGACCAACAAGCAAGAAAGAGCTGGCGGGATGGTACAGCTATGGCTGGGCAGCGGAGGTGTTCACGGTGTGCGCCATGGGTATGGATTGCTCCTCCAGCATTGATGTCGTCCAAAGGGTGTGTCACCCCGAAAATCGCGCTTGACTGACCAAACACCTGTCTCTCCTTTGGTCCTTTAGGATCTTTTCTCCCGATGACACTGGAGCAGATGGCGCGGGATCGAGGCTTTCTCGTATCCGACAAGACTACCCGATGTAGCTCCAGTTGGGATGCTTCACACCCGTCCATCGTTCGTGTAGCTTCTCGAGGTCCCGAGTCGAGCCAATGCGTTGTCTATGTCCTTGGCATTGAAATCAATACTGCAAGTTTTGCCATGTACACATTCTCAGTGAGCGTGTTATTACAGGCGTTGCTCATCATTTCCATGTCTGGAGCGGCCGACCATGGCAGTTATCGCAAACTGCTCTTGGTCGTGTTTGCATGCGTGGGCTCCGTTTCGACGATGCTGTTCCTAGCTGTGAAGCCTGAAGTGTATCTTCTCGGGGCGCTTTTGGCGATCATTGCAAACACGTGTTTTGGAGCGTCTTTTGTGCTTTTGAACTCATTCCTTCCAGTCCTTGTCCGCCACCATCCTGCTGTGTTGGACACAGGAGTCGAGGCAGTCTCTGCACATGTCGGCGAAGGAGGCTCGCAGTCATATAACGAGACTGATGATTGCGACTCTGCCTTGGAGCCCGACGTCCATTCCCCGTTACTTCAGTCACAGCGTGATTCGAATATTAGAGCTTCAGCATCACAACTTCCTGGTCCTACGGTGCACCCTGGATCCTCTACTGCGTTGCAATTATCGACCCGGATCTCATCATATGGCATGGGTATAGGGTATATTGGATCCGTCATCTTGCAGATCATATGTATCGTTGTCGTCATGGTGACCCATCAGACCACCTTCTCATTGCGGCTCGTTCTCTTCTTGATCGGACTGTGGTGGTTTGTTTTCACAATCCCGGCAATTCTGTGGTTAAGACCCCGGCCCGGCCCTCCTCTTCCCTTTACTGGTTTTGGCAAGCGTCGTCGCACATGGTTGGGCTACATGGCATATTCCTGGAAGTCGCTTGGCCAGACGATTGTTCGCGCTCGTCGCCTCAAAGACGTTGGCCTCTTTCTTGCGGCGTGGTTTCTCCTGAGTGATGGGATCGCTACCGTGAGCGGAACGGCTGTTCTCTTTGCCAAAACCCAGCTCGAGATGCAACCTGCCGCGCTGGGACTGATCAGTGTGATTGGAACCATTTCTGGCGTCTGTGGCGCATTTTCGTGGAGTTATGTCTCCCGCTTGCTGAAGCTCCGGACAACGCATACCATCATCGCCTGCATCTGTCTCTTCGAGCTCATCCCATTGTACGGTCTGCTGGGATTCGTCCCCGCTGTTCAGAATTGGGGTTTTCTTGGTCTGCAGAACCCCTGGGAGATGTTCCCATTAAGCGCTATTTACGGTCTCGTTATGGGTGGCTTGTCTTCGTACTGTCGGAGTTTCTTTGGGGAATTGATTCCCCCGGGTTATGAGACGGCGTTCTATGCCTTGTACGCCATCACGGACAAAGGCTCGAGCGTGTTCGGACCCGCCATTGTTGGGCTTATTACCGACCGTTATGGCGAAATCCGACCTGCATTTGCCTTTCTTGCCCTCTTGGTCTTCTGTCCTCTACCTATCATGCTCCTCGTAGATGTGGATCGAGGCAAACGCGACGCCCTCGCCCTCGCAGCTGAGCTGGAAGGCCGGCCAACAGGGAACGGGCCCGGATATCAGACCGTTCCTACCATCCAGCTCGTAGACGAGGAGAACGAGGCAGGATCGGGTCGTGAGGGGATGGGTCCAGACTCGACTTATGCCTCGGACTGACAATGCTTGCCTATTGCTTCATTACAGGTGTCTCTCCAGTAAAGCTTGGAGTTAACCATCTTTCTATTGAAATGCAACTTCTGCTTACGCCCGGTATCAGTTCCTATACCCTTGTTGGATAGCTTCCCAGATTTCTTTCTTTAACATACTGTCATTGTGCAGAGTGCTATTCATTCCCCACCTGCATGGTCCTGTCATTATCATTTTTCTACCCCAGGTGTTCCAGGAGTTACTGATTCTGGGATGTGGATGTCCATATTAATTAGTAGCAAGGCTAGGCTACGGCACCTTGGCACTGGAACGGCATCACTGGGTGTGGGGGACCGACCGCCTGCAACTTAGGAATGGTATGATATCATTTCTGACTACAGAGCTCCGTACAACATGAAGAGCAGCTCTCGCGTAACACTGCATTGATAAGATGCAACACAGGAGTATATGCCTCGTGCCAGACGTCCAGGGCTGGCAGGTCGCAGGGATGCTCCGGTCAGTTCTGATCGCCGGGAAGAAGCCAGATGTCATCCATTCCTTGCGCCAGGCCCTTGAATGCCAAATGCCCACACAGAGCATTCTAATTATCCTAATTATAAATAATCAAAGAGATGCACTCTGCGTGAGAACAGCCCTTAGTAAGCACCGAACAGTGGATGGATCACACCGCCCCAGTCAAGGCACTCCCTTGCTGTTTTTACGGGGTCGTTCAGTGGTCAGCATGGACGCCAAGCCAGCCCTGGACGCTGTAATAGTCCGGAGTAAAGAACAAACTGTCCTTATCGCGTGCCGCCTACTCGCGCTCCCTGCTTTAATTTCTCTTCATTCCTCTCTGTCTTTTCATTCTTTTCTTTGCTTTCTCTCCTAGAAGGACCAGGTTGGCCTGTGTCAGGTGCCAGTCTACCTCTTCACTTCTCTTTCTGGTCCTCTGCGCTCGCACCCGAATTACGCGGAGAGCGCCTTTCTCCCTCCTGGGAGCTATAGTTCCGATCCACCGCTTATCCTATCGCTTTGCGGCTTTCTCCAAGCAAACGATCGTTTGTCGCCATGCGGTCTTTTGCTTCTCTGGCTCTGGCCCTCCTGGGTGCCACATCAGTGGCCTCAGCTGCCGACGCAGAATCCGATGTCGTGTCTTTGACTAAGGACACGTTCTCTGATTTCATTAAGGAGCATGATCTGGTCCTTGCAGAGTTCTTCGCGCCTTGGTGTGGTCATTGCAAGGCTCTCGCTCCTGAATACGAGGTGGCTGCGACCGAGTTGAAGGAGAAGAACATCCCGCTTGTTAAGGTCGACTGCACGGAGGAGACGGATCTCTGCCATGAATATGGCGTCGAGGGCTATCCCACCCTGAAGATCTTCCGCGGCCTGGACAACATCAAGCCCTATGCCGGTGCCCGTAAATCCGGAGCGTAAGTCGGATCTCCATAGGCTCGAGGGGCGTTTCTTGCTAACGCTTTACAGAATTGTATCGTACATGGTCAAGCAGTCTCTCCCCGCAGTATCCTCGGTGACTGAGGAGAATCTCGAAGACTTCAAGACGATGGACAAAGTTGTTATTGTTGGATACATCTCTCCAGACGATAAGAAGGCCAACGAGACCTTCACGTCCTTGGCGGAATCACAAAGGGACACCTACCTCTTTGGTGCAAGCAACGATGCTGCTCTGGCCAAGGCCGAGGGCGTCAAGCAGCCTTCTATTGTGCTCTACAAGGAGTTTGACGAGAAGAAGGCCGTATATGATGGGAAATTCGACCAAGACTCTATCCTCAGCTGGGTCAAAACGGCAAGCACACCACTGGTTGGTGAGATTGGCCCCGAGACTTACTCTGGATACATTTCGGTATGTCTAGCAATTCTGGGCGAACTATTAGTCCCTTCACTTCAGTCTTTGGTGCCTTTTGCTGACTTGATGTCTTACAGGCTGGTATTCCCTTGGCCTACATTTTCGCCGAAACCCCAGAGGAGCGTGAGCAGTTCGCCGCCGACTTCAAGCCCATTGCCGAGAAGCACCGGGGTGCTATCAACATTGCCACTATCGATGCGAAAGCGTTCGGTGCTCATGCCGGTAATCTCAACCTTGACCCTTCTAAATTCCCCGCCTTTGCCATTCAGGATCCGCAGAAGAACCTGAAATACCCCTGGGATCAATCCAAGGAGGTTAATGCCAAGGAAATCGCCAAGTTCGTGCAGGATGTCTTGGATGGCAAGGTTGAGCCTAGCATCAAATCCGAGCCTATCCCGGAGACCCAGGAAGGTCCTGTCACCGTGGTCGTTGCGAACTCCTACCAGGATCTCGTCATCAACAATGACAAAGATGTCCTCCTTGAGTTCTATGCTCCTTGGTGTGGACACTGCAAGGCGTAAGTGCCGAGATCCCCTCCCCACCCCCCATTTTCGATATTAGCTCCATTGCTCACTGTCGGAACCTAGACTCGCTCCCAAGTACGAGGAGCTCGCCAAGCTCTACGCCGACCCTGAGCTTGCCTCCAAGGTCACGGTGGCCAAGATCGACGCTACTGCGAATGACATTCCCGACGCGATCCAGGGCTTCCCTACCATTAAGCTCTTCCCCGCTGGCGCGAAGGACTCGCCAATTGAGTACGCCGGGTCGAGGACTGTTGAAGACCTGGCCAACTTCATCAAGGAGAAGGGTACTTACAAGGTCGACGCATTCGCTGCTGGGGCCAAGAAGCCCGAGGAAGGCGGCGACGTGACCGCCCCTGCTTCCGTCCCGACTGAGACCAAGACTGCCGCCCCGTCGGCAAGTGAGGAAGCCAAGGAACACGATGAGTTGTGAAATAGGAACTGCAAGGCTGTGTATTTGTCTTTACTACCCTTTTTGGATTTGTCCTCCTCTTTGTTGACTGATTTGATCAAGGCATGGCCGATGTATTGGTAAAGAGAAGAAATGGGAACAACTTGTTTTTAAGGCCTGTGATAATGTGAGAGAAATGTGTGCTATTCCAACCTATCTCAGGTATCTATCTCAGGTATTATAATCAGTACCCGGTAGCAGTGACGCTCTTATATACAATAACTTGTCTGGAGATTTGTAATATATACAAGTCACTGTTCCTCTGGTGTGCTTGAGATGAAAAGAAGCACTGCCCTATTTTTGTCCTTACATGGTTCCTAAAAGAGGTAAGACTCCATTCCGGAAAATTAACACAGCAAGCAAAGGCAGGGAAAGAACTAGGTTCTTTATTGAAGACACCCCATCTTGGTCTTGGAGAAAGAAAGTCTTGAGAGGAAATGTACTAAACTAGATGTTATAGTACAGTGTCCTGATCAAGTCACTCGACTCGACAGGTGCCTTGAAAGTCACGAACGAATAAAGAAACCCTATTCCAAATACTTCAAACGCCACAAAAATAACAGCAAGGCATGGCGACCGAAAATCACAGTAGACGTGTACATACAGATAAGGGATTGAGTAGAAGTCAGATTATGCTCGTCAACCAAGCGAGTGCTTCGAGTCGAGCTCACTTCTTTTCGGATTCAGACTCTGTTTCCTTGGGTTTATCCAGGGAATCGTCATTCTTGCTTTTCAGGCTTTCTTCCGCTGCAACCAAGGCTTCAATGGCATCAAGGTCTTCTTCATCAGACACGGGATCATTTTTGTCCGCGTTTGTCGAAGCTGCTTGGCCGTTGGTCTTATCAGTGCCAGATGAAGACTGGTCTTTCTGGCCATTGGCAGAGACGGACATGTCCTTCTCAGCAGTTGCGGCGGTTGGACTCAGCACCGATTTGTTCGGTGTCAGACTCCAATCAATTCTGCCCTCTTCTCCATACCGTTCTGCAAGCCACTCGTTGCATTTCTTGAAATGGCCACAGGTAAACTGAACCAAGTAGAAGCGCGTCAGTACGTTGTACATCATACACGCCACGAAGCTTGATGGAGTCGAGAGAAGATCTACTTACAAATCCATTGCGTGCACTGAGCGGACTGGGATGAACAGACTGTAGAACGCAGTGTCTTTCTCTGTTGATGCCTGAAACCCGTTTTCCAGCCGGAGTGCCCCATGCCAAAAAGACTACGCCATGGGTGCGGACTCTGGCCACAGTATCGATAGCTTTCTGGGTAAATCGTTCCCAGCCCTTTCCGGAATGGCTATTGGCAGCGTGGGCACGAACTGTCAAGCATGTATTGAGCATCAGAACGCCACGTTCTGCCCAGGGCGTCAGAAGTCCGCCTCCGTTGGGAGGAGGCTCAAAGGACGGATAATCATTCTTGAGGGCAATGTAGATATTCTGGAGGGAAGGTGGAGCTCGCGTTGGAGGTCGCACTGAGAAGCAGAGACCATGGGCTTGATTGTAATTGTGGTATGGATCCTGCCCAATAATCACCGCCTTGACAGTATGGAGCGGCGTGTGTCGAGACCTTGGAGAGTTAGCACTTGTCCATCCACGCGCGAAGACGAGAAGTGATTGCTGTACCAAGAATAGATTTCACTTTCTGGAGGAAAGATGGTCACTCCCGACTCCTTCTCCTTCTTGAGGAAGCGCTTGAGGGACAGGAATTCCGGAGTCACAATCTCATCTTTGAGGTGAGCCAGCCAGCTCTCATGGAGAGTCTCAATCTCCAACTTGAGCAAGTCCTTCTGTTCTTCAGTTAAAGAGGCCACCCACTTCTCCTTATTGAACTTTGATGAAGGAGTAGACGCTGCAGCATCAGCTTTTGGTTTCGGGACTCCAAAAAACGAGGTAATGCTGCCGTTGGCCTTGGGCTTCTTGTTGTCGACTGCCGGACCGGACAGGTGGCTGGCATCGCGTTTGAGGGGTGTGCTGATTGCCATGTTGGAAAGACAAGGGACGGAGAGAACAAGATGGGATGAGAGTCTGGTGGTCTTTTGCAGCGCAGATAGGAGACGGTGTGGATGGCAACAGGAATAGAGCATGCACCTCCGGAGTGCAGCTCGCAAGGTCGGGGAATGGAGGCGACGAGAGTCAGGAGCTCAATAATAGGATGACACGCTAGAGCTAGAAAGTTACTAGCTAGCCATCCAGACGGCGACTCAGCTAGGTATCGTTCAGATCATTGCTCGCTCCTTGAGCGTGGAATCGATGTCTCTGTTATTGGCCTATGCCTTAAGGCCTTTCGTGGTTCGACGCGTCGGGAGCTGGACCGCGTCGACGCGTTCCGCGGCTCGGCTTCGTCCAGCCCTAAATAAATCCCTTTTGGGACGGATACCCAGGTACCGAACCTTAAGTAATAATACGGAGTAGGCAGGCCTACCTAACAGGCTAGCACGTTCCTTTGTACTCCGTACTCCGTGCATTCAGCGCATAAACTATCTACAGGCAGTTACGCCGCTCCTCCGTACTTTCTGCTTCGTCTGCTGGGCGGGAGAATAATATGTGGCGATCTTAAGCATTGGTGTCGGCTCCAATCCCAGGCTCGTTGGCACGGGGAACCAACGACTATCTAGCGAGCGCAGAACTCAAGCAGACGTGCCAATCGAAGTAGGCCTTCAATCGCGCTCTTCCCAGACTGGATGCAAGTTGAGAGCCCTGTCTCCTGCTGAAGAACGGGTGTTCTGAGGAAGAACGCTGGCGGCCGCGTGGCACAGACACCAAGCAGTGCCGACCCGGGCTAAGCGAGTTAAACTGGGCATGCTCCGTCCCAAGGGCGGGGATGGCGGCCTCCAGCGGTCGCGGCACGGCCTGCCCGCGCGGCCCATCGGCCAATTGCAGGAGCCGTGGCAGCGTCCACCCGGGCCGCCATCGCTTTAGCTGTTAGAGACTTGTGATTCATGCTCGATTTGGGGCCGTGGCCTTGAACTCAAACGAGCACGGAGTAGATAATGGTGCTAGTATTCGGGATTGATTTGCAGCACTCCTGACTTTTCAAGGCAAGGCTGCATTGCAATCCGGCCTGTTCTTGCGCAGTCAAATTCCAGCAGGGGCCGTCTTCGGACTCGTTATATATATTGTCTAGATCCGAGAGAACGTGCCCCGTATCTTCACCGGCTTTGCCAACATGTGTAAGGGCCCGATCTAACAGTCTCTTCTACCAGCACGACGCTAACTTGAAACCCGGACGTGCAGCTCATTTCGTTTTCTTCTGACCTATTTTGCGGTCACGCGTCCCTGTTTTTGCTGGCGATGAGTCTGTAGACAATGATTGTATGGTTCGACATGCAATCACACTGGACTCAATGGAAGGAACGGAAGAAGTGCACACTCGATTCCTACGACTGCACCCGAGCTAGATTTCTTGCGAACAGCATTCCCGGAATTTTCGAAGCCTAGGCGTCGCTAAGTGGAGTTGACAACACCAAGATGCCAGCCATACCGAGTGAAGAAGAATGGCTGGAAGCAATGGCCAGAGCCCGTGAAGAAGCAGACCGGGCTGAGTCAGTAGATCTAGAAGCCTGCAATCCTCCCATTCACCCTGTTCCCCAATTGCAAGGTCCTTTTGAGGAGTCTATCATCGAATCTTACGATGATGCACGGAACGATGGGATAGTGGAAATAGACGCGCAAACTCGACGCGACCAGGTGCTGGCAGACCAGGAGTATGAACGCCTCTGTGGCAGGCGATGGCGCCAGAAACCAGGTGAAAGGCAAGATGTGAATTTAGCCCAACAATAACTACGAAGAAAGCACTAACCATCGCGACTTGAAGGTACCATCCGCTATGGAAGATCATTGCTCAGATCACTTTCGGCATGCATCTTCTGGCCAAAGGACTAGCCAAGTCGGAATCGGATGTCTTGAAAATTCTCCAGTCCCATGTGGCCGAATTCGATGGCTTTATTGAGAGGACAACGGAAGACTTTGTTCTCGCCCGCAACGACATCCGGGAACGTCTGAAGTTCCTCAGACTGCCCCTTGAGAACCTTGATGTGTTCGATGGGATGCTCGAAGACCGCTGGTTTCGGCGCACAGTCATCGAGGATAACGAAAGGATCGAGCATATTATCGAACGGTCTGCAGCAGCCATGAACGATTCCTTCAAAGACATAAAAAAGGGCATCGACTCCGTCCACGCGCTTCGGAATTATCTCGAAGAACTGGGGAAGGAATGGGATAACCGACCTCGCAATCTTGACGCCGTGTACGAAGCAATGATTGGAAATGTGGATGGGTGGGAGCGAGAATTCGATAGGCTCCAGAAGAAAGGGTATAGTCTTGCGTTTTCCTTGGCTCAGCTGAGCAAGATGGTCTCGGAGATGCAGCGGCGAGTGGGTGTGGCTAGTAGAAAGAGTGTGGTTCGTATTAAAAAAAAAGCACCGTCAAGAACAGTTGCTGGAGCAATATCAATTCTGACGTTGAAACAGATCTTCCATACCCCAAATACCAGCAGAGAATCGCGGGCTAGATCTCATGCTTTTCGAAAGCTGTCTGGCGGAACATCGAACCGCTCAGTCTCCGAAAAACCCCTTCCTAGTTATCCCCAGACCCTCAATCCTGCCATTGCAGAGGCTGTTCCGCCGCAAGTTCTGGAAGAGAAGTTGCGACCCAGATTTCCAGTTGTCAAAGATGATGCAACTTCATCTGTTCAGCGTGACGCGGTTCCAAATCGCACAAGATCTCTCAGTGACACTAGCCGCCAACGTAGAGCTTCTGTCGAGTTGCCTCTCTCCCAAAAGACTACAACAGTCATGGGAAGCCGAGCCAGCAGGATTACAAGGGAGAATTCTTATCCTGACGATATGCCCGCAGCAACGACAACTCGACCTGCGTCTGCGCCTTCTGTCTCACACGAAGCTCGCAGACATTCATCAAGCGAATTGGAAACGAATGTGGCGCAAGGGAAATCGCCTTTCAGAATGGCTTTAGAGCCATTTGTCCAACTTGAAAAAAGAAAGTTTTCGGCGCCGACAACCCGGGAGGATAGGCGAGTTAATAAACTGTTGCACCGGTCCAAGTCGAGAACTTTCGACCTTTTTGGGCTTTCAGGTACCAAGGAACAAGTCAGAGAACGCCCACAATCTGGCTGGAAGTGCAAGCAATTCGGAATTTTCCGTTCAAAGCCTTCCACTGATCTAGCTGGAACTGCCCAATGGTCCGATTCCGAGCGGGGAGAAACGAAGCATCCGACCACCCTAGACCACCATATGACATGGACTGGCATGCACGAGACATACACGTTCAAACCTAGCCCCAGCGACTCGCCCCAATTTCCACATCTTATCTTTGTTGTGGACTCACCCGATCAAGACTATCTCGAGGAAGAATTGAAAGACGATAGCAGCATAGATGACGAGGGCGAATCGCGACTCACAGCACTGCCATCTTTAGGTCCCCCATTGGTAGGCCTGGAGGATGATTCTACTGGTCTACCATCAGGGAACCCTATCCGTGATGAGTCTACCAGTGGCCCGGGCTCGGATGCTCAATTAGCCTCGTCGAAATATAGCAATATCAAGAATCAGAATTCTGATTTTTTCAAGATATCCAATTTCAGGGTGTTCCCAAACCGAGGCTCAGCTCTCGAACTGTCAGACTCTATTCCAAGAACCGGGAGCAATGGACATCATGTCGTCCATCAAAATCGTCATTGGCCGGTCAAGAAGCCATCTTTATTCTCCCTCCGTTCCTCGAGGAAAGGATCTGAGGCTCAGAGCTCAGTTTCTGCTGAGTCCAGCATGTCAGATCTTCGATCCAAGCCACCGTCGGCCGGAGTGACTCCTCCAGGTCTCTGGTCGACTCAGGCAAGAATACCTTCTTCGATTGATGAATGCCCATCTCCCAGATCTCTGAAGCCACTCGAGAGTGAAAGCAGTCGAGCAAGACTTGGACTTGGGATCAATATCGGTATAAGATGTGATCCTGATGACCTCTACAGCCCTGCGAGCCCGCCACCCCCGGGTCCTGGTGGAAGAGTCATGGTCTCCCCAAACTACGGGGCCGAAACTGCTTTGAAGGGCGAGAAACACGAGAAATACACTAAATTCCGCACAGCAATTGATGCAGGAGCCCGGCGTCTTTTATCACCGAAGCGGAGTCTGAAGAAGTTGCTTCATGGCGCATCACTAAAGGAAACAACCTGCATCAACAACAATACAACAAGCGAGGATCGTAGTGAGATTCAGGACCAGCCCCACAATGTCGACCGGACAGCCAAGCCGTCGCGGATCAAAATCCGTGGTGGATCTACGAATGGCATTGACGATGAAAAGTTCCACTATCACGGTATGGAGAAGGATGGCACCTGGGTCACGCGATAATCAAGCCGATGAGGTTGAGTGGCAAGAGTGTCATTCTCTTTCCTTCCCAGGTTACTGCCAGGGTTTATTATTGTTTATATCGGGATATATACTCTCTGCCCATACGGTGGTAATGTATACATATGAAGCGAAATCACAGCGGCCAAAGACGCCCCCACCGAGTTCGCTTAGAGGCTTCTGTATGTGAAACTTGATCACTGTGACAAAGCGGTCTGGTCTCTTTTTTTATTGTCATAGATTCAGAAATAGACGATAATGTCTAGTAAACCAACCGACGTTATTCGTACAGTACATTTAACTTTATAAGGACCAACCCGATATTCTGTCCCTTAAGCGGTTTTCTTAACCTTTTTTTTTCGCCCTCCAGTATTTTGAATTAGAAAGCTCCTCCCATTATAAGCTGACTCCGACTCGGAAAGCACCGGGTTGCTCTCAAACTAGATGGTCAAAAGAACAGGGGGAAAGAGGACAAGCAATCATTTGCACCGCTTCTCCACGATGTTGGCACCGTGTTCATCGTACTCCTTCTTCGATATCCACATCTGGTGGAACGCACCCAAGCTCGCCAAGATGCTTCCTCCAATCCAGGAGCCAAACCTTCTCTCGGCGGTGTTTCCTGGAGCAGATATTCGCACCCTTGGGCTCGGGAAGCTCTGCATCAGCTCCTGGCTCAGACGATCGTTGAAACCATAAAGGAGGCTGGATGCACCGGTGACAACAACATTGGCCAACAGATGCGGCCGGATATCAACATCCACCCCATTGAGGGCACTCTTGATGAGCTCCGGAATCGTCTGAGCCTGGGTTGGTGCTGCAAAGTCGGATCCCGGGTCAGGAATAGCTGCCTTTGCGTCGAACAGCGATTCAACCACGCGATAACGATCAACCCCGAACACCTGATTGTATCCATCAGGGAATTCAAAAGGTCGTCCAGGACTGCTCTTGGCCAACTCTTCATTGGACACGCCATTTGGACCTACGGAAGAGAGTTTGTTCGGACCTGGCCATACTTGCACAACACACTCCTTGAACTCCGTCAAGGTCCGCTCTTCGAGCAACGTACGGTATGACGCGTCGGGCGCTTTATCTGGTGGAAATGTCTTGTACGTTGCTTGAGGGGGTTGACCGGCCTCAACGGGAGTCTTCGAGGCGACGAGATAGTGAGGGGTAATAGTAATCGGCTGTGGGGAGTTGTTCTTGAACATGGCACGGATCTGTGAGGAGATATAGTCGCCACCGAGAGGAGAATGTTGAACACCTCGCTTCAATACCATGCCATCATGGACAGGCGTTACAGACACATTTGAGGCGCCAACATCGACGACCAGAGCAGAGGCCTTTCCGGCCGCAAAACTATAAAAGTAGTGTCAGCAGTGGCCAGGGGGGAAAAAAACACCCGCTTCTTATACGCACGCTGCTAGGACCCCGTTCTTTGCAAGATAAAAGGCCGGCGTTCCCCAACTCTCCATCGCGATTTCAATAGTCTTTTCGCGCGCTTTTGTAGGATTCCAACCACATTCCGACATAAGAAGAGGACTATCCGCGAGAGGTTTCTCTTCTGTCTCGACCCCTTCCATCTCCGTGGGCAATTCGCCCTCTGGTACTTCATTCAGCCCGTTCAGCAACGGATTTTGTGGCTTTGCCCCTATCAGTCTTGATTTAAACGAGTATTCCCACAATTTTTCTGCCATTTCCCAATCTTCGACCACTCCATCTCGACCTATCGGATTATGGATCGAGAGCCCCGGTCTAGGAGTGACGAAGATATCGTCGCCAAAGATGTACTTCTCCGTGTCCGTAGAATATTTTCCATAGTATGTCGGAACGACGGACTTGGGAGTATCTTCGCCCGCGAAGCCAGCACGCGTCGTCGAGTATCCCGGGTCTAACACGATGGCCGACACCTCATCTATTTACCATTCTAGTCAGTTGCAAGACGTACCGAACAATGCGACTCCAGCGAGACTTTGGAGATCACAAAGTCAAAATCACTGATCGCAAATAGTTGGGTACTAACCTCCGCCGTATTCAGTGGTCGAGGGTGGTATTGAAGGATTCATATTGACCGATGAGTGAACTGTCTTTCAAGGCACACCAAGGACCGCTAACCACTTGACCGAGAAATCCGTGCAGTTCAAAGAGGCAGACAGTACATGGCAATGTTCCCAGAAAATCCGCGACTGCGAAGCAATAGCGAAGACGGATCTTCTGGATGGAGACAGGTGGCGATCAAGTGGATGTTGCAAACATGGACGTTTCGCGGTGTCGGCAACTATTTTGCAGGAATCCGGACCTGCAAGGCGACGGAGAGCTTTCAGCGGGTGCCGGTCTCAGCCAACGGAGTCAGTCCAGCCACCTCACGTTCTGAACCGCCACAATAGGTCACCTCTCCGTTTACACTTTGCGCAACAACCAAGATCGCGTCACTTTGGAGATGGAGACAGATGTTGGTCAGCCGTCCGAAATTCTCTTTCGGCCTGTGAAGAGGCAGAAATTTCTACGGAGGCGCGCAGAAGACGACACGGGGGACCTCGAGGTAGATAATCCCAGCAGGTCAACGCCAGATCCCGACCAACAAAGCGCAGTTGGGACGAAGAATGCGGCCTCCACGTCGCAGGACGACGATGGAGATAGCAGAGATGAAGCCTCCAACATAGTGCGCCTTCGGAAACCTCACCGAGTCCGACGAGGCGGTATCGAGTTCTCTACAGCTAGCAAACAGAGGACCAACGGTGATCTCGTGGCCCATACAGAGATGTCAGCCGAAGACGTAGAAGGAGAAATGATCCGAGCCAAGTTTGATCGGTTTACCGCGCATACGGGGCAAAAGGTTGATGTTGACAAACATATGTACGGGCTCCATCTCCGCGGTTACAGATGCTTTCCCAGTTGTGACGGGGACTAACAAGATAAGGATGGAATATATAGAGTCAGAGCTGGCTAAGCGTTATCACTGCAACCAAACGACAGAAGAACCCACTCCAAGTGCTCATGCCGCAGATGAGACTACGAATCGACAATCGGACTCCCAGTTCCCACAGCGTGAGCCCGCCGCATTGGGGAAGCTCCATGAAATTGATCTTGGACAGGAGGCAAAACTGCAGAATATCGCCAGAACAGAAGCTGCGACAAGGCGACTGGCTGGCAATAAGTCTCCATCGCCAGAAGAAGAGGCGCCGTCGAAGAAGACGCGCTTGGGTAAGGACGGGAAGCCGTGGCGCAGCCGGAGGCGACGAAATAGTGAGGACATTGAACGCGATAGACTTGTGGAAGAAGTTCTGCGGGAAAGCAAACGTAAGCCCATTGCCCCTGCTCTATGCTCTCTGGGAGCTTTCCGCTAACTGTCCGTCAGTGGAAGTGTACGACGAACCCGAGGAGGACAAAACGCAGGACGATCAGGCCGCCGATGATCGCATTGCAGAACAGTTCCGACGAGACTTTTTGGAAGCGATACAGAGTCGTCGTCGTGCAGCACGACCCCGGAATAAAGCCAGCAAGTCCGATGCGCCTCGCGGACCCAAACTTGGCGGTAGTCGGAGTGCTCGAGCCGCCATGCGGGAGATGCAAGGGAAGTCGGGCCAGAAATGACATTGCTTTGCCATCTTCTTACAGTATCCGAGGATCAAATATGATCAGATTATTGGGCTGTTGCTTTGCGCAACCGTCATCTTGAGACGAGGACACGTGTACATGCACATGGGCATGGGTACTTCAGCCTGGAACAGTTGTCATTCACAAGGTTACTCGGTCAGGTCGATAACGGGAGCTCTTTACTTGGTTTTATATTTGAAAACAGGCAAAATATGTCACTAATGGCAACCGGTAATTGTCGCATGATTGTGAGCCACTGATGTCAATTCTATATCAACTTTTGCAAGCCTACCATGCAATTCCCAACTATCTATGTACGTATGTACAGACAGACAGACAGAGAGGCTGCCGGTGTCATGACAATGTACAGTACAGTATATTGGCTAACGGGACATCTGGAGGGTCTGGTTTGAACAAATCAAGGGTCCGATCCATATATATACACGTGACGCGACTTGTAAGAAGAACAGATGAAGAGCTCTAATACCCATGCTGCTAGTATGTCCAGATTTATCTGCATGTACTACTGGGCCACAGTAAGGTACTAAGAGTCCTCTTTGCCCAAGGCCCCTCCGTCGTTCCGATCTGTCGAGTTGGGGGTGGCTGTGAAGATCGTGTCTTTCCAGATCTGCACGGAGCATTTGTAGATGATGATACGCAACAACAGACCAGTCCCATGGGCCGCTATGCAGGTGATCGGTCTATCTTTTGTATGGTGGTCGCCTAGGTTAGTGAGATCTCAGCCTTTGTGAAATCGAGTATAGAGAGCCTGGGCCTCCTTGGGCAGGCAACCCCCGTTGTGGACTGCGTCGGTACCGCTGATTATCAGATTGGGCTACGCTGTACACTGCATAGCTCCGCATTCCTAGTTGCAGGCGAAAACATCAGTCTAGACCAGTCGAAGCAACGAGGACAACAGCACTGCGGACTTTGCCGAGACAACTTTATTTATAGATTGGCATGGGTCACACCAGAGGCTCTCATTCGAAATTCGAATACTGTGGCACCCGCGATGCCACCCCAGGCTCCATCAAGCACGAGCAATCTGTTGTGAGTGGGATTCCGGTGGTATGTCGTTGCCCCAGAAGCTCGCATAGGCATAGGGTAGGTCTTATTAGCCAAATTAAGTCGTTTGACGATGGCCTTCCTAGGGGATTGACGCGGCTCGTGGTTGGCCATCCTGCTGGTGGGGAGGATAATATTGCGCGCACCTAAGGCACGGTTAAAACGTACGGGCCACTCAGACGGCCCAGGATGCTGGACCGCGCAAGACAGTGGGCATTGTGGCGCGCCGGCTAAGTTGATGAATGGCATGGACGGTGGCCGGCAAGTTCCTTCATTCAATTCAAATCACGGTGTCATGTCAACTGCCACCCCCGAGGGCACTGTGCAGCTGGAGCGTTGGCAGACAGCTCTGAATCTGCCGGGCATGTCGCTGCGGGCGGCCTGGGCAGCCGTCAGGTATGAAGCGATGTGGCTGTGGCCGGTCTCGCGGGCAGCCCCACGGGCACCAAGTCGCTGTTCGAATAATCGAATCAGGCCCAGCGCCCTGAGACACCGGTCCGGTCGAGACGGTCCAGAATCCGGCCCAGTCGCAGCTAGTCGACGGACAAGCATAGCGCGTCCTGCCTGGCGCCAGGCACAGGGGCGGCTGCCGGCCGCGAACCGCCCGCCGCCCGCCCACGGTTCCAGCCCGCCGTCACGACTGCTTCGCATCATGATTATTATTTCCCCATCTCAGTCAGTTCGGTCACGGAGCGTTTCTCTCCTTCCACTCGCTGCCCTCTGCCTCTCCCAGTCGTTCGTTTCCAGTCTGTCATCCTCACTCGTTTGACTTCATGTCTCTCGACCGATTTCTCTGCCTGGTTCGTGGTGCTTCTCGCATGGCATAACCGAACCGTTCCCGTCCACGAATCTCTCTCCTTTTCCTGCTCTCTGTTGTAATCCTCTTGTTTTCTGTTCTCGGTCGTCCATTCCATCCAGGTTGATCCTGTTCTTTTTTTTTTCCCCCTTTTTCATGGTCTGACTGAACTGTTGAGAACGTCCATCTAAGATTATTTAATTTGTCTTTTCGCCCCCACTTTTTTCTTCGAAAATTACGGTATCCGGCCCGCTACGAAGCCTGCTGGACCATAGTTTTGACTGCCACCTTTGTTTTCACACGCGTCATTGGATTTTACCGACCTGCGCTCCTAGCCCGCTAACCGACGCCCCTCGAGTGTGTCATCTCGGCAAACGAACCAGGAGAAGACGCTGATATTTGTTGATCGGAGAACACATCTGTCGCGATGCGGATAAACCCATGGTCTGCGGCGGTATGCGCCGCAGCGGGCTTTTTGCCGGCGCAGATTCTCGCTGCCGACATCCTCAAAACAAATGGCTATACAGTATGCTCGGCGCATTCAACAGTCCAGGTGCAGAGATTCAACATTGAATATGACCGCACCACCCAGAAGCTCACCTTCGATGTCGCTGGCACCAGCGACAAGGTGCAGAATGTGACCGCCTCGCTTTACGTCTCTGCCTATGGAAGACAAGTCTACCAGAAAGATTTTGATCCGTGTGCGCCAGACACCAAGGTTGACCAGCTCTGTCCAGGTACGTCAATCGTATTCACCTAGCTCTCATGCACTGACTGACCTGGGCCTTTCTGCCCCTCTCTAGTTCCCGCCGGTAACTTTGCCGCTCAGGGCGTGCAGACCATCCCTTCTGAGTATGCCGATATGATCCCAGCAATCGCCTTCTCTATCCCCGACTTGGAGGGGCAAGCGAAACTAGAACTGAAGTCTCAGGATGGCGGAGCGAACGTTGCCTGTATTGAGTCAGGCGTCAGCAATGGGAGAACCGCCCAGGTTCCTGCTGTGTCCTATGCAGCGGTTGGTATAGCTGGTGCAGCTCTCGCAATGAGCGGTCTGTCTGCCATGGGTGTCGTGGCACATCCTGGGGCGGCATCAGCAAGTCCTGGGTTCGGTGATGTGATGGGGTGGTTCCATTCCGTGGCGACTAGCGGCATGCTGAGCGTGGATTACCCATCGGTGTACCGAAGCTTCACCTCGAATTTTGGCTTCAGTACCGGTCTCATCCCGTGGGGTCAAATGCAGATCTCAATCGATAATTTCCGAAACATGACTGGCGGTAATCTCACGGATGATAGCTATCAATACCTCCGGAACGCGACGCTCGTGTACGATGATGGATCGTCCAATTCAAGCTCGGTCACAAAGCGTGCTTTGGACCTGTTTCTGGGTCGCTCTCGCCTGCTTGCTCGAGACATCTCGACTTCAGTCAATGGGACCGGAAACGTCTCGGACGCTGGCGATAGTAGCAGTTTCGAACACGTCGTCCACGGCATTCAGGCCTACGCTGAACAGCTCTCGATTCCTCAGGCGAACACGTTCATGACCATCTTGCTGTTCTTTGCTATTGTCATTGCCGCCATCGTTGTGGGAATCTTGCTGTGTAAGGTCGTCCTCGAGGTCTGGGCCCTCTATGGCAATCTCCCCTCCAGTCTCTCCGACTTCCGGCAACACTATTGGAGCCTATTGGCACGAACCATCACCAACTTGATCCTGATCGTGTACGGTATCTGGACGCTTTACTGCATTTACCAGTTCACGCGTGGCGATTCGTGGGCGGCAAAACTTCTGGCAGCCGTCACTCTCGCCATTTTCACCGGTGTTCTGGTCTTTTTCACAGTGCGAATTGCGCAATTGGCTCGCCGTTATAGAAACGCAAAAGGTGACCCGTCTATCTTGTACGAAGACATGGAAGTCTGGCGCAAGTACAGCCTTTTTTACGACTCCTACAAGAGAGACTATTGGTGGCTGTTCGTACCAGCTATTGTCTACATGTTTGTCCGAGGCTGCATCATTGCGGCAGGTGAAGGCCACGGGCTCTTCCAGACTGGCGGTCAATTAATTGTCGAAGCCCTGATGTTGATCCTCCTTTTGTGGAGTCGGCCGTATGTGGCCAAATCTAGCCAATGGATCAACATCACCATCCAGGTTGTCCGGGTTCTCTCGGTTGCTTGTATCTTGGTCTTTGTCCAAGAATTGGGGATATCACAGACCACCAAAACCATCACTGGCATTGTCTTGATCGCCATACAGTCCACCCTCACGGGGTTGCTGGCAATTCTCATTGCGGTCAATGCCATCATCACCTGCATCAGAGAGAATCCGCACATGAAACGCATGAAACGTGGTAAGCTGATGAAACCTCAAAAGTCTTTCGTCTCAGTCTGAGGAGTCCTTCTTGACTAACACGCGATGCAGAGAAAATGAATCAAGATTTGGACAACCTTACACCTCTTGATGCACGGAACTCGCTGCTCATGGATGGCCCACGCCCCCGGGGTGATATGCAGGAGATGAGCAAGTTCAACATGACCGGACCCTATGAACCTTATCGGCATCAGGCTCTTCCAAAGAAGGGGCATGAGAGTACGGAGCGATTGATTCCAGATGACTCGTTCGATCATCATCATCACCAGCATACCAGAAGCTTGAGTGGAGGTCGTAGTCCAACTCCTGAGGATTACAGTCACCCCCCTCACACCTACGGTGTCGCATATTGAAATCACTTTTGGCTAGTCCACGTGGGACTTTTTTTTTGGCTTCTGCTCGCATGAACATGGACAGAGTTCTTGTTGGGAAAGTTTGCCCTGCATATCTTTATTTATTAGCGTTATTAAAGTTATTGCTGTTCACTCAGGTATCCAGCATTATTTTTTATCTTGTCTTGTTGATAGTGGTATTTGATCGACTGGTTAATTGGTTGAATGTTTCCCGGAAGCATTTTGGCCCTTTCCTCTTACCTTCATTTGTAAATGTTTTTGCAGTTATACATTTATATCTTTTTTCTTACCTCTCGCGTCTCTCTTGCGTGCCAAAAAAAAAAGTTTACAAAAAATAAAACACGACCTTGGTTTGCATTACGATTGTCCAGGATAGACCAACCAATCTTTGGAATTTTCAAACTGTTGATTGATAAAGAGAACATGTGAGAAGACTTCCACGCCTATTCTTGTCTTGCCTATCTACAGACTGGGGTATATATCTGATACGCCAAAATTAACAGAGCTCGACACTGCATTGCCGAACCCTCGGAAAGGAGGGCATAGCTGAACCGAGTGAAGGCTATATAATATACATCTAACCCAATAATTATTAGATTGAATGTCATAGTCCCCTGACATTAACCCATTGGCAGAAAAAAGAGTAGTTTTTGGAAAGGCAAATTATTTTTTTCTTCCATATTTTATCTTCAAGACAGACGTATGCAGAGGTCTCGCTGGGAAATAAAAAGGAAGACTCTGCTATATTATAAAATACCATTTTTCTTTCCTCCAGACACTTACAAGTGCCACGACGAGGCACGCTTATATCTATGTATGGATGTACTGTACATACAGTAACAAATGCGGAATAACGCTAAGGTCATATGCATACATGGAGTCGATATCGTACCTGTGAGCTATGCGATGTCACGCTGGACACAGCTATGAACAAAGGATTCGAAAATAAGTAGTAGAAGGACATAGGTCTTGTCATCTGGTTCTGTGACATCAATGCCGTTGTTCTCTCACTCTCCCTCGATTCCTCAAAACATCGTATTCGATCCATCTTGAAACATTACGCCTACCCTCTGGCAGTAATCTCCCTGGATTCATCACGTGGCAGCCTTCATAAGTGACCGCAAACGGTGGCATCTCAGCATCGGCAAGTATAAACGCGGTGGGCAATGGGTATAGCTGTAGAGAGGAAGCATAATCCCACAATACCGGTCTCGAGCTGAGCGGGAAAGGAGACATATGGCCTTGATCCAAGATCGTCTTCACTAATTTCCTGGCCGAAAGTATTGTATGCGATGGATTGCTTCCATTCCCTTGATTCCCCTCCCGAGAGTCTGCACGAACTTGCTTTTCATCGACAAGGCCTTGATCCAATGTAGTATCTCTTGATGCGTTTTCATGAGGCCGACCCTGCCCTTCGACTGATGTTATTACATCAAATCCACTTGTCTCTTTAGTCGAATTCACAGCACTGCGTCTCAATCGTCCAGAAATGTCATCACGAAACACGACGATCTCGTGAACCGGACCGAAGAGACACAGTCGCGAGGGATTTGATGTCCAAATAGCTTCACCAGGAACGGACTTAGGGGATGACTTCTCTGCATCATTATTAGCCACTGAAAATGCTCGTTTCACCCTCGAAGTAAACAGCTCTGGAATAGCCTCGCGTGGGATGGCGGTTGCAGCACCGGCCGAGAAGGTAGACGCCCAGGGATCGTTATCGCCTGGAACAAAGACGAATGTTGAATGTCGCAGTAGTGAAGGAAACTCCGATAGCACATGAGCGAGTGTGTCAAAGTACTCTTTATACGCGATGCTGTTTCCACGACCGCCTTCACCAATCATGGCATTCTCAACGAAATTCCCAATCATGAAGAAAACAAGAGGCAGCTCTTCCAAGGGTAAGTCACTGTAGGATTTGAAAACATTTTTCAACGCCTCAAAGGTGTTCACATTGTCAAGATTCACCTCACTCATGATGACCATAGTTCTTCGACCAGCTTTCTGCTTATCGGGCTGCTCTTGTCTTAGATATTTTGCCTCGAGTCTTCTCATACGAGGGCCTTGAGCGCGTTCGCTTCCAACCCCAAGAAAGTCAACCCAGCCAAATCCGCCGGTTGCGCCGACGTCTCCATTTGACTGAGGATTGCTCATCCCAAGGGTCACCTCTCGTCTTTCACATGGCGGACCCGCGATTGAGATTCCTACAAATTTGCCACCTATTGTCCCTCCAACTCCGCCATTGCCTCCTAGAGCCGACCTTCTGATATTTTCCTCCTCTTCGTATATACCATCCACAAGGACAATCATCCCCGGTGTAAACCATGCTCCATTTTCGGGAACTGACTGGGCATGTGTCAGGTCCAATACAACGCTCCCAGTCAAGTCTGTAAGAGATAGCTCTCCAGCAGGCGAGATAGAGAGGAGACCAAGTAATAAGTGGGATGTGCCGTTTCTTCCTAATAAGTTCGCGATGGGAGTTAACTTGTAGGACTGTCGTGCTGAAGATGGCAATACCGAGGAATCGTCATATCTGCCGAAAATAGGCGCTTGGAATGATTCATTGCGCAATAATCGCTGATAGACAAGATTATATCGGTCTCTTAACATGGCGATCTGATGGGAAGGATCTGGAAATAATGAAGGACTGGATGTTGACGCTTCGAAGTGTTTCTTGTTGGCGTTGTATACCAAGCGTGGTTGCTCAAATGCGCTGACAATTGTGATCCAACCTCTTGGATCTTTCGAATGTGAGTCATTTTTCTCTTCGTCGTCTTCAAAAGGATCTTTGCTGCTGCGCTCTGTAAATCCGCTGACCCCGCTCTCCGAAGCATCATGTCCTTGTGAACGCCCCGAGGCATCTTCCCGATCTGAAACTTTCCCGACAATTCTGCCACCGACCATATTACTCTCCAATGCCTGCAGAATTGATTTAATAGAAGCTCCATTGCCTTCCTCTACGATGACTCCGCCGCCACTCTTCCTCCACATTTTTGCTACCTCGTCCAATACCCGTTCGGCCAGGCCCTCTTCGCGCCATCCTGAGCCGCAATTTTTGCCAATAAAAGTGGCCAGAAGCTGAAGTGTGCTGGATGTGATGGTAAGGTTGTGTTTTCTGGTAAAAGTCCGAAAGGCCACAGGTCGAAGAGTAGATGGTGGCAGAAGAATAGGCAGTATCGATGCTTTACCAGCAAGCGAGGTTGGCTTGCCGACTCGGATTGGCCGTGCCGGAGGCGTCCCAAAAGCTGGAGATGAAGAAGGAGCTGTGTCCGGTACTGCAGCATTTTTAGAAGGAAGTGAGATATTCGGTGTGCTAGATGATGCTCGTGAGTTATCCATCCTGCTGAAGCTAAACTTCAGCAATGGAAAGATTTAAAGGAGCCTTTGGGAGTAAGACAAACGTTTTCAGATGAGAACAAGAAAACACAACAAAAAAGATATTGATACTGGTGTAACAATTTGTTAAGGCACACAAATTAACATTATAGTAGGAGGTGATGAAATGCTTTCTGTTTCTCGAGTCTTGACATGAGCTCCTCGGACCTGCAACATAACGCGTCCCCCGCGTCATGTAGACGCGCTACACCCGGTCACCTCTCAATTAGGTAAAGTAATTAAGTAGGTACCCGCGTCAGTGTCATTCTTGTCATCATTTCCACCACTCCGGGACCAAAGAGGATTTGAGATATCATCAAGCGTACTCACCCATTCGCTATAATTTACCGTCCTCTTCTCTTGTTTGGAATCCTATACACTGTCACCCCGAAGGTCAAGGCCAATTTAATCGCATTTTCTGGGAACATGAGCTCCCCGAAAGAGAGCCCTGAGCAACTTCGGGCGCGTTTAGCAGATCTTACCGCCCGTGCTGCGGCAAAAGATGCTGTGAAAGATTTCAATGCTGCCGCTGAGCTATACTCTCAAGCCACTGAGCTCCAAGCCGAACTGAATGGGGAAATGTCCGTGGACAACGCTGACCTTCTCTACGCTTATGGCAGATCTCTTTACAATGTTGCCGTAAGCAAAAGTGATGTCCTTGGCTCTAAGATCCCAGGGGACCAGGCGCTCGCCGAAAATGCGACATCTTCCGGCTCAACGTCTACGAACGAAGGACTCATCAAGAACGCTATTGCCAGTTCCGCATCGAAAAGTGCATTTGAAACAACGGAGCAGGTGCAAACAAAATCGCAAATAAATCAGCAATATTTTCAATTCACAGGCGACGAGAATTTCGACGACTCGGACTCCGAGGAGGGGGAGGATGAAGCGGACAAGGAAGAAGATGACGATGATTTTGCCAACGCTTTCGAAGTACTGGACTTGGCACGCGTTCTTCTCTTGAAAAAGTTGGATGGAATGGAGAATAAAAAAGATGAGAAGGGGAAGTTGGCGGAGATGCCATTTGACATTAGACACATCAAGGAACGACTTGCAGATATCTATGATCTACAGGCCGAAATCTCATTGGAAGGCGAAAGGTTCACGGATGCCGTTACCGATCTCAGGACAGCCCTCGAGCTAAAGGAAGCACTTTTCCCTCTGGAGGATCCTTCAGTTGCAGAGTGTCACTACAAGCTCTCTCTTGCTCTTGAGTTCGCCTCTGTCACAAAGCAAGAAGATGGGGGTGAGCCATCTAAAGCTGGCAAGACTGCCAGAGTTGATACTGCTATGAGGGACGAGGCAGCGAAGCATATGGAAATTGCTATTGAAAGTTGCAAAATTAGAATGACACAAGAGGAGCAAAAGCTGAACAATGGCGAAATAACAGAGGAGGATAAAGTGAATGCCGCAAGACGAAAGATTGCCAATGTTAAGGAAATTGTCGCGGACATGGAACAACGAGTGAGTTTCTTACTTTTCAGTTGTGCAGCGGTTCTCTAGACTTTTCTTTTGCTAACAGCTTTGCCCTATATGTAGCTTGTTGACCTTCGACAGCCTCTGGTCTCAATTAACGATCCTAGTCAGAATGCTGACAATACAGTAAACGGCATTCTCGGGCAAATTATGGGGAAGACGCCCGAAGAACAAAATGCACGCCTGGATGAGGTCGCGAAGAATGCCAATGACCTATCCGCACTGGTAAGAAAGAAGGCTCCATCCGATCCCGCGCACAGGAAACGTCCACACGAAAGCAGTGAGCAGGGAGAAAGTGTGAAACGGGCTAGAGCGGAAGATGCTTCTTGATGTTTCTAGACCACATATCCTTCCTGCTGCACTCGAAATTTCCAGCGCCGAAGGAGGCAATTATGTTGTGCGGTCAGGCCAGGAATTGATGATACCCAGGGCAGAACTATTTTAATGGGGGATTTTGTGAATTTAGCTAGGAGATCATTATGGCCCTGTCTTTCGGGGAAAGTCATGTATATTATACTATTAATTAAAAGCTGCCAGCAGAGGAAGGCCACGGGTCCTGAAACCTTTTTCAGAAGGTAAAAGTGATGCAAAACTCGGCAGCATACGAGCAGGCGAGGGGTATCAGCTCAAGAGAATGGTAAACATGGACAGGAAATCGTACATCATGTTCTGAGGCTTTCGAAAATCGATTTGTTATGAGAAAGAAAAATGCGCCAAGTCATTGTTGATGTTTGTATTCAGACCAGGAATGACGAAATAACATTTCAGACTGCAGAGTGGCTATCGAACTTGCGCCTTCTCCGGCGTATAGCGAGGGCTGGGGTCCACACTCCAGCGAAAAGGTCTTCGCATTCGTCCTCGTCTTGGCTATCAAATTCCACTGCACTGTCGAAAGGCTGAGATGTAGTATTTTTAGATATTTGGGCGGCATTGGAGACGCTTGTAGCAGTGTCGGATTCGATTTCCCAGCAAGAAGAGGTGCTTATGCGCTTGGTCTCCAAGATAAATTTGCCAACCTTGTAGCGCTGAGATTCCTCTTCTGCAGCAACATATTTCCAACCTAGTACGCTTCCGCAAAAGGCACAGCTTATGTCACACACTGTGTGGGCACCGGTGACTAGCTGTCGAGGAACTGGCCTTTGCGTGATTGTATTTGGCAGAGATGTGGGAGAAAATGATGAAGCCATGGATATTGAGGTAGGTATAGGAACCGCTGAAACTAGATAGGCACGACCATGACGACCGGTGAATCCTTTGCTGACTATCTGGGATGTCAGGCAAATGTCTGCTGCACATCGAGCACATCGGATATAGGAGACATGGTCTCCAAGAAACCTGTCTTCACTGACGTCATCCGTTGTTGAAGTTGCTTTGCTCCTTTCTGGAGTGGGCGGCTGCGAGTGTTGATGTCGCCGATGGAAAGGAGCTGATGGGACGAGAAACGACGGAAACATGGAGATTGTAGAGAACTAGGCCCTGGCAAACGGCCAGTGCTAACAATTAGCTAGCCTTGTAACAATGGCTTCGGATATAGAGAGCAAGGAGGGGAAAAATGCGGGGTCCTCCCAGGTATCGTCAGCAACTTTACGTCGTACTAGGTATAGCAATTAGAGATGACGGTGTCTTGTGCAGTTTTGTTATAGCCCTCAGTTCGCTAGATAGACTGGCTCTTTAGAGTAGAAGAGAATTGTATGAACATTGATGCTCTGAGTGACGAAACTCTAGTCGAGTATCACCAAAACTTCAGATGTCACATGGTTCGTTCCGCGGTGTCCGGCACACGCTATCCCAACCAATAAGTTGGACTCTGCCATTTTTGACATCATCTACATCCGAATTTGACTATTTGCATCGTCTTCCTACAGAAGATATGAGGCCGTTGACTAAACTAGAAGTTACCGTATGGGCATCGAGGATTTTTTCTTCCCCCCTCCTCCATATTGCAGAATATCGACGATGATAAATTAACCGTAAAACAGCCAGTCGTAACAAAGCACACCAACTCAGGCAACAGGCACAATGTAATTATTGAGTGAGAAGCCTTAGACTATCAGAAATGCGAACCACAGGCCCACCCGTCCGACAAGGCAAAATGACAATGCTCTAAACATCAGCAACTAGAAACAGCCATCTGGAGCTTATTGAGGCTTTGCCGCTTCCAGGTGGCATCCAAGGCTCTAGAGTTGTAAGGAAAAATCCACACCACCCTAGGTTCCTTACGATGCCCAATTCGGACGGATCAGCCGAGCGAGGGACACATGCGACAATCCGAGTACAGTTGAACGCGTCCATATCGGCCAATTCAAATAATGATAGTAAACTAGAGCACAGTCAGCACTTCGTTACACAAAGGCCAGAAAGCCGTAAGTTGCATGCGAAAGAAATCTTTGTGAAATCATGCAAGCAGCGAATTCGATAACCTACCCAGTCTTGATACCATGGTCAGATGTACGATCTTCGAAAAACACGAACATCGTCTTCCCATTGCTATCGTCGACGACGAAACCTCTATAGATCGCATCATTCGCGTAATCCCAAAGTTCAACCCAACTTTCGATTCGTCGGTAGTTGTCCTTGACGCTATCTGGCCGAAATTCCTGACGATGCGCACCCACCACCAGCGACCTCCGTTGTCCGCAGTTCCTCTCACCAAGGAACATTGCAGACAGCGTGTCGCAGAAGAGCCTCTCACACTCCTCTGTGATGGTTTGCGCTGCCTCCCCTGTATTTCGAGACAACTTGTCTCTAGGCCAGAAGAAATTCTCAGCGATGGAAATCGCTGGAGAACCAAGGGGAGGGCTTGTTGCAAGCATTTTAGACCCTGAGGGAGCCTCAGGGATACCACCGTGCTCCTGCAGAATAAGTCAGATTGTTATTATCGTCTCATGAAACACCATATAGAGAAACTCCAGATATCAAAATAGAATGCCTTACCGGCCCCGTTAGTAGTGCAGTAATGGAAACCTTTCACCACCTCTGAGGATGCTTGTACACTGTAACAGCTTGCAAGGACGCGGGTTTGACCACTACTTTCGAAAAAGTGCTGCTTTTGATTGTAATTACTGTTTTTGCTGTTGAGATCTCCCGCCATGATGAGAATTTTCGAATAGCCTGGATACGTGATAAGGGATAGTGTTGTATTGAGTAAGGCTGAAGGCTGTGAATAAGGGAAGAGTGGTAAAGTTGGGGATTTAGGTTGGTTAAAACAGACACCAGGAATGAAAAAGTAGCAAAATTATTTTGAAATTGACTATTAGTTCACAAGCTGTCAACAGTTGCACAGTTGGATGTCAAAGGAGGATAGCAGTGAAGTGCGGGAAGATCAGGTGATGATTATTAACTACTACCTAACCTACTGCATGTGCACATGATCTTATGGGAAGGCTTGCGTGGCTGGTCTTTGTGCCTAAGGCCGTAAACACAGAACAGCCTGAAACAGGTATCACATGACCTTTTTTAAATTCATCCTTGCACTGCATGAGGTCATATTATTATGCCAGCTGTTCATCGAACATGGACAGCACTTGGAAAATAGTTAGTGGCAGTATGGGTGCACAGCATATTACTTAGGATTGTTTGTAGACTGCCCTGTTCTTCTCAGAACATTGCCATTCAATTAGTAAACATGTCTTCCAAGACTTTTCATCTACAGAGTACATCCACAAGAGCTGACTGGTCTGTACAGAGTGTTGCCTTTCAAAACAAACATATTGCTTCTTGTACATTAAAAGGACCTTTAAAATTAATTTCCAAAGGGCTGCCTGTTCATATGAACCTAAAAGTATATGAACACTCAAGCCTGGAAAGCGTGGCAAAACTTCTTAGAATGGGAGAATACGCAATGCATTTGTCTTCGCAAAAATAGATATTTGAATTATCAAGAAGCCTATTGAGAGCTTTTTCATAGTCAGATATATTTACATGGTTCATCTCGTCAATTGGACAAAGCTCTAGTCGTTGGCATCTAGGGTCGGCTGTGAAAGATCGAAAACACAGTCGAGAGGAAACGACTCATTTTTCGCCACCCAACGCCCCCCGAAACTCCGGTAAACTAGCCTTTGAATCCTCATCTTCTCAAATAGTCAATGCAGAATCATAAGTTTTGCTGAGCCTGCTCGACGTGAGTTCTAGAAGACAGCATAGGTAATCGTCGTCTTCGAAACGAAGAGATGGTCAAGTAAAAAAGAAAATACACACAAGAGGTAGAAAGCGAAGAAATGAATGCCAAGAGCACAGGCTGGCCTGGAACGGGAAGTAAAACAGTATGCTTCGATTTTAAGCCGAAAATTTAGAAATGTAGTGGACTTGCGACAACCACCATGCTGCGGCACACAGGGACCAGAATACTCCAAACGGACCGACATTTTTTTTTAAAAAAAAAGGAGTGGCAGAAACCACGCGACCATAAGATGGAGGCAACTAGAGCTCTCGATAATCACTCGGTCTTATTCGCCGTTGTCTTGCTTGATGTCGGTGCGGATTGACAGGCTGGCGAAAGTATGCATTATCCTCTTCCCTGGTCGAGGGTGCACTGAACGTAGTACGTTGCTGATTCGAAAATGCATTCATCCCTGATCCTTGCTGGAAGCCGGGTTGCTGCTGCATAAAACCTGACATTTGACCCATTGTATTCATTGGCATGGAAGTACTGACTCCTCCATTAAACATATTCGGATGTCCGTATGAGTTATTCAACATCATGGAGCCGTTAACCCCATCGCCGAAAATTCCATTTGGCTGGAAGGTGAAATCGAGGCCATTCATTTGACCCCAACCATTAGCCATTGCGTTCGGATAGCCGTTACCAGCAGGAAACATCATTGGATTCATGAATCCCATTGCTCCAGGAACAAAACTATTATCACTAAACGGCATTGTCGTCATTCCTTGAGACTGGGAAAAGCCAAGATTGGGGAAAGGCATCTGCTGGTTGAATGGGAATTGAGGAATGTTTGATAGAGTATCTTTCGCCTGAGAATCCGAACTGTCCAAGGATCTCTGTTGGTCCTGGGACTTCTGCTTCTTCATCGCCGGGGCAGAATTAGATTTGTCGGAGTGTTCCTTGGGAGGATCATCTTCTGCAGTTCTTTTCTTTGACTGACTTGACCCAGGCTGATTTGGTAAACTTGGGGAAGATGTTGCGGACGCGACCCTAGGAGATCTGGAACCGTCACCTTCTGCTTCTTTCTTAGTGTGATGAGAAGAGTCATCGACTTGTTCCTGCTTCTCCTTTTCTTTCTTCTCTTCTGCCTTTTCAGCTTCGTACGCTTTTATCTTTGCGACGGCCTCATCATCAACTGAAAGATTGTCAAGTAATACGCCTTCAGTGGCACATCCTGGACAGACAAAATCACTCTCAATGAGGGCATTTGTGATACAGTCATTGCAGTATGTTCTCTTGCAGCATGGTGTTCTTGTAGGTTCCAAAAACATCCGCTTGTCAATCGGGCATTCCAAACCTCTGGCCTGCAGCTCCTTGCTGCCCTCTGCAGCCGCAGCTTCTGCAGCCGCAGCCGCGGATGCCTTGGCCTTCTCCTGATATAATTCCCAAGTTGCTTTATCAGGCTGAGCGATGACAAAATCACCATCAGCATTGACCATAATTCCTGAGTTCTTAAATTCCTCAGTCGAGCCATCCAGAGCCAAGGCCACGGACTTCTCAACTTTCGTTTGCAGAGATCGGGGGATGCCTGTCGACCTTTTCACACGATACCTGCCATCAAACTTTGGATCGTTGTTCGTGGGGCAAGCCTGGATCCAATGTCCTACATTACCATGTTAACGCGCCCAAACAAAACAAGGAGCAGCAAATCCGTACCTTTTTCTCGACAACGATAGCAAAGATAGCCAGGAGGAGGCGGATGATCTGGGACGTTGACAGGTTTGCCTCGGCCACGGCCAACCGCAACGGGGGTGGCACTAGAGAAGCACTTACAGTTAGTTGGCTTCCCTTTTCATACATTGCACTTCTGACTTACTTTGCCATCTCTTGTTGTTGTTCTTTCCATTGATTGGCCTGAAGATTAAAAAGAGCTTTGATCTTCTCGTCCTCGGTCTGGGCATTGTCCAGTTCTGACATACTGCTGTCGATTATCTGACCAGGACCGGTAGTCGAGCGATTCGACGATGATGGCTCAGCACGAGCGGTGTTACGTGCAGTCACTGGCATCTTGCCAGAAACATAGCGTGCAGCACCACCCTTTCCCGGCCTTGCCGCTGGCAATCTGCGCGCTATGACAGATGTCGAACGAGGAATTATAGCCGTATCGTCATCATATTCTATATCAAAGTATTGTTAGCCTATTCCATTTGACGTAAATGCAGACACATCACATCACTTGTGAGCCTAAACAAACCTTCTCCAGTATCCTCGTTGTAGATTGACAGTTCAAAATCAGTTCCATCGCCTAGCCTATTTTGATTGATGATTTCACGCTTCAGTTCGAATACCGAAATGCCGGTGCCGTCAAAAGTCACCCTCGAGGGTTCTTTTTGAGATTTGAACTTGAAGTGAACGGAAGATGACATTGTATTCGATTTTCAAGGCCAAGAGTTTGAGAGATTGCTAGACAGAAATGCTGCGGTATACCGAAGGTACAAATAGACTCAGAGAAAGAGGGGAAAGGAAACCACGCGACAAAGAACTCCAAGGCCTCAAATCACACAGAAGCTATGGATCCAGTAGATAAATTTATTCCCGAGCAGTCTGTTCAGAGGGTTATTATGAAAGAGAGTATATCAATCAAAATCAGAATTCAGAGACCAAATTTCGATGTCTATCGACCAAGTTATCCGATCTCATGAATTGACAGAACTCTTTGGTTGTATGTTGATTGGAAAGCACTCGAAGACTGCTGGATACAAACAAGGAACAGACTCTTGTGTACATGAAGCGGTATGAGCTCTGTAGACAAGTAGAAGGCGAAACGAGGGCCTTCCTAATTTCCCTGCCCAGTCCACAAACGAACAACGAAGCTCCTCCGCGATTCAAGGAACTATTCGGAAGCCCTTCAAATACCTCGTAGGCAATGGGCCCTATTCTGCTGCCGACAGAACTAGGACTGACGTAGAGAGGGAACGAAGTCTGAGCCGAGATGACCACAACGTACGTGGGTACCTGCAGGAAGAACTGGAAAGTTGACGGTACTTCGACAACAAGCAGAAAAAAGGCTGGGGTGTTACGGCCCAGATAAGTTAGATCATACTTCTGATGTGTGACCGGATGAAAGGGGCTTTGTGATTGATGAAAGGGGGTAAAGAAGATGTTGAGAAGAATAAATCACAGCGAATTTGCGATGCAAGATTTTATTATTAAGCAGGTGCAGTCACGAGTGGCGAAGTGACCATCAGGTTATGCATGCCCAAACCCGAAAAGGAAAACGCATGAAGTGGGTCGAATCTGCCAAGAGGCTTGAACCTTCATCCTTCTATTGGATTTCATGAATATTGCTTTGTCAGCGTATGGGACCAATTAGGTAACTAGCAGCAGACACTGGCCACACCATGAACTGAGGTGGCTACCTAGTACCTACCACCTGCAACCTTGCCCAGTAACTACATATACAGAGTAGTAGGCAGATTGTATTTTTAAGTCAGATAAATACCTGGTATGGGCAACCAAGGCTGTTTTAGATGAGCAGAACGTTCGGCAGGAAAACGTTCGTTGTCAAGGGTCATTCATTCACTTGCACTGTTAAGTATAGATAAAACACGAAAGTCTGTCTCAACAGATACATTGTTTTTTTTTCATATTACTTAACTGATGTGAATCTTTATTTCAATTGAATAAAAGTTTCTCTGGTCAAACTGATCATAATTGATATAATAACACCGGTCAATGCCCTGTATTCAGACAGGTATTTGAAGGCATTATTATAGGTTGGAGGGTTCATCACTCAGTCTCAAGTTTCCGGACAAGGAAACCCCTATCCATCAGATAGGTTTTGACGTCGTTTACAGTAAACTCACCACGGTGGAACTGGGTTGTAATTGTCAGAATTGTTTGTCACAGGAAGAAACGTTCATCATACGTACCATGCCAGCTCCCAGTGCCGCATCTGCCGGGGTTTCCTTGAAAACTTGTTCGAAATGAACCGGGTGTCCAGCTCCACTAGAGGCTATCACCGGAATTTTGACAGCAGCTTTAACATCACGAATCAATTCCAGATCAAAGCCGCTGTTGCTCCCATCTTTGTCGATGCAATTCAGAAGAATCTCGCCGGCTCCCATTGCTTCCACTGCTTGTACCAGTTGACGAACGTCGAGGTCACGAGATTCTCTACCTCCTTTGATAGTGCATTGATACCAACAAGTGTCTTGGCCTTGAGCATTTGGATACGCCGTCTTGATTGTGTGGTGGCTAGTGTCACCAGGCCCGTTAACGTAGACACGTTTTGGATCCACACTGACAACCACGGCTTGATTCCCATATGCCTTCGATATCTGCTCTATCGCAGTCTTTCCAGTCAATTTCCTCCCGTTTTTATAATACTCTTCCGCAGCAATGACGGCGTCAGAACCAATGCTAATCTTGTCAGCACCAGACTTAAAATACATCGTAGCAACGTCCAGCGCAGAAACTTGAGTCCCATCTGTGTCTACCGAATCCTTTATTCCCCCGCCGATCGTGAGGGGCACAAACACTGTTTCCGAAGTTCGCCGTAAGATTTCCAGCATGGGAGTGTCCTTCAAAGGACAGTTTCGAAAAGATGTGATATTCAAAAATGTCACTTCGTCGGCGCCTTGTTCGTAGTACTTCCTTGCCATGTCGACCGGCTTGCCAAGATTCCTTATTTTACCACCGCTATTTATTCCGTCTTTCTCTCGCACGTCATATTGATCCCCCTTTGTGACAACGAGATCTCCTTCATCGTTCGTTCGCACATCAAGACATGCAATAACTCTTCGAGTCAATCCGTCTTGCTTTTCAGCTTCCCGTGGAGATATCTCAAAGGACTCGAACTTTTGGCCCGTCAAAAAAGCGCGAATTGTGCGCAAGCCTGCTTGTCCGCTCTTCTCAGGGTGAAATTGTGTCGCAAAGACATTTCCTCGTGCTATCGCGCCAACGAATTCTTCTTCTCCGTACATAGCCGTAGCGACCGACCATCCTTCTTTTTCGAGCACGCCAGCCTCGTAAGGGACAGCATATGAATGAACGTAGTAGTATTTACTATCTGGACGCAGTCCATAGAGAGTTGTGGACGTGGAGCCTTCCTGACTGGTGCTCCTAGCTGAGTTCCATCCGATGTGTGGTACGCTCTTGTTACTGTCATCGAATCTTCGTAGTCGCATTGGTATCAACCCTAGGCCAGGAACTTTGGGGTCTTCGTCAGAGCCACTGAAAAGTGCCTGCAGCCCGACACAGATACCCATGAAAGGTCGGCCTGATTCAATATGCTTCCGAACTGGTTCCAAAAAGCCACCCGCAGCGAGTTGAGAAAGACAGTGCCCAAAATGTCCAACTCCCGGCAAAATCAGTATCTATGACATAAATTTAGCACGTAAACACGTTGATTATCTCCCAAGTACTCACCTCTGCATTGCGAATTTCCTCAGGTGATTTGATCCATTCTACTTCATAGCCAACCTTTCGGATTGCATTGACTAGAGATCTAACGTTCCCAGCAACATAATCAAGCAGGTGCACTGTGGGCATGTTGACTTAGAATAAGCAGTCTTTGCCAACAGGAATAAGGATGTGAGCGGTTGCGCAGCTAGATGACGAACGGTTCAGATTATTGAAAGTTGTTCATTTAAGCTTGCATAGATCTTACACGTCCATGCAGCTTCGGGCTTATTCTGAGTCACAACTGATATGCCCGAAATAATTTTTTTTCCTTCCCGTTCAGATAGATACCGCCTCGTGATATCAAGATAAATGCTAGAATCAACCAAAGATACCAAATCTCCCTCACTAAATATCCGTTGTGGAATGCGTATTTGCCGAATTCTAGACTTATCAATTAGCCGAGCGAAGTCGATGTACTCCGGAGTATGATGATGATTTGAAGAACAGGGTTTCCATTTATACGCTCTGTGCGGCTCCGTGACACCACCAAAAAACCAAAAGCCCCACAAGAAAACGACTAATTGGACCCTGAATTCAAGTCAATGTTCAAATACGTCAGGAACATAGGATGTCATTTTTGACCTTCTATTGATGATCTACGTTATCTACATATATTTTTCTCACATTTGCAAACATACTTCGCACTCCTCAGTTTCCCTCTCCACCGCCTCCATCCCTTCCTCTTTTCTTTTCGCCCCCCGTTTTTCTTGCGTCCGATTTGCCCTGACGGATAATTCAAATGAATTGATTATGCATGCGGGCTATGTATAAGCCGATGCCGGATAACATTAACCAGGCTACATGCGCCATGGCATTGAAAAATAGCAAACACTAAACCCTCGATATCTAATCATGCGGATAATGTCTCCGTGCCTTCTAAGTTGTGTCTTCGTTGGAATCTCCCAAAGATTGAAGATAAATGAGGCCGTTTTGAGGCTACCAAATATCAGCATTGTTACATTGAAATATATGGAGAGGATCTCACAGGTGAAAATTGACGGAGGCGTACACCAGCAGCCTCCAGAATGGCTGCGCTCTGTCCCCATGTAAGTTGGTCTTCACACACAGAAAGGATAATTCCACTCACCTCTTTGTCCATAGTGTAACTTTGGGAGTAAACTACTTCGGAAATACCAACTTGAGCGATTTTCACCGTACATGTCAAGCAAGGACACCTTCATGGGAATATTAGCTTTGCAACTGTTGGAGGGCATGGGATGGGGGGAAGAAAGTCATGCTCACGTATTACAATAGAGTATTGCGCCTTCCCTAATGCGCTCTCTCCCTGCCTCTAAAAGGGCGTTCTCTTCCGCATGGATACAGAGACACATTGACAGACCTGAGCCTCCACCCTCACCACGGTTACACCGAGGACCTATGTTTGTGAGATTCGCCCACGAACCCAGGACAATCATGCGAATACCACTTACACCCGCCCTCGTTGCAATTTCTGATGTTGCGCGGTGTTCCATTATACCCCGTGCTTATAACACGATGGTCCCGAACGATAACGCAGCCCACTCTTCTTTTCATACAATTGCTTCGCTGCGCAGCCAGAGATGCCAGCTGCATGAAATACTGGTCCCAAGTTGGCCGCAGACGCTGGGGATTTGCCAAGTCTAGAGCCTTCAGAGCTGCGTGCAGTTCACCCAATGACGACGAAGAATTGAAGAGGCGAACCTGCGCCCGATCTGTCAAATAGGCGCGGCCAATGTCTTTGTCATACAAATGTCGGTCGTTCCAAAGAACAAACTTTTCGAGATCCGGAGGATCCAGCTGGCGCCTCAAGCACCTATGAGTGGCATGTTAGCCTCGACCTCTATTCATCCACGATGTACAACGCCGAAAGCTTTGAACTCACCTATCCCTAAATCTTTGCCATCGTAAACTAACCGGCGCATCTACGCTAACGAGGAGAAAGAATGGTCGCTGAAGAAGCCGATCCAATGTAGCACCATCCCAGATATCGGTTGTGACCCACCGTTCCCTCCATCTCTTGGTGACAAACTCCAAGAGTGCATCAACGGTCTCGAATACTAGGTCGGAGCCATGGCCGCTCTTACGCCTTATGTCGGAAGCTTGCAGTAGAAAATCATCATCGGGCCCATCAGATATCTGGAGGGGGTTCTTATTGACCAACTCGAGCAATTGGAAACCCTGCTCTTGAATCAAGTACTCCGCGATGGCGTGCTTACCAGCACAAATGCCTTTTATAGAGTCAGCTACTAGCCTGTGCCTAGATCATGCGGATAGACAACGCTCTGCAAATCAGGGTTCCGCAAACGGACCTCCACACAGACCGATGAGCATGATTCTCCAAGCAAAATACTCAATGTAAGCCTCAATTCACTACGGGCCAGTCTGCAACGGGGCTAGGGATATATACCCTGATCAGGATGCAATGAGAATAGATGTTGGGAGACAGAAGATATTTTCAATCAGGCCTTCAAACAATGGTATTATTAGAGATGAGGCGAACGGTTCACAAAGTCGACATGCCGAGAGATATATCAGAGACGCCCTTGAAAGAGAACGTCGTTCAGCGTGGTATTTTGGGTGGCAGCCTGGACGTCATAATATGCCCAGACATAATAATTATTACTTTGTACGCACTACTGCAAGGCTTAAACGAAAAATGGCTGTACGGAGTAGGTTCCAGGTTAGGCACCTACCTAGGCAGTAATTACGGAATACGGTCCAATGGAAGAGCGATCGAGGGTCCACCCCGTCAAGATACTCAGGTGGCCAATGGAATCTCGCAGTTACACGACTCCGGTGGTGCAACCAATTACGAACCTGGGCGTTGTTGCGACCTAGAGGTAATCGCGCGGACCGACACGTGCTGAACTTCGGCCTGAGCGCCGCCTTAACCTGCAACGGCTTACTCCGTACTCCGTACAGATTAGGTAGCCGACATGACATCAGCCTGGTTGGACCGTGACTGAGTCTGCTGACCGCCCATCATTGCCCAAGTTCGTCATCTACCCCGTACCGAAACAATCTTGGAAGCCTCCTTTTCTGAGTGGGGATAATTCCAAGATAACCGGCGATCAACTGCCGCCTCTCTGATGTCCACTGTCTGCGACCCAGGCGCATCGAATGCGTTTCTCAGTAGATGCGATACAATCCTTGTGTACGACGTGAAAGGAAAAGCAAGTATCTGAAGAGACGCCTTTTCCTCTGAGTCGGCTGCGAGCCACCAAATTATTTGTCTGTTCTGTCGTGCCCTTTTGATACAGGACTTAAAGAGTTCCTTGGGTATCATACGAAATGCAGTACACTCCCTTTGTATCGGATATCGAACTCCCCTTTTACACTTCACTTGCATCTCTCAAAATCAATCATGACAAGCTTGACGACTCCGCCCGAAAAGTGCTAGGTTTGTATGAGATACGCTCATCCGATGCGCCTGATGCATCATGCCGAATGCAGATTCACGGAAATGCCCTTACAAGTGATGAGTAAGTACTTTCAGCCCTTGACATACATATATGTCTTTTTCCTTTTTTTTTCCCCCTGCTTTATCTTTCTCCCGCTTCTTCGAGGCCCACTTGATTGCCGACTGATTCGACTGATCGACGAGTCGGTTAATTCTAGGGTTCCTGCTGGCTACTATAGAGCTGAGGGAATGATCAAGAATGTCAATACTATCGAAGAATATCGAAATGCGGACAAGGCGTTAATGATACAGCAGGCAGGAAAAACTGTGAGCACTTTCAAGTCTCCGCACGACTTGGCATAGCACTAACGTTTCCTATCAGATCTGGGATGCTATCAATGATGGTACAATCTATTCCTGCCCTTCTCTCTTGTCCTCTTTCATTATTCTTTCTTTTGCGGATCTCAAAAAATACAGATTCCATTATTGGTTTGCTTTTCCTGCAATCCATTCTCACCCCCCATGGGTTCCCGTAACGAAAAGCTCCTCAGGCCCTAATGAGAGTTCCAATGACCGCGTCATCCCCGGTTCACAAAAGCTCACAGGGCAGGAAAGCTCTGCTTTAGTTGATGCTGTGCAGGCATGGAGATATGGGGTGGATGCTCGCCAGCACGGCTTTTTCTTAGCTCGAAAAGATTGGAATGGTCTAGACAGGACGGAATTGGATATTGGCAGATCTAAACATGGTGATTCGCCTGAAACCGACCGTGCCAGACCAACCCGTTCAGATACTACCAGCTTTTCCTGGAAGATATCCTCTCTTGCGAGCTACGAGGCCGGGTTTTTCGACGGCGCAAAATTTGAAGACTGTTACATCTGCTTCGCGGATCCTTCTAACTATCTCAATGCTCCTGGATGGATGCTAAGAAATCTTCTCGTCCTCGTGAGGCAACGTTGGAGACTAGATAAGGTACAGATCTTGTGTTATCGCGATGTCCAGTCCAAGCGTGACCAAGGGCGGAGTTTAGTGATCACTCTTGAATTGGACTCTTCTCGAGCAGCTGACCCTGACATTGAACAACCTCCGCACGGTCAAATACCAAAGGTGACTGGCTGGGAGCGAAATTCTGCGGGCAAATTAGCCGGGCGGGTCGTTGATTTGACAGCGTACATGGATCCTCACAAGTAAGATGGCTAGGATGGATAACTATACTAGTTCGAAATGCTGAAAATCTCCGTGGCAGATTGGCTGATCAGGCGGTCGACCTAAATCTGAAACTTATCAAGTGGAGAATAAGTCCCAATCTCGATCTTGAGAAGATAAAACGTACCAGCTGCCTTCTTCTGGGAGCAGGGACGTTGGGGAGTTATGTTGCTCGAAATTTGCTGGTACGTGGGAAAAACAGAGTGTCTTCCTATCTGGCGCAGAGCTGATATCATTTGACACAGGGTTGGGGTGTGCGAACAATCACCTTCGTGGACAATGGATCTGTCTCATTCTCCAATCCCGTGAGGCAACCATTGTTCAGTTTCAAGGACTGCCTGGAAGGAGGGGCTAAAAAGGCCCACCGGGCTTCAGAGGCCTTGAGAGATATTTATCCAGGAGTGAATTCCACCGGGCATGTCCTTTCTGTTCCGATGGCTGGCCACCCAGTAACCGATACTGTTAAAACTCGGACAGATTTCGAGGTCCTTAAAAAGTTAATTGACGACCATGACGCTATATTTCTCCTCATGGATAGTCGGGAGTCTCGCTGGCTACCCACGGTGATCGGGAAAGCCACAGGGAAGATCGTCATGAATGCAGCGTTGGGATTCGATACCTTTGTCGTCATGCGTCATGGTGTTAAGACTGCGTCCAACACAGCATCAGAGCTTGGCTGTTATTTTTGTAATGATGTTGTTGCACCAATGGATGTGAGTCAAACATCACTCTATTAGTCGAAAGCTGTTAACGTGAATATAGTCTCTCAAAGATCAAACACTCGACCAGCAATGCACTGTCACACGTCCGGGAGTATCTGCTATAGCGTCAGCATTGCTGGTCGAGCTCTTCGTGTCGATCCTTCAACACCCCGAAGGAGCAGCCGCTCCTGCTCCAACTTCTCAGAACACTGATCAAGAAGACCATCCTCTTGGTCTCGTTCCGCACCAAATTAGAGGTTTTCTTTCTACCTTTACAAATATCTCTGTAACTGGTAGAAGCTACAATTGCTGTAGTGCATGCTCAGATAACATAATCAACGCTTATAGAAAAGATGGCTGGGATTTTGTTGAAAAGGCTCTAAATGATAAGGAATATCTGGAGGAATTAAGTGGCCTGAAAGAGGTTCGTTTCATGAAATTGCTTCTGGTCCGAATGCTAACAAGTCGAAAGGTCCAGCGAACAGCTGAAGCTACAACAGCGGAAATTGAATGGGATGACGAATTCGATGGACTAGTGGATGAATAAAGCAGGGATAAGAAGAAAATTCCGGCAAATAAAGCCCTCGACCTTGACAATGCCAAGTGTCGAATTAGGCTGTAATCAAATGAATGACACCTTCCTTTAAGCTTCCTCATTCTCAAACACCGCGGATCTAGGGACCTTCATCTTTCTAGCAATGGCAACGAAATACGCCTCTCGCGATTCCTATCAACATTATTCAGCAAAGACTTTTGACAGCAGGCTTATACAGAGATCGGCTGTCATACACTGCGAGAAGACTCGGGCTTTAGTCTGTGGACTTTCTCAAATAATTCTCTCAACTGCTTTTCAAAGGCTTTGTCTTCAGGTCCTTGATAGAATTTGCAGACGAAATGACCGCCTGTCTTAAGGACGTTAAAACTGAAACGCAAAGCCGCTCGACAAAGATCCTGAAGGTCGTCAACACATAGTCTAACAGCGAACTCGTCTCATTGGAGAACATACCATACTGCCGACATGGTCTCGGAAGCTAACGCCGCTGGTGTTCATCATCCTGTGATACGGGTTACTTAGACTTCTCTTCCAAAATCCTCTTGTTTGAACCCAGGGAGCGGACATATCGCTCAAAACCACATCCACCGTCTCTTCTGACTCTTTATCACAAACTGTAGCATTTTCGTTCTCGGTGTAGGGTCGATGAACCTCTGCCTCATCTAAATATTTTGGATCTTGCACAGCTGAGCTTGGGAAATGGCGTTCCGAGGCGAAAGAAGTTGAAACGCGAGGTCGACCTCTGGCTGGATCGCGGAGAAACTCTCGGACATAATGCTGTATCTCGGGAGAAAGAAAATTACCCTGTATTGTTGATACCCCTTTGGGAGGCTGAGCTGGAATGATGTCGACACCAAGGACTCGTCCATTAGGTTGTGTTCGGCTCACTGCGACCTGTTACACAATTAGCAGAGAACAGGCGACAACATTTCCGCTGGTTTGTCGAACCTGTGACCATGAACCAGGTGCATAACCCTGAAACAATTGTCAATAAAGATCAATAAAGCAATAGGATTAGACTGACTAAGTCAACAACTGTCTGCCCACTCCGGAAGATGCGATATTTTTCGTCAATCTATCAATCTTGCGTTAGCAGAGATTGTCAATAAGCAAGCATAGTTCACAACCTGTAATAGCTTGAATGCTGCCCTGCTCTTTAATCCCTGAACCGCAGCTTCTCTTGTGAATATATCATTTCTCTGACGAGACTGCCATTGTTTTGAAGACACTAGACGCTTTAATAAAACTGGCGAGAAGTCTCCAGACCGACAGGACAAAGGTTGCCTCCATGGTGATATATCACATATTCTTGTCAGCTTCATATGTTTGAAGGCACTAAAATCCTTTGTGGTCCTCGTTAAATAAAGTTGAGGGCAAAATTAGACAGGCAATTTGGTCAAATGAGTTTACGATGGAGGAAGTTCACAATAGTAAGCTTCACAACGTGCTTCTACTGATGTGTTTCGTCAGAGAAATTTTAAGTTTCTTGGTCTACCTACATATGTATCGGGTGTTTAGGTAAGGTACCATACCGGACTAGGGGGTTTTGAAAAACCGTCAGTTAACAGTTAGTTAACAGTTTCTCAAAAATTTAACGTAAAAAATAAATCTATTTATACCTAACCGTTCCCAAAATATTAATATTTAGTAAAAATTGACGCTTTTTAAAAAATAAACATTTTCTTATTTTTACTATTGTTATCCTTTTTTTACTAATGACTATTATATCTTTTTTTTCTACCTATGGCTAGATTTAAACTATGGCTACTACAATCACTACACAAAGGAAAGAAATAACTTTTTTTTTGGCATTCCTATATAGTAAAGACTATCTGATCTAACTACTAGACTATTTAGACTATTTAATTTTTAGTGTTATAGTTAAAAGCCAGAAGGGTAGAAGAAGGAGCAGACTTTTGAAAAAACAATTCTTAAAAATTGACCTTTTTTTATAAAACTAATGTTTTCCTAGAATAAACATTTCTTAAAAAATTAACATTACTTAATTACTAACTAGTTATAAAATAACTGTTATATAACCATTTTATTATAATGCTAACATTTCTTATAGTAAACCGGTTATTTGACCTTATGTAACAGTTGAATGATGTTTTTTTTTTAAAAACCCCCCTGATCCGGTACGGTAGCAGTTGGTACCTGCTCTGTCTGGCCTAGTACGAAGCAGTCCCGGAATCCCGGTACCAGCGAACCTTCATCTGAAGTATGTATGGAATATGTGCTGCACATTAGATACATGAGATAGCGGCAGAATAATAACATTAAATATGGTGACGATCAACCACTTGTAAAAAAGAGTCATGACATTTTTCTGACATAAAAATTTCACAGTCTGAATATAACAAGTACTTTCATAGTAACAAGGGCTTAAAATATAACTGTTATCCTACAAACGCCTAAATACAGCCCTCCCTTTTCCCCCTCTACTTACGGAGTATTGCGATGGTTATAAATATACCGTGACCACATACTTAAATGGGCAGTGTAGATTTTCCAGCGGTAATTATAAGGGAATAGCTCTTTCGCTAAAAAAAATTTCTCGACAAATGTAGTTTCCGTACAAGAAATAAGGTAGAGACTCCAATGTAACTGGCGTTTTCACTGCTATTCCTCTGATTGGCTGGGGGCATTATATGTGCTGGATTTTACAAAAATTATAGATGCTAGCGGAGTTCTTCAGAATGCCAAATGCCATTTTATTTTGATCAAGGGACATTTGAATTATTGTTAACCGATATATTTAGTTTTAGGAGGGAATTCCATCCTCCCAAGTAATCACATTATTCCTTAGCAAAGAGTGTTGGTTTTTCTTTTCTGATCCACTGGGCTATCACTCCAACCCACATTGTACTCCGGAGTATGTTCAGAATGGGGAATTTGTATAGCGAATGATTAGCATTATTACATCAAGTCTGCTATGAGACTACCTACCGCAAATACCTACTATTATTCAGTCCCAACAACTCGAGTCTTTTTTGCTGCACATACAGTGTGCTCTCCATGATTAAATGACCCCCCGTGTGTTGGACTATTGTAATTCAGAAGATCATAGTTATCTCAGGACAATTCAACCACTCATCTCCCTTCGTCTGGTATGGTGCTCAAATGTTGGCTACTAATCCTGTCCTAACACACAGCCACAGACTACTAGCCCAGTGAGGAGATAAACGTACTGGTATGCAGAGCACAGGTTTGTGGATCTATATATAGACATGCAGATACTCAATGTAGAGATCCGAGTAACCTTTAATCAAACTGGACTTAAATCAAATCCGGCAACTGCTTTTGAATGTTATTGCACGGATTTGGTGCCTAATTCTGATTGCTTCCTATTCTCATTACCCTGGATCGTCACCCTTCCCAAATGTCAAAAAGCAGCAAATACAATCCTCTAAAGACGACAAAAGCCAAGAAAAACACGCGCGCAGGCTTACACAGGTCTTTTGTCTCGTTTCAGCGGGGAAAACTCGGTTGTACCCCCAAACCCTCGGCTTGAAACACCGAATAACTGTGGGTGATTAATAGCCGAATTCTGGCCAGTTGCGAGGCTTTTGTCCTTTCTTCCCCTCTCGGGCTTATCATCTTCCTCATCAAACAAGGTTTTCTCACGCTGGGAACCTAGAAGTTTGCGCTTCTTTTGTTTTTGCCTCCCCTGCGTTGACATAGCATTAACTGACGCAGTGGGAATTATCGGCTCAATTCCCTCACTTTGTTTAGAAAATTCAACTGGCGCTTCTGTTGACTTTGTTCCGGGGAATTCATTGAGCGTCCTGACCTCATCGTGGTCCGTTGAATGACGGAGAGTGCTCGTAATAGTTGACTTAGTATGCCCTGCTTCACTTTCCACATTGCTATTATCATGAGAATCAATATCACGGTTTAGTACTTGTTGTGATTCATAGCGTTCTTCCTCATCATCTGTTAAGCCGGCGGGCGAGTCCGGGGCAGCGTTTGTGCGTCTGAGATACGGCGTGATTGAGAATGATGATTTATCTCCAGGGAGGGTCGACGATCGCTTAACTTTCTCTGTGACATGGACAGCTCCCGGAGTCGCAATGGTCATATCAGGATCAAACCCGGATGTTGCACGGCTAAGTGAAATGCTTTGGACACGTGGCCCAGTCTCGCTAGTTTTGTCTTTGGTCAAAACGATACGTGGCTTCTGCGATTCATTTTGGGCTTCTTTCAGCCTATCCTTTGTCGATCGCAACTTTTTCCGTAAAGCTTCCAGCTTGTCTTCCAGGAGTTTTTTCTGGCCTTCCCATTCAATGGCTCTTTCACGGTTTTCTCGTTCAAGTCGCCGTCTCTCCGAGATCTCCTTGGCCATTTCGGTCTGGATTTTCTCCAATTGCGAGCGGACTTTCATCTCTTCTTCCATTTGCTTTGAATCGTTGAGCCTTGCACGCTCGAATGCACGTCTTTCATTTTCCATCTGAATCTCAAGTGAATTAAGCTGACGTTCAAGTGACAATTTCTCGGAGAGTAAAGTTTGATGTGAGATATTCTGGCTTCTAAGACGATCGACTTCTGACCGTAAATCTGACAGCTCCTTCGCGAGGCTTAGCTTTTCTGCCAAGACCGTTTCATATTCCAACAACTTGCGGTTTTGAGACGCAATCTCATTCTGCCAGTGCAATATAATTTAGTTAAATTCCAAAATTGTAGATTCAGGGTGGGAAGAGCGGGGAGAAAGGAAAGTGGGGGAATGTACATACCTTTAGATCTTGGACTGTTCGAGAATTTGTGCGAAGAGCAGTTTTTAAATCTGATATTTCATGGTGAGCTTCGAGAAGCCGTTGTCTTAAATCCGATTCTGCTTCGACCAGTTCTGATATTTCCTTGTCTGCCTGCTGACATCGCATACGCAGATGATCATTGTCGGCTTCGAGCAGTAATCGATTGACCTTGACGATTCGGGTAGACTCGCTATCAAAGAGCTGCCTCACTTGAGCAAGCGTCTTCTCAAATACATTTTCAAGTTGCGCTGTCCTCAAAGACAACTCATACTGGACAACAGGGTAAGTTCTATGGTCATTGCGTTAAAAGTAGGATAGATACCTCAGGTGCAGGGCATGATTCATCCGGGCACAACAGCGCCATGAGGAGATACAAACTTGACCTGTGTCTTGATGGGTCACTATGATGCCGGTAGATATAGATGTGCTGAATCAAGATATTTGGAAGCACTAAAACATAAAATCCGTTGATGGTAGTTGATGAAGTATTAGTTGCAATGCGTCTGCCTACCCGAGCCGACCTGTTGGTGTGGAGCTAAGCTACTTCTTGCAACCACGCGTATTCTAAGTGGACACCTGGACATTCGGAGCACCATTGCACTGTGGTACTTGTATTGCAGTGAGGCACACTACTATCTACAAGAGAATCCGGCAAGAGATTCAAGACTTTCCTTCTGCAATTCCATCGTGTCGCTCAAAATGAAATTCCTTTCTTGCTTCATTACATTACTGTGTACAGCAGGAATTGCATTATCTGCTGAGCCCGCAATAGACAAGTTCCACAAGTTCCAATCCCTATCTCGCTACGCTCCCATTGATCTAGATGACACCGTGTATGACGAACTCACTTCGGCTCCGCGCGACTATTATGTTGCTATTCTTCTCACAGCCTTAGAAGCTCGCTATGGATGCATTCTTTGTCGTGAATTTCAATCAGAATGGGAACTTATCGCAAAGAGCTGGAACAAGGCCAATCAACCTGATGGGATCAAACTCCTCTTTGGGACTTTGGACTTCAGCAATGGTAGGAATACATTTCAAAAAGTATGTGTACCAGCCCAGATTTGAGAGCCATCATCTAATTGCTGGCCCAGCTTATGCTCCAAACTGCTCCAATTGTCCTCTTATTTCCGCCGACTGTAGGCCCCTCTGCGACCTTGGATGGAGCACCAGTCAGATTTGACTTCAGCGGGTAAAGACATCCCTTCATTGCCTCATTAAGTCACTTCGATTGACGAGTTTTCAAATGCAGCCCCATTTCCGCTGATCAGCTTTATGTGTGGATGAATCGCCATCTCCCAGAGGGTCCGAAACCTCCGTTGGTTCGACCTATAAATTACATGCGTCTTGTCTCTGCCATTACGATCCTTTTGGGCCTTATTACTCTTTTCACGGTGTCATCCCCTTACGTTCTTCCCGTAGTCCAAAACCGAAACTTGTGGGCCGCTATCAGTCTCATAGCTATCCTGCTCTTCACAAGCGGCCATATGTTTAACCATATCCGCAAGGTGCCATATGTTGCTGGCGACGGTAGGGGGGGTATAAGCTATTTTGCAGGGGGATTCTCAAATCAATTTGGAATGGAGACCCAGATCATTGCAGCCATTTGTAAGTTCTCTTTGGAATTGAAATTGAGTCTTAAAATCGGTATTGGCTCTAACCATCTCCTAATCCATCCAGATGGAATATTGTCCTTTGCAACTATCGCACTGGCATTGAAAGTTCCACGCATGGCGGATGCAAAGGCGCAACAGCTGGCAGTGATCGTTTGGGGAGTAGTGCTGCTGGGAATGTACAGCTTCCTCCTTAGCATCTTCAGAATGAAAAATGGGGGATATCCTTTCTTCCTGCCCCCATTTTAGCTGTATTAACTTGCAGGTTTTAATTAATTTCGATTTACTTCTCTCAGTTTTTTTATTCGTTTCGTTTTTTTTATCCTGTTATTTTGATTACAACACTGGCCGCAGTGCGGTTGCGTCCATATGAATAGTGAGTTTGTGGGTATTTTCATCCGTGTATGATTGATAATCAGAGAGCTAAACACCATTGCTAGTGTTGGTTCGCGAAAGCTTTGCATATTATCCTTTAAAGCTTGTGATAATTCTGTAGTAAAGTGGTTAACAGGAATGCTTTTTAAACTTCGTGCTCCGAGTTCCAATCCGATCTTTTCAAACTATATAGATCGAATTGATTCTGAGATGGCCTCTTGAATTCAATTTTGACTTGAACAAATTCGAGGCAAACACAAGCATTAAACGACTTGCTCCGCTCGTCTGCTCTGTGGACTTGAAGGGGAAAGAATAATGCTTGGGCTCACTAGTACTCATTCCAGGGACCTTTAGCCCTGGCTGACCTATAATTGTAGGCTCTATACAGGCTCCCTATTATTGTATGGGTTTCTTATTATCATACGCATAAAAATTAATACTACATGAGGTTTTACTATAACCTTCTGGATCTTCAGGCCTCTGAAAGTCTGTAATGTAAGCCTATGTACTCCGTAAAGCCTATAAGGAAGCCTATAGAGAAGCCAGTAAGAACCCATAAGCAAGAAGTGTAGGCAGATAGATACCTAAGGCAGGTTATGTGTGTTTGCTTTTTTTTAGTACAAGTCTTTAACGACTCGCTCCGCTCGTCTAAGGCTTGAAAGACTACTTAGGCTTACTAACAGAGTATAATGTCTATAAATGCTCCGGACCTTCGGCCCTCCGCATACCTGTAATGTAAGCCTATATAAAAGCCTCTAGGGTGCCAACATGAAGCTTCCAAGGATGCCAGCATGAAGCCTCCAAGGGTATCAATCAGTATGAAGCCTATAGGGGCGCCTATAGGGTGCCAATATAAAGCCTATATAGGGATGCCAGCATGAAGCCTCCAGGGATGCCAGCATAAAGCCTTATAAGGGTGCCAGTGTGAAGCCTGTGGGTAGGCAGGCTTGTTGTGGTATGCTTATATAATTTCTACAGACAGGTGCTGAATAAGCACATCCAACCAATCATAATACGTATAGCTTGCTGAGTAAGCATAACGGACCAATCAAAAGGAATCCGCACACAAAACTGCAGAATGGAAAAAACTGTTATTTCCTTTACAATAGGGGGGATTCTACAGACTGGTGCTGAATAAGCAGACTCGGCCAATCATAACGTATTTCCCGGCTGTTTCGATCACCCGGTTGCTCCGATCACTAGAATACCCATACAAAATGCGTTTTTTTGTACGCTCATACCACAATGTCTATATTATATCCTGGCCTTTAATCTTAAAATCAGATTATATATAGGTATAACTACTTGTAAGAGAAATATAAGGTTAATATTATATATATTGCTTTTTAGATACCTATTTTTTAATTTTACATAAAAATTACACTGTATTTTATATTATTCCAGTAAATAATAGAGTAGACTACTTCTGATTAATGCTGCATGCTGTAAATACTTTATAATTATAGTATATAAAATATCTCTTTAATATCTTTAAAGCTTGTTGAGATATGAGCGTACAAAAAAACGCATTTTGTATGGGTATTCTAGTGATCGGAGCAACCGGGTGATCGAAACAGCCGGGAAATACGTTAGCTATAAATATAGAGGACTAGGAAGGTATTAGAGTTATTAATAGACTAAAAATATCTTATTAATCTTAAAATAGGAATAAAGGGATTAGGGGGTAGTATAATCTTATTAAGGATATTAATTAATTAAAGGTAAATAAGCTAGATAAGATACTAATATATAAAGGGCTTAGGAACTATTAAGACTATATATATAATAAGTAATAATTTTATTACTAATAAAAATATATTAACTAAGTTAAGGGACTATAGTCTTTAATAGTACTTAATTCTAGTGAGTATATAGTAGATGTAGAAAATATTAAATATAAAACCCTTTAAATTATAGTATTAAAAGACTTAATATAATATTAATGATAAAAATATAATTAGTACTAGTCGTTATAGGGATTATAGATATAAAGTTAATAATAAAGGTTAAGTAGATATTAATTATTAGGGGAACTATCTTAAGATATTATTATTAAGGTTACCTAGTTTACTATATCCTAATAAAGTTAGTCTCTACTATTAGAGAAAGTTATATAATCCTACTTTTATAGGTTATTAGCCCTAATAATTAAATAGAGAGGTCCCTTAGGGAGTTCCTTTATAGTTAGGGTACCTTTATAAAAGATAAAGGTATTTAGTAAGAAAAGATTATTATATTAGTTATAGAAATTAATTCTAATATTAATCTTTTTTAATATTATAATACCTTTAATTACCTAATAAAGCTAATACTAGGTAATAGCTCTAATAGAGATATTAATATTATAAGGGTTAAAAGTAGGATTATTAATTATAAAGGAGCTATTAAAGATATAAAATATGATTATAAGAGGTAATAGAAGATATAATAGATAGAATATTTAAATTAATTAAGGCAAAAAAATATAGTTAATTAAGTATAAATTTATTAGGAAGTATAATTAATAAAGGGATATATATTCTTAGTATAAAGGAGAGTCATAATTAAACTATCCCTTTTAAATAATTAAAGTACTTCAAGAAATATAATATTATTAGTCTCTTAATATTATTCTTTAATAAGAGTATAAAGAGGTTTTAAATATCTATAATTAAATAAAAATAATATAAGTTAGCTATAGCTAAAAAACTAATAATTATAAGTCTATATTAATATATTTT